CCGAACCAGCCCCAAGTCAACTTCAGGTGATCAAACAAGTCGCTAGAGGTCATCGTCACGATACTCAACAAGCTGACCATGTCGACCGACCAAGGCGCCACCTCCGCTGCAGTGAATGACTTCACATGCATGTATCCAGGGATGAAGTCACCTTTCGGAAGTTTAGGTGACTCCCCTGGGGAGGAGCCGCCTTGGTAACTGGGTCGGGGCCTTCTCTTCCGTAATTGACTCGATCATGGAGTCTGAAGATCCAAACATGTCTCGGAATACTCTGGACTTGGGTGAGAGACCCGTCGGGAGACAGAGTCATCTGAGACAGCTGGAAGCTGCGGGTCGGTTGACGTGGTACGACACCGGGAAAACCGCGATCGAGCCAAGGCCGCCCGGACCACTTCGCTGTCGTCACTTTCGGTGTCATCATCCGGGCCCGGAGAGGGTACCAAAGGTAGAACCTGGGGGGTCCCCGACTTGGGCACCGACGAAGCGGGAGTGCTGGGGTACTTGACTTGGCGGCCTTGGGGTCCTTAGCGGTCGTCTTGGCCGGTGGACGCCGAGGTCGCTTACCCGTCACCACTGATGGAGGTACTGTGGGAGCAGTCACGGGAGGAACTACGAGAATCTTGGATGAATTCGTGCTGCAATCTTCGTGCTCCAACTCCGCCATAACGAGAGCGTATCGGCTCTGGCGGTAGCCCATTCGCCACCGCAAATGCTCCGTCAGCGATCTGTAGTGCTTGAATCCTTCTCTCAACTGAACCACGAGGTGGTTGGCGTCTTGCAGCTCTCTTTGAGGAGCTCACACCGGGTGGTCCAGTAGGCGTCGGGGGCGAGGACGGCGGTAGGTCGACCTTCGCACGCCTCACGTCTGCGGCTATACGCGTCTAGGCGGTATTGTAGGTCTTGCAGCACCTGGGGTATGTCTACGGGACCACCCATCGCAGCCGGAGGAGCACTCGACGGAACAACGGGCGAGACATAAATGACCGTCCCCTCGGGGTCCACCACAGCGGAGGAGCTAGAGGTCAACTGAGGGTCATCCACGTCTGGTGGGCTCTCATCATCTACGGCCTCATAAGGAACCGCTGTGGACTCTCTTGCCCCGGGTACCTGGAGAGGAGTGTCGATCAGCGTTCTGGAGGAAACCTGAGCCTCTGGGTCAGCGGCAAGTGTAGAAGTGCCCAAGACTGGCCCCCTCGGCCGCTGGGTCTACCCCAGAGGAAGGAACAGCTGAGTTGCATCAAGTCAGATAACGTATACTGAAAGGCCAAAAAAAGTAGTACTTACGGGATGGAGAAGTCGAAGACATGCGCGTGTTCAAGCGGCTGTACCGTTGATCAAGTGCAGAGGGTGGCTGTGGTGAAGCGTGTCAAGAATTGGTAGGTCAGAGGACTGGTGGGTCAAAGAGAAGGGGACCCGCCAAAAGGGGAGCGACCGTTGGGTAAGGGACAGAGAGACGGAACGCAAAAAAGGGACGGGGAACGACCGTTGGATGAGAGTAATGTGCAGTCAAAGCGTGCTAGTTAGCGCCGTTCAGGGGAGTTAAACGCAATTAGCTTGATGGACCGCGGTTCCTCGAGGTGGATCCTGGTCTATCATTGATAGACGTCGGCTTTTCATAAAGGTAGACCTTGGCCCTTCGGTCGGCGGACCTTCGGCCCTTGTCCCTAAAAAAAAGTGGACATTTGTCCTGCGTCAAAGGATCTAAGCCCCCTCGGCCTCCCGGCTCCTCGGCCCTAGCCAAGCAGAATCAAGAATCAGGTATCGAAGGTAAAGATAGAGTAAAGAAGTTAAAAGATAGGACTATTAAATATGCTCAATTTGCGATCTACATAGCACGCCTCCGTCGTGCTTCCAAGGTACTTACTAAGTCTACCCATTTGTTCCGGGAATGGATACATTTTGGCCTCCCATCGAAGACAGTTTTGTGATGAGACCCAAGTGCGAATATGGCCCCAGGATATATTTGGCCTGTGGGTTCGCCTGAGCCTCCCCCCGGGTAGCGCAGAGTTTGAAGCTCTAAGGTGAAGTTGTCACCACGTAATCGCGCGAGATTACATCGTTATGCACTGACCGATGGTCTGTTGTACTATAGTACAGGGTCCGATGACCAGCATCGTGTTGTAGTGCTTCATGATGACGACCTCAAGTATCAGATACTTTATGAGGCTCACGATACACTGCTTGGTGGTCATTTAAATCGTGAAAAGACCTACAGCTCGGTGAGCACCCATTACTAGTGGCCCAAGTTGTATAAATGGTTTGGTAAATATGTACGCACGCGTGAAACGTGTCAAAGATTGAGGCCCTCGCCTAATTTGGCTGCGCCTTTGGCAAGTTTTCCTGTACCCTCGGGGTTGTGGCAGTCCATTAGTATGGACTTTGTGTTTGAGATTTAGCAGGCAGCACTGGGATTGTGGTATCTGTTGACCGACTGAGTAAGACGGCTCACTTAGCGGCAGTGCCGGACTTCATCGATGAAGAAGGAGCAGCTAAGCTATTCATGGATCTTGTGTTCGACGAGACGAATTGCCTGTGGCAATCGTCTTTGATAGAGACTCCCGTTTTACGGGTAAGTTGTTGACGTCAGTTAAAGTGCTGGGCACATGTCCACGGCGGACCATCCACAGACCGGTGGTCAAACAGAACGCGTGAAATGCGTTTATGTGATACGTTTTGCAGTTTTTGTGCTGAAACGCCCAAGCAATGGAGCACAATGTCCCCTCTCATTGGGTGTGCGTTCAATAACGCGGTGCATGCCTCGACAGGCTTCACCCTATTCTATGTCAACAGTCTGATTAATCCTCGCGTTCCGTTGACGCTACCCCCTGCCACATTAGGGATTAGTGGGGAAATGATAACCGAAAGCTTGGCTGATATCAGCCCTGTTGTGATGCGCAAGAAGGTGGAAGCGTTTCTGTCAACGCGTTTTGACGTCTTAGGTCGCGTCAAGAAGACGCTATGGCTGAAATCTAGGATGTTCAAAAGGAACAAGCAGACGTTAAAGGCAGAAAGAACGAGCACGAGTTCAAAGTGGGAGATTTGGTTGTATCAAATGCTAGGAACTTACCTACTCGTGCCTTTTCTGCGGTATACAAAACCAAACTACGTCCACGCTTTATTTTACCTTTAAAGGTCATAACCAAGAAATGCTTAGCCTATACGATGAATCTTCCAAAGAGATGCGAACACACATGTGGGCTTAATAAAGCCATATCTCAACCCTGCCTCGGTGGACTTCGAGGGTTTGTCCCCATACCCCAGGTCGAAAGAGGCGGGTAGTACGGCACGGGAGGTGCATATGGACACTGGAGGCATACCAAGAGGTCAAGTTGACACCGATGTTCGGCTTGAGACTGCTCACGCCGCTAAGTAATCAGAGGTCCCAGAGCGATAGCGATCAGAAGAGCAACGGTGTTGATCGGCACGCTCATTAGGAGGCGACAAGTGAGACGTCACCGATCCAAGAGCATCGCGCCTTAAGATATCAGGCAATGAAGGATCTCAAACAGATGTTGACGATGGTCGTCGCGGATGCATAATGGGTCACCGACCCTCGCCGACTTTAATTGATGAACCGGCTCATAAAAAGTCTCACGTTAAGAGCCTCTTGGCACGACGTCGTCACTAGGTTCATACCCAGTATCTGGTGAAGCGAAGAGTCGTATGACTCGTGCGAGTACGAGATACCCCTCCGGCAAGACCACCCAAACATCGCTGATGTTGGAGAGTGATGTTGCAACTACGTGTATATGATATGCACTATACCATGAAGTGGGATAGACCAGGCACGACAGTGTACGACGATGACAAGCTCGACATGTAGTAGTCGCATTAAGTAGGATAAGATAAGCATCATAGGAAAGAAACATCGAGTGGCTGAAGGGCATTGATTTTTGAAATAAAACCCTATCGAATATATCGATTTTTGCTTTGCAATCTCTAAGAAATGCCGCCATCATCTAGCACAACGATCACAACAACGTAAGATGAATAAAAGGTTATGAGCCGAAGAAGCGACTTCAATTTCAAGTTTGTGCCGTTCGATGGCTCCAACTACGGGTTGTAGAGTTTAAGATAATTTCTGACGTCTAAGGGGTTATGGAGCGTAGTCTCCGGCTTAGAAGCGGCGTCCACCAAGAAGTAACAGCAAGAGCGCGTGGCGATCGTGCTAAACCTGCTGGACTCGCAGATTATTTACGTGATGGGCTCGGATACCGCGAGGTCTGGGTAGGAGAAGCTGGAGATGTTCCACCGCGCCCAAGACATGGCGAGTCGGCTCTGGCTCAAGGAGAAGTTTGATTCGTTTAAGTACACTCTATCGAGTATCATCGGACACATCATGGTGTTTAAAGAACGCAAACTGCGGGCCAAGTGAAGGAGGCATTTGTGCGGTGATGCTGCGCAGCCTGCCGCCAAGCTACAAGCATTTGGTTCAGTAGTTTTGCATGGCAGTTACAAGCTTCAAGCTCATCAATCTTGTCAGCAAGCTGATTGCTGAAGAAGTGAGTCATGGGGACTCTGAGAGGATGGAAGATGCGACAGATTTCTACACGGGCAAGAAAAGGGCGGCAAGCAGCTCACGAAGAAGCAGCAAGGTCGGCGATCGAGTCCAAGGTAAGAACATTCACCGAGTCGCTGATAATTTTTTTCTGGCAGCAATCAGTGAAACAAAAATACGTCGCCCACGGCACGTGCAATGTATGAACGCGCGCATGGCGCGATTGGCATCAGCACGCCAATCAACTCACGATACGGATGCTTATACGCAAATGCTTTCTCTTCAGGCGATTTACAAGCTTTGAGATGCTATCTGCCGCTGTGCTCACGTCTTGCATTATATAACAATGGTTTTGTTCAAGAGTCACTTGATATACACCTGCTAGCTCTTCGTAATTACTTCATCGTTTCACTTGCGATAGATATTGATTATCACGCCGTTCTTGAGATCGCTGAGCTTCTTGATGGTCATCTACTTGCAAACAGCGTCATAGCTCAAAATAATGTTGTACTCACTACTTGACATTTGGATGATTATACACGGATCTGCGGCAGTGCTCGTTAAACCTTTGTCGTCCATATACTGGCTTAGCTTGCTATTGTCTGGCACGCCTTCTGATTCATTCTGTAGAGAGCTTTCTGCAGCATACTTCTTCGTCGGGCTAATTGGTCGTCAAAGCCGTCGACCTGGTCCTGTACATCCCTATGTCGACTCTACCGATCAGCCTTGTCATATTAACGCTCTCCGTCCTCGCCCTTATCAAAATGAAGACCGAGAGGGCGTCGAAGTTCTTCTGGGAGTGGAAGCTTTTCACTGTTCGTATCTAATGCGCATAATGCTGACCCGAAAGGACCTGCTTGTGCATGTGGAGGGTATCAAGGTGAAAATCGGGATCACGGATGCGTGGCTCATGAACGACGCAAAGGCGCTAAGCATCATCGCACAAGGCGTGAAACTGCCGGACCAGGCCAAATTTCACTTTCCGGCGCTTACGAAAAGTTATGCAGCGCTACGAAAGATTTACAACCGATCAATAATACATAATCGCGTGGTAACTTCACGGGTTTAATTTGGGGGTCGGCGCACCCATGAACAGGTCTCTGGCTGTCTTTGGCGAGCTTGTCGCTGTTGCAGACGCTAGAAGAGCCTATCAAAGGGGCATGGCAGCTCGCGGTGCTGTGCGCCTCACTCTGAATGATTATGGGCAAATCTTATCCACCGTTGAGATGGCTAAGGACATCACACCGAACGAAACAGTTTGATGTTCTCAAGGCGAAATTACATGAAAAAGAAGATTCGAGAAGCAGGACACGAACTTAGAACGAGCATTCAAAAGCGAATGGTAAACAGTTCAAAAGCAACAATAGCAAAGGCCCAGAACGATCCGAGGAAGAGCGGTAAGGGTTTATCGCAAGTGCTTAATGTGCGACAGACCAAGGCATATGGCGTGAGAATGCCTCGGTAACAGTTTATAGTAAACTTTGGTCATGGTGTGCGCTTTACTTGATGATGACGGCATTATGAGGGATTGCATACCCAAAGTGATTTATATTTGATTGGGTCTTATCTCAAAAACGATAAGGCTTCAGTCATACCTAGTGCTACTTGTATTTTCCTACTTAATGTGACAACTACATGTCGAGCTCGTCATCGTCGTACACTGTCATGCCTGGTCTATCTCACTTCATGGTACAGTGCGTATTAAATACAAGTAGCTGCAACATCACTCTTTAATACTCTTCCTTGATGTGCGAGCGGTGTGTGCATACCGCCATATTCAAGCTCGTGAGAAAGTTGCTGTGCTTTTCCATTAGTAGCGCCTTTGTGATACCGTCCGCCGCCATCTCTTCCGTCGACTTGTACCCCAATGTGATGACTTCGTTCAGCGCCTTCTCGAGTAAGAAGTGACACTTGATATCAATTTGCTTCGTCCTCTCATGATACACCGGGTTCTTGGCCAGCGCTATGCATCCTTTATTGTCTTGAAAGATTGTCTTGGCCGCTTGATCAATTACTTCAGATTTGTGAGAAGAAGCCGCAGCCAGATTGACTCTTGAGTTGCGCTGTATGAACTCATATACTCTGCTTCGGTGCTTAAAGTAGCAACTGTCGGTTGACGCTTGTAATTCTGCAAAAGCGCGCCACTGTTCAGGAAGAAGACATAACCAGTTGTTGAGCGCTGGGTGTCTACATCACCTGCCCGATTTTCGTCGGTAAATCCAATACGCTCTCCCTTGCTGTTGCCGCGAAACTTGAAACTGAGGTCTTGAGATGTCTTGAGATACTTGAGAATCATCTTGACCCGCAGCCAGCCAGTGTGCTTTTACGTACCGCTCACAAAACTTGGCGGCTTCACCAACTGCATGCGCGATGTCCGGTCGTGTTCGTTTTGCAATATACATTAAAGCAATAATCCGTTCACGATAAGGGAACTTCAGTACAAACACTTCACCGGCGGGTATCTTGATCAGATTTGAGTTGCTGTCCGCAGGTGTGGGAACATCCTTACAGTTCTTGACACCAAACTTGTCCCAAGTTTACTGATGTACGCTTGCTGGTTCATCATGATCTCCCTCTCGTTCCGGTTGCGATGGATCTCGATGCTGAGACAGTACTTAAGCTCATCAGCTCATTGATGCTAAAATCTCTCTTCAGTCCAATCTTGATGTCTTCAATATGCTCCTTTGTCTTGCAATGCATCATTCCCCACTGTCACCCATCCTCAACTTACATCGCCAAGCGTGAAAATCCACCTCCCATAACTCATAGAGGATCGATGCATACATTGCATAGTCTTCAATGAATCTCCCGTAGTAATTCGACTTTTAAGAAACGATTGCATGGCTTTGAGTGTCGTTGGCAACGGTAAGTTGACCAGGGACTGGAGGTCCTTTGGTGGGTCCTCTAGTCCTTGGTCCGAGACCCGGTGCCCAAGGTATCCTAACTTCAACCACTCCATGAGCTCTTGACCGCGCTGATCGATAGATTCCAATAGTCACACACATCTAATAGTCGCTCTACCTTTGCGCACAACATATCCCACGAGTCGGCCGGTATCAGAATGTTATCTATGCATGACCGCCGACCCAGTACCGAGGGACCCAACTTTACATCAGGCTTCCCCATCGTAAGCAAGTCTTCGGTCTCCTCTGTACCAGCTCTTTGAGAGATACGTAAGAACCCATACAGATCATTATCCAAGAGTCTCTGATATATCTGAGGCGCATTCTTGAGTCCAAATGGCATCTGTAGCCATTCGAACAACCCCAATGGGGTGACAAAAGCCGAGATCCTTATCGCCCTTTCGGTCATGCCGACGACCCAAATCCACTTGCCATATCCAGGGAGCAGTGCCACAATGCTCCGTTCAGGCCCTCCAACAATTCGTTGATCAGAGGCATAGGGTAGACCATAAGCTTGGGTCAAGACGTTCACCAACCAATAATAATCAATGCACAGCCTGATATCCACCCCCTTTTTACTCACAATAATGACGATTAAGCTGGCCCATGGCGAGGTAGAGGGCTGTATGATCTTCGCAGATAATAATCCCTTGATCAGATCGGCCAACAATTTTTTGAACTGGGGGGCCACCTTCCGTATACGTTGTGCAATCGACCTGGCATTATTCACATTAATGTCACAGATAGCTCCTCGAGCAGCCGGTGGTAAGGCGTTACCCTTTTCCATGGGTAGATGTCGTTTTCTCCACATAATTTGTCTCAGTCGGTCCACATCCTCTGGGGTGTTTCCGCCAGAGTCGGGAATTTTGTATACCTTCCAACTTGATACTCGTGGGTGAAAGGTCTACCTCCGGTATGATAGCCCACCCTTGGCTTACATCCTCGGCCCAAAGCTCCCCACTTTCGAACGTGCACACTTGATCATCCGCTTGCGACAATTCTAACAGCGGCCCCTCACTTTCTCCTACCTGGTCTACCTGGTCGACCTGATCAACCTGATCGAACTTCGGCTAGAATGCCACAGTCATTACTGGAACAAGTACCCTTGGTCGCTGAAGTATTCTAGATGGAGTACTGTACTGTGGTACCTCCACCAATGGTCCTTTATCCTTCCCCGTCAGGTCTTCCTGATAGTCGACCTGGTCAGTGGTGGATTCATAGACCAGTTTTAGCCACTCGGCATATCTTCGAGACCCCACCGACACAAAACACTGCTCTCTTAATAATTGGTCCTTCGTCAGCCACACACCCACCCATCTTGGTGTCTTCGTGCAATATCAGGGGTTGGGCACTGACAATAGTTACCTTCAGGAGCTACCGACTCCCTACCCTTTGGTTCACAGTTGTGATCCATCGTTCTCCCCCTTGTGACTCATAATTTCATTTGTTGCAAGGTCGAACTTTTTAGAGGCACTTCCCCGTACCTTCCGGCTGGTAACTCCACGTATCGACCAAACTTCACATCTGATACCAGGTTATCGTAAAAGGTCCTTCGTCCTGCTAACTGTATTCAAACCTACATAGTGTCTCATCCGCCAGGTCTAGTCGAATACCGGCTGGGACCATGAAGTCCATGCCTAAAATTGCATCCTGACCTACAATCTGTCCCACCCACACCTTAAAGATGTATACCAAGTTCCCGTTCAGAGTGACCTTGATGCGGGTACGTCCTTACGTGGTATACATGGATTTCCCGATGCCAATACAATTCTTGGCGCTCACTTTCATCAATCTGGCAGCCTACCTTACGAGCAAAGGCGATATCCAAAGTAGATACCTCGGTGCCAGTATCGAACAAGTTAGCTCGATCGTTGTTAATCTTCCCAGAGGCCTTGGCCTGTCCAAACCATTTCGTAGAAGCATGGTATTTCCAATACCCCCTCGACTCGCCCGGCAGTAGGTCCAACTCCATCACTGCACTTTCTCGAACAAAACCGTTAGATGCACCGAAAGAAGCAACATGGGTAATTTCAAACTTCGATATATTTCCCATCGAGTCCTGAATGTCCCTTCCTCCCTTGGGCTGCTTTTCCACATATTCAAAAATGCAACAATTAGAACGCTCGGCTTGTACCAGATGCAGACCTGACGAGCGTCCTAATTTAGCATCTGCTCGACCTTCTCCGGCAACATCCCAGCGTGCTTGGTCGGGTTGTACCACTGACGGATCAAGTTATAAAATTCTTCCATCGGGCACTTCCCAACCTCGTGGGTTTCTCCACAGCCTCGACATACGAACAGGCAACGATCTGATGGATGGCTCTTCTTCCCACAGCGATCTCAGGTCAGCCTCTTCCAACAACCCAAGTCTCCATGCTTCCTGGACCCACAATGGACACACCTCGCACTTGGGGTTGCCGACGCCGTGCGGGGTCCAAGATCCTTGGTTGAGGGTTGGGTCTGGTCGACCTCTCTAATGGGGTCGGTCCCTCGGGGTCCTAGCAAAGCAAGCCTGGCTTGCATTCTCGTTCCGTTTTGATTGTTCAGATCTCTTAAGGGCTGAGCCGTGCTTACTTTTACCTCCTAGAGGTTCAACAAAAAGCAGTTCTTCCCCAGCTGGGTGCCCCGCGCCTACTGGGATGCGCCGTTATTCCGCGGCAAACCAGAGGGCTTAGCCATGGGGCGTCGGCCCTTCGAGGCCAAATATGCCTTTCTTGCAGGGCATTTTGCCATCAAATGGCGTGTGCTCTTGCAGATACAACACCTGCATACACTTTGCTGCTATGCACCATGAAGCTCAGTTTCTTCATGCTCACTTGACTACAGTCGATGGGTACAGACCCATCAGACGAGTAGCTCAAAGTGGCGGACCCACCGCCCTTAAAGTTGGTCTCTGCATGCTATGAAACTTCAACAACTTCCTCAAAGGAGAAAGGGTTTATCAAAAAGACTTCCGTTCTAGAAACGCCAGCTTGGAGGCTCTCCATAAAAACTGTGACGGTCACTGCCTCAGGCAGAGGATCAATTGTCATGGCGGCAGTAAGAATTCTCAACTCTTGCACATATACCGCAAGCTCACGCTTACCTTGGCGACGCGCTATAAGTTGCGACTAAGCTCGGTGCACTTGAGTTTGGCGGGTCATCTGAACTTTCAGATTGGCCCCATGTTGGGAATCCATCTTGTAGTGATGTACCGCATGTGAATGCCCATTGCTTGGGTTATCCACCCAACTCACCCGTGGCAAAGCCAACACGGTACGGTTCATAGGCGATGTCAGCTATAAACATAGACAATGTCGGCTATAAACATAGCCGACTCGACCTGTCGGAACCACATCATAAGACTATCACCTTTTTTTGCCGTCAAACCTGTCGACTTCTAACTAAATTGGCTTTGGTCTGTGTACCACTTCTTGCGCCATAGTCGCCATAAACGAATGCGCAGAAGAAGGCATCTGTGCCTTTACTTACGGGACTAGAGCGTTGTGAATACTCTTCAAGCACACGTATACGCTTGCTAACCTCTTTTGCGCCTTGGACGATGTGGTATTCCGCCAATAATACGGAGCAGCTTCTGCAGACCTTCTTGTTGCCTGTGACAGGCCAACCGTGGACATCTCTTCGATATCCATTCTCACGGAGAAGTAGTCCCAGACCCAGGTGCAAGATTGACTACAAGTACTACCAGGCATAGCCGAGCTACTGTAGCAAAGCTACTTATGCACTAAGTGCAAAGGAAGACAAGCTCAAAGAGCTTATATGTCTTAGGGTTTTTAACCCTTCCTAGGCTAGCTTACAAGCTTGTGCCTTTTGGTTAATAATAGTGACGTTAATCTTCTATAAGTACTAGAGTATTTGGATATCAGTTCTGCTAGCTTTCCACAAAGCACCTAACAAATTCATGTGAAAGGCTCGTAGTGTATGACACCTTGCTAAATTTTACATGACACAGGCAAGCAGTTGCAACGAAGCTGAGACGTTTACATCGAAAACCAACAAGGAAAGAAGCTTAGTCGCATGATGGCGAATATTTCTGCGCTTTCGTGCAAGAAACGTTTCACCCGCTAATGAATAAAGGAGATTCTTGTCAAGGCCTTGAAACACTATGTGCTTATCGTACCTGACACGAGTTTGGATTGAATCATTATCGACCTCAAAACTCGCTTTCAATAATTTTGACGCTTCTTTACCATGTCCGCTGTCGTTACTACGGTCCAAGAGTGTCCGTCCAACGTGACTGATGGATGCTTTATTGCCTGCCATAAACAGCATGTAGTTCAGTACGTGCGCTGGAAACGCTATTCTCACCATCACGTCGACGTTTGATGTGATCCATTCAAGTGACGCAGACTGGCTGATGTTCTGTAGCTCGGAAAAGTGCATCGAACTAATTGACGAGCTCCTGGGGTTACTCAACTGCATCATCACTTACCACAGGACGCCGCGCAACCTTTACGACTTGTGCTACGCCATGAGCAGGGACAGGATTATACTCATGGCCATGGACATGTTTACGATTTGGGCAGCTTTGGTGCCTCATCTGCCGTGCTTGCAGCGGAATAAGTAATTGTTGCCGCCATTGGGGCCGTCTTCGTGGCTTGAGTGATCATGACCGTCACTTCTTTTTTTCACATCATACTGAGGACTGCGCCATGCCAGAAAAAAGAGGTGCTGATAGTTGTGAATTGCACATCTGTTAGGAAAATGTAGTAAGCTTTAGCAGGTAACTATATACATACGAGGAACAACTCTAACGATATCATGTAGCTTTCGCATTGCGGGTGGTAATCTAATCGATTTAATGCACCTGGATAGGTAACTCTATCTCTCAATGGCGCGCTTTGTCAACGGCAGTAAAAACATTTCCAAGCCTAGACCAACACAGTAGACAAGCGACGTGATGATGAAGCATATGCGGTAACCGTATGCATCAATGAGAAAGCCTCCAAGCACTGCACTGCCAGACCAGGAGAACACTGACAAGCCTTCCAGCGCGTTCCAGCGTGCACGAATATTCTTGGGTACGTAGTCCATCAAGATGGATCGACGTAAAGGTTGTGAGCAGCGCATTAATCCGCCACGCATCAAAAACAGTACGATCTGTAGAGCCATCGGCTGTGCGTACGCCATGGAGAACAGACACGCCACTGAAAGTGCTCGCGTGAATGCAATAATTGGCATGCGACCACAGGACTTTGACAACCGCTGTGAAAGGAATGACAGGATCATGACAATGAATGGCTGACTCACAAAGAGCACGCACACGTGGATCGGTGTGAGTCCATATTCCTCCTTGAAAAAGAGCGGGAAAAAATTGATCGTCATGCCAGCGCCATTGCTAACGATAAAATCCGACAAGAACAAAAGGTACGGCACGTGCTTGGTGCTGAAGCAGAGACACTTGGCATCGAGATGGGTCATATAGCCTTCTTCGTCATCGTCTACGTCCTGTAAGCGCTGCTGACGCTCTAAGTCCAACTCTTCCGCCGTTTTACCCTTCAACAGCAATAATGCCGTATTCTCCGTGACTGTCGGCGGAGACGTGACATCTACAATGATATCGTCTTCCTCTGAGTAGTCGTACACCATGTCAATCTCATTGCAGTTGCCAACGAGCTTTGGTGTGCGTAGTGGCGATGAAATGACCATCTTCTCCAGCAACTCTTCGTTTTCTTTATCTTCCTTAGACTTGTCTAGCATGTAGTCTTTGGCTCTGTCATCATTGAACTGGAACAATATTAAGGAGCCGATAATGGCCAACACACAGCCAAACTCAAGCACAGGCTTAAGCTCCGGTAGTTGCCATTTATCTCCATAAAATTTAAAGAGAAAAATGCTTAATACTGGACCAAGCATTTGTGCCAAATTGCTGATATTGTACTTGATCATGAATGGAAAGCTGCGCTTTCCAGGAGGGATGGAGTCTGCGAAGAGAGCTTCCATGGCGGGACTTTGAAAGGCCGCAAAAAGTCCCCAGAGTCCAAAAGCTACGTAAAGGCCGTTGATCGACGTCGTCTTTACTGAGACAAAGGTAATGATTGCGCCAACAATACCGATAGCTCCAGAAAGCTTCAGTATGGTATCTCGACGAATGCGATCGGCAAACAAACCGGCTGGAAGCGAGAATAGAAGCTGTGAGATGCCCTGAATGCCCTTAACAATACCTACAGGTTTATTAGACGACGTAAGCACAAATACATAACCAGCTACAACCTGTTGAAAGAGAATGCTACAAACAGTACGCAAAAAGGTAAAAGTCAGCGGACAAGAAACATAATATAATACCTTAATATGGCTACATGAACACAATAAAAATGGACACATTTCATGCATAACGTGTCATATAGAATTAATTACAGACCTTCGAGCAGACCAAAAGAAGAGGGTAAACACGTAAGCAGTCCACACATTGTGAGTAATTTTATCTCTACCAAGAAAACCCATTTGTTTACAAAAGAGTGACTGATGGCTCCTACACTGAATTAAGGTCTACTACACTAACTAAAAAGCTGCACACTTTGTAAAATTAGTCTTGTGACATATATACTCCATCATGCTCACGTGAATCAAATGAAGGATTCTCTACCGCATTGTAGATAGATTCATTATATGGTTTATACGTAGTTGTTTTGGCAAAGTATTTGAATTTCAAGCTTAGATGATCCCATATTTTACAGGTTTAGAATACAATGAAATGACAAGAGAGTGATGGTTCTTTATTAGCTGCTAGAATACGTTACATGAGGGTGAGGAATCGAGTCAGTCAGTCAGTCAGTCCGTCAGTATTTACGTATGAGTCACGTTTTGTTCACAATTGTGGGTAGACGGATTTAGAACCGATGATCCCGCATGTGCCGAAACTGGCAGTGCCAGCGCCTCGCTTTAGGCGCATAAATCCAGCTTCGCCCCATTGAGTGCCCCACGAGTTTTTAATCTTGAAGTAGGATGACGAGCCGCTGTTTCCATAGCCCACAGCCAACACAGCATGGTCAAGTTCATTCGTCTTACAGGACGACACAATGCCACCCTTGTACTGCTTCCAGGTAGGATTACCTGCTGCAACGCCAACGGCCACAGGGCGACCACTGAGAGCTTGAAGAAGACCATTCTCACTCTTAGGAACTGTCACGACATTGCGGATAGTCACACCTTTTGGAGTGCAAGATGACGTCTGGCATGTATCACGGTCGCCCGTGTCTCCTGATACATACGGGTAGGCTTTCTCTGTACAGACACCACCAGCACGCTGAATGAAGCTCAAAGCGTCGCCAGGGAACCCGCCCTGACAAGCATATGATGCTTTGTCACAGTCCACCACGTGCTGTTCAGAAAGAGATGTCAGGGGCTGTCCAGCGAGGCAAACAGCACTCTCGAGAGAAGCCACGGCTGCGAACGCCCAGCAAGAGCCGCACTGGCCTTGGTTCTTGACACCAACAACGCATCCCGACGTAGTCCAGTCCTTTTCAATGCTGAGTAGGGTTGTCGCGTTCGAAAACACTTCGACAGTGGATGGCGTGCCTGCGAGAAGACCAGAGTCACGTTGATATGATTCACCGACAAACTTGGTGAATTCACCCTCCGTCATCAGCGTAAACGGCGTATCGATCGAGAAAACCGCCTCTGGGTTGGTTGCTTCGGCCTCTTCAATCAGTAGCTTTGCCAGAAAGAATCGACGCAGCTCCTCGTCTTCTGCTGCATGGACATCCCTCAAGGTGGGGGCAGGAACAAAACCATGCTTTGTGGCGTACTGGCCAGCATCGCTCTGCTTCCACATAGTCAATCCAGACTTAAGGCTTGATTTTTCCTGGAGGAACTGAGCCATACGATTCGTCGGAATAACAGGGACAGCAGCGTCCGTGTTGGCCACAAACGCACCAAGCGCGAGGAGAAGTGAAATTTTCATCAGGGCGTGATGCGAGGAAGAAGGCGTGCTGCTGGAAGAAAGCAAATGCGCGAATGCCTTGATGTTTGGATCGCGACTTTTGCACCTTCTGAGCAACTGATTGCTTTAAGAGGAAGCCCTCTGAGTAAATTGCAACGACTTCACGGTGGACAATGTTACTTTTAGTGGTAACTGCCTCAGCTGCGTCGACAAAACAACTGGAAGCTATGGTTGCCGCTCGGTTATCAGACTTTGACATCCGTTTAACGTCAAATGCTACGGTGTTGTGGCTGCTAACCAATAGAGCTGGGCAGAAGACAGTGCTACTGAATACGACTAGCTGTCATCATCAGCCACAAAGAACGGGTTCACTTGGTTTGGTCGACAAAACAAATTTCGTGAAAAATGTTACCACTACCCACCCAACCAATCTGTTTGACGTTTCAATACCGTCTTGCCGACCGCTCTGCTTGAATTCGTCCTTAGTACCATATCTCGATAGAAAAGAGTAGTGAAGCGGGCAGTGCCCGCAATAACGCAAACATTAGACCACCGATCCTTGTCAAGTATCAGAGGATTGCGTTTTGCGCTTAGCGTTCCTCGCGCAAATTTCTGACAAGATAAAGACAAGAATACGCTAGCACATATCCAGGTCTTCCATGCTTGACCAACAGCACCACGGCAATTTGCAGGGATCGCTAGGTAAACGATAGACGAAGGTGGTCAGGAAGTATGACAATCTCTTTGAGCTTTTATTGCTGGCTGGTGAGCAAAAAAATGCTCTGAAATGTTACCGCAGGACAAACCTTGTTGTCATCATCGCAAAAATCATGCACTCTGGGCATGCTTCTCTGCTGTTACAAGCAGGTAACCAGATTCTGCTATACGCATCGCCAAGGATCAGTAAAAGTGAAGCAGATAAGACCGGGCACCGTTGCCGCAAAAACACACCGTGCACTGGTGGACAAGCTTCACATACTCCAAGCACTTCCTTTGACTAGTAAGCGCAATTGCAGCAATACCGAGCTTGGTCTTGAGAAATGACATTAGTACAAAGCCGACTTCCCAAAGCCAAACAAACCGTTTGATGCTTATTCCCTCACTTTATCGTTCACAATGGTTTTTGCCTTGCACGTAAGTTTTGAATTTGCTGTATGTGACCATGCTTCTGATAGATACAAGAATCTTGTTAGTATTGAAATCTTACAGCGAAAACAACATCTTACTGTCGCCTGCCCCGATTGCAATTAAAGTATTCAACTTTTTCGCGTTGAAGCCTTCATCCAAACAAGTACCTGTAAGTTAATTTCTGTCTCTTTCGGGGGCTGAAGAGTCATGAGCGAATCCATACAGCTGCTAATTCACGTCATGCAGTCCTGAAGCTACTCCTACAGATCGTTGGTCATATACTCCTAGCCATTTCCATCGCTTTAGCATGCTAATCCAGCGCGTATGGCTCCGAGTTGTTTCAAAAGCATTTGGTAATGCGCTGTATCGTCAATATGCCAAAGCAATTTAGCAGCACAGCTCGCTGACGGGCACGCTTTCTGCAAAAAACGATATTCGACCCTGGTGGGCACAATTGTTGATATACGCAATACTGCACGCACCAAATAGCTTCGGGTCATGACTAGAGATACCTGATCAAAATGACCGACCACGTTATGGATCATTTTCCATTAATTACACGCACCCTTCTCAATAAACTCTTCGTACTTGGAACTCGATATAACGAAAGATGTGGATTCTCTGAAACAAAAAAACGCCGCGCAACAATCGCGAGCACCTTTTGCTTGCAAGCTTTGATGTCAAGTAGTCAAAGTCATTAGCAACACGGTCCGCATTCTTCGCAAAATAAACCCGATGTGCTACGCATGTCAAGAGCCGTTCTTGCGGTTTATTCACTGGCCCTTATTCTCATGTATGCAACGTAGGGCATGAAAGCCACAAAACTGAAGTTAAGATCCACACGCAACCACCAGACACACAGCACTTGATAACTGCAACACAAATCAAATATCAAAGCTCATGCACACAGACTCGGTAGTCTTACCTCTTGCCTTGCTGCAGCAGCCGCCACTACCCACACTCTCTTTGCTCGTTTTCCACTCCCTGTTTCTTCAGTGGACTGCTGATCGTTATCATAGCATCAAGTGCATCGCGCAGCAAACGATTCCTCTTTGTCTTTGTACGCACAGCTCAATCATAGTAACCACACTTTGTTTTCTTGCTTGACGCCTTGTTGGCGGAGCGCACTGTTTCAAGCGCTTCCTTTTCCAAAAGCAAAATCAATTACAATGCATTACCATGCAATTCAAAAAGCAAAAAAACATAAGCCAAATTAGAAAGTCTAGGGTGAGCACAATTCATTCACGTGTCGTGGTGTTGCAACGTATCCTGTCTTGACTACCCCACTCGTCTCACGATGCCTGTAGCCCCATCAAAGCAAAAGTAGTTGCAAATGGGCTCGTCCTTTTGCGAAACGGCTCTGACTACCTCCTGACCCATGACACCTGCCAAGATAGCGCAGACCGGCACAAGTTCAGTGTCCGCGATGCACACTAGTGCCCTACAAAAAGCAATAGATACAAAAAGGTAAACATAACCAATAAAGCTGCTACTCTCACAAGCTCCGCAAACAACCAATTGCACGCACTGCAGTTCATCCGGCAAGAGGTAGTCTTCGTCAAGTCCGTTGATTACAAACTGCTCTTTTGCGTATTGGATAAAATACAACTGGTCGTTGCTAGTGAGAGCCGTCCCGCCCTTCTGTCGTTTGAACCCTTGCAACACTGCACCAGATATAGATGTCATCATTCGTCTACTATTACCATCTCATCACCACTATTACCAAACGTACGTTGATTCTTCACAAACACTTGTGGTAGCTGAGGTGCGCGCTTACGAGAACTTTGCAGTGAGCTCCACTGAACTTTTTGAGCCTCCTCCAGAGTCGGGAACTTGATCATCTGCGGCTCGTTCAGCGCCGAGTCAGCTCCCACAGTATCTCGACGGAACGTGTGCTCGCCTAAATCGGCGAACACGATACCATGAAGTCCGAAACTCCTGGCAGCATAGAGCACAGTGCCAAAAGAACGACACAGGACGTCCAGTCTTATCTCTGTATCTAGATCAGCCCCCACCAGACATACCACCGTAAATTGCTTATAGAAGTCGTCCGGAAGGTTGGTAAATGGTTTCGTCTCACTTGTAACCTGTACTAGTGGATTAAGCTCCTGCACGCGCGGTAGACATGCCTCAGCGCGCTATTTGAAATCAAATAGAGCTAAATCGTTAGAAATAGCGTTTTAGAAATATGATAAATAGAAATGCCGCCATACATTTTTACCCAAATCCTCTTTTGAGAGGAATAACTGTGAATCCACCGCTGTTTGTGTCACTGGCTCCGTGTCGTGGAGCGTGACACCCATACCAGCAAGTACCAGGTTCTTTACAAGTTCGGAGCCAAGCGTTGAAAGACCACTGACCAATACACGAGCATTTTGCAGACGTTTCTGAGCTTCTACACCCCACAGACGCATTTGTCGGTCGTATACGGCCGCTTCGGCCGCGCTAAATATTGCGTCGTCCATGTTGTCAAAATTTTGATGCGCGGTGCAGATACTTATTTGTTACCCTCAAGTTGCAACTGTTTGTATCTTTATTTTACATTATAAAATGGCGTTAAGCACCATTCAGATTTGAAATGCTACCTTTTAAATACGTTTCTACTGTTTTGAAAAGGTTCCGCCCAATACGTTTATTTTATCGCGGAGCAATGCATTCGTTTACCAATGGTTTGATTCCAGCTCGGCATCCAACATGATTTTGCACTGATACTTAATACTGAAATACAGATAAAGTGCGAGCAATATGAAATATAAACTTGTATTGATGCAAAACGTTACGTCAGCTTCTCAGACCGTCTAGAATTAAGTATTGGTGCACATCATATCAACTTTTGACCCAAAAAGTGGCAATTCGATCCAGATCCGCCAAACTTCCTGGTCGGGATTAGAATTATGTCGTTGAGTGGAGTAAACGAGCTTTATGAATTGTTGAAGATGTGACACATATGGTCAGGAGGAATAGTTTAGGCGCTGCGCTGTACAACTTGCTCCAAATGAATCACAGTAGGTGGCTGCCAGTACTTTTTGTGGAAGCTTCAAAATCATTTTTCAGGGACTTCACTGTCCACTCAATGAAATTGCTGTTATAATTCGCCACACAAACGCAAAATCACGGTTTCCTACTGTTTTTCCGACACTCGTGAGGCCAAGCGAAACGTTATTTGCACAAAGCAGTAACAATACCACCAAGATGCATTTGATGTATATAAGAAGAATAGAGAAGTCGATACAGCACTGTTGTAGCTAATGCACCAATAAACTACGGTAGAAAATCTAATAATATAATCAAATCCTCACCTCCAGGAACTCAGAAGTGCAAGCTTTTGGGTTGTCATTCACCTGTCGATACCTATCACGTGTATTTTTTATGGTTTTATGCTACAGTGTTGCATTCCTAGCGAGTAGTATCGAATTGCTTACGTGATGACATATACTACTAACTGTTCACATCTCTAATGTAGCAGCAACAAATTTGATTTGCAACGCAATCACGTTCTTTCCATGGCATCCCATACAATACTATGTACCTCATGCGCTTTCTTTCAGAATAGTCGCGAAAGCTTTTCACAAACTGTAATTTCTTGCGACAAGTAACAGAAAAGACCCTTGATGCTACTACTACATGTTATAAACAAATGATTACAGACAGTATATGCTGGTGTGATTGATTCGCAGCAGTGCAGAATAACAATAATTTGTTCTTGCTTTGTCACTACCACTGAGTCCAAGATAGCTACCCTGGCACTGTTGATAAGAAGTCGCTTCTATCCTCATATTGACGTGTATTTCTACATTGACGTATGAGCATCTTGTTTTTATATCACAAACTTTCGACACGCTGCGGTTTGGAAGAAGTATTCCAACAATATCCGGATGCATCCTACAAAAAGGAACACCACCTGGATGCATCTTTTAAATCTACGGCTTGGTCAAAACTGTTGCCACTGACGGAAGCCTTATATGCAGTGTCGTAGAGTTGTTGTTACAGAAGAATTACAAGAACGTACAAGTTGTCAGCACAATCATTGTGGGAAAAACTGTTTGCTCATTAGGAGGTCAACTAGGAAGTATTTGAACTTGCTTGAGACGGTGTGAAGCATCGGCACTCTATCAATCGTTTCTGGCATTTTAATGATCAATGCTGTCTCGCGTCGCTTGACTCAGTCATAATCATCCATTTGAACTTCCATGTATCTTCGGAGAAAAAACTGTCGCAACGACGACGTCGTTATAATGGTTCCCGTGTACCCAAAAAAATTTGCATACGTGGCTATAGACATGTTCTGTGCAAACAGCCATGCCAAATGATACTTTATATACGAACCTGCGGTCCATATTGTATCGAACCCGCTTTAGACACCAGTCTATAACGCTTCACCCAAAAAATACGAAGGCTCGATTAGTACCACTGATACTGAGGTTTATATATGGTCCTATCCCTTCTCGCCGCAAATCCATGTATACATGAATTGAAGGTGCTTGCTTCTTGATACTGCTCTTCACATTCTCGTACACAGGCCGTACAGGGCTGTCACGCTTTTGTGCTATTGCTTTAGCCACATCAGTCTCACAAGATCCATCACGCTCCACATTCTGCAATTTGCCATCAACGACAACAGCTTCACCCCCTCCTCCACCTTGCAGGTCTTCGCATAATGAGATTTGGTTGTTTTGCCATTACTTTAGTAAGTCTTGTCACGCTTTGGCTCGGACCAAGTGCGGCTGACGTCGTCACTTTTATTTGGCGTGTTACACCTCTCACGCACGAATACGACGGCGTACGTATCCAGTCATTTGGGATTAACAACAAGCCTGCTGACCAAGCCGTCATCGACGTGGTGCTCGGTCAAGAAGTTGAAGTTCGTGTCACCAACGAGCTGGATGAGCCAACCTGCTTGCACTGGCACGGTTTGAAGCAACTTGGCACTCAAGAAATGGACGGTGTGTCCGAAATCACCCAGTGTCATATTAACCCAAACTGCACAGCAGTATATCGCTTTTTACCCGACAAGGCGGGCACGTTCTGGTGGCACAGTCATCATATGGCGCAGTATGCATATGGCCTGCGTGGCCCACTAGTTGTCCACTCCCCCCAAAGATGAACGACAGGAGTGGGAAAAGGAGATTAATGGCGAGCTGATCATTCAACTGGCAGACCTTTACCATCGATTGCCGCTGCCTACGCGTATGTGGGATAACATCCTCATCAACAATCGTGGGCGTTACAATTGCGCAGCTGCAGCTCACCACAACTTCACCGACTGCACCGCAGTCCAACCACTCTCAAAATTCTGCTTTCAAACTGGAAACAAGTACTTGTTACGGCTTATCAATATGGCTGCGCTGTCTCCGATTGTATTCAGTATCGACGGTCATGCATTTCGGGTCGTTGCAGCTGATGGTGACCACCTTCAGCCTTCAAATCTCATCAACTCAATTCGTCTTAACGCCGGCCAGCGCTACGATATCATAGTTGAAGCTTCATTAAACTCTGGGTCATTCTGGATGCGAGCTAATGGACTTCATGGACTTCCGTGGACGAGAGGAACTGCTGAGACCGCTGGCGAGGGATATACTTACGAAGGCCTTGCGATCGTTACCTATGGCTTTGAGAACGAAAACGAGCCGACGTCGACAAAGGCGATAAACCCTGTGACTGTAGAAGAGTTCGACTTCATGCCTCTTATACCCGTGGCGCTTCCTGAGTCACCTTCAGATCGCGCTGTCCTCCAGTTCAAGATGCAGGATGGTCTCGGCCACTTTTCCATTGACGGTAATATGTTCCTGCACTTCGTTATTCCGGAGGAACCTCCGCTTTTTACGATTGCCGGTGGCCAGAAGACTGAGCAGCTGGCGGCCAACGCCAATGCGCGCAAGATCAATTTCGGCGAGCACGTCGAGGTGGTACTGGTCAATGTGAAGGACGAGCAGCACCCGTTTCACATGCACTCACACTCTCCGTGGGTTGTCGGCAGTGGCGTCGCATCAATCGACCAGATCCAAAACAATCAGCTGCCTCCGCTTAAGTTATTAAACCCGATGACGCGCGACGTCTATACCGTTCCGGCGTGTACCTCTGACGGCAATAAGGGCTGCTTAGACGCTGGATACGTTGTGCTACGCTTCACTGCTGACAATCCAGGTGTGTGGGTCTTACACTGTCACATCGACTGGCATCTGGAGGCAGGTTTGAGTATGATGCTAGTAGAAGGTGAAGAAGAGCTGCAGCAGAAAGGCGTCAGTTACTACTCTAACAGCATGCTCAGTGTTTGTGGTAGCAACAGTAGATTCTCTCATGACGGTAAGATAAAACACTCGATGTAATAGAACTACAACTTGTAGAGCCAACACGTATCATTTTGGGTAGTACTACGACTTGGCCTTTTCGATCGTTAACATCTAGTCCACAAATTGGTCGATACGAAGTTGTCGACTGGCAGTAATATTGGTGTCGGTTCGCGGACTTGCGCTCAATTTGTGATGTGCATGATATGATCCAGGATCAGATCAGTAACCACTCCTCACTCAACTACGCGAAAACCCACCGTGATTTAGTAGTCTAGGATCCAAGCAGCCATCACTCATCTTGTGTTTTTTCCAGCTCTGGCTCATCCTGAATCTTCGCTCGTGGCGATTATCAAGTCTAGTCTACAAGCAGTGAAGCTGGCTACCAATTTAATGTCATTGAAGGTAGAGCTGCAAATTGGTATTTTGTAAAGTAGACGTAGTAGCTGAGACTGGTCGACAACCATGCATCTTTGCAAGTCATGTCAACAAGGATCAAAGGAATTACCTGCCGGACGAACGCGTTGATTCAACGATAACATTGAATAAGTTGGGATCTGAATGACAGAATTTGATGCGCTGAGAAGGAGGTCATCAGTCTGAAACTCTAAAACTCGGTAACGATTGAAATGAAAACCCGATACTTCATAGTTTTAGTTTAAGGACAGAAGAAAAGGCCCTTGACGACGCCTCCAAGCACATTCAAGTATATACGCAACTTTGACTCACACTAATCTACCCAACACTAGAGGGTGAAGTTTCCAGCTCCGCTACACACACTTAGAATCATATTGGGTGAGAAAGCTGCTAAGCCTTCGTCCTGAAGAACATCCTCTGCTTCTACAAATAGCATAGACAAACCAAGTACAAAATGCCAATCAATGTGGCAATGCATGAGCCACACTCCCGGATTATCGGCGTTTATACGGAAGACAACGAAACCCAAATCTGTACAAGCCCCCGAGGCATCTGTCCTGCACTCTGGCACTGTGAAAACGTCGTGCTGCATGGGTCCATTGAGTCGCAACGTCGTCAAGTTGCCCGCAATGATCGCATCGCGCGAGGCGTAGCCACTTCCGACAATCCATGGCGAGTGGACGTGGAGGTGGAACGGATGTTGGTCGGGCGTCTCATTCACGACCACAACTTCGACGTGGTCGTTGTGCTTCAATTTGATGGCGTTGGCTGTGGTCGGGAGGTCTTCGGTATCTGCGCCTTCTGCGATCGTGAAAAGCGGTGGACTGTCGGGGATCACCATCGAACTAAAGGCTCCTTCGTCAAGAGAGATGTATCCGAGAAACCGATCTGGATTCGGGGGTAGCACAGCAAGAGTGAACTCCACCAAAACGCGTTGGTCGGGTATTGTCGGAAGCACTACTGGAACCGCTGGAATGTAGTCAAACTCGCCAATTGCCACAACCGTCGCCCAGTTCGACGTGGTCGGGTCTGCAGTTGCTCCTCTTTGGTAATCAATGATAGCAAGTGCGTCAGGGTTGAACCCTTCCGGAACTTCTTCAGCTAAGCGAGCTGTCCATGGAAGGCCAAAAAGCGAGTGAACGCGCAGCCAGAAGGAACCTAGTGGCGCCATCTGGCTAACTTGCACTTGGTTTTGAGACGGAGCTGACTTGGCTTGGACAAGGATATCGTAGCGTTGGCCAACATTCATCGTCACTGTATTGATAAGCGTTGAAGGCTCGAGATATTCGGCATCAGCTGCTACGACCTGGAAGGTATGTCCGTCAATACTGACGTTGAACGCTGCCATGGCCGACGTGTTGATCAGTCGAAGCAGGTACTTTTTTCCAGGCACAAACTTAAACCGAGGAAGTGGACGTCCAGGGCCGCACTCCAAGCCGGTAGCTACCGCCACGGTGCAATTGTACCGTCCGACGTTGTTAATCAATACGGTATCCCAAATGGGGGCACCCGCAGGCAAATCGTGGTACCAGTCGGCGAGTAGGACCGTGTACTCTTTAAATACGTCCTTCTCCCAGCTCTGCTTCTTTTCGGGCGGACAGTGAACAATGAGTGCTCCACGGAGGCCATAGGCGTATTGTACCTCTTCGTGACCATGGTACCAGAAGGTGCCACACTTGTCAGGCGTAAACCGGTAGATGGCCGTCACATTGGGTTGGATCTGACATTGAGTAATACCAGAGACACCGTCCATTTCTTGCGTACCAAATTGTCTCAAACCATGCCAATGAATGCACGTCTGTTCCGTAAGTTTATTTGTCGCGTGAACCTCTACTTCGTCACCCAACGTGACCTCAATTGGATGTAGGTTGCACGGCTCATTGTTGATGCCATATCCAAGAGCACCCCTCACGCCATCAAACATGGTTGTGTTGAGCGTCGTAATGTTCCAGTCATACCGGACGACGACGGATGTGGCTTGGTCTGCAACGAGAAGCAGGAGACCCAAAATAGTAGAGTGAAGACGCATCGAAGTTGAAGGCAAATTTACAGCAACGAGTACTGAGGTGGCGTCCGAGGCTTATGTGGAGGAAGTAAATTCCAAAATGATAGTACAATCCTGTGCCGCTCCAAGGAGGAGCCACGCCAAAGAGACCAATGCCGTCACTTTCAGTGGCACTTCAACATCAACAAAGCTTTCGCTGTCCGCAAGAGACGCACGTCGTTGAAGCCAACCCAAGATTGAGTCATGCCCTGAAAAATTCGAATCCGTTGATACCGGATAACTGGGCTATCATTGCTACACACATATCTGTAGCACTAGAAGTGCAACACAACACACACCAGTCTTGACGATCAAATTCATCCAAAGCGATGGATGAAGGCTCCTAATGACTTGTGTTGACCATGAAGAGACTTCACAGATGAAAGCAGCTGCACGGCAGAAGCCTTAATACTAGATTCCCTTTCCAGATCACGAATCAAACTTTGCTGACGAACTTGAACTCGACTCTATGGAATCGTCAATGATACGATGTGATGCGAGCCGACCCATATAGTCCGTCTGGGCTTACCACGATCATTTCGAATCCCGAGATTCTCCAAGGATTTCCATTTGACTTTGAAAAAGACGATAAAAGATGCTCAGTATATAATTGCTACAATGGGCTGCGAAAGCTGTCATTGCCTTCTTACGGCACCAGATACGTCGCAACCAACACTGATTTCATCCAGACAATTGCCTTGAGTGGACAGCGACCGCCCCTCCTTTTCATATCCTAAAAGTACAAGGTGGAGGTGAAGGGGCTGCCAGTTGATTAGAATTTCATAGCTTCCGCTACAATTTTACAAAAGTGTCTACTTCCGCTATCTTCTTGCATCATTTAATTCTTGACTATCATCCGTGAGAGCTCAAACGTGTCATAGTTTTTTCACTTCATCCGTCCTGTCTTCTCCGACTTCTACGTCACATGAACTATTTTGCCATTTGCGGTGTCGTGCGTGTGACACCATTAATCGTTCTACCGACGAAGGAGCTCTACTTGAAGCAAGCACTGGCCGAAAGTTCAAATGGTAGTAGAAACGAGCTGGACTTTGACATGTTTGCACTTGATTTCGTATCAACAATTCAGTTCGATCTGTCGGGCATTGCACAGTCTAAAAATCTACTGAAGTGTACCACGTCTAGCCAGCGAAGCCGGTAGCTTCTGGTGAAAACATCTACAGCCTTCATCGGCTCTGGTGATCCACCCTCGAATGTCAACTTCAGCCTTACGAAAGAAGACTTTGTGCTGCAGTTTGCTGATATATGCGACGGAGATCCAATATGGGGTAGTGCTGGTGCTGCAAGTCTCTCTCGTAAAGTTTGCTGCCGCGGACGATCAAGTTGCTCTTAAATGTGCCAGCTGCGCCTTTTGTTCTGCAAAGATCATAGCCATAATTCGTTGTCTAGATGCCACTTGAAGTGACACTGTAGCATCCACATGCATGCCCGGGTTGATATAGGGTGGTACAGCGGACACCTTCATGGACATGGTGCCGGAAGTCTCATGGCGCCAGAGCATTGCTTTGCATTTTCAAATAACGTCACTTGACCCACATTCAATGACTATAAAGATGAAACGAGTGCTGCTTAATCTGCTCATTAACTCGTACTATTCAAAGAGATTTGGACGATTTTCACGTGGAATCGTCGTAACAGACAAATCTTGCCGTTATCATACCTTCGGCATTGGCGAGGTACGAAAGGAGCTCGTACAAAGAACAGGAAAAGCTTCTCGCGCTAGCAGCAATCCATCCGATGTCGACTTTAGACGGGTTGCTTGATGACCTGTCGACAAAGCAGGTTCTTCGTCTGCCTTGAACTCGAAACAAGTGAGTGGTTGAAATTTAGAGAAGGTTGTAACACCTATGAACAGCTGCAGTTTAGTTGTAGCGCTTAATGGTCCCATGTGATACACATGCAGGCGTGTCTGTATCTAAGATTGAAGGGTTGCCATGATGATGCGGGCACATGAGTGAGGAGCAAGCATGCGTTATACCAATATGATGGCCAGCTGGTGTCGGGAAGTGCGAAGGGTTTAACCACGTTCGCTCTCGCAGGCATTACATTGGCTCTTCTGAAGTGGATATCTCGGCCTTCCAATGACGGTATTAAAGCCTGCATGAGCTGACTGCATTATCTTTCTTTTCTCGTAGGAAGAAGAACATCTTGCTCCTTATTTCTCATGACTGACGTATCAAAAGTGGGTGCCTTCAAGGTCTGGCTTGTCACTGCATGCTCTTCGGGCTTTGGCAAAGAGATCGTCCTAGCGGCGCTTGCTCGTGGAGATCGTGTGATTGCCACTGCGCGTGACGCCAGCAAACTTCAAGACCTCGTAGTACAAGGAGCTCGCGCTTTGATGTTGGATGTGACAGCAAGTGATGCTGAGCTCCAGAAAGTGATTGCCGAAGCTCTGAGCTTCTATGGCACAATCGACATCCTCGTAAACTAAGCGGCTTTCTTGCTCGGAGGAGCGATCGAGGAATGCTCAGACGAAGAGGCGTACCAGCAATTTAACACCAATGCGTTTGGAGCCTTGCGTATGCTGCGTGCCGTGCTACCTCACATGCGTGCAAAGCGTTCGGGTATGGTGGCCAACATTGGATCAGCAAGTGGCTGGGCCGGTTAGGCATATGGCATCTATGGTTCCTCCAAGTTTGCTCTAGCTGGGCTTACGCTGGCCTTACGCGCCGAGTTGGAGCCGTTTGGCATTGAAGTGACGATTATCGAACCAGGTTCGTTCCGGACGGCCATCTTGAGCAAGGGCTTCTCGCCCATGAAGAACTCCATCCCGGACTATCTGCCGACCACGAAGCCTCTGCACGACCACGTCACCAGCGTCAACGCTCAGGAGACCAAAGAAAAGCAGCCTGGCGACCCGGCAAAGGGTGCTCAAATCATCATTGAAGTCCTTACCAAGACCGGTCGCTGCGCTGGTAAGACAATCCCCAGCCGCATGCTCTTGGGCAAAGACGCGGTAAGAGTCGGAGATGCCGTGCTACAATACAAGCAAACCGTCGTGAATTTGACGACTGGGCAGTGTTGGCATCCTCGACAGACGACGTTTCCAACAATGCCGACATGCAAGTAGGCATTGAAAAGCTTCTGTAGGCTTAATCAACGGCACTTGTCGACAAACGAAGCAACTTGGTGGATCAAATATGCTAACTTGGTGGATCAATATGCTTTTTTGTTATTGCTTGCTACTCCTTCCAATCATTTGTTTCTACTTTACGCCTGCTATTGACACTTTCATTGCTAATGAACTTAGGCACTTGTAGTTGTGCTGTTTACTCCTGCGACGGAGCATTTCGGCAGAACACCTTTGGAGATAAGATCCGCAATAATTTGTTGCGATGGAATCGCTCCGTTCAAGCAACCGCCGCAGTGATGCATTGCAATGACAGTGTTGTCACTTGTGGCAAGGATTGGCGACCCTGATGAACCTTCTTGCGTGTCCACGTAGTAACCTATATCGCCTTTACGACATTCAATGACCGTGAAAGACTCGACACGACCAGGTTGACCATTATACAACCATGCGATGCGTTTACCATAGCCTAGTGGATGCTGCGGGATATAGATGTTTTCCTCGAGCACAGCTTCTGAACCACGAAATTGCAGATACCCCCCTGTCTTTTCATACAAGCCACGAAAATCGACAACACTGTCGTTGGTAGCAAGTCGAACTACAGCATAGTCTAATTCTTCCGACACTGCTACAAGCTTCGTAGACGTCACGCCAAGTAAACCTGGACATCCACCCCGAGTATCGCAATCCTCGTTACCTCCACAACTGGTTGCTTGGGCTAGAAATTCCACTTTCGTATTGAGTGCGTCTTGGACATTGCTGATGCAGTGCTGATTCGTGATTAAGTGGCCTTCACAACCAAGTAGCCATCCAGTACAATAGGCAATTGCCATGCCGTTCTCTTTAATGATAGATAGTCGAGCCACAGGTTGCGACTTGGCCAACATGACTGCTCCTTGCTCGCTATTTGTAGCACTGGGTGCACAGGCAGCTTCGACAGATTCGTCCTGGCCACAGAGACTTTCATTGTTAATATCTTCGTCATCATCACTATTGTCTTCTTTGTTGTCGAGTTTGAATAGAGGCACCTTGACAGCTACTTGCTGACGCTCAGCCTTATCTGCTAGCTCCTTTGAAGTAAAAAGCAGGCCACTAATGGTAAATCCTCGACACAAACTCGAGTTAGTTTTGTCCGGAAGTGATGACTTAAGTAGCTCCAGCTTCACTCCATCCCCAGATATTGCAGTAGAGTAGAACTTGCCTGTTGCATTCTTCCCCGACAGTACTGCAACCGGTGGCGTCGTTATTGGAGCATCGGATGCCCTCACTACCAGTACGTCAGCTTCTGGTAAATTGAAGTGCGTGAAATGCAGCAGGTAGATACCCATTCCGAGCCCAGGATTGAGCTGTAGGTCGTAAGAAGTCTTATTTCCAACCGCTATTGGTAGTGTCGAGTAGTTGGAAAAAGCGCATCCCGCACCGATAAGGATTCCCACTTCTTGTCCAGTTGTTTGTGCGAAGAGACCTACTGATGCAAGTGCAGCTACGAGGGCAAAAATCTGCTGCATTTCTATTCAAAATCAGATGAAAGCTGAAGCAAGCAAAACGGAGAGTGTTGTGACGCTGTTTAGCTGCTTTACTTTACCATGGTCGATCATGAAGCAAATTATGATTGATAGAGAAGCTCATTGTATTCCAGGAATGAGGAAATAACTACTTGAATGGATGGTTTGTTCTCGTTCATCTAGTTTTAAAGTTACGCTTCTGCGTCAAGATCTACTTATGATTGATCTATTTGTCTATTTTGATGGATGGTGCTTTTGATTGAAGTCTAAGAAAGTGAGCGAGCTATCGAGGGTTTTCTTCATTCGAAATCCCATAGTACTGGAGATAACAATAGCATACAAAAGTTGGCAAAAATTGAGTCTTTCTTTGCCGTGACACAAGGAATGCTTACCCCATAACCTTAAATGAATTTGATATTGCTTACGTACAGGAAGGTGCCTTAGCGTAAACGCTCACACTACTGTAGCACCACAGCACACATCTGCGTAATCTCTGATTGCGTTGCATGAAGCTGATGGTGTTATTCGTGTCCATCGAGGTACGGATTTTCAATGTTAAGCTGGAATATCTCTTTGAAATAAGGCGTTTTGCTGTCTACCTCTGGAAAGCGACGAATGGTATGTATGGAAATCTGTTTCCAACTCAACACCAACAGCAACAATGCATCAACTAAAGGCATTTCTTTGACACCAAAACACATACATGGTTAAGTTACGGACCACATGCTAATGTCAAATTCACTCCATTGTTACTCGACTCATAAATCGTAACATTACTTTGAATGGTAAATTAACATGTTCTGCACTTATATACAGCAGTAAAGTGCTTAACTTCGTCTCATCGGATGTCGCACAAGCGGGTTTGTGGCGTAATCTTTCTCAATGTATGCAGGGCAAGTCAAGTTAATGCTGGTGGCCAGATTTCAGCTCTACCGTATCCAAACGTCATTGTCATCGCCTTGAACGATCGTGAATGAGCTGATATTTTCGTGCACCAATGTCGTGCGTTGGTACAATCTATATCGAAGCATGCATAGCAACCATCGCACCCTCAGTGATACTCACATCAATTGAGTTTCAAAACAAAACATGTTACGTTAAACAGTTCATTCAAAAAGTCGTTGACATCCACAATACCTACGCAGTATGCACGGATATTTGCATTCTAGCATCAATGAAATACGTCGTATCAGCGCTATCAATGCGACAAAAGATTATGCGTTAAGCATAAAGTGTGACACATGTCATTTATTTTTTTATAGTAGCATCACCAAGCCAACCACAGCCTAGTCATGAGCACTTCATCAGAGATGTCCATCGTGTTGTAACGACAACAATCGTCACAGCTTGTCACGATGGACCCTAGTGGCAGATCTCAACTAATAATAGGTTGACACTGCAGTGGGATATGTAAACTATCCTTGTATGGAAGAGAGAGCCAGCAAAATGCTGAGCACTGGTTTAGAGAATTTGGGTGCGACGTCACCGGCACAGCAGAAAAGACTAGACTAGCCGTTTGAAATCGGCGACTTGAACAAAACCAATAGCTGCGCGTCGCAATTGTATGGATAAAGTGTCAAGCATCAAGTGTTATGCAACTTATGCTGCATGATCAAAAACGAAACCGATACTGAAAACATGCGCAGCGAACGGTCGCTGGACCCATTTCCAGATTTTCTATAATCTACAGATATTATGGAGAAAGGTCCATTTTACGTGTCTTCATTCTACATCAAATCGAACGGGCCTGAAGGTGGTGTTAATTTACCGCACACAAAACGCGCGATTCCCGATAATTCTAACGCCACGGTGAAGCTTAAAAGACTAACCATGGAGATACCGCAACCAAATGAAATCTCTACCATGAGAATAAAGAAGAAAACAAGAAAGCCTCCCAACTACTTGCGTCACAGCGATCGGTGCTGCATTATCACGCGCATTGCGGGAGGAGAACAACAAGCAGCTCTAGCGCGAGAATTTGGTGTCACGAGAGCAGCAGTTTGCCAGATTTACAAAAATCGAGACGAGATTCTCGCACGGGGGGATGACATGGAACCACAAGTTGCTCTTGTTCAAGACCCTAAAGTTTTGCAAACCGATGTTAGTTTAAGGACCGAGAACGCGTTACCGTTTGACAAGCTGAAAAGTATGGCTGCACCTCATCTACGAAATTTGGAATTTCGTTCAAAAAGAGTCATGCTACTCTTAGCGGTACTGCGAGATGTGAGAACTAGTCCGGTCGCTTTTCAACGTGCAGCAGCTCGGCTTACGTTGTAAGTTGCCACCAATTATATTGTTGTTTTGGTCATGCATTCAAATCTAACATTGTCGGCGATACTTTTAGCATCTTAGTGGAAGAAGCTCTTGCGACGTATGATTATGACGAGATCGGCCACGTTGTCAACACACAGCGAGGCTATGCTGGTGCCACTTATTGCGCCGTCACTTTGGGTAGTACAAGTGTGTCATTCTTGACGGCTTTTGGCCAGATCGACCCGAATCTTTCAACCGGTAGGACCTACGCGAGGGGATGCTGAGATAAGTTATGGGAAGGACTAATCATTTATGCAGGTCAGATTCACGTGAAAGCAGTGAACGAGGATGGATTCATGAACTGGCAGCTTCAGTATCTAGATGTACCTGACAATATCTCTAGCTTCGAGGTGTTGCTGTTCTCGACGTCCGCAAACGGCGGGGCTGAATGCAAGGCTATTGAGGTTGTATGATGTATTGACTGATATACCGGTTTTGAAATGCTAATTGTGGCATGATGCTTAATTAGGCGCTACGAAGAGTTGGTGTATCGGAAAACAGCATTTCGTTGATCATGGTCGTCTGCTCTTCGCATGGTTATGAAGGAATCTCGAGTCGATATCCGCGTACGTAGATGTAACGTGACTTACAATTACATGCACTGGTCGAATCACTGACTGACAGATATCGTTTGCAAACAGGAGTCACGCTTATATCCGCCGCCATTGACGACAAATGGACACTACATCAGGCTGTCTGCTCCCAGGATGTGGTGCCAGCCTCATATGCATTTGTCACCAATGATCAAAATGATTGCTAAGCGCATTGCCCATCCAGCATTGCTTCTAACTGTTGTCGTTATACTGCAATGGTCCTAAAATGTACTACGTATGCAAACGGTAGTTAGCATCACGCCATCATGAGCAAGCTTCTTAACGCTTACAACGAACATCTTGTACTAAAACACTAGAAAGAAATGTACACTTTAAAGGCTACATTGCCTTTGTGTAAGACTGCTTCCTGATTGTAAAAAGCGTGCGCCTGCTACTCCAACAACGGTATGATTTCGACTTGAAGCATTAATGCGTGCCCGAAGCAAAGCTAAGTAATTTTAATGATATGTTTGAAGCACCGCCAATGCAAACCCTGCACCACCAAATGAAATATACTACGAGTCTACATTTGGCATGTTGGGATATGCGTTTGCTAACTAGAGATTAAATTGGGAATATTTTTTTTGTACGCAAGGTATGCTTAGGCAAAGTCAAGCAATGGGTTTTCTTAGCTGAGCTGCCGATAGAGATCATGAATGATCTGGCCGTACATGTCGTTTTGCTACTTGATGCTTTTGTATTTTACTTATGTAATAGCATTCATTTGGTGAAAGGCGCTCAATGGCACAGATTATGGCACCGTCGAGTAATTGAGATCGCGTATAGGACTCAGAAAACGCATACAAGAAAAAGTAGCATTTCAATACTGTCTAGCATATCCTTGCCACAATTGTCCGATTTTGCAATGCGTTGTCAGATTACCCGGTAGAAAGCTATTCTACTCTAATTACGGCTGTCATATACTGCGTAGTACTCCTTGACAAACCAAGCAGTACCGCATCAACTGCTTTGAGACCTAAGCACCAATGGCCGCGACGTCTACCGTCTCTTCTCTTCCCTGATTCTGTTTAATATGATTGAGAACATCGTCCAAGCTTTTGCAATCCTTCGGCCATTGTTTCAATAGCTCGCTCTCCAATTCGTCGATAATGATTGTCTTATGCTCCTGTTTTGCAGCATCATCGCATTTACCAGATCTGCTGGCTTCTTATAGTGAGTTTGCAGTTGCCGAAGTAGCAACTCTGCCGGATTATTTCCGTGCAAGCGCACACAGCGATACCACAGGTCCAGAACAGGGCTTCTTACAAGCACTGCTTCCGTCTTGATCTGCAACAACAAGAGGATATCGAACACCACTCAACCAGATCTTGAGCAGCGCATTTCCAAACACCACAGCATTGATCTTCAATATGAGAGGACTGGTGTCTACCATTGCCCTCACTAACATGTCAGCTACATGTACATCATTATCGGGCTCCTTGACCAGTTCTTTCGCCAGCAGTTCAAACGGAAGCTCGCTTTTACCACGACTATTGACGAAGGTTTTAGTAATGAACTGTCCAAAATGTTGTCCCCTTCCTTCTTGAATTCGAGCCATTCAAAGACAATGGTCGGATTCTTACCAATTTTTCCCCAGTACTGTAGCTGCGCAGTCTCCAACGGAATGGCGTCGCGTCCTGGTTTTGAAGCCTTTTCATTATGCAGCATATTTTGCAGAACACCATCGCTATAGCGAGCATTTAGACTTCTGACGATTGCAGCTGCGGCCATGTCAAGGTCGTGCTTGAAGTATACGATCACCGCTCCTACCCACTCTCGATACTCGACACTGCTAAATAGATACTTCGAGTCGACCTTGTGCACCTTGAGTCGTTTAAAGAGCCTGTTTATCGTCCACTGATTCTGGATGGAGATAAGATTATGTATTGCACTCTCGGCAATATTCTGTTGTTTCGCCATTAGTGTCTCGACATACTGGTAACCTTCGTCCAGAAGGAGACACTGGGCGCTCTTTCTTCGTTGCTGTTGTCTTTTTCAGCCAGTGGCCACATGGTGTTCGTTCTTATATGTCGCTGCGTTTCAATGTCATTGACACCAGCACTTGGATGATTCTCAGCCTCGGTAATTGTCTTAGCCGAAGTTTGACATGCTAGTAGAATGCTAGCAAGACGATCCAAATGAGTCTTGGAGGGTTTACTTTGACTTTGAGGGACATTCTGAAAACGCGTCAGCTTAGTGGCGTTGGAAGCAATCAATGTAAGATTACGTGGTTATGGGATTGACAATTGTCCAAGCTCGATAGAATTTTTAGCAATAGCAAGCACCATATATTTAGTGACGTCACTCATGGATTAAAATTTCTGGGCGGATCAGTTGTGTGTTATGTATCATGTCAAGCCGTCCAATTCATTTATTTGCATTGTAATGAAAGTCGCTGCGTTACTTTCTACCCCTACATAGAAGACTTAAGTCAGTCAGCAATGCTCTAACATGGCAAGTATAGTCTATTCTAACAACGAAGCATTTGGGAGGACATTCAGTTGTTTTGAGATACAACACCACAAGTAATGGACGTGTGTGTATCCTTGCAATACAAAGCATTATCGATCAAATAGCCGGAGACGCGTGACGTGGTTTGAGACCTACCATACTGCAGTGATCAATCAAGTCTAACTGATGACAACAATCCTTGCTTAAAGTCTGCCTTGTATCTTTTACCTTTTTCTTCAAAGTAGATATGCTTTGCAAAACCTACGGCCAACTTTCAATGTTATGTGCGTCATTTCGTCGCTCCTTTCAATCTTCTACTACCGTGGCTTTTACAATGGACAACAGGGATAAGCTAGCTTCAGTCTTTCTATTTCGTGTTGTTACTACCTCAAAGCTGTACGCATAAAACCAAATTGTCTTATGAAGGACTACATTAATTGATTTTTGCTACTCGAAAGGTTGATACTGACAGCAATCGTGACGTGATCCTTGGTGGTTTCTGAAACGTCAACCATTCTTTTCGATTGTTCATTGGCAGCATTAGCCTTCCAATAGATCCCAAACAATGAAAAAAAGAAAGCCAAAGACTTGTCAAAGCTACGGCAATCGGACCAATATGAAGAAAATGACAGTCACACGAGCTGAAAATGACAGGAACCTCGTACGAATAAAGCTGAGCTCGATATTGCCTCCTGTTGAAGAAGAAACACAAGTGACTTGAGTTGTTTGTTTGTTTTCTAGCTTTCTGTGAGAAAATCAATGCGTTCAAAGACATCAGATCAGTCCGTTAGCCTCAGCACTATGCAAAAGTCCTGGTCGCTTCAGAGGACGTGTTTCCTGCTCTCCTCTAGTGACGATTCAGACAATGACAAAACAAGGAAAATCAAGGTACAACAACATCGTAAAAGGCTCAAAGGTGCTCAAGGTGAGCTTTGTAGACATCTTTGCTTTACCTTTCATAATTAGATTAATCGTAGCTATGAATCCATGTAACAGACCCACGGAGTTACCCAAGCCATCAGCCTCACTCTTCAGGCCATCGACTGTGTGCCCTACAACGGATGTTCTGCTGAGACTTAGGTCTCAGCAATTCCTTCTTCTTATGCACTTCAAGGCATTTTCTGCCAGAAGCTCAGCTGATAATACAATTGCCTCTAGATTTTCTTCGACCCAAACGTGGGGATAAATGCGGGTGGAACAGCTTCTTCTTCCTTGATCCAGGCTCGTCCTTTTGCTCAGCTTTGAGTGTCGTTTCGCAAAAAGACCTGCCATACGTCTGCCTAGTGACAACCGAAAAATTAGACGCAAGACTGGCACGTTCAGCTAAAGTGCCGCCATCTATAGCGTGGCTGCTTTGCTCGTCAATGTTGTCAACTGGACTTTCTCCCCGCAAACCAAACATAATGTCAATCATGCTCGGGCCAATTTGGTCCGAACGGAGCGTCACACGCCCGTGAGTTTCCAGCTCCAAAGTACGTAGCTGTGTAGACATCACCAATCGTTAGCACTACCCAAATCCTCCACCATTCAATGCTCTTACCTTTTCGACGTAAGCTTTGCGTGGAGCACTAGCCGGTCGTTTTTGCAGCACGTATCGGTAAGCATGTTCGAGACTCCATTGCTCCACAACCATTAAATAGGCAATACATACCACTGCACATTCGTTATTGCCATGGGTGCAGAAGACAAACATCTTCTTATTATCGGAACGCGCAACTTGAATGAGTTTGTTACTCTTTGTGATATTGATCTTAAAATCAGCGTAAGAGCAGCCATCGTCCAATTCAATGCGCTCCATTTTAGTCGTAGGGTCCACTGGTAATTCCGGATGCGCTGAGCGCTTTCGCGGATTCTCAGCGTCAATTAGACAAGTGACTTGCAAGTTCTTGAGAAGTTGCTTGTCCATTGCGTGATGAATAGAGCCCATTAAGAGGAAATTCATGACGACACCAGGCACGTCAAGTCTACAATGGATCGTAATAACGGCATTAGTTCAAAACCTACAAATATACTCGTACCTCGACCAATTTCAACTCATCGTACCTATCATCTCTGGACACAATGGAATCAACGTCGGCAGTTGTCATTTTCTGCGTCTACTTTCTCTCTCTCCTCTTGCAACAATGTAAAACACTGCAGGTTGACAAGTGACGTGTTGTGTCAACCTTATCACTGGATTCGGTAGGAGACAGAGACGCCCTCTCTCTATGTTCGTTTGCACCGTCATTGCGTCAGACGGCATAGGACGTCCTTTTGTACTGACTCAATGACGATAGATGTAACCATATCAAAAGGGTCTCCGAAACAACAGATTAATAATATCCATCTGCTGGGTTTCTCATGGCTGTAGACAAATGGACCTACTTCAAGACATCCAGAAAGACCATTTTTCTACCGATCGTATGAGCTTTAGCTGATGATTTGTTTTACATGGAAGAAATTTATCAACCCAACAAACTACCAAAGAACTGGTTAGTTGCATTCATGCCAGTTATAAAGTCGAGACAACTACAAATGAACGATATGATACCGACTACCTTGTCGAACGTGATAGCGTTTTTTTGAATGAATCAATCGACTATGACTGAACGTCAATTTAAAGAGACTCATTATGTCTACAAGTTGAACGCAATATAGTATGTGGCTAGTTGTAAACCAATTGATAATGGGATTGACACGTTTCATTTGCTTTCGACCGCACGTTCGTATTGATTGCAATGATTGTCAAGTCGAGTGTCTTGACTTAGAGCGTCTATTCATCGACATTTACAAACTTTGATCCCCGTCGAGTACATCACGAGTCACATGTAATCATCCTTGCTGCCTTACGTCAGCGCCCGAAAGACGGTATGGACTCAGAGGACATAGTTTCAAGCAAAAGACACTCTATTCAATTTCCCTTGCTATGCACACAAGTACACTCATTGCGTTAGAGAAGTCGTGAGGCAACCAACTCAATAGCAAGCTTATCTTGAAATGCACGCCTTGAGCGCATCTTCAACCTCTTTTCGCATGACTTTCGACACGCGGGGCAAAATTGATCCTTTACCGATCCAAATGTTCATTCGAATTTGCTCGTGATTTTGAACTCGAATAACTGCAGGACCCACCGGCAACCTATCTAGTGACTTTTGCGAATACGACGACAGTGAACCAAACGCCACATGCTGCTCTGCGTGTTTCAGGAGACTGGAGATATCGTCAGCAGTGATATCTATCCGCCGCTTGGTGAAAAAGTTGTCAAAAAAACCGAGACTCTCTTCCGAGGGGCGGTAATACACCTCGCCACACTCAATAACCTTGGTGAACACTTTCAAGCCCGTGTTAACAATCTATGACAGACAATAAGATTAGCATATCAATAATTTGCAAGTAGGCAAAACAAGCACGTACATCTAAGGCATCACCACCCAAGCAGGCGTCAGAGATTTCCTTGTCGACATAATTCACGGTAGCAGCTGTATTCGAACGGCACCACAAGCGCTTCTGAATAACACACACAAAAGATCACCAGTGTCAGAAAACTGTCAGCATATCCACATAAGCCCATACCAGTTCCGTACCCTTAAGTTTGCATCCTCTAGGCCATAAAAATCTCGCAATTGCTGCCATACATTGTCTCCAACATGGCGATAGACCGTCTCGCGCTTCTTTTCAGTCTTCTTCTGTACACCACTTGCAGCGTCTGCCGACTCGATAGTACGGCGCTTCTTCATCTGTGGCTTTGACGACGAGGTCACGGTAACGAACTCCGTATCAGATAAGAAGTTTTTGCAACTCTTTAAAAAATGCCCTCCCTCGCCACACAGCTTGCAAACATACTCAACGGGTGGTGTTGCCTGCAACTCTTCCAATGAAGCAAGGCCTTCCTGACGGCCCTCTTCGCCGGGCAAATCTGCCACCTTGTGTAGCACAGCAATGTAAAACCCGCCTGAGTTCTGGTCAGTCGGGATAAGGCGAAGTGTCTTGTGCAGTTCCTGACCAATCCTATCTTCAGACGGAAACATGGATCGTGTTACTCGCTTACCACGGAGATCATGCGCCATTGTGTCGTAGCTGTCAAACCACTGGTGCAAGTTTTGAGTATCGTCGTTCTTGTTGCTGTCGTCACTTTTGAACAGGTGACCCTTGTGAGTAGACTTGGACTTTGAGCGCCATCCTACACGCCATTTCATCCTGCCAGGACGAGCGACAAGCTCTGGCAACTTTTCTGAAACATCCAGCAGCTCCAACGATCCCCCCAGCACGACGTAGCAGTTCCGTTACAACAGCCTCATTTTCGACCGGGTTAAACGAACACGTTGAGTAAACCATTATGCCACCAACTTTAAGTAGCGCTGCACCACGAAGGGCCAGCGCCAGCTGAACCGGATGCAACGTTAGACCTTGGCCAATGTGCCAATCCTTCCACAACGCCTGATTTTTGCGCAGCGTGCCGTCACCACTGCAAGGAACGTCACACAACACACGATCGATCACATTCGTAGCTTGCAATGTCTTCAAATCAGCATCATAAAGCCCCGGAAACGTGTCGCCCGCACCACAAGTTACCACAGCGCGGCGCAGCGTGTTTCTCGAAAGGCGATGCACTAGCATATACGCGCGCTTCTTGTCAAGATCATTCGCAATCACGAGACCGCTCTGATTATTACTCGTACTGTTTTCTGACGAGAGCAAAAAATCGAGAACCTGCGTCGTCTTTGACCCAGGAGAAGCACACATGTCTAATACACGGTGGCCTCGCCGCACATCCAGGAAAAGCACAGGCAGCATACTCACCGCTTCTTGACGATCAATGTTTCCACGATCTGTCTGCTCTAGCAAAAATGCGTGGAATGCACGCACATCCTCATGTTTTGGTGCTGAGTAACAAAACATCCTCCAGCTTATCAATCAAATCTCCTGCAAGCTCAGTTTACAGCATGTTTTGCCATAACAACTCACCACTTTTGGAGAGCGCAACACGTCCGCAATCCATTTGCCACGCCACGTTTTTCAGCGGATACCACGTGATAGGCCTGGCCAAGTATATCGTCATCACTCAGTAATAATATCACCATATATACTTGTATCATAGCTAAAACTCACTTGGGTGGATTGACGGGAATTTGACCATGCAAATACTTGTCACGTGGAAATTGCAATTCCGTGGCCAACAAAAGCTTCAGTCTATAAACATGGATACATTCCATAATCCCATGACAACCAACCATCACGACTGTCATTAGAGATGGATGCATTATACATTGACATCAACAATGCAATTGTAGCTACTTTAAAGCATCAGGACAATGTAGATTAAGGCGAAATGAGACGGGCAAAGGCTCGTGCAATAGCTGCATGAGCTGCTCGAGCTCCATCTCGTCCTTTACTACATTACTCTCACGCTGCATCAAAGAATATGTCATGATGATTATAGTGGAATCTACACAGTACTACATCATCCATCAGCAGCTTGCATACAGTACCAGATATTCACGGAAGCTCTGCTTGAATACATCCAGGGATGGCTTGGTCTTCGATGTGGTGACCATCTTACTGACCAACCAAACATAACGTACCCATGAGTATAATGGGTACATATTATCAGAATACTGCATTGCTTTTCTTCACTTTGATTGGTCGAATGGCTTGATAAAAATACATTTATATCATCCAATGATGTCACTTTTATCTGTTTTTGGCGCCAAAATCACAAGTAGTTTGGTGCCAAAATCTCGTCCTTGGCTTGTAAGAATGCTCGGCCAATTCCATACACGATCTCTTTCCATTCAAGCAATAGGATCTATCTTTACCATGTCAATTAAACGCAGACGTTCTGGACCTATTCTACGTATCAAAAAGATGACACCCAGAGCGATTTTGCCTTCTCGTGGCTCAGATCTTGCGGCAGGTTTAGATCTCTCGGCTGCCTATGACGCCATCATTCCAGCAGGCGATAAAGGATTGGTTAAAACAGACTTGATCATTGCTGTACCAGATGGATGTTATGCTCGTGTAGCTCCTCGCTCTGGTCTTGCACTCAAGAATTTTATTGATACTGGAGCTGGTGTTATTGATGCCGACTATCGTGGCAATGTGAGTGTACTTCTATTCAATCACTCGTCCGACGATTTCTCCATCAAACGTGGCGATCGTGTTGCACAGCTGATTCTTGAAAAGATTGAGTACCCAGAGATTCAGGAAGTAGGCGAGATTGAGGAGACCGTACGTGGTATCAGTGGTTTTGGCAGTACTGGAGTTGATTTGCCGCTTGCTAAGAAGCAACACGTTATGAGCAATGGAACGACGGATAGTAAAGGAGATGAGGATTGTAGTCTGCTCTTTAAAGCACTAGATTTACTATTTGAAAAAAAGGTTGTAGATGATAACACCCAACGTTTGTTGAAAAAGAAGCTCTTTACGGCATCCGAGCGGCAGTTCAAGCTACTGATGAAAGCGTTGGGCGATTACCTTGACGACAAGGACAGTGTCAAAATCCTCGAGTGGATAGACGCTTTTCTTGAAGCGAAATAAGATGATCTTAGCATGAGATTGTTCAAATAGACTGATCCATTGATTTTCCTTACCATTTATTCACTTGAGTTTGTATACTTGGTTCTTTCTTGACTACACTATCGTCATTGTTAAGCAGTTTGAAAACGAGGGACAACTTACAACCGAGAATTGAGTAACGGAAATGCTTTGAGCAAAGTTTCCAGTGATATCCGATCTGCGGGGTGCGTAGTTAGCATCCTTTCTACCAACATAAGGTACTTGCCATCCAATGAGTATGCCTTGAATTCGTCTACGAGCTTTTCCACTGAATAATGTGAGCAAGTTAGCCACTAGTTCAAACCGTCCCACACAAAACAAGTGCCTGCATACCTGAACGAGTGGCCACTCGTGGCTCAGGGTTACCTGTTAGCATCGCTACAGCCAAAGCGCCTAACGACCATATATCTGCCTTGTAGTCGTAACTCACAACCTCTCCCAAGAAATACCGTCGAACCTCTGGCGCCATGAATGCTAGCGTACCGGCAGCATGATGCGTTAGTAGATCACTTTCCAAATATGTCGATACACCAAAGTCCGCAATCTTTGCTGTGCCATCTTTCTAGAATGACACAATACCATCAAGCTTTCGTATCAATAATGTTTGTGATGCAACATCTACAACATTATGCGTTAAGGCAAGACAAACCGTTAACAGCACATTGTCTGGTTTCAAGTCTCGATGAACAATTCCATGGCGGTGAATTTCTTTCAAGCCAAGACACAATTGGCGGAACATCAAATCAAACTTATCTGTCTCCAGTCGTCCCTAGATACACAACATACCGAACCACTCAAAAAACGTTACAACACTATCAGACACCTTCATTGCCCTCAATAATAATCTCACCTTTGTTTCAAGCATTTGCCGTAGATCACCACCGTCGCAGTACTCCATTTCAATGTACATAAAGTGGCGATGACCAATTTCCTCGATAAAATACTGCTGAATCTGCACCACGTGGGGATTTTGCACACGGGATAACATGCTGATTTCGTTCGCAGCTTCAGGTAGCTTGTCACTTTCTTTGAGTACAGTAAGCTTCCCGCTACGGGTCTCCACAAGCATCACCTCAGCAAAGTTTCCAATACCCAACGTCCGCAAAAATGAAAACTTCAGCAGCTTAGACGGCGGTTGAAGACCTTGAACGCGCTTCGCCCATCTCTCACGGCCCTTTGCAACGATGACATCGGCTTTAGACGTTTCCTTCGACAAAGCTGCAGCTCCATGCACTAGCAGCTCATCTGCTTTATCTGGCAGCACCTCTGCCACTATGCTTTTGGCATCCTTTACAGCATTCTGCTTCTTTTGTCGAGCTTTACTTACACTTTTACCCGTAGGAATATATCTCCCGGCTATGAACGATAGTGCCGCAAGAACACCTCCTTGTTTCCAAGCACCTGTCAATGACGTCTCACGCGCCTCGTCCTTTTGCACCACAACTGATGGTACCGTACGAGCTGAAGACGGTTCCATACGTAAGATATAGTTCGTAAATACAACAGCTTCAATGGCCACCATGTCATTGCAGCGTGTACATTCCAAAAAACACGTCCGGTTGTACTCTACATGTTTCATCGTGCGTGAAGCTACACACGTGGCACACACAGGATGGCCACAACAAAGCTGTATTCGAGGCGAGGGTTGTCGTAGCTTCAAACAACGACTACAGTCATATAAATTCGGTACAGTTGGTACAATCTCATGCATTGCCGCTTTAGATAAAACATCTGACGTCTGGAACCGCAGCGACATATCTTGTCGAGCAGATTGTTCTCGCATATAGCCTAGCAATGGTCTAGAAGGTAGACCACGACATCGAAACGGGACGTGGTCCAATGGATGACCACCAATTTTAACAGCAGAGTAGACCAATGCTTTTGGTTTTGGTGTCAAATATGCCAATGATGTTCTAGCGTCCGATGTAAAATGTGCTCCAAAAGTGCTCATTGCGTCCCAGATACAAGTGGTCAAGTGATCATGAAATTCTGCGTGCCAATTGGAATAGAATGGACGTTTGTAATCGAGCACATGACCACCAATCTTTGTTTCCATGTAGCCATGAACCTCATGGTTTGGTGGATTATACGAATGCAAATTAACGTCACGAGCGGATGTACAGAATTTGCTTGGGCTACTTTCTTGTAACATTACCATCCGTTTAGCCGGAAGAGATGGGATTTGTATCACGTTTGTACTTATACGGAGCCAAATTGAACTTTTGTTAGTTTCAAGAACTTCCTTGTTATGTTGCATAAGTCGCGTGATGTTACATAAAATGCAATATGCTGGTTTTTTATTCCTTATTGCAGCCATTTTATGGGAACAACGACCGGGCGGTACGAGAAATTTCTACAGAACATTCTTATCTTTGACGATTTGTCATGACGCGGCGACGTGGCAGCTGCCTCATCAAAACTATTGGCAAGGTGAGAGATGTTGTGGCGTATATGTGCTAAGGTATGGACTAAGAAGCAGTGGCTACAATTCAAATACCGAGATACCGTGCATAAGCTGCTTTGTCTATGGTATGTTACGCCTGCTGAATATGATAATTTCAATATCTAGAGGTACGTTATTCCGCTTAGGCAAGCTTAAGATGGCTGAATGGGGTGTACCTAAGGTGGTCTACCTTGGAGTCAGGTGGACAGAATCCGACGGACTGTACCGTCTTGCACTTCTTCATGTTCTTTCGCAAAAGCGGTTATCAAAGGATAATATGATGCCGTTATTTTATCAACCGTTGACACTTCAGACATTGCTGTTTCAAATCACTCACCACCGTCGTTGGGATCATATTTATTCATACTTCTTTGAACCTTTCCATCGACTGTGTTCGACGTTGTATGTAATAATATCACGGTTATCGCAATAGCTTCTCTTCTACGTCCTCGACCGCTCTTGATGTGTTTGTTAGATCTTTTCGACTTATACGCACTTGTGTAAAGCATGACTTATTACACGGCTTTTCTTGTGGGAGCTTTATGTCGTGTGCTTACAGCTGTCTAGATTTGATATATTGCACGCAATGCGGATCATTAGCAGAAGTAGCAGACACTTTCAAGGGCGTTTCGTCCCACTTATTTTATCGTCGTCGTTTGAACGAAATGATCGAACCATCATTTGTCAAAAAGCCTTGTCTTGAAGTAAATGTCGCAGTTTAGAATTCCACTTGGAGGTTGCGCGAACGTTGTGCGTTTACAAAAAAAGGTCTGTCAAAAGCCTTGCATTCGTCGGCGGGTTTGGGGGAAGATCTCGGTCACTTCCGAAAACCACCTGGTCGCACGTAGAAGACCATCATTCCTGTATGGGGCGCAATCTCAAGGTAAAGACGGTCGGTACGCAGCAGAAGCGCCGTAAGAAGTCGGAAGGGATAAATACAAGTGGTGGTCATAGTCCGACACTATCAGTCACGTCGTCCTCAGGCAGCATGTCAACGCCGTGTCTTCGTGAGTGCGAGCAATGCGGCAATAATATGTTGTTAGACGGTGTAACAAAGACGTGGTCATCGAGTAAAAAGAGTGTCGTATCCACGGGGTGCCAAATATGTGACTTTGTTGCATTCCGACGGTCACAACGGCCTTGTGTACAATGTACACGCATGAGTTGTGACCACTTTTGTGAATGGTGTGGCAAGGGATTTCACGCGAAATGTGCAAAATTACATAATGAAGACGTGGGTAATCCAAATGGATTTTGCTGCCATAAATGTGAAGCTGAACAGAGTGAAGGTCACGATACGGATGATGAAGAGACAAAGGGTGAAGAAGATGTGGGATCACGATGTGGCAGTTGTCGATTACCTTTTGCTTCAACGGGTAAGGAAGTGGACGATGTCAAAGTTGCAACGGGATTTAAAGTAAATCAAGCGGTACTTGTGGACAATGACGAGGTACTGTATAATGCATTGATTACTGAGGTAGATACTAAGGGCGAGCGTATTAAAATTCATTTTACGCGATGGAGTAAATCGTTTGATGATTGGTATGCGATGGATGATGAGCATATTAATGAAAGTCTGGCTTGTGACTGCTGCAATAATTGGTTTCATATCGGGTGTCTCCCGCCGATTAAGAGCTCAGGAAGGTGGAAAGACTCGACATATGTGTGTCCACGATGTATTGATGATGCCCATGCGTTCCACAATGGTAGTCGCACGGTGCAGAAGGTAAAATCCGTCTACAGCTCTACGACCAACACAATTGCAAAAGCTGCGAAGAGAACAACGTTACCGAAAGAGGGTGAAACAGCTATCGTGGCGGCTGCAAAGACGAAGAAACCGAGTAAAGCGGTTATGGTTGCGGATAACGTTCACGAAAACATGCAAGAAAAGAAGAAGGAAAACGACAGCAAAGTGAGAGGGGAGAAAGTCAATACTGCAAAGGCACCCAGCAAAAAGAAGAAGCGAAAATTATCAGAAACTGTTGATTTTTCAGTAAGGACACAGGTAAAAGAGAATATGAGTGAAAGGGCTGCGAAGAGCACTGTGTCTGACTCGAAAACGGTAACGTCAGTAGCAGCAAAGGCCCTTGCAAGTACTGGTGCTGCTTTTGGTCTTGCGTCAGCACCTGGAGAAGTGAAAGAAGACTTACCAAATGGGCGTGCGGCTACGACGGAAGTGAGCGCCAAAGCCAACACGAAGATGCCAAAGATGCCTGCTGCAAATGTCGTTGTGTCTGCGGATACTTCAGCTATGATGCATACTTCTCCAGAGCATACAGTCAAGGTAGCGACTGAAGCACATAGCTCGCCTTATAAAGCTGCTGCCGCTAAGATTGGTGCAATCCACAGGCCTGCTGTAAGCGAATCTGACGCGGACCAGCACGAGAGGAAGCAGGTAATGACGCCTCAAACCACTGTTGCGGCGCATTCTTCGACTTGGCATTCGTCGTGCAACACTGTAATGTCGCTTTTGAACAGTCCGCCAGCGAATGACACTGGAATCAAGACCTTCAAACCCACGGTCCATTCCCTGCCAATGCTGAACCCGTTAGACACAACACATGCGTCGTCGTCAAAGCCGGCAATGGCAATGCAAGCCAACTTTCAGGTATACGTAAAGATGGAGCAAAAGAATGGCCGTTTTTCGTTGTATCCTCGGTCGGTAGCGGACGATAAGCCCGTTCAGGCAGACCGAAAACAAGTGTCGATAAAGCCAGTAAAGACAGTAGCAGCACGACGGACAAAGCAGAGCCAAACATGTCGTGGTCTGAGTGCGTTTGACATCCTACGTGAAGTAGCAGCGCAAGAGATCGACGAAGGCGCTGTACCAGTAAAACCGAAGCGTGAGAAGCGTCCTCTGGGTCGTGGAGCTAACGCTATTGCAAGCAAGCGTGCGAAGATGGATACGTCTACTTGTGCATCGAACACTACACCGGGACGAATAATGTCATCCGGAGCATTTGGAAATTCTGCTGGTTCAGACACCAATGAGTCGCCGCAGACCCGTGACCGCATCCAGATGAACCCGTTTGTTGATCTGCACTTTAGCATTCGCAAGGAGATGTACCTTCGCTTTTGTCGTCTAGAAGAAGAAGGGATGCTAACGCGAGACTCGGCGCATTTGCTGCGCTCGCTAATCTACCCGACGTCGGAGCGGTTCCAAGACCTTAAGTTTGTGTACCTTGTGAACAAGGATCTACCATCGGTACAACTTACAAAACGGCTCCTTGAAGCGGTGCCGTACCCCCCCAACAGTGGCGAAACCAATTGCTACAACGGTGGCTAACGCTCCCCCTGCTGCTATAAGATCGCCAATTGGTGGGAAGAGCTTGACAGGACTGCCGATGTCGATGGGAGCGTTTTCTGCTGGTCTGAGTCGGAGCTCGTCGCCAGATGGCTCGTCGCGCATGAGTTTATTGCCTCCACCCCCCAGGCTCAACATTGCTAAGACCGAAGCCTGAGCGATCAGATGAATCGTCACGAGTTGTGCCTGGAAGCACCACTATTTCTCACTCTCAGCCCCAACCACCGCGATCAAGCGGCAGTCCTATTTCCGTCCATGTCACGACGGCAAAGCGGCCGGAAATGCTGATCATGGAACAGCATGTACAGACACGCATCCCACTTAATGGAGCCAGGCTTGTCACAAGCCAGCAACAGCATCAATTGCAGAAGCATCATCAATTGCAGAAGCAACATCAACAGCAGCAACATCAACAGCAGCAACATCAACAGCATCAGCATCAATTGCAGCAGCATCAATTGCAGCAGCAAAAACAGCAGCAACATCAACAGCAGCAGCATCAGTTGCAGCAGCAACAACAGCAGCAGCATCAATTGCAGCAGCAACAACAGCAGCAACGACTATTGAATTCTAGGTAACAGGCATGTCAGATAATAGTAGTAAGTAAGTAAGCCTGTAGCATAGAGGGCAGTGACTATGAATGTATATAGGTCTCGCCAGTTCGCGAATACAAAAGCCACAAGTATCAAAAATTATATTGCTGACAACTCTGCCGAAACGTTCACTTGTCTATAGAGGTGACAACTACACCGAGTAAATTTTCTTGTTCATTTCCCAACAAAAACTGGCCTTAGTATTGGAATATGTACATAGAGCTTATCAGCAACACAAACCTCGATTCTCGTCGTTTGACGACTCCAGCTCCTAGAATTACAGCTACTAATTAACCGACAGTATACTAAACCCATCATCACCTCGTCAATAGCCACTTCTCACCACCACCTACTCACGGCATGACCATCTGATATTGTATCGTCTATTTTTCCCATCTCTCAAAGCTCACCCTGTTACACAAGAGCATGCAAAAGCTTTGACACATGATAGTCTTCAAGACCGAATTAGTATGGATGCCAGTCAAATCTACTCACCTCGTTCTTCCTCCTCCAGTCGTTTTTGCCGAGAATGTCAAATGCCGAAACTGTTTTGTCCAATCTGGAAAGAAAACATCTCCATCAATAATCCACTTGTACACCCTCGTGATGTAACATGATTCCACTATTTTAGCAATCATTGCTTCCTTGTATAAAGTTTCACCACCACCAATAAATACTCGGCTACAATCTCGATACTGTGGATCTACGTTTGCTACTTGAAGCGCCTGATCCAGTGTCCGAGATACTCGAACACCTGACCATTTACCATCAATTGCTTGATATTCACATAGTGTTGGTCGCTGTAGTGTTGACGAAACAACAATTGTATGACGATTTGGAATAGGCTCCTGAAACTCCTCAAACGACCTTCGTCCAACAACCAATACTTGATGTTTCGTAATGGAACTAAAGAATGCCCAATCAGCTGGTAAGTTCCATGGCAATTTTCCTTGCTTACCAATCACGCGGTTGATAGAGCAGGCAACAATTAGAGACACTGGAAGCTTTTGTCTTGATCCCATCTGAAAGTAAACAAACGGCTGAAAAATGTACCCAATTTCATGATTTGTGGTCCTTTATCGAAAGAAGCCCTTTTTTTGGATCCTACAACTTATACAAGTTATCATATGCATCAAACAAATTCAAATATATGCTACTTCACAAGCTCAATGTCAGGTGTTTTTTATTTGCATGACGTGGTCCACATGTAGAAATGTAACGTACATATATCTACGCATCTGGTGCCGCGTAGTCATCATAGTCGCAATTAATTACTTTTTTTCTATCTCTTTTCGTAAATGAATCCATCGTATCCATCCCATGGACCTCCTCCAGGTGGTATACCATCTTTACCTGGAGGATCTTCAGGTATTCAAAGACCTACAGGAAGTAGTAATTCCAATTATTTTACTGACAAGAAAAAAGGCGAAGTAAATGAACTCAAGAATGTCCGTCATGCTCTTAGTTGATTCTTTTTTATTTGTCAACGTAATTTATTATTTCTTGATGACGTGTAATTTATCATGTGCTGTATATGTTGTCTACATTGTTGTTTTGTAGTTACTTCGTGAAGTAACCATTGAAAAAAGATGTGAAACGCAAGCGTGAGATTATTAAAAAGGTGATTGCGTACATGACATTAGGTATTGATGTTTCACGTCTATTTAGTGAAATGGTATTATGTGTTGATACAAAAGACCTTATTTCAAAGAAAATGGTGTATCTCTATCTCACAAATTATGCTCAAAAAAACTCGGAACTCGCTATTATGTGCATTAATACATTGCTGAATGATTGTCGGAATGAAGATCCAATGGTACGTGGTCTAGCACTGCGTTCATTATGTTCCTTACGTCTTGATTCGATACTTGAATACATTCACGATCCATTACAAGCATCACTTACTGATACGAGTGCATACGTTCGTAAAACGGGTGTTATTGGTATTTTAAAAGTCTATTCACTCAACCCGGAGATTATCAAGGAAAGTGACATGATTGATACGTTATATAATATGATTCGTGACCGTGATCCCCAAGTGGTTTCCAATTGTTTAGTCGCACTGAATGAAATCATGACGGACGAAGGTGGCATTGCTATTAATCAACCAATTGTGATGCATTTGCTGAGTCGTATTTCGGATTTTAATGAATGGGGACAGTGCAATATCCTTGAGATTGTAGCCAGATACAAACCCGTCGGACCAGACGAGGCTTTTACGATCATGAACACGTTGGAGCAGTGTCTACGCGTCTCAAGCAGTGCTGTTGTGCTAGGCACGGCCAAATGTTTTTTCAATCTTACCCAAGCTCGAGGAATGGAACAGATTCAGGACCAAGTGTTTGAGCGGATGCGCCAACCTCTACTTACTTTGATGGCAGGTGGCAGTCACGAGATTAACTATTGCGTGCTACACCATATTTTGCTATTGGTAGGCAAGAAACCGCACGTGTTCAGCCGTGACTACCGTCAATTTTACAACCGGTACAATGAGCCTACGCACGTCAAATACGTCAAGATTGACATCTTGGCTCTAGTCGCTGATGGTGCCAATGTGGCTGACATTGTCACGGAGCTTAGTGAGTACGTAACGGATGTAGACCAGGAGCTGGCTCGCCGCGCAATTCATGCGATTGCCGACGTAGCTGTGAGCTCCAATTTATCAGTGAACACGATGTCTCAACAGTACCCGGGAGGAGGCAATGTGCCGGAGGCTTACGGTCAGCACGCGGCCGAGCAGCTTGTGGAGCAGGTGCAAGACCACATTATGGACACGATGGTAGACTTTTTGGAACTGGACCTCGACTATGTGCGCGATGAAAGTCTTGTCGTTATGAAGGACTTGCTCCGCAAATACCCAGAGAAGCGCCACGACGTTTTGCCCGTATTAGCTCGTATTGTCGCCGCAGTAGAGCAGCCCACTGCCAAGGCTGCAGTCGTGTGGATGCTTGGTGAGTTTGGCCAGGATCTTCGTCGCGCACCGTACGTGCTGGAGAAGCTCATCGACGACTTCAATCATGAGGCTGCTCCATCCGTACTGCTCGAGCTGCTTGCCGCAACGATGAAGCTGTTCTTCAAACGTCCCCCTGAGATGCAAAGTATGCTGGGCCGACTGCTCAGTTCTGCCATTAACGAGTCGAACCATCAGGATGTACGTGATCGTGCCCTACTGTACTACCGTCTGCTTGTGCAGCAACCGACAGAACAGGCAGCCGCCATTGTCGCACAGTTCACCACGGAGGAGACGATCGGCGTGTTTGCAGAGTCCATCGAGACAGACCTAAAGGACAGGCTGTTTCAGGAGTTTAATTCGCTTGCTGTGGTATACAACAAACCCAGCGAGCTCTTTGTGTCGGCTTCACACCTGGCTGGTACTGTTGCGCCTCTTGAAGATGAAGGAGAAGAGGAAGATAAGGAAGACGAAGCTTACGATAATGGTGCTCCGCAGCAGCAGCAACAACCACAACAGCAACAACAGCAACAACGCAGCACGGCCCCGACTCCGCAGCCAGCAGCACCCAGTATGGATCTGCTGGACATGGACTTCGATGCATCTCCAGCTATCCTTCCGCCTCAGGTAGTAGGTCCTGCTTTTGCGTTAGTTCCAACGCCAGTCATGGACGCTCCTACGTTCCAGGGTCAATGGGGCAGCAGTGCTGTGGTGGCTGAGGTAGTGGTTCAGCTACCGACCTTGCCTCCGCAGGACGAGCTGGAGCAGGCGTTTGCCTCACGCGGCATTGTGACAATGGCTTCTGGCGACGTGGGTCCGCAGTACAAATTCTTTTTCTACGCTCAAGACACGCAGGGCCGCTACTTTATGTCCGAGACACTAGTAGAGAAAGCAAACCGCACACTCCGGGCTACTATCAAAGGCGAGGATGAAACGTCAGGCGCTCAGTTTGCTGATCTCATGCGTCGTGTATTGTTCGGTTGATAAAATGGACACATCAGACGCAAGCGATCATTGTGGATTTCGTCAAAGATAAGCAAAAGACTTGGTGATGTGTCGTTATTGCTACAATTTCAAGCTTTCATCTCTTGATATTCATGGCGTTATCCACCTGTTGCTGTCTGACCTATACGTGCAATATTTTGCTAATCTGTTTTAACAGCAAATTTAACATTAATGTTATAAAGTGCATTTTATGCTTTTACACGTTAAAACATTTTTTAAAAATCTCAAAACGATTTTAAAAAAAAAAGACAACAATGAAGGTTGCAGTGCCAACGCTGTTGAAAGCGCTACGACAGGCTTCAACGGCTGATGCGATCTCCAATGCCATGGAACAGATCTTTGATCGTCTTATCTCCACATCCTCGTTGAAAGAATCGCAGAATCTGGTCTTTAGTGCGTGGTATTCTGCTACTTGTAGAAGTATACACTCTCTCGCTGACAATGCCGTATACTTTTTTAATCCATTGTAGGTCTTCAACAATACCGGTTATATGACGGTATGTATCAAAAACTGCAACAAACTGCAGCTATCTGTACTGAACCTTCAAGCAAGGCAGCATACCTTGGGTTTGTGTTACTTCAGGAGAGTGTCCATATGTTAAAGACAATTGACATGTCTACGCAGCGTGACATGTTACTTAAGGTATGGAACGCCAATAAGAACGTATTATCAGGCTACATAGCAGCGCTTACTGCTGGAGATGGACCATTTTATAATGTCGTGGTGGACATAAACAAAGCCACAACGACAATGGAACTCATATCACCTGTGTTCAAGAGTGTCCTCATGGACAATTGTCAGTCAGAAGGACATAAAGTTGCTGTGTTGGACACTCTGAGTCGCATTGCATGGCACTTTGATGGACACTTGGAGGACAAGAACCATCGGATGCGGACACTTGTGATTCATCTGCTAGTACAAGCGCTAGAGCTCGTTCCGTACGCACAACTTTTGCAGCAAACTTATGTGGTTCATGTGGCATTGATAGTCGATCTATTGACATTTGAAGCTCTTTACACTAAAGAGGACGTGGCTCTAGCAACTAGAACAGTGCGTTTTGTGCTCGAGTCGACGCAGTTATTGATTCAAAAGGACGTGGGTGTTATAGCACTGTTGCAGCTAATGGAACAGTTGGCTCGAACAATGCCCGAAGCTTTTACGTGCTCGGTTTTCATGACGTCGGCTGCGTATTTCTTAGTAAATATGTGCGAGACACCGCTGGAACAGCAAATGATGCTTTGTCTACTGCAGCACATATTGGTATATGAACGCAATGTTGTTGCTGACCATGGCGGAAGGCGCAGAATTTACGTGGAGATACTGTTGTTGCCATTGTCAGCGATGCTTTCGGTGCATGGCAGCATCGTGTCGGACCTACTTAAATTGGTGGTCGAGATCACATCATTGAACACGTATGCTTATGAAGTGGAGGTAGAAAGCAGTGCGCCCCCAACAGAGACATCAACTCATGCTCGCTCGGCTATCCAGATGGTTGGTGATGAAGAAAGCTGCCAACGTTGGCTGAGTTCTTTGTTTATGTCGAAAGGCGCTATATCGGGCAACAATACAGATAAATGGTTAGCATTGCTAGTGGTGGCACTGCTGTTTGATGGACGACCTGCTCTTCGCAGTGCTGCTGCTGAGTGTTTAAGTCGTCAAGTGAGTAATAGCCCAAAGTTTTGGAATGCTGACGTGACGAAAGCATTGGTGGCAAGTTTGGTGTTTCTCATTTCTCAGCAACCGTCAAGAAATACCAAGGCAGCCCTAGGACAACGTCACTTTGGTGAGTGGATGATTTCGTGTTTGTATTCTTTGGCAGCACTGGCGGCTACAACGACCGAGACAATGCGTATCGTACTTCGTTTGATTGATAGCATGAACGGTATGACAAAGACGCGGCCAATGGCGCTGAAACTTATGTATGAAGTGTGGTTCAACGAGCCTCGAGTATTTCCTAGACTGGAGACCATGTTACTTGAACCAACATCTTCAGACGAAGATATCATGCGTCACGTTGTCAGGATGGCTTCAATAAAAACACTGTGCGAAAAAGACCCGGAGCTGGGTGTGCAGTTCATTTCATCCATTCAAGGATTTCTTGAAGATGAGCTTGAGTCAGTGGTTTCCATGGCCATGGATGCTATCACCGCATTGTGTAGAGGAGATTGCTTGGACTTCTACGTTGCGTTCAAGATTATTGCGCAAAAAATGCGCAAGAATAAGGTAACTTGCGCAGAAGGGTCGCTTTTTCAGGAGCGATTGTGCTGCTTTTACGCACTTGGTGGTATCGATAGTGTGGCGAACGAGAAACACGCTTCAAAGTTGCTGAACCAGGCTTGGGAGTTTGCAGATAGTGAGCATGCAAACGTTCGGAAGTCTGCTTATGAAGCGCTGTGCAAATTTCCTTTGGATATGTTGGGGCTCTGCGTGCCGGTAAATGAAATTGCTACACACCCGAGTGATGACGAAAATGGCGCCGCAGTAGAGGAAGTCGAGGAGCAACTGGATGATGTAATGGAGCGTCTTCAAAACGAGCAAGATTTAAATGTTCGTATCGCGATTGAAGAGCTGGTGGCGAAGATTATTGAGCATGAAAGTACGAAGCTTACTGTAGGCATCGGTCGTGGACAGCGAATGAAGTCTGCGGCGTCAGGGGTCCAGCGTCAACCGCAACGAACATTTCAGCAATCAGGGCCGGTTACGGTTGTTTCTGCTGCGGCTACTAAGGAGATGAAGGCTCTTTTTCCTTCAAGAGCGGAGGTAGAGAGTTTGTTTCCTACAGACTCTTCGACAACTGACTGGAGCGGGTTTTTGTTAGCGTATCAGCCGAAGGCTTTGATCGACAGGAAAAACGTTAAGCGCAAAGACAAACTTGTACGTTTTGCAACGCAAAATGTCGACGAGCTGGTAATGATGGTCTCGACTGTGCTTCAATCTATGGAACTTCCGTGGGCCTCTGTCGGTGTATCAGGTCATGGTAACGAAAACTGCAAGGTGTTCGTACTTATCCAAGCTTTAATGGAAGGATGGATAGGGTTTATGGAGACATACATATCTTTGCTGGACGAATTGGCGGAGCTTAAGACGCCTATTGGTGTTGATGACGCCGATGTCGCTTTTCGTGTTTTTTCAGAGGGCGTTACTAGCTTGTTTGACTTGCTGTTGAATCATACCTCAAACAAGGTAGGAGGCGCATTGGCTGCTGGTGCGTTGGCGGGAAAATTGTGTGAATCACGACATTGGAGTAACTCTCATTTACGTCTGAAGTATGAAGAAGTAGTGGAGAAATTATCGCTCCAACTAGCGTTGTCAATTGAACATGCTCGAGTGTTTTCGACTTACGACTGCGATGCACGTGTTTCATCCATCGGCGCTTTGATTGCTCTTCAGCTCTCATTTGGTCGACGGAAGAGTGAGACCTGTAGCAGCTTTTGCATTCAATTGGCAAAGATTGAGAACATGTTTATGGAGCTGTATCACAACGAGTCAGACGGCCTGTTAGCTACGTGTGCTCTTTTAGGATTGAGCCACATTGCTTTTCTTTATACGAATGGCTACGAGCTGGAAACATTTGAGGTGACTCAATGGAGACACCAACGAGTCAAGCCAATTGCTGAGCGTCTTATGGAGTCGTTCCTGCGTACCAACCATGCAAAGCAGTCGAATAAGTCTTCTCTGTTCCACGAAGACGTGGTTTTTCCTCTGTCCGAGGTAACTGAGACGAACAATCTAATTGATACAGTGTCGTCGAAGTTTAAGCAATCTTTATCGTCTGGTAGCATTTTGTTGCGTTGGGCATCGTTGATGGGGCTAGCGCGTTTATCGAGTGGCTTCTCAAGCATCAAACGTTTAGACTGGCTAACGAATGTACGAAAAGTTCTTACAGCAGTATGGGAAAATTGTGGGTCAGCCAATATTACCGCCGTTGCATTGGGGCCCGTGTTGCTGCATTGCGTGCTACATAACTTGTCACCCTCACTAAGTTTAGAGACATTTGTTACCACATGCAATCAGCGAGCTGCAAAAGCTGACGCTGACAGTCTCGACAGCGGATTTCTGATGATGGCAGCAGCGAACGTGCTATGCCGCTTGGATTCTTTTGGAGGATTTCCTAGCACTGTTCGAAACGAAACCAATTTGACGGTCAAACAAATTAAAAAGACTCTTGAGAACGAAAGCGTGCCAGATCAGGCAGTGCACGAGCTGATGCTACTTGGTATCGTAAATTTCTTCCACCTGAGTGGCGGCATTGCTGGACCATCATTTGTCGGAGCAACTTCAGATATGGGTGCCAATGTAATGCTCACACTTGATTGTGACACCATTGTCGCTTTGGTAAAACTTGCTCGAGATTTTACGCAGAGCGAAAGACATTGTGCTACTGCAAGCGCAATGCTTGGTGCTATTTCTCGTGCAGCGGACAGGTTTTACGTTTCCCAAAAGAAGAAGTTGTTTGACGCCGAGGTTCGCGCTCTTCCGTCAGATAAATTGCTAGTGAAAACGCTTGAGTGGTTGCGGCAAACGAATCCATTCGACGACGATAATTCCTCTTATGAAATATCGATGACTAGATTGACCCCAAAAGCTCGTACAGCGATATCACTGCTAGGATGTCTGACATCAGCGGGAGCTGTATTACCATTACTTGACTATGCGTCACTGATACATCGTGTAATGTTGCGGTTGTGCTCTGTTGATGCAAGCGTAGCGTGCATTCGATTCGCTGCAACTCAAGGCAGCTGTGACGAACTTTTGGCTGGTAAAGTGCTCTCTAGCGAGTGGTTTGGCAATGCAAACGCAGTTCTTCAGTCTGAGCTGATGGCATGGCTTGCGCTAGCGGCTGCCCGCTTTCCAACTGATGTGCTTGAGACTCTACTGATTACTATTTTTGACGTTCTCAAGAATATTTGGCGTCGTGATGCGTCAAGTAGCCGCAGCACTCTTCTTTTTGACAGCTGGACCGTAATGTTACGCGACATCTTACACGCCAAGACAACTCGCCGTATTCCAGAGAGCTCTTTGGAAATGGTCAATAAAGTTATCCTCGAAAAAATGGTGATGGAGCTTCCGTTTGACGTGCATGTCTCCATTTTTGTAAAGCAGTTTGCAGTTCGTGTTCTTTCAAAGTTAGACTACAGCGAACATAGCCCAGTTGAAACATATTTAAACCCGAATGTGGCACATTCTTCAGTCTGGAGTTGGTGGCGAAGTGGCATGTTCGTTATCGAGCTAGCAAAGCTCGAAGTTTTTGTAGTTACCAAGCGTGAGACGTCACTGCTTTTTCAGTGGATATTGCGTCATGACTTTAAGGAATGGACTGATGACAATCTCGTTGACATGTATTTGCATCCATTCATCGCGCAGGTGGGAGCTCTTGTGGCACAGCACACGACAGTGGATGAAAACGTGTCATTACTTTTGGATTTGGTTGACACATTTAGCCAAGCTATGGCTTCACTTGAGTCGTCTGCTCACTCGGATGCCATGAAATGTCGTGCACTCTTTGCTGTTATGGCTTGTATCCTGGCATGGAACTCGACACTGAGTCATGAAAAGTATTTGCTCCAGACCTCGCGTTCCAAAAGTGCCGATGTGGCTACTGCAATTTGTGACGTACTTCCTTTTGGACTGATTGCGTGCACACACGGCTCGAAAAGAGTTTCGACGCTAAGTGAGCGTCTACTTGTATTGTTGCACGAATTAACGAGGCTCAACGAGGACATAGCAGGGAGATACACACGTATTTTACAAGTTTGCAGTCGGCAAATGTATCTAACAGCAGACAGTTGGCATATTTCCAGCACGACGGTTCGTAAGGTCAGAGAATTATGGAGTCTTTGTGAGACAGACTGAAATGGAGACAGCTTCATGCTTGAGCCTTGAGAGACTGAGACGGTCCAGTGTACTAATCTTCGCCATTATCTTACTCACGGCTCTTCTGTTTTGATTACTATGTGTGTTTTTCTTTTACCGTAAACTAAATGTACCCAAGTATTTTTTATTACGGTATTTTATTTTACATGCACGTAATGTATAGGTCCCCATAAGTACTTTTTCTTCCGATAACATCATCGGAATCTTTCTAGAAAAGCTCGCGTTGTATCAGAATAATCTTTGAAATGTCTTTTAGCGTCTAATCGTGTCTGATGTGAAGTAACGCATATGCTTGAGTATAGTAAAACATGTTACGCCGAGCATTGGTTGCCTTTACTTCACATACAGTTCTGCTACCAAACAAGTTTACTTTAATAATCTTACTACTACTTTGTATGTGATCCAATAGCCCGTCCACAGCTTGTTTCATTACAATGTTTATGTATACTTCCTTTACGGTTTTATGCAAATGGCGACTAAATTATATCAATCAAATGCTTTATTCGGACTATTTACAGTAATCTTACACTATAACAGAAACTATAATCTATTGATGTTCTGTGACTCTTGCTCCAGTCATCAGTCAACTTCAGTTACAACCTTTTCTACATTCAACGTGATGATGACGACGATGATGTTTGTAAACATAAAAATCCAGCTTCAAGTGGACAGTCATAACCCATAGTGATGATGATGGAATGATGCTTTAATATGAGCATAATCAGGCAGATTCCATTGCTGCCAGTTATATCGCTACAAAATACAAAAAAACTTTTAATCTACAATCGACAATGCCTTTAATGCAGCATGTCACACTACAATGGCTTAATATATTGCTAGCAAACCAGCAATAAGAGCTGGTCTTACTCACGTTGGTAATCAGTATTACAGTCAATCTGCTGTCTTGATGTGAGCGACATTCGCGCGACATTTCATTCAATCACAATGTCAAGAGTTGCGGTCTTGACCTCTCATTGGTGGGCTTCCTAATGACTGCTGCCACACATCACCACGCAGCTGGGATGGATCCGGCTTCTAGCGTAGGTGGTATAGAACCCGCTTTTTACATGACGCCAACACGTGGTCACCATGTAAAGTAATTAGTGTCAAGCGTGTTCTAATGGATGTATAGTGTTAGAATTGTCAACAAAATGTGTACGTTTTACGATATATAACAAGAACCTATGGATGTGTACTCTATAAAATTACGTAGACGGTTTTATTTAATATGTTGAGTGATCCTATGATACATAAACTCGATTGTTTCTACTACGCTCAAGTGAGTGAGTACTACTACTCTACTACTACTAAGAACAACAACAAACAATACATGTATCACGTTCAAGTCAGTCCCTCAGTCTACAACTTGTATCAGTTTTTCCGTTCAGTCAGTAGTATCATCCACTCGCTCTCTTCTTTTTTTTTCCGTAGCAAGTGATCCGTTTTTTCCGCCCTTTTGAATTCGGTGTCACTAATTGTATCTATGTCACATTATTTCTCCTTTCGAGTCAGTCCAGCAGGTTGTTCGTTCTAGACAGGCCACGTCTGGTCCCTCTCTCTCTCTTTATTCCTCATAATCCAAAACGCGCCACTATTAGCACAAGGAATACCACGTCCTTTTTGGCATGAAGAGCGATTTGATTGGTGGTGCTATTGCTGTTGTAGCTGCATTTCTCTCGATCTTTGGTGTAAATTTACAAAAATATTCGCATGATAAAGAAGCAGGACGTGCAATCCCACGTTCGTATACAAAACGACCCATTTGGTGGATTGGAATGGTTTGTGTCGTTGCTGCTTCCTTGGGTGATTTCTTAGCATTAGGGTTTGCCCCCCAGACACTTGTTGCATCTTTAGGTGGTGGTTCAACAATTTTGGGCAATTGTCTCATGTCTCATTTCTGGTTAAAACAAAGTCTCTATGTGACCGATCTGATTGGTGTAACCTTTGTATCCTTAGGTGTTGTTGTTCTTGCTGCGGCTAGTGAAGAAGATGAAGGTCATTATCAGATGGATCAGATTTATGAACTAATGGAAGCTGCACCATTTATTTTGTATGCATTAATTACGACCGGTTTTATTATGACTTTATATATGCGTGCAAGACGTTCAAAGGCACCAGCCTTACGTGTTGCACATACGGAGAAAGAAGATGGACGTGTGGATGATGTACAAGAGAAGAAAAGACAATTGGCCGAGAAGAAGAAACAGACTCAGAGACAGGATTTGAATCAGACGCAGGATACGAATCCGACACAGGATCCAAAGCAAGTGGCGACGATGGAAGAAACTCAAAAGAATCGTGGTGTTATGATGTCGCCCTTCCCTTCCCCTATTTTTCGAGATCATTTATCACTTCCATCGATTGGTAAACGATTAACAGGAGAAGAAGAGGAAGAATTGGAAGAAATTGAATTATCGAGTTTTAAAATTGGCAAGTACGAGGAGAGTGAGATTGAAAAGATGACACTTATTATTGATCCGAAATTACCTCTTTATTGGGCCGCTATTTCAGGAACAATTGGTGGTCAATCTGTATTACTTGCCAAGTGTGTCGTAGAATTGATTTCATCAACGGTGTCAGGAGATAATCAATTTTCATACTTTGGCACGTATTTACTCTGTGCTGCCATGGCGACGGCATTATTGACACAGACACACACTTTAAATTTAGCTACCATGACTGGCGATACCATGTCGTCATATCCTGTATTTCAAGGATTTTGGATTTCCATGAGCAACATTAGCGGTGTGGTGTTTTTCCAACAGGCACATAATTTTACGAAAACGCAGGGCATTATGTTTCCGTTTGCTATTTTGCTTGTAGCTGTGGGTATTTACTTGGTCTCGAAGCACCAGAAATTCGGTAATTTTGTCAAGTACTCGATTGCAATGCCCATTAGTCTCAGCAGTCCCCGTCAACATGATATTGTGGCCCAGTCGTTTGTTTTTCGCGTGTCAACACCACAGAAGCTGCACGAAGAAGAGTACGCTAGCAGTACCGAGAGCAGTAGCCCGGATGAACACTCTGGACGAGCATTGGAAGAAGTAGTATAGGCTTAGCTGACTCTTGCGTGTGTATGGCATTAATAAAACCCACTGAAGGTAGTTTGGAAAGCTGGTGGCTTGCATTTGCTTGAATGCTTTTTTGCGTGTAAATATACCGTTGTCGCGTGAATGAGTGAGTCTTTTTGTGAGGACACGATACTTCAACTCAGCAGAGTAGCTGCTGAGCACCCAAAAGTGCCGCTAACAAAACTGACATGAATATTTTAACAAGACGTAGTCGTCTAGCTTTTTCAAAGTAGTTAACGAGCTCGTGAAAATCAACAGAAGTGAACGACGACCTTCGCGATATATAAGGTAGCCAGTCATACTCAATCTTGCTAGCTAAAACGTTGCTTCTTCGATGACGATGGCTTGGACGAGCTACTGCGTTTCTTGCTCGAGCTTGACGTCTTGCTACGACTGCTACTGCTCTTGCTCTTTGACTTGAAACTCGAGGAACTGCTCTTTCTTGCCTTCTTTGCAAGATCGTCTTCGTCTTTGCTGTTGCGGCTCTTGAGCTCGTCGTTCTCGCGCTCAATCATTCGAGTTAGCACCTCACCACGCTTCTGAAGCTCGCTAATGGTGCGCGACTTGAAAAACCAGTCAAAGCGAAATTGCCATGCCTTACGAATCTCGTCACGAATCTCGCCCCAGTGCTCCAACGGACCGTACTTGTTCATCATAACAACAAGAAACACATCTTCCTCCAGAATATAGCCCTTGCTTTTGTATCCGGCCGGGTAGTGCAACCGCATATCACGCAACGGATGGCTGTACCGGCTGCACTTGCGCGCCAAAGCCTGTTTCACCACTTCATTGCGTTCCAAACGCTTCTCGCCTCGCTCAATTTTCTCGATGTACTTGGCGTGATCCTTAAGCTCGGTAAAACGAGACCAAAACGTTTCATAGTACCGTTCAACTTGTGCAGCATCCTTGCCAAGAGCCAGCGAAACTTCCTCACATACACGTGCCTTGTCAGCGCGACCGTAGCGCTCGCAGCTGGTGATAAACTGCTTAAGGTCCCGTCGGGTCCAATCACCAAAACCCTTCTTTTCAAGATCTTCCAGCTCCTTCGCATCCGCAGCATCCATCTCCGTCTCATTCAACTCTTTCTCAAGGGCAGCAGAACGGGTGTCATCGACTTCCTCTTCCTCTGCTGAATTCTCAGCTGAGTCGTCACCCTCAGCAGGCTTCGCCTTACGAGCTCTAGCACGTGTCTCATCAGCTTTTGCTTCTTTAATAAGTCGAGTAAGTTCTTTCCGGCGGTTCTCGATTTGCGTCTTCTTTGTCAGTAGTACTACCATGCGCTCCTGTTGGAAAAACTGGTAGTCATGTACAACGGGAACCTTTGCAGCGTCCGAACCGGATTTTTTAGGCTTCTTGGGCTTTGACAAACCCGCCTGCTGGCGATAATATTCGTCTTCATTGTAATTAGACTTGCGCTCACGCTGAGGAAGAGCAATGAACGTTGACGGCAGAATGTCTCCATTGTTTGTGTCCTTTGAAAATACTTCCCCCTCGAACTCGTACAAGCTAGATACGCTAGCATTGCCGTTATCACCCGACAAAGAGAAATTTGCCAAGTTGTGCTGCATATCAGCTGCAATCTTATCCTTCATTGACTCCGTGCGCTCTTCACCACGAGCCAATATAGCGTCGATATCATCATCCGTGATCATTGATCCACGTGCGTTGAAGATTTCATCGGCACCAAAGCGCACCATTGTCATAAGCTCGTCCTTCGAAAGCTTTCGGTTCTGCTGAGCAAGTCGACCCTGCTGAATAATAGCAGCATCGAGATACAATTTCCGCTCAGCACGCTCTACAATCTTCTCTTCAACAGTGCCATCCGTAATGAAACGAAACACGCGCACGATTTTTGTCTGTCCAATGCGATGTGCGCGATCCATCGCCTGAAGATCCACCTGAGGATTCCAGTCCGAGTCGAACAAGATCACGATATCGGCTGTAGCCAAGTTAATACCGAGACCACCGGCACGAGTACTCAGCAGGAAGCAGAATTTAGTGCTTCCCGGAGCATTAAAATCCTCCATCATGCTGTCACGATCTTCACCCTTTGTGGATCCGTCCAGTCGGCAGTAGTCGTGACCAAAATAGCGCATGTAATCCTCCAGAATATCCATCATGGACGTCATCTGACAGAAAATCAGTACACGGGAACCTTGGACTTGGAGTTTCGGCAACAGTTTGTGCAGCAAAGTCATTTTACCGCAATTTTCCCAAAGGTGCGGACCTTCCTGGTATGGTGGACCAGGCTCCGCGCCCTCAAACAAATAAGGATGGTTGCATACCTTACGCAACTGCATCAAGATGTTGAGCAAACGCACGCGGTCACTGCCACCAATAGCATTCAAATGCGTGGCATCACGATGCAGCACGCGCATGTACCACTCACGTTGCATCTCGGACAAGCCCACATATAGCTTGGTCTCAATTTTTGGCGGCAGCGAGTGCTCTACATCCGCCTTCAGTCGACGCAGCAAGAAAGGACGCAAGATCGTGTGCAGCTTCTTGATTACGTTTTCTTGTCCTTCTTCTTCGTCTACATTAAACCACGCGTCAAAATCTTCAGCATCCGAGAAAATATCCGGTAACAAAAAGTTCAATAGCGCCCATAGTTCATGCAAATTGTTCTGCAGCGGTGTGCCAGTAATAAGCAAGCGGTGCTCGACTTTAAACTCACGTACGACACGCGAGAGTTTTGAGTTCTCATTCTTCACTCGATGTGCTTCATCAATAAGCAAATATCTCCACTTGATTTTCTGCAAAATGGCTTTTTCAATAATCGCCACTTCATACGACAACACTAAAGCGTCAAAGTCTTGTTTCACAACCGTTTCTCTCTGCATCCCACGTTCTTCTTTACTGCCCATGAACTTGAAAGCTTTAATTGATGGACACCATCGCTTTAATTCTCGCATCCAATTGCCTACGGTACTTTTAGGTACAATAATAATATGAGGTCCCTCAATTCCTCGTGCTTCTCTTAAGTACGCAAGCAAAGAAATACTCTGCAAAGTTTTTCCAAGTCCCATTTCATCGGCTAAAATCCCATTTACACCGGAATCATGTAGTCGTATCATCCAATTCAGTCCTTCAAGCTGATACGGTTTCATCGTTCCAAATGTAATAATTGATGGTTGTTGGGTCACACGTGTATATCGTGCATCTTCCATATCTTGTAATGCTTGTGCATCGGCTTGTTTACTGCTATTTCCTCGCTTTGCACCTACGATGGCTCCTCCTCCGGTATGTTTTCTTGTTCGTGCCATTTCTTTTCCCATGGCACTACTTCCACCCATTAAAAACGATGTAAATACATGAGATTGGGCCATTAAAAAGCTCATTCTCTTCTCTTGAATTGATTTCGTCTTCCAGTCAACATCTTGAATCAGATTTTGTTTGACAAGATCCAGTGATTTGACTTGACGATCACGTTGTTCTTGGAGAATCAGTTCTTCTTCTTTTTGTAAGGATACACGCTCTTCATTGGATAAAAATGTCGTTTGAACAACTGGTACGGTTGTTGTTGCAGTTACTTTTGAGAGCAATGGTGTATCGGTTTTCACAGGTTTCACGGCATCGAAAGGCGCATGAGGATTACTATTGTTTGTTAATGTTGTTGTTGTTGGTAATTGAGGGTTTGGTGGTGAAGTAACACTTTCATGTGGTGAAGGAGAAGTGGAAGAAGAGACACTATTGATACTTGGACTTCGACTTCCACTACTTGGACTTGGACTTGCACTCGTACTACTGTTACTTAAGTCAGACATGATGGGAAGAATCGAGTAGATATGTATGTAAAGAGGTTTGTTAGGGGGAGTAAAATGTGAGTGGACCACATGACATACTACTTCAGTGTGTCCGAGGACATATGTGTACCACATAATTACTACTTTCTGATCCATCAACTGGTGGACCACACGTTATACAAGTGCGCAGTGAGTAATGACGGATCAAGAACGTTGCGAGATGCAGGACCATGGCCATATGCAGCGACCTGAGTACGTGAAAAGTAACAATAACAAACACATCCAACCTACTTAATATGATATAATGATACTTTTTCGATACAGACGTTTGCGTCCACGTCGTCTTGAACGAGATACGTTATCGTACTTAAAAGAAGTGACCGAATTACTTGCCGAGAATTCCATGTCTACTACAACTACTTCATCAACTGATCAGGATGAGATGGAATTAATGTTATGGAATGTATTGGAAGAAGTAGCACCACGTGCTGCTAGTGCTACTTCAGATCGTCATGCCAGTGAAATGCTCGAGACTTTTATACCGAGACTCAATGATGCTCAATTACGTTACTTTATGTACAAGATGATGGGATATATGAGTCATTTATGGACAAATCGGTATTCATCACATGTATTACAATATTTATTATCTCGTTCTAGTATTGTAATTGCAAAAGAAGAAGCTGAAGAAGAAGAAGAAGAAAATAATCGAATGAAGGAGATTCCATCGATGAGTGATATTATTATCCATATGGTCAAGGAAGTGGAGAAAGAGTGGATTACACTTATGAATGATGTAAGTGCGAGTCATGTCCTGCGCTCGGTATTAGCAGTACTAGCAGGTAAACCATTGGTCCTGGAAAAGCGTGGTAAAAAAGCTAAGCACCGTGTTGTCACGTTTACTGAAGCTATTCCTGGTAAAGATGGTTCTGAAGTTACGTATAACGTCCCAGAAACGTTCAAGGTACTATTGAGCGAGCTAGTGATGGTGCTGATCAAGTGCCCGACATTTGAGCTACAGAACCTGCTTTATGACCAGAACTCGGGCCCGCTTATTGCTTCGGTGTTGAAGCTAGCTCCTTCGAAATGCAGACGTAAACTTGCGAAAAAGATTTTGCAGTGGGAAGACGAGGATGCGTGCGAGTGTGGTTTTTACGACTTGGCAGCGAACGCCGTGACGAGTCACGTGCTGGAAGCTTTGTTCGAGAGTGCCAGTGATACATTTTTTGCAAAGGTTTTTGAGCGCTGTTTGCGCAGCAAGATGCTACAGCTGGCCGAACACAACATTGCGAACTACGTGGTTCAGCACGCCATTAAGCTTGTTCGCACAGAGGATCTTGCTGCGGATGTGTTGAGCGAACTGATGGATTCCCTGTGGACGCTGCTGACTATGGGCCGCCCTGGAGTTATTTGGCGTGTAATGGAAATGTGTGTGAAGTATAAGCTGCACCAACGTAAAATGTTTGAGGCGCTTGTGAACGCTGTTGCGAAGCAGGAGAGCAAAAAGCCTGAAGCCGTTCGGAAAAACTTTGTAGCGTCCCTATTAAACTTGCAGCTGTCAACATCTGCTACGTCCGCCAAGGTTCAGCTGAACGTCATGGGCGCCAAGATTATTGAGCAGATGCAGCAGTTTGAGGCTGGAGAATACCTGACCCCGTTGTACGAGGGCATTCTCTCGTTTAATAGCATGCAGCTCATTGCTTTAGCCAAGGACTCTACCGGTAGCCGCTGTATTGTAGAACCGATTTGGGAATCTAAGGAACTCAGCACTGCGTGGGTGCGGCAGGAGCTGTATGAACGGTTTGTTGGCAAGTTTGGTACGCTCGCAATGGATCGTTTAGGTGCTTTTTCGGTAATGAAATGCTATGAGGATCTTCCGTTGGACAAGAAGGAGGCAGTCGTGCACGAACTGCTGACAGTAGAGACGCAGCTAAGTGGAAGCCATTTTTCGCAGCTTGTGATGAACACGTGCCACTTGTTCGAGTACAAGAAGAGTCGTGAGAAGTGGGAGGCACTTTACACAAAGCAGCAGAAGATTGCCGACTTGTTTAAGGATGTTGTCGAAAGTGACGAGGCACCAGAAGGAAGCACAAGATCTCGTAAAAAACACAAAAAGTCCAAAAAACGCAGAGTTACTCAACTGACTGGAGAGGAAGCTGAACAACGCAAGGAGGAGATTACTAAAAGTGCCGATGTGGCGATGATCATGGATGCACTGCGAAGCGGCGTTGCTGGCAAAGATAAGAAGACGAAGAAAAGCAAAAAGCACCGCGCTGAGGAAACCTGAGATGTAAGTGATGCAAGCATTGGTAACACTGGATTTCGGTCAGAACAATAGACTCTCTACATGTGAACACTATACTTGTATCATAATTTGCTTGTTTTCCTAACCAAGTGATGTCGTACTAGCAGAACAAAGTCGTTGACTCATCTTTTGCTCATTTTTTCATATCCCAAATGAAATTTGCCATACTCTGTCCAAGCAGCAGCAGGTGTATCCCTCGGTGCACCTTCACCATCATGATGCCGTTGTGCACTGGTTTCTTGGACAAACTCAAGCTTAGCACGCAGAGACATTTCATTGACGCATGACAGCTTCTCCGCTGTCAATGTACTCAACCCTGTAGTTTCCAAGATATCGCCGTCGACAGACAACCGACAACTGTTGTGGCACTCAATGTTTATCCGCACACGATAAGAAGGAGTGCCTTGTTCGAGTGACCAGTTGAATAGTTGAAGGAATATAACTAACCGGTATGGGTCCTCAACACGCATTTCACCAATATAGTCCCCAGAAGCGCCATCACTACCGCATGAAGTGATACCATTTGGAAAAGTACGAAACACACGATCCTTACCGTCTAGCACCAAGTGCATGCAATCAATGCACCCTGCCAAACCTCGTGGTACCCGAATACGTAAAGTGCTTGCTCGAATATCAACAGCTACATCAAACCGGACAATTTGCGAGATAAGCTTGACCAGAGAAAATAGTGATACATCTGGAACCCTCGGACCACCACTGCTTTTGCCTCTAGCAGAAGCAAAAGGCCTTAGTTCATTGATACCCCATTGCACATCATCTACATCCAAATACCACTCGCCATGCCAGCTTCGCTCAATAGCATTGTGAGGAGGATAAGCTGTCATGAAAGTGGCGTCTGAATCTTGACGGGGTGGCACAGACACTGGTGATCTTGTAGCACTAATGTAAGTCTCTCGCATTTGCGCGACAAACATCGTCCATCCAGCAAAACTTTGACCACTTAAAATTTGTCGTACGAGTGGCCGTCGGTCATGAAAACACTCAAGCGAATACACCGCTGCAAGCACTTCCTCAGCCACGTTAGATAATCTACGAAGTGTTGTAGCTGCAAGCACTTCTGTATGCAAACGCTCCTCTAACTCACGCAGAAATTCAAGAAAGCATAAACGCATGACCTTCTTGTCCAGCACAGATGTAGCGTTCTGGCGAAAAAATGTGCGTATCCAATGGCATGTCTGCCCAGAATATAACCATAGCACAGACCGCAAAGCCACTCGAAGTAAAGGTTCTAGACCAAGTGGAAGTAGAGTGCTTTCTCCAGTAGCTTGCATACTTTTTTCTGTCTGAGCATGCTGAAATAACAGCCTGGAAAAACAATTTGACTTGGTCGATTTCTTCTCCATACTTGTTGATACTAGCTCGAGGACTGTCTGATCGATCAAGTGCACGATCTCAGAAACTAACGACGCGTATAATCTTAACGGCACCCAACGGACAAACGCAAGAAGTAGTGCCATATTCTTTGATACGGCGACAACAGGTGCATTCGAATGCTCCCAGAATAGTTTGTCTTCAAGAGAAGGCACAAATTCCTGGTCATTTGAGTCCTTTCGCCGTCGACGTTTCGCTTCGTTATTGCAAACCGCTGTATGTAGCAACGATTTTGATGCACGCCATGCAGTTACGTCACGATCGCTAGCTCGAGGTATCGTACTCGCATTATGTGTTGACTTAATGACCCCCCGATGATGTATCTGGTTGATAGACCGTGGACTATTTGGTGTTAAACTTTCAGGTGATTTTCTTCGTACATGTGTTGCGGAATGTGTGACTTGTCTAATTGTACTGCAGCATGTGCATGAGTAATTACTTGCAGTTGATCCAGTGGTGCTCGACGATATGAAATGACTGTAAATTCAGGGGATGACACTACATGCAGCACTCGGTACAACTGTGTGAAGGCTTCAGGACTGGAAATCGTTGTAAAATTATCGTCCATATCCACTGCAACTTGTTCAACAATATATGCTTTCAAGACATGTTTCATCAGTCTCTGCGCCTTGTTTGCACCACTTTCCCAATCATAATACCATCGTGAACAAGCTTTCCGATTCAAATGGAACACCAAGGAATTTTTGCTGCCTGGTCGTGACTCATCATGATAATTTCCACCTGGAAGGGCACGAATCATGGTTACCATATCTGATGGTTGATCCAATACACCAGCAATCCACTGTCCATCTAGATTTGTCCCAGTCTGCAATGCTCGCTGGATCACGTCTACCTCCACACATTCTCCCGTACGTAAACTTACATCACTAACAGCTTCAAAGCGAGCAAAAACCGATAGCACTTGACGTTGTACAATTTTCAATGGTGCAGTTCCATCCGAACGTTTCGCTAGTCGAATATCTACACTTAATGACGATCCACAATAACTACGGTCAATATGCTCGGGACAACAGTGAGGGAAACAGCGAAGAATTTTCAAGCCCTTGGTCCTATTACTCCTATTGGCACAATATGTTGAAGTTAAGGGTGACAAGTTCCAAACACACGATTAGTAAACAATCAAATGAGTTATCAAGAAAAGAAAATGTGTTTTGACTAGAGATATTTTGGATGTCACGAGTGACGTTTGTGACAACCGCTTACCGTTTATATTCCGACTGGAAAAGCTGCTCGTGGTTACATTCAAGACGAAAGAAGCGGCCTGTAATTACTTGTAATGGTGCTGAAGACATTTCCATCTTGACCGCTTTGTTTTAAGTGTCTCCCAATGTCTTACTGGTCAACTGGAGGGTCCTTTTTAGGTTAGGTCCTTTTCGGAATGGGTAAATTGCAAGTGTAGAAACAACAGCAAGAAAAAAATGGGCACTTTGTAGATGAGCCGCTCTTGACAAAAAGACCAAGTTCCGAAACAGTAAAAAGACTCGAGAGGACAGAGTCAAAAGAATACATTCATCCGTTGGAAGTTGATACAATGACAGAGCTTAACTGTGAGAAGTCATCAAATTTATATCTACAGGACTTTTTGACAACCATTCGATATGCAAAGGATCGTTTTGGTATTTACTTTGGATTCAACTCGACTTTCGCCTTTAGACTGTATAAGCACCTGATGGAAAAGTTTCAAGTGTCGATGCTTTCATGCACAGTATTGTTCGTAAGGACAAAGAAGTTTTGCAATGCCACGAGCAAATTAGGCCGTTTATGTTCATTCGTGACGCTCCCGTCGTTTTTTTTCCAGTTTTTCTGACCAAGCCTTTATGACATTGTGGATATAAAGGCATTGAGTACTAGGCCATGTTTGAATAACTTACATTCACCTTTGATAGAAGCAATAACGTACTAGTTGAAAGATTTTTCAAGAAGCCTTTTAGCTGGAAAAAATAGTCAATTGAGGATTTAGGAATATTGGACAAGACTGACGGATATTCATCATCATGGTAAAATCAATTCGACAACGACAATTTGGTTCTTACTGTCATGATACGTAGTTCAAAAAGACTGTAGGCAATGCAATGATATGAGATCAGGGCATCTAGAGCGTCCATTCGATCGTCGATTATCCATTTTGAAACTATATAATCTTTTTGGTTTGACACCTCTCCTGATAGACATCGCCGGTTCAGGTACTAGGCATGATATTCTTTCGAGACTCAACACAAAAGGATGAAAGATGCACAAGTAGTAGCTTACTCACACCTTATTTTGCATTATTTTCACATGTAGGTTCTGAAGTGTTTACCTAAGGAAGGGTCTGCAAGTTTAAGCCGCTTTATCACTAAATCATGGATCTAAGTGGTCTCTAGATATGAATCTTTCGGTGAGACATTCTCAATCGAATGTGTTGTGTTGAAGATACTGCTTTTAGGATGTTGAACCACGGTGGGAAGTTTAACATGATGGGCCAAGCCTTCAATCGAGATCGACCATTATCGATTGACAAGTTTTTCGTTTCATAAGTAAGATTTGTTGTTCATACAGTGTGTCTTCAGCTGAATATGAAGGTTTCGTGCGTATGTATTGGTAGCATACGACAACTTTACAAATTTCATGCTGCTTGACTTGGACGTCAGCAGACATTCAATAAAAAGAGAGTGGTATGGATTGTGCTACCGTCTTTGGTGCAAGCAGGCAGCTAAATGTCCTCAATTGAGACCAAAACATGTCGTGTGGGCTGTCTAGAATGACTACGATAACATTTGAAGAACAAATATTTGTAAGTGACGTTGTGGTTGGAGGCAATGGAGTCTACAAGAGCTGAACAATAGCCACATGGATAATGATCTTGATGATCCCGGCATCATTTGATCAGATTGTTTTGCTGGGTGGTTTTTTATGCGGATCAAATCACGTCGTGTCTATTGTGAATAATTGACTGAGCAAGGATTCACGACTGAGAACTCAGGTGTGGGATGGAATCGTTGATCATCATGGCTATTCTATTCAGCACGCAGTTTTTCATCCGTTCCAGCCTACGAACGAGTTACTTTATCGATTGTGTATTTCGTTTATGGCTTGGAAAATATCTATGTTATCCATTGGAAGCTCCTAGCTCTTGCTTGACCATTTTGCATGCGTGAATTTGCTCGTGTTTGTTGCTCGTGAGCTTTTGAGAAATGAAAATGTGGTTTCTTGCATTCTCGAACGGTGATTGTTGGAAGATGCAATTTTTCACCGTGACGATTTGATGCTTGTCTATGGTTGCACTGTTGACGACTGTGCTAGCACTCGACACGCGTGCACACGTTGTAGGAGGGATCATGAAAACTACCACCGACGGGTTATACCTACACAAATACAACGGGTTAATCGGGCCTTAACTTGCATCTCACGATGATGTCTGTATAATGATGTGTATACGGACGATTCCGTTGGCAAGGTGCTACCTTTTTGCTTCCTTGCCGTCCAACACGCCTTGCGTCGAGCACGCATGTAGTGATTAATGGGATATCAAGGGCTATTGATATTTGAAATGAGCTGAAAGATTGCAAACACGCGAGCAAGTGGTGCTGTTTCTGGTGTTGTTGCTTTCAGCCACAAATATTGCTGCTCTTGCGATCATCGCTATCGCCTACCATAGTGTTCTACTAACTTGCTTTGCAGCCAGGCGCTAACTGGTATTTTGATGTGATGTCTATACCATCATAAGTGACACGAGGCCATCAAGTAGCAATTAAAGGAAGGATATACGTATGTTCTCGCCAATCCATCCAAAAAATATACCCTCTCAAGATCTTGTGCGTTCCGGTCATTGTGCGTGGAAGATCAATTGCAAGTAAACGACTACAAATTTTTGGTAAAGGGTACGGAGATTCGTGTGCGTAAATATTGCTTCTTGTGACAGCGCAAGAATGGAAAGAAGTAGCAGTATTTGTCGAAGGAACGGCAGATGTCAAAGCGACAGGCTACTCAAGAATGTAATTTTTCGGGACCAATTACTTATAAACGCAGCAATGCTTTTCAGCTGCTTTGTTGCAACACTACATCTCGTGCGCTTGGACAAAGCAGATTTCACAATACAGAGGTTGGGAGGCCTATAGTCTAGTCCGTCCCTTGCCTGTGCCGTCAAAGGACTCGGTTTGAACGTCGCTGCGAATCACTTGAAAAAAGTTGTTACAAATTGAAGAATACGAACTATGAGGTGCCGAACGAACAAAAGTGATAACGGAGGTGCTCCTTGTGGTCGCTGACATGATCGGGTGCTCCTTACAAAAGTCTCCTATATCCATCGTGGAACCCTGAAAAGGCGAACACCGTGTCGGGAGTGCCGATGGCCCCTCGCAATTATGTGTTAATCTGCATCAGTGTACGACGACTCATATACTATTCTCTGGTGACGCATGTGATGGCATTAACGCTGTCTGGTGCAGATCGGAAGGGCAAAAATGGATTGAAAGAACTGTAAACGCCGACATGCTGCACTCGACAACATTGCGTAGAAAGCGCTTGATATTTCGTGAAATCAATTAGTTGGGCTTTCTGTCAACAGCACAGCGCTCAACGACGTAATCAGGAATTGGAGGACGTGCAAGGCTATCGGTTCAATTTCAGTTTATTTGCTACAACTTGCTCGCTGGTTTGAAGATTCATAGTCTTGAAGCGTGCGAAGACAGCTAGAGCCTCACTGAATTGTAATTGAAAAAGCTGATGGCAGGAAGTTTTCTAACAGTGCGGTCACTGATGCATCAAGAAGATGAGCTTGAAGCTGTAATGCGTCAAAAGCCGTTTGAAAAAGCAGTCCACAGCGTACCACCCTCTACTTCCAAGTCATATCGACTACTTATTTCGTATCGCGTGCTTTGCTGAGGATTTCGGATACTGAAAGCTGGCTGCATTTTTAATAAATGGAGGTAGCGTTCAGAGAAGGAAGAGGTACCTACTATACGATTTTTCAACGAGAAGCTAGCACCCAAACTTCATCGATACTATTGCTACGATCTCGGGTAGAGGATTTGCACAGAGCAAATCTCAAGAAGCACGTCAACGATTCTTTTGATGGACATAGCACTATGGTCGCACGTCCTAAGGCTGAACATGGCTAAATGGGACTAATTCAGCTGCTCGGACGGACAGATCATCTTTGAGGTTTGAGATCCACATGAGATCGCTTATCCGACTATTTTGCAGCCACTGGCATTCCATCTATAGTTGGATCTCTTAATGGAGTCACTGTGCGCAGAGTTCCACGACAGAAATACCTGACGTCAACGTCGCCGTCGGAAAGTCCTATGAGGTGCTCGTGCGTGACCGTTTCCATAAACTTGACGGCACAGACGATTGGCAACCTTTTTTAGCTGCAGCCCTGAAGCACACGAAACGGCACTTGCATGCATTGGCATCCAACTCATTGCGTTTCTCATGTGCGAGCTACGGCTTGGTCTTATAAACAAGATACTGATAAAAGCGTTTTGAACGTCCTAAACTCTGGAACCCTGTTCGTGATCAATGTAGCGGAGATAAAAGCTTTCACCATCGAATCTTCTTGCTATTCTTGTGATAAAGCATGTAAGTTATCCCCAGCAAGCTTGTGTTTATCTGCTCAAGTCCGCTCTGCAAAAGTTGTTATTGACACTGTCTTTTCGTGCCTAATGAATCTGCAATTGATTGATGCCACGAAGTACCGACCCATGTATCGCCGCCGTTGTTCTAGCGCGAGGTGATGAATCGCCGTTTTGCCTTGTTGCATTTCACAGAGCTTTTGGTCAGAAGTACTCAGTCACGTGGCGAGCGCAATCATTGCTGAACGCCATCGCGTAGATGCACGCCACAGATTTGTGGTTGGCGTCTACGCCATAAGTTCCGTGTTTACCAGTTCCAAGACGTTGACGAGGTGTTCCGGTTATCGTGGAAAGTTGTCAGCTCTCAATTTCGTGTAAAGTTGTCAGCTCTCAGTTTCTCCATGCAGCAATCTTTGCGGATACTGTCTCAAGCAACAACAGACGTGACGAGGCCAGCTCCTTGTGCTATGATCAATACTTGTTTCTATGCTGAGCTAAGCGTGCACGACTGCTCAACGCTCCATACGAGCTATTTCGCAACATAGCACACCTCGGTCCGCGCTCGCTTCAGCTTGTACATGTTTCCACATCGCTTGCTATCCGTCACCTCAACGATGCCACAGCGACAAATATAACTTGTCGTTGCAGACTGTGCATCCGACAGCTCAATTGACGCTTTGTTAGTCACCATCATAGCGTGTGTGCCTTTTGCAACGACGGCGATCTTTTGTCTAACACCAACAAGCGTAATGTGGACTGACGCCTTCAGCTCCGTCCAGAACTTGGCTTGTCTCAAACACAAATCACGTGCATCGAAGCCGATGTGCTATGCACAACTAGTCATCGCACTCATAGCGACGAGCGAGTTGTCCAACTCATTCTCGCGGCTGGTTATTTTCGTTCCTCTTTGCTCAGCTCATGGATATTGTCGTGAAGTATCGCAAACTTGCAGTCGAAACCAAAACGATGGCATGTGGCCACCTTGGTCTGTATCGTTTTCACGACAGCAATGTCAATGACATGGTCTAAGACTCGTCACCGCCAAAAACGTCCAACCGCATCACTGTCATAACAAAGAGCGTCCCATTGATGTAGACACTTGTAGCCTTTCTGGGCTCAGCGTATGTCTTGTCGCTCGCCAACAGTTTTCAATAACAAACAGTACTGGCGTGGCAAGTGATGAGGTATAAACTTGAATGAGTATCGCTATGGTCGAGTTCCTCTCGTAAGGTTGCGCTACCATACGTTTAGTTTCTAGTTGCTTAGCCATTGTACATCAGCTATGAGGTCCCGCTTAACTCATGTTGAACGTCTCGATGCATTTGACCATGTGAAAGTGGTGCTGACACTACTTAGCTTGGGAGGATATCTCGTCCAAGGAAACCTTAATCCAAACTCTTCAAAAATGTAGATACCTTACTTTACGCGCACATCAATCACTATGAATGAGTTACTGGAGTATGATTGTTAGTAGCTCATTAGTGCAAGCTTTTAAGAATTTCATACACTTGCTTGGCATTTGATGGTTCATTTGCCATAACAACAGACATTTTTTTTACAAAGCATCTAACGTGTGCCTTCATGTATTCATTTTAACTACTACTGCTAAACTCTCTTGTTAAAATTGTGTGCAACTTGTAAAGCACTTCTGCTGCAGTCGGGCGATCGTCTGGGTTCAGTGCAACGCAGGACAAGCCCAATTCTGCCATCAATCTCGATCCGGCCGACGAAAATTCGACACGCAATTTTCCCGTCGCAACCAAATGTACAATTGCTGCGCTGGCAATATTTCGATTCTGGTTTTTGACCTCCACGGCATTGGAGTACGGCAAAGTGTGAAAATCCAATTCAGACAGCACCACGCCCATGGAAAACACGTCGGCCTTTTCATTATATTCCTCCCCCATCATTACTTCTGGTGCCATCCAAAGTGATGTCCCCACACCTGCAGTCATAGTATACTCATCCAATTCGCGTGAGGCCCCAAAATCTGAAAGCTTAGCGTCGAGGTTGGCAGTTAGCAGAACATTCTTCGACTTGAGGTCACGGTGAAGCACGGGCGGATCCAGTGAGTGCAGATACGTGAGCGCATGTGCAATGTGAAGAGCAATCGTCACTTTTTTTTTGTTGAATCCAACAGGGGCCTTCTGAGCCTCGTAGAATGATAGCAGCGCCCGTAGATCGCCTCCTTCCATAAACTCAGTGAGCAAACATAGATCAGAAAGCGAGTCCCAGGCTACTCCGATGAACGGTACAATGCGAGGGTGTTCCAGTGTTGACATGAGCTTCACTTCCTCCAGAAACGAGGTCAAGTGAGCCATGATTTTGCGATTTTCAGGTAGCAACATCTTTATAGCGACATGCTGTCCGTTGAACCACCCTGACATCACCTGGCCATATCCCCCGTGACTGATTACATGACCAAAATCAATCTTATCTCGGTCGACGCGCTCTGCAGCAAGTTTATCGTCATCCCAGAAATAGCTTATGTTTCGTTGCTCTCGACTGTCCTTCAAGTAAGAGCTCTTGGTGCGTGTGCTGATGGCAAAACTCTTTGGTCGGTTATGCAGCGTTGAATACATGTTGCACCCTGTATCGCTACAACTTGAGCAACCATTTCTGCGCTCATCATTCGCAGCTTGCCGTTTCCAGAAGAAGACGGCAAGCGTACACCCTAGCGCAATTGCACCGAGAACAAAGCCGACAATAGGTAACCAGGTCCAATTTGAGCTAAAGCCTGATTCTTGTGTATCTGTACTGTCACTCTTACCAGCAACGAATCCAGTGCCACTCAGTAGACTTCCACTGGTACTCGTGTAAATCTTGTAGTAATCTTGTACGCACTTTCCAATCGAAATGTCATCAATGTTTAGATCAAAGTTCATGAATTCGTTCCCCTTGCATCCATTCTCATTATACAGCGACAAGCGCACTGATCCATTCGAATGCAGCAGCGAAACCATGGATAATCTCCCATACAATGTCGAATCTACACACTTTTCAGACGATGGTAAAATTGTCGTAAGCCGTAGGTCATTGCAGCCTTTCGTTGCATAATCTTCCACAACAATGTAATTGAACGTTCCAAAAGCCTTTTCAGCATAGGAATATCGGTCAATAATATCGCATTCAAGATGCATGTATTGAGTAATATTGTTCATCTCAATTGTTGTGCATTTCTCATCAGGGATACATTTATTGAAATATGTAATAGTTGCAGCACTAAGGACCCCAGAGCACGTCTCTTTTTGATAACGTTCCTGTAAAACCCAAACCGAATTCACAGTCACCATTAATATTATCATTACCATGAATAGCAACAGTAACGTCTTCATCAAAGACCTCATTGCAAAAATCAAACAAATGGTTTTTTTCGAGTGTATGAATGTCACTTGGAGAATGAGAGGAAGCAAACAATAAAAAGGCATCGACCGATTGCATGGTATGCCATTGAGATGTGCATTATTATTCATGACTTACGCTATACAAAATGTCTATATCACCCAAAGTGATGGTTTTGTAGTATCAAGTTTCAGACATTTGGCAGGATGAGTCAGCAAAAAGCTTGAATTGTTTGAATACGCCATTACAATTTGACTACTGACACCTTTTTATTGCGGTGTAGTAGTGAACCAAACCAACAAAGTTTCAAGTAAAGTAGTAGGGAAAATGTAGTCGACCTGTATCGACTGAAGGAAAGTATTGCTGGAAAAAAGCTGCACTGAGTCCGGAAGAAGGACTACAATGGTCGAAATGCATTTGTGGTGATCCGATGAATACTGTTGTAACAATGTTGCGAGAATTGCGTCATGGGACTGAGCGTTTTCACAGGATTAGTAGCACAGAGTGCTTCCTCACCATGAAATGGTGCGATGCTTTCGATTTTCATGCGAGTGGCTGGCTGTGCATTTTAAGACAGACATAACGTTGAGTGGTGAGACGGAATGCAAATCTATTTCGAGACATTTACCTTCCTGGATTAGGCAAGGTCTGAGGAGTTGTGGAAGCACCAGACAATATATGAACGACGTAGTGTTGTCATCATTGAGGGTGGTATGGATTTGTGTGAGTGTTCCCGTTCATTTTGAAACCAGAAATACGCTACTTGTAGACTGAAGGAATTGCATGATAACGCAGCTGAAGCGTTACGTTTGGCGTTTTCGTCAGCAGTGTCCACAAGCTCGGGTTGTCGATCGTTGTGATCAAGCCTGCGGAAGAGCAAAGAGAGAGAGGATGTAGACAAGTTAATCCACGTGTTGATATTACGGCCAAGATGTACCTGCTGACGACTTGAAAGTCTGTCCTACGCCAGAGTACGAATCCGCTTTCATCCTGAACCCCACTGAGGACGTTAGAGCGAAAGGAGACAATGCGAAAAAACTTGTTACAACTCGACGGCTCCATGATGGCAGTAACTGCTACGTGCTTGTGCTATAAACTTTCTTCGTCTGGAGCGAGGTCAGCTAAGCCGCGTTAGCACACATTGTCGTCTTGTGGTGCGTGCTAGGCGATCTCAAGGTGGTTGTCATCATAATATTGCGAGCGTCTTATCGCGAAGCCATGCGGGAAGAACACGCGGCAGATGATGCACTCAGTGCCCGACAGAACAATCACATTCGACCAACACCAGAGTACTTACGCACCACCGCAGCCGCTTCTTGTCGCGGTTTGCTAAATACATGAAAAGCCAAATGCAACTTGCTTGCTCTCGTTCTCTCGCACGGCAAAAATGGCAACGAGGCCTTTAGTCATACTTGGTGATACAAAGTAGCAAGTGTATAATACTCCAGCTCTGCAGACCGAAAGATAAGCTTTCCCGCAGCTTGTACTTGAGCAAATATTCTCAGATTTGTATCAAAGATTCAATAAAGCATCAGGAACAAGTACGTCTTGCGCAAGATACTCACAACTGCACGCTTGCCCGCGCGAATACTTACAACCACCGGTCACATTGTCGCGACCAGGCATGAATTGTCTTGTTGTCAAGATATATGATGCATGAGCATAGCACTTATGATAACACCTCAGCTTTCAGCCATCCAATGAATGACTTGTGGAATAGTGGACTTGTGGAAGATACGACTGGCTTGAACAAGTGTCTAACGTTTGCAAAAGAATTGTTCTGTATCCAGTGATCAGCTCGCAGTGTTGTATGTTTGTTCAAGCACTTTTACCGACAGGTTGTCACCAAACATTTCTGTGCAAAACAGCGTTACATCCTGCTCAGCAACTTGTTGGACTCTGCGAAGTGATTTGCGCACTGTGCTGGCATTGGGATCAGCCTCATACCTTTACAAGCCTCTCTGGTCCCGTTCAGGCATCATCATAGCACCGACTACTGCCACAAAAAAAGCCGTCAGTTTTTCTTGTTTATTGGTGAGAGTCGCAACAGCGCGTCAGAATCTTGAAATTCTTATTCTTGGACGAAGAAAACACGGACTGGTGAATGCGAAAGCCCTGTGCAATCCAGCACGCCTTTATGTCCATTGAATCATGCAGCAATGAAGCTCATTATCACAACGACGTCCACACCAGATCGTGTAATGAGACCTTAAACATCTTGAAGCATTCCACTTGCAAAAACCAGCATCCAAACGTCTTGGCAACTCGGCAACAGCAGCCTTATTTGTTTACGGGAATCACTGAGCACGTGGATTCATGAAATTGCGATCTTTTCATTCGGCATAAGGAAATGTTTTGTAAACAAGTACTGCATGATCAAGCTGCTATCATCTTAAATTAATGCCACAGTACGTTTAGTCCAAGGAAAGCTTCATCAGTATGACAGGCAACAGCAAAGTTATCAAGTTCCAATCATTTGCAATTGGATGACAAGCAGATGGCCACATTTCTCGGTGGCATCATTTGCCACTGTAAAACCTTCAACATCGACCGAGAATTTGATCGAAGTCAGTGCTTTTATCATCTATGCGAGGAGCAGCAGACATAGATAGGATGGGTTGTTGGGTGAACATTCAGCAAAAGCGTCGAGACCACGTTCACTGCTTCTTGGCAACTCCGATTTCTATTTGCTAAGTGGTGCAAATAGGCCAACGATAAATTCCGGGATAGCACTGTTCTCTTGCGCAGATCTCGTAAGTGCCACTTTGCCGCAATTTATCTTCCAGCATGTTTCAAATTAACCCCGACGACCTCGCATTATCGACCGCTCACGAATAAGTTTGTTACAACAGTTGCTCACATCAACGTATAGCCGCTGTCTACGTCTGGTGCACTTGACGAGATGTGTAGACCGAAAAATATTGCAGTGTTTGGTCGAATATCGCGATCGATGTTCCCTACATGATAATGTATGGATTAACTACCACGACAACGGTCAAGGATGATCGAGCATAACTACAAATGGGACTTCCAACGTAGATCAAGCTTGTGCGAATTCTTCGGGGTGAATAGCACATTGCCACTCCAACTGACGGCATACGATTACGCAAACTAGCTAAAATCTTGCAAAAGCTAATACAGCTACTACCAAATAGTACTGCATGATCAACGGCTGCTTGTCCAGAGCTGTTGTATTTGAACATGGAGCTTTGTCACTACGACTATAGCAGTGACTCAATATACTGATGCATGTGGTGGCACCCGCGATAAGATGCATCACGTACCCAGCAATTTTAGACAGCAAACCAACAATTCGACCAGCAACAAATTTATGACACAAAATCAACTGCTTCTTATCCAGACAAAATTTCGATCAATCACTGAACGACAACAACGGTATCTTGAGCGACACGTATGTTCCTGGCCTTGTCTGCTCAGGCAATGGCTTGTGTCCCTACACGCCACACAAAATTATATACTCACACCGGAATAGTCTTGAGGAAATGCAGTGCATAGCTAGCAAGCGTAAGAATCTTGACAGTCTCACATCCCATGTACAAAATGTGGTAGATCTTGGCCGGTTTGCTTTGAATCTGGACTTTATGACGCATCTCTCCCAACTGCATCTTTTGGTTAAACGACAGGTTCTCATTGTCTAACTCCTTCAGCTCCTCATAGATTGCAAACTCGGCCGAAAGCTCTAGCTTGGGGTATAGCCATGCAATCTGCATCACTACAAGAAGCGTGACGATAACAAGGCGCCACACAGCATCGCCTGAGGTGGACGACACCACGTAGTACAGTACCCAAAGCCCCACGCAGATACCAATTTCCACGGCGTTAAGGGCAGCAAACATAGTGCGGCCTAGGTCCAATGCAAGATGGCGTGGCATGAAGGGTGCACGGAATTTGAGCCATGACTCAGTGCACGAGATGGCGAGCACAAAGCCCAGCCATATGAGAGAGAGGAAAGCGGCAGACGCGCCCTTGGACAGCCAGTTGAGCTTGGCTAATGCGACAAACACGAGGCCTAAAGAAGCGTATACACCACTTAGTAAACTTTGCGTCTTGGCGTCCATACAAAAAAGAGGTAGAGAAAGAAAGAGCTAATGACTTGGTCTTTGTAAAATGCGGAATGATGCGCAATTTGTGAAGAGCCAATGAAAACGATGATCATCACTCTGACAACAACTTCAACTTCAACCGGGGTAAGTTGTGTCATCCTACAGCGTACAAGTATATAACATGATACACTACATCCTTCTTATTCAATGAAAAGATCGATCAGATATAGTAAGCATAGAGCATGGATCAAGATAGCAGGATACGCAATCTACACACGTCACAGTCAGTGGCTGCAAGGTTACAGTGCAACTCATGTATGACCTACTTCATGTACCGTCATTTACAAAGACAAGTCTCAAAGCTCCGTTCGATGCGGTGTCCCTGTAATACTCGTATATCGCTTCCCAATTCCTCTAACGGGAGGCCCAGGATCAGTGGAGGAGGTTTCCCTCTGCTGCGTGCGCTATGGAGGGCTAGCGCAGCATGTGACCCGTAAGGGTAGCACCACCCCTGTCCACCCCTGGGGGAGAGGAATCACAACCGCGTTATCCTCCCCCCCGTTTATTTCCTGTTATTCTACGTCAGTCTTCACGTCGCCGGCCCGATCACCGCGCGCAAATCCCGGTCTCACGAAGCAAATTTGCCTAGAGCGTGAATTGATCGGCCCCGTCCAGTGCATCAGCGGTCGATCGGGACTGATCGGTGTGGAGCTCGGCGCTAGTTGCAATCATAGAGCCACTGTCTACACCCCGGGCTGGATAACCGATTCCACGTGCCCTTTGCGGAGTGTCACCCATGAAGCCCGATGTCTCGAGCCAGCAGATTGAGCCAGCGAGGCGACGACTAACGTAGTCCTGGTAGAAACACTCCAGACATCTACCAATCCTTGACGTTTGAATTAGACGGTCTGTTACTCTCAATTTTCTTATCATGTTGTCTAAACATTGGACGCGAAGCACTGGATTGACATGTGACGCTACGGAAGGCTACTACGGCTTTGAAGCGCCATTCCACGCCTATCCAATACAATCAAGCGCTCGACAGCGGCTTATGACGTGCCACGCACGTCACTGGCATTGGCAGACCAGCACCGGGACAAAATAATTCAGATTGGGTGGGGATGCTTCTGTCGCGAAAGTCGACGTGTGCTCAACGATTGCCTACTAACCTTTCACCATATAGATAGAACCATGGATCATGTGATCCAACAACGTAAGCAATGCTAGAAAAGTGTATACCATGCGGTGACTACACTACTGTGACACGATAGTTTTTACCAGCTACAGTGCGCAGTGCCACATGACGATTGTGACAGCTTTTCTCCGTTTTGCTATACATTTTCCTCCAATCAACTTTTTTTAAAATTTAAAAGATCAAGTCGTAAAAATTTGGGTCTCTATCTCTGGAAGATGGAGAGATGGAAAGAGCATACTCTCTTATTGATCAATTAAATCGACCATCTTTTCTCTTCACGTCATTATTATCTCAGACCAGTTGTCATGACTGTGTAAGTGAGCAAAAGTACGGAATCTTTGATCCGTCGGAAATCCATCCAGTTTTACAGATCATTAGTACCGTCTATGAGTCAAAAAACCTTACTATTTGCACTGGCTTTACTCGATTGCAAATGAAAAGGGGTTGTATTATTGTGACACAAATGCACGACGTTCGCCAGACTCGCTCCCGCAACAAAAAATAAAAAACCATTGGAAGTAATTTCGACCATAAAGCAAACGATTGAATTGTGCAAACGCTCTACTTAATTAGGGACAGTCTGTGGCTTTTTCCCCTTTTTCACGACTAGTACACTTTATTCGTTTGACGCTTGTGGTCCGAAAAGAATGAGGTACATACGCTGGACGTTACTTGTGGCAACAGCTCTAGCTGCAGTTCACGCCAATGAAGACGCTATGACGTCTAATTCACTGATGGAATTGGAACAGTTTCTTGTAGCTTCTTCCCAGCTGCACGAGGGACGACAGCTGATGAGCATCGATCTGTTTGAAGCTCACGTGGCGCGCTACTTAATGTCTGTTGCTGACACGTCAAATGAGGTCACTACAATTTTTGCGCTGTACAGAAAGGTAAATCAAATGGTCGTGTCGACTTGGGGCACCACTGAGGCTCAACAGCTCGCGTATTTTAAATATAATGTGTTTCCTAACATTCAAACAAAGGCAAAGGAACTGCTTTTAAGCTCAACGTCAGGGAACAGTGAAACGGTAAATGACGAAGTTGAAAATGCCTTAACGTCAAGCACAACTCAAACGGACACTAGTGACTTGACGACGTTGGGATCACCTACGACCAGTTACAGCAAGCTTTCATCGACCAAAAATGATGACGGATTGAAAACATCCACGAATGTAGGATTGCATACGGGCGCTGGAGCGGGTACGGGCGCTGGAGCGGGTACGGGCGGAGGAACGGCTCGGGGTGGCGAGGTGGGTACGGGAGGGGGAACAACTGCAGGCGAAGGTATGAATACTGGTGGTGGAGCGGGTACGGGCGCTGGAGCGGGTACGGGTACGGGCGGAGGAACGATTCTGGGTGGCGGGGCAGGTGTGGCCGGAGGAACGACTCCGGGTGGCGGGGCGGGTACGGGCGGAGGAACGGCTCGGGGGTGGCGAGGTGGGTACGGGCGGGGGAACAACTGCAGGCGGAGGTATAAATACTGGTGGGGGGGGGGTTGGAGCGGGTACGGGCGCGGGGGGGGGGCGGGGGGGGCCCGGGGTACGGGCGGAGGAACGATTCTGGGTGGCGGGGCAGGTGTGGCCGAAGGAACGACTCCGGGTGGCGGGGCGGGTACGGGCGGAGGAACGATTCTGGGTGGCGGAGCGGGTACGGGCGGAGGAACGGCTATAAGTGGTGACTCCCTGACTGTAGATGGGACTTTTGCGGTGGCGTCGACGTCTTCGACGACGCGTACACGTTCGGGAACTGCGTTCTGGTTTACGACTTACAACCCACGACTGGCGATCAACGTTGGCTCGCTGCCGTCGCAAAGAAGCGCAGTACAGACAGTCGTGGAGTCGTCCGCGCCTAGTGAGTTTATGGCTGCCACTTCATTCAGGTCAAAGTACACGTCGCCAACTATTATCCGAGACTACTCGAGCCCAAGCCGTCGTCACCTATCCGGCGTCACCACAGACTTGTCTGACATCGATGTGCTATTCTGCGATATTGAGGGCAACGCTATCTGGAAGTGGAGCGCAGAGAACATGCCAGATGCCACAGTGACCAATGTATCTAATTTTGCGACTGAAATGGATGTAATGGTGGACGAAGTTTGCTCTGCTACTACGACGCTTAGTGTTTCGGCTTACCAGACTGGTTGCTCGCTTCAGAACCACCCTAAGGGCTGCGACGACGTGTACTACAAGGGATGCGGTGGTATCACTGTATCCCCTACGAGCGATCGCATCGTGATTGCTCGCACCGGTGGCCGTACCCTTGGTGTGCTGAACTACAAGTCAGTTGGTAATGCCTGCCAGGGCCAAGTTGTGGATGCGATCACGACGTACCGCGGCAAGAAGTTTAACAGCCCAACTTTTGTTGAGTATGCAAGCAACGGCATTCTGTACTTCACAGATAGCCCTTTCGGTCTGGCAACCAGCGACGCAGACTTTGACGGCGACATTCTCGACAAGTCACCGCTCCGTGAGATTCCGTTCAATGGTGTTTACATGCTGCGCAACGGTACGGGTCATTCTGTGGAGCTGGTGGACTGTGAAATGACGCGTCCCAATAAAATTGCCTTTTCGCCGTCCCAGGACATCATGTACATCACTAACTCGCAAAAGGGCAACTCTTACGTGAAGAGTTACATTTTGGCAGCCGATGGCACGGTCAGCAACTCGAGCATTTTCTTCAACTTCACGGCTCACCCTGAGCTGGAAACTGATGCTGGTTATGCGAGGGGCATTAAGGTGGATGCCAACGGCTACGTATACGTGGTTTGCTACAAGGGCGTGTACATTTTCTCGCCGGAAGCTGACCTGGCAGGTGCCATCATGAGCTCTCAAGAGCTAGACTCTGTGTCTATGGGTCTCGGCCGCCTTTTCATCTCTGGCAGTTTTGGCCTTGTGGCGCAGACCAGCGGCGTTGCTTCACAGCCGCTTCCCCGGGCTTCGGTCACCTGCAGTGCTTAGTGATGAGATAATATGCGCAAGCGCATTTTTCTTTTATCTTAAAGAGACTGAAAGTGTTTACATTTTTTGTTTGTTTGCCATCTCTGTCCTAAAACGGTGCTCATTGCTCTAATCGTTCCTGTTATTTCCTCTTATTCGTAGCTATCATCACTAGCGACACCAGCCGTCGTCTTGCTTTCTTTCTTTCTTACCACCCTTTTTGCTGTCCTTATTAGCTGCAGAAGTATCAGAAGGCGCTAAGGTCGACGAAGCGATGGTCGTTGTAAACTTGATGATAGTGTTATTGCTCGTAATGGGTTCATCTTCAGCACGCCTTCGTCCATCCTCGCCTTCGGCATAAGCAAGGTTAGTTCCCAAAAATTGAGAGACACGGAAGGCGAGGTCTTTGATTGTTGTTCCGCGTTTCACAATCACAGCATCAGCAAATATCCCCTTCTTCGTAGCTCCCGGTGTCGTGTTGGTGGCAAAGCTCTTTAACGATTTCACCGGGTAAACAACCACTACATCAGCCATCTCGACAGCAGCATTAATTGCAGCCCGAACCCCGGTGCTGCCGTAGCGGAATAGCACCATATCGGAAATGCGTTCTAACCGCTTCAATACTTTTTTCTCAATCGGTTTCAAAGGTCCTAAGCCTTTGTCTGCATCCGCTTTAGCTTGCACCTCATCGTCATTTTCTAGCGTTGAGAAGAACATCGAGCCTGGCTCGTAACGAATGAAACGTTGTTTGCTGACTGCTCGCAAGAAACATTCTGCAGCTGCACTAGCTACGAAGCAGCGGTCACTGCCGTATTTCTCGACAATCTTCTCAATATTACGGTCTGTATCATCACCCTGATCAGCCTTATTAAGCACCAATACCGTTGGAAAACGAACCTCCAAGAACACGTTGACTAACTTGTGCACATCTTCTTCTGCCCAACTCAAGAGATTAAGTGGTTCTTTCAAACTTAGCCGATCCAGCATCTTGCTCACGAGCGTTGGCGTCGCTCCATAACCTGATAATTGTCCAACAAAAGTGTTTTGTAAACTACTCTTAGTCGCTTCATGTCTTCTAGCAATTGAAGTCCATCGTTTCCAAAGGTTTGTAAATACCCATTGATGAATTTCCATCTCGAGCCAGTCGGCATCATTAATAGGGTCATAGCCAACCATTTCTTCACCTTTTTCATTTGTATGACCAGATACATCAATAATATGCAAAAGAACTTGAGCATGACGTAAATCATCTAGAAATTTATTACCAAGTCCTGCACCTTCTGAAGCTCCAGGTATTAAACCTGCTACATCTAAAAGCTTAACAGGTATATACCGTATACCCTGTTGACATTTTCCATAACGAGGTGTACAAATTCTTGTCTTATTCTTTTCAAGACATGGACATTGGGTCATATAATACGTGATCCCTTCGTTTGGTGCAATGGTTGTAAATGGATAATTTCCTACTTTTGCTTTGCCATCAGTCACAGCATTGAAGAATGTTGATTTACCAGCACTTGGTTTGCCCACACATCCAATAACGAGCTCCATTAGATCAGATGTTTGCTAATCAAAATCAATGGCTACAACACGTTAGGACGAACACCTGCGTCCTGGTTGATATATGTGGTACACATCATTCCTTTATCTTACCGATAAGTGACGCTGCCAAATATGTGGTGCTCTCGTCGCATAGGGTCACTTTCGAGACGTTCCAGTCGTGTCTTCTCCATCGCTGTAACCGAATCAAATCAATCAAGATCTTTTCCATCGTTTGGTATTGCATTTGATATTGATGGTGTCTTGATACGGTATGCATCCAATCCTGTATCGAACAAATGATACAATGCTTGTCAATTTTGAATGAAATGTATTTGAAATATATTTCTTGTTTGAATATATAGTGGTGGTCATGGACTTCCAAAGGCACAAAAGGTGCTACAATCACTTGAGAAGAAGAAAGTGCCGTATATATTTATGACCAATGGTGGTGGATGTATGGAAGATGAAAAAGCAAAGACATTGAGCAATATTCTCCATTGGCCAATTGATCCACATCATATGATTCTTTCACATACGCCCATGCGTGAGATTGCTACAATCTATGGGGGTTTGTGTGACCATGATGCATATATGATGGAGAGACAAGGCAATGACTGATGAGGTTATATATGTGGTGGTTACTGGTTTCGGTGATGTTATAGACAAGCGAGTGCTTGTAATGGGCTCGCATGACGTTTTGCGTGTGGTATACCCCTACATGATGATGATTACGTGTTGGTTTGAAGATGCTTAACATACGTGATGTGCTGTCTTTTGTTGTTGTTGTAGGCTAAATGCTATGGATTTAAAAAGGTTGTGAGCGTAGAAGATTTACTGCACCATTATCCGACGCAGTATCCATTCATCCATTATGCCCATATGTACACTTTTGTTGTATTTTAAGGTCTTTATGTGGTTGTTTTCTTACATTGCTTGATACCATGGATGTTGTTTTTTGGTTTTTGTTAGACCGGCACTGCACCATGAAGAGCCCATTGAAGCGATCATTGTGATGCACGACCCGATTGATTGGGCACCAGAGATTCAAGTTGCAGTGGATGTGCTTGTTGGCGGCGATCCGCCTGGAATTGGCCGCAAGCCTGCTAAACAGACACCATTGTTTGTAAGCAACGATGATTTTGTTTTTAGTGGCGAGTATCCAGTTCCTCGGTTTGCTCAAGGTATTTGCATGGATTGTTTTCTCGCACAAGCATAGAAGCTATCTTAAAGCTAAGATTGATTTCGTTCTTCTTTTTGTTCAGGTGCTTTCACGAGATGCCTGAAGCTGCTATATGAAGATCTGACTGGCCGCAAGTTGGTGGTGACAAATTATGGCAAACCCCACAAGGTTACGTATGAGTACGTAACAGTAATTGATACGCAACGGTCTGAATGCTTACATCTTTGATCATCCGTGATGATTATTAGCTACGCAGAAAGGCTCCTTAAGAAGATTTCAGGACAGCGTGAACCGCTGAAACGCGTGTACGGGATCGGCGACAACCCTTATTCCGACATTCAGGGTGCAAACAACGCTGGTGATGCATGGACTTCCGTTCTCGTTCGAACGGGTATATATAATGGCTCAACGAATCCCGAACATGAAGCTGATGTGGTCGTTGATGGCGTCTACGATGCCATCAAACATATTTACAAGTGTGAGGGCATCGAAGACTCCACATTGTAAACGATGTCAAATACGTAGCAGCTTTGCGGTGAAAATGGCAAGCTGCTTGCCAATACCGTTTTCAAACATAGAACTTTGCTTGTGTGAAGTACTGACTGTTGCTGTAAATGCGTTGTCAAGGATGATATGTACAGGCTTTATCATGTTCAAAACCCGATCATTGCAGAGTGATTTCGTTTGGTCGATATAAATTACTCCGTAGATACGTTTGCTGTCATGTTTCGAAGCCACACACTAAGTTCTTGGAGCACAGCGCGCTCTTGCATGGCACTAAGACTGGCATTTTGCCCGTTCTGTCGACTTTGTGAATTGGAATCGTGATCAAACGACGTTGACCTACATCCGGTGTCATTTGTGTTTAACGCCGACGGTGTGACATCGAGGTATGTATCATCTTCGGCTGAAGCTTCACTGTATTCCTCCTCGCAGAACAAACCGGCAGCAGTAGGTGATAGTGCTTCACGATTGTTGCTGACATCAAAGGCACACTGAGGTTTTGTTTCAATGCGTTCTGCTTGCTCTTCAGCTGGTAGTTGATCTACAGCCGAAGAAGCTGGAGCTCTCTCTCTTCCGTCGTTAGCAAGTTCCACGGTCATTGCAGTGTGTAGTAGTGATCGGCTTAGAATAGCAAGCGCTGGGTCACCAATACCTCCAGTGTTTCTTGCCTCGTAGGCATTTGTTACAGTACGCTCTACATTGGGTAGTTCTTCAATCGAGGATGTAGCCTTCATGCGCTCCACAACATGATTCTTTTGCACGTTTCGTCGTGTATACTTTCTCTTGGCAAATGCTGGTGTCACGACACATTCACCTGTTGTGTGAAAGTGATTCGAGTGGCTCGATGGTCGCTTCTGCAGCGTCGTTGAAGGAATGTCATCTATGATCGAACATTTTCGCCGTCTCAATTTTGAAGGTGCTACCGGTGCACTTCTTGACAGCAACTCTAATGCTGTAGCTTTATGTATCGATCCGTCCATTAATGTTTGCGACTTCTCTTTCATGTCCTTGCGTTTCGTGCTGTCACGAGGAGGCCGTTTTTCAATCTTGCGTTGTAATGAGCGATTCAAAGTGGCTTGCAGACTGCTATCATCCGTATCGACACCTGCAAACACTAGCATCTTCTTTGCTGACACAAATGTCTCTGTATTGCGGCACTGATGACAAGCACAGCGAGAAGTGCACGCGACTCCAGCTTGATGACACTCGCAGTAGTTTTTCATGCATCCACTCTTTCGACAATTACATCCTCGCAGGTGTTGGCTCGATCCACTTGCAACCTTTGGCTGAAAAGCTAACGGATTTCTTTCGAGAATCGCAGCAACTACCTGCTTTCGTTCCAACACTGTTTCTGGTCGATTCCTACAGCCTTCACAATGACATCGATAGTCACACATCCGTTGCGCTGCCAAACACTCGCAATAAAGTTTGAGACAATTGGACTTCTTGCAACTGCATCCTTTTGTCCTCTCTGGCTGACTTTGCACCACTAGACAACCACTGCATTGGCAGTGCGAAGAACAGGATCCAAACGAACTCAAACACGGACATTCAGCAGTACAGTTGCCATCAGCACAGTCACAAGTTGGTCTAAATGTGTTGTTACTTGTCATTTTTCTCCTAGAGCTTGGAAGCGTATGCCTCGAGAATTCTACTACAGGTTCGATCTCTAGCGTTTTAGAGGCTGGAAATGAAGAGGGACAGGTCTTTTGTACACGATGATCAATAGCTAGAATGGACTGGATGATCTCCTGTTGGTTATGATCCTGATTCTTGCAACCTTCGCAATGACAATGCTCACTACAGCGACTGCTGGCCGCAAAACACTCACAATAAAGCTTGAGACAGCTGGACTTCTTACACTTACAGCCACGTCGTCGAGTATTGATACATGATTTGTCTTGTTGCTATCAACATATAGAGCATCATATACAAGTGATAGAAATATGAAGACGTGATTGAGAGAGAGAGAAAGGAGTTGACGTACAAATACGCTCATATGGAAGATGAAGCACCTAGCGAATGAATATCAAGCGCTTATCCGAATGGTAGATTTGAATTTGAATTTGGATTGAAAGAGAGATGCGAAAACGCACCAAGGTACGAATCGTAGAGATGACGAGGAGAAAATGGCTACGACATCAATCACATGTCAATGCTTTTGTCCAAAAAGCACAAGACGCTTTGATTGGTATTCAAGTTAGCTAGTGGTAAAGGGTAAGAAGATGACAAGAAGCATCATGGTAGAAGGAGCACCACGATAGTCACAACGTATCTCTACAAGACCATACTAGTCTCCCTTAAGACATGTGACTTAGTAGTCCTCGTCACCGCCAAACATGTCCATACCGCCACCCATATCAACCTCCTCTTCTTCTTCCACGACCACCTCTTTCTTGGCTTCAGGAGCAGCAGCAGAACCACCAGCAGGAGCAGCTACAGCAAAAGCAGACGGATTCGCCAGGAAAGCTTTGTAAGGCTCGGCCTTCTCGAACGAAAACTCCTTGCACTCCACAGCAATAGCTACCAAGTCCTTGAAGGCATTGGCAATCGAGTGAGGAATAGAAGCAAGCGTAGGGATGCCAAGCTCTAGAGACACAGCAGCGACGTTACGCAATCCAGCAACAAACTTGGCGCAGAGATCGACCTCCGTCAAATCCAGCACAACAGGATCAAAGATCGAGCCATTGTCGTACACCTGTACAATGACTAAACCGTACGAGAACGGCTTGATGTCGAGTTTCTGCAGCAAAGCAGCTTCCGAGTTGCCAACCTTTTCACCCTTTTTAGTCAGCAACACCTCGGAAACAATCTCAATCTGACCTTTTTGAATCTTGGTAGCAATCTGCAAAGCCTGGAAAAAAGATGTCTGACCAGGATCAGCACCCGTTGGTCCAGGAGGTACAATCACATCAATTGGAGCAATGGAACCAACACGAGCTGGAGCAGGAACACGATTTGATTCAAGTAATTGACGAATTTCCGACAGGTCTTCATTCGTAAAGACAAACCCAACATTTCCCTTGAGCAATGGAATGAAATTCTCGAGTGGATGACCTGGATTTTTCTTTACAAAATTGTTGAATACCTTACGCATGAGGGTATTTTTACCCATTAAAACTTCACCACGACCACGTAAAACAAGACGAATCTGCTGCATTTGAGTAGAGCCAACATTATCAACACCCACTAGGAAAATCTTGGTATAATTTTCAAGCAGTGACTCAAGCTTTTCAAAGTATTCGAGCTTACGTTCTTGTGAAAGACCCATGAGTAGAAAGAAGAACAGGAAGAAGAAGAAAACGTAGTCGCTTAAACCGATAAAGGAGACTTACGCTTAGTATTTAGAAATAACCATCTCAAGAATGTGGTGGACATGTCTGCCTTCATGAATATCAAGCGCTCACCTCCACCAATTTGTCTATGTTACGATATATAGTGAATAATCTTGATCAATCTTCCCCTCATTTTTGATTCGCAGCTATTGTCTTGTAAGATACGACGACTCACGACATTCTGATTGGTACAGTATCACTGTATTTTTGACAAATGAAGCTACAATTTGTATTTAATGTTGTGTACATAAGTTAAGGAGATAGACCAAATTTATCAAATCGGAATCATCAAAATGGATCACGAAAAGTTCCCATTTCCCAATTTTCCAATCGTTTGTGTACCCATGTCCGAAACCCTTGGCAGTCGTACAGTCCTATATGTCCATAAGCTCCTACATTCACCCACAGTTGATGAACTTATGGTCCATGCACACGAATTATTTGCTCAAATGGGTTTTCCAGAGCCATATCCAGATGCTGAACGTCTTGCGATTGCTCTCTTGACTGGCATTTTTACATTAGTTGTTTACTTTGTGCTCTTTGGTAAACGACACCATCAACGGAGAAAAGTTTTACAGGTGGAATTGGATAAAGCATATAAGAAAGTGCAAGAGTTACAAGATCGGATGGCTCAGATGGAAGTAGAAGAACGGGAAGTACCACCAAAGGAACAAATTCGGATTTGGATGGATGGTGCTTTTGATATGATGCATTATGGACATATGAATGCATTTCGTCAAGCTCGATCATTGGGAACATATCTTGTAGTAGGAGTGAATGATGATGAATCAATTACAGCTTGTAAAGGTGCACCTCCTGTACTTAATAATGCGGAACGCATTGCATCGGTTGAAGGGTGTAAATTTGTGGATGAAGTTGAACCACATTGTCCTTACATTATGAATGAAGCGTATTTGCAACGTATGATTAAAAAACATCGGATTGATTATGTCGTACATGGAGATGATCCGTGCATTGTGGACGGTAAGGATGTGTACGAATCAGCTCAGAAACTTGGCAAATATCGGACCATCCCACGTACGGAAGGCGTCTCGACCAGTGATATTCTTGGACGGATGCTTGTGATGCACAAGACGCATCATAAACATGATCGCTTTGCTGTGAATGGACAGCTATCGTCACGAATGCTGCAGGACAAGAAAGCGAAAGAACGTCCATCCAAGTTCTTGACGACGAACCGCATGCTGCGTCTTTTCTCCGTGGGTAACCACGAGCCGTTGAAGACTGACAAGATTGTGTACATTGATGGTGCGTTTGACATGTTCCACGCTGGTCACGTCGAGGTCCTGCGCCTCGCCAAGCGGGAGGGCTCGTATTTGATTGTTGGTGTGCACAACGACAGCGTGGTAAACGTCCATCGCGGCCTCAACTACCCGATTATGAATCTGCACGAGCGCGTGCTTAGTGTTTTGGGGTGCAAGTACGTTGATGACGTTTTGATCGATGCACCATTGCATATTACGCCCGAGATGGTGGCATCATTGAACATTTCCGTCGTAGTGCACGGGACACACCGTGACCAGGACTATCTGCCTGAGTCCTCGCTCGAGGAGCTCTACGAGTATCCACGTAAGGCTGGAATCTTTAAGTCAGTTGAAAGCCCCATCAAGCTGGATGTCAACGACATTGTGGCTCGCATCAACGACAACCGCGAACGGTTTGAGAAGAAATTTGTGAGCAAGATGAAGTCTGAAGAGGAGTATTACGCAGACCGTTATGGCAAGACCAATTAAGTAGGAAGGAATGTAGTAGTTCGTTATACATTAAATTTCTCGCTGCTACTCCATGTTGATTCCATTGGTCTATTGCATTCTTCCATAGGACGTCACGTCAAAATTTTCTAACGTTTCAAGGATATTAAGTAGTGCACGGTCGCATGACGTTGTTCGCTCACTGTAGAGGTTTCATGCTGCTACGTACGTACCGTTTGTTAACCTCTCCCCCCCGTATCATTGCTTCTTCTAACGCTCTTGCTGTAATTGTGCAGGTGCGTTACTTGTACATCGATCGGCTCGCTCTCTTCCTCGCAAACATCTCGCCGTTTTCTTTCAAAGACAGAGCTTTCGAATTTGTCGTCGGGATTACAAGCGTATCATCCGTCTGCCGTTAGGTTCCCAACCTGGTCTCTCTCTAGCACTCCTCTCACTCTCTGCACTGGCCTTAGGGTCTGCATCTTGTGCTTCGAAGTTTCCAATGGAGTCTGCTGATGCCGTGAAAGCGGAGGAGCTATACAATGACGACGCCTTTGATCGCCGCGATCTGCTTACTATGCTCAAGGAAATGCATGCTGCTCTACCACATGATGTGGGTGTGATCTGGCGACTTGCCCGTGCCGCCTACGATGTCTCGAATCTTAACTTTACGAGTGCTGATGAGAAGAAGGAACTTACGTACTACGCACGGGACGTGATTCAGAAAGGTTTAGACCTTACCAAGGACGTGGCAGCTGTTCATAATTGGTATACAAGTAGCTAACGACTACAGTAAGCATTGATGACTAACTAATTGCCTTTTATTCTAACAGGTATGGCATCATTCTGTCATCTATTGGTGAGTATGAAGGTTCCAAGGTGTCCATTGCCAACTCGTACGTGATTAAAAGTCATTGGGAGACATCAATCAAGCTAAACCCGTCAAACCCTTTGACGTATTATTTACTCGGACGTTGGTGTATTGCTATTGCTGATCTCTCGTGGCTTGAGCGTAAGGCCGCTGCTGTACTCTTTGGTACACCACCCGAATCATCATACGATGAGGCATTGGAATTTCTACTCAAGGCGGAGGAATTGGATCCTAAACGCTGGAAAAGACGTGCACTACTGATTGCAAAGGTCTATCAAAAGAAAAAGGACAATATCATGGCGAAGGAATGGGTAAACAAGGCACTAGCGATCCCTGTTTGTAGTGAAGCAGACGCGAATGACCATGAAGAAGCTTATTTACTGCTTTCGACGCTGTAACGGGTGAGGAAGCTTCTGGCGATCTTCTTTTAATAGGTTTACGCATAATGATTGGATAAAATATAAACTGTCTAATCATCAGGTGCTCGATTGTTTAAAAAGCCGGCACATAGTATTTAAACCAATGAAAGGTCGATTTTCAAGGGGAGTAGGTCTCGGTGGTTATGACGAATTATTAAGGGAAGCCAAAGGCGTAAGACGTCCAGCTCGTGCGTGCTCCAGCCGATTCTCACTCGGGGGCCGCATTGTCTGTCCCCGGAACTTACTTTATACTTATAACTACGTCTAACAAACAACATTCTCTTGATTCACGTGTTCATTCGAGTCTATAAGGTTCATTCTCATTGGATATATCTCATTTTGATCCCTACAAAAAAGACAAGAAGAAAGAGAGAGAGCAATGGCGATTACATCGGATGAAGTGAATTTCCTCATTTATCGATACTTACAGGAATCTGGCTTTCTTCATTCAGCATTTACATTTGCCTATGAAAGTCAATTAGTCAAGTCCAATGTGATTCAGACGGAACTTCCACCTGGTGCCCTTGTATCATTTATGCAAAAGGGATTACAATATGTTGGAATTGAAGCTCATATTAATGAAGTAAGATGAATTGATGTGGATTTGATTGACTACTGTGTGTGGATGGAGCGAGAGAAGAGTCGTGTATTGAGGCTATGTGTGTTGTATTGTATTCATGCGGTGTGCAGGATGGGACGGAGCGTGAATGCGATGGAGACTTTTCATTGCTGAGTCCACATATTTGTCGTGTAGCGCAGTCTGCTTCGAGTAGTGCTAGGTCGTTTAAAGCTTCGAATAAGCGGAAGCGGAAGGGAGATGGCTCACCGGATACGGTGGATGGTACGAAAGGTAGGAGCACAACCTACGTCAGAAAACAATCGAGATTGTGGATGTGGTCGTGAAGTGTGTATGAATGACTGGATTGTTTTTTTTATTGATCTTGTTTGCTGTTGTGTAGAGATGAACGGTGTGGATAAACTAGATAAGAAGGCACTGATACTTCTCAGTGGACATGAGAAGGAAGTATACGCGTGTTCGTGGAATCCGGTAAAGAACGTTTTGGTTTCTGGATCCAGCGATTCGACAGCCAGAGTCTGGGTGCTGCCGAATATAGTGGCAGATAGGAAGGTAGTGGTTCCTATGGTTCTTAGTCACGGAACAGGACCGCATAAAGACGTCACAACTCTCGAGTGGAACGTACGTGTGTTATATCTTGGGTTTTCTTTTTCTCCTTTTTTTCTGTTGTAGGAGGTGACTAAATGAAGGCATTCTATGAACTTACAATAATTATTATAGCATGACGGATCTGCGCTGGCGTCTGGAACGTACAATGGTAAGACACGGATTTGGGATGCGGAGGGAGAGATGAAGCACATATTTCAGTACCACAACGGACCCGTGTTCGCAACGCGGTGGAGCAAGACTAGTTTGTTTCTGCTCAGCGTCAGCTTCGACAAGACAGTTGTTGTGTGGGATGCTACTACTGAAACGAAAAGGCAACAGCTTACGCTTCACGATGACCCGATACTGGATGCATCGTGGAAGGATGACTCGACTTTTGCTACATGCTCGTCCGACATGAGTATTTGTGTTGTTCGTGTGGGGAAAATGAAGGCTGATGTAGTGCTGCGGGGACACAAGGATGCGATTAATTCGGTTAGGTGGGATCCGTCTGGTCGACTTTTGGCATCATGTTCTGATGACTACACGGTAAAAATTTGGGACCCGTCGAAGGCTACTTGCAAGCAAGACGCAGTCGATGATGATGCCATGGATGTCGGTAACAACAACAAAAAGAATAAGGAGGTGGAATTGGATGCAGCAAGCTCAGCAGCACTAGTGTACACTTTGCAAGAGCACAAAAAAGAAGTGTACACATTTCGTTGGAGCTGCACTGGTCCCGGTACAGCTTTGCCTGATGAGCCTCTGATATTAGCCAGCGCGTCCTTTGATGGTACCGTGAAGCTCTGGGATGCCCAGTCGGGTTGTTGTAGGAGAACATTTGATCATCAGTACGTCGTGTGAAGTTTGAATGTTATGTTATGTTATGTTACCTATCATATATACTAACGCAATGTTTCATGATGTGCATTGTGACTGTTGCAGGTATCCGGTATATGGTGTTGCATTTAGTCCCGATGGAGAGCATTTGGCTAGTGGCACAGTAGGAGGAATGCTCAACGTCTGGTCATTAAAGGTGCGTTGGGTTTTGTTGGTTTGTAGAAGGTCAGCAGTATTGACGTTCTGACAATGACATGGCGTGTTGTGCTACTATTGTAGGGCGGGTTTTTAGTCAAGACGTATCAAGCAAATGGCGATATCTACGAGGTCAATTGGAACAAAGAAGGCGACCAGATTGCTGCATGTGTGTCCAGTGGTGACGTCGCAATAATCAATTTTCGATTGTAGTATTTACCAGAAACAACGCATGGAAACACAAACAAGGGTATTCATGGACCGGACCAGGCGTGCTTATGAGGACCTCAGTAAACTCAATGAGGAAGGAGTTGCGATGTTTGTAGCACCCGATGACGTCTGGCTTATAAGAAGGACATGCTCGTCTTACTCGTTTTTACCCGCGTTATTTTGATTACCACTATTACCACTCCGTTTTAATGCTCCAAGAAACGTAATCTAGTTATCCTACTCTTTTTTTCCCCCCTTCAAATTAAGGACGAAGACTTGATCGATTTTTATCCAATGAGATTGTCGTAACTTATTGTCAAGCCACAGTGGAAGAATGATTAGCTTTGACACGTTCTCTGGACCTTGTGCACGTGTACGTGAGTCCGATTTAGATGCCAAGGGTCTTCTTGTACTTGCTGAACAGTCGACACCCATATTGAAGCTTTTTCCGCCTCTTTTTGGTGCGTCGGACACGTTTTATGAGCGTCAGAAGGATGTCAAGGACAGTTGCGACGTGTTTTATATGAACAAGATGGCTGGACAGGATCAGAACCACAAGATAAAGCACGACCAAGCTACTGGTGGACGTATACGACAGATTGTACAGCTATTGACGCTACAGAGTCACAACGTCGGTGATGCCCGCTCTGCTCTCGTGGCCAAGCTGCTGCGTATTGTAAAAGTGAATGAGCTATTGCTGACTCGAGCTACAGAGGAACAAATCGCCAATGCTGCTAATGACGCTATTACAGACGAGATCTTGGAATCTGTGGATCAGGAAGAACGTCGGCGCAATGGGTTGACCATGCAGCAGCAGCCCATGGCCTCCACGCTGTTTGGCCCTGGACCCTTGAGTCCATTTCGAGTGCTAGAACTTGTGGATGTGCTAGACTCGACAACTGGTGGGATGGTCAAACGAATGCTGACAAAGGTGAGACGGAGAGCTTCGAATAACACACGGATGGTGAAGGACAATGATATAGGGAGAGAAGTTGAGTTTTGTCGTTTCTGTTCATCCTACGGAGATCATACTGCTACTCAGCATCGATGTCGATTGTGTGAAGTTACTGGACATCACCGTAGTCAAAGCTGTCCGTATCGAGAAATGGCTGGATCTACTACTTGTAACTCTGACACTAACTTACCCGAAAGCTCTGGTGCTAGCGTTGACGCAACTGACGAGGACCATAGTTTTTGCACGTTGTGTAACTTGTGGGGAAATCATGCCACGGAGCGTCATCAGTGTCGCAAGTGCGGTGCTCATGGTGTTCATCGTAGTCAAAGATGTTTGTCGCTAGCGACGAATCTTGTTTCATTGTCGACAGATGCGAGACAGGGACAAAAGTTTTGTACATACTGTAATGCATGGCGACGACATGCGTCAGATAAGCATCGGTGTCGATTATGTGGGGCTGTGGGCTTGCATCGGTCTGATTCCTGTACTCAGCGCAGTAGCAGTAACATTATGTTGTCATACTCAGTGGATGCGGCGTCCAAAGTTCGAGACCGTGTACTGGAGAAGATCCCACAAGTGCTGCCTCCTTCGGCTGTGACACTCGTGTGGCGTAGCCTCGATAAGGTTGGTGACGCCGATCTCATTTTGCGAAAAACATTGCAACGGATAGGCGTATGGGGTGGTGGGTCTCAAACGCCTATCACTACACCTTACGCACCTCCAAGTGTCAATACCAGCTCAGATGGGGCGGTTACTGTTAGCCATGAAAATGGTGTCATAGATCATGATCGTCCAGAGTTGCTATCTTCGCCCCGCCGCGCGACTTCTGTGCCTTCGTCATGTAATCCATCGGTGCTACGTGTTCCATATGAGGGACAGCCTAATGGTGTGTACGTCTTGTCTTATGCTGAAGGCAATTCGGTGGTGCCGGCGCGCATTCTCAAGTATATGCGGTTGCTCATGCACCACGAGGTGTCGACAAATGCCTTTTCCGTGGTCGTTCGCTTTGACCCGCGGCCATCGCACTGGGAGCTCATGAAGCCTGGCATGGTGTCACCTCGATCACTGCCATCTACTCCGACTCTATGTCACCAGTTGGGAAAGCGAATGGCACACTACACTCTCCAAACGCTGTTGGGAGCGCGCAACAGACTTCGAGAACGAGAAGTGGCGCAACGGAAATATCAACACCAGGTGGATCATTCTCAAGTCAAGTTACAACATCGACAAACGCAGGAAGATGTACATTATGATCAGCATCAAGCAAATGCTCATGAGACAAGGCAAGTAGTAGTACCTGTAGATGCGTAGCAATGCTCCATCGCCGAGTTCATTATGCAATAGTTGTGCGAAAAGGAATAGAGAAGGCTTTAGATGCACTTCCATGAAGCTTGATCCATCGTATTTCGTACTTCCGTGCATGTTGACAAGCTTACTGTGATGACTGCAGTATGCTGAAGGACGGATACACTAGATGCAAAGAAGCTCACGTCTGTCTAGACAGAGCGACAAACCAACAAGCATGATGTATGGGCAGGATTCACGGGAATAAATTGTAATACTGGATGCTTGTTCCTAAGATATCATGAAATGAGCGCTTAGAAGCACACTCATCAGAATGGAAATGACTCCATGAATAATCATGGTGGACGAGTTGTTTGCTATTGTAAGGTCCCTCCTAACGTTAACAGCTTTGATTTTGCTCACTTTGGAAGCTTGACCTTTGGCAGACACCGTGTCTACCATGCTTTTGTCCGTAGAATCTCTTTTGGCGACCGTATCATCGTCGTCATCCGAAACCGTGTCATTGCCAATTGCGATATGGTCTTCTTCATCGGCGTCAAACCATGAACCACTAGCTGTCTTGTACTCAATCTTGTAGTTTGGTAACATACGGATGGAGCTATTGCGTTGAGCAATGTATAGGTTTTCTCGATACTCTGCATACAGCTCCGAATTTGAATCACATGGTGCACCCGCTTCACTGGCAAGATTCACATATCGTCGCCAAGACAGCAATTCCTGGAAACGTTCGGCGGATGGGGATGATGCCCAGCCATAGACAATATCGACATGGATTTTTAACAGTGTCTCCACTGCAGCTTTGAGTGGAAAACCTGAGATGGAACATTCTGGGAGACCAGCTAGTAGCACAGCGGTGAACACTGCAATGCACGACATGGATGACGACATGTCTTTCACCTGAGCAGCCGAGGGTTTTGTCCCGAGAAATGGAAAGATCTGATACTGCGCGTCAACAACGCATCGATTGAAGAGTGCGCGGTTTTTGTTGTACATGATGTAAATCGTTTCCGACACGGTCGAGTTGCATGCGACACTGTCCATAAGCTGGAAGGTCGTAGACGTGGATGATCCTTTGCCGATCGGTGTCAATGTCATACCTGAATCCGTCGTCGACAAGGAACTTTGTAAAGTGGAGTAGGGACTAACTTCCGAGTCCATTGTTGTCTTCAGTAAATCAAAGGTTGACGCACTCACGTGAAGGACTAAGAACGTCAATAGCAACGTGAGTCGTGACGTGACTATCATGGCGTTTAGATGGTGACAATGTGGTTGAAACGCAATGGCGTGGTGCTGGGATGTTATCAAGACAATGAAGCTTTACTACTCAATGGTAACTCGAATCCTGAGAATCTAGAGATCAAGCACCGATCAGAGAGCGTCAACTATGATTTGTGTTGGATAAAGTCGGGGAAAGGAGGAGGTGTCACAATGATTGATACAGTGATCGTCTCATGTTCAAGGTGCTTTGCACAACTCTCAAATGCTGTGAACGACAAATCTATCCTCGGAAAAAAAAACTTGAAAGCCGCTATGAAATCAGTTGAAACGACCTCGTTTTGAATTCACTCGACGGCCTCAATGAATATACCGACTCTTTTGAGCTATTCCATCCTACGAGGTTGTTGAAGGAACGGAACATCTTCTTGTGGTAAGTGATCGGTTGGTTGTTCCCGATTCCAGTTTTTGCATCTCTCGCGACCCGATTTTGCTCGTCCCATCCAACTCGCGATTCCGAGTTCATACGGATGCGTTGCTGATTTGTCACCATTTTTCATATTTCGACCATTCCAGTGGAATGCGTGGCCCAGTGTTTGCACTCTTGTTATTCGTGACGCTAGTGGGAATATGTTCAGGTCTTTTAAAGAATGAGATGACATCTAAGGACTCTAATACGGAAACGATGGATTTGAAGACAAGAAGAACAAGAATTTTGAAAGAATTGTCTCCAGTTATTAACGAGGCAGAGGTCGATTCCAAGACTTTTGCATTGCAAGACAGTTATGACTGTGACAACGGGATGGTGGCGGCTATACGAAAGTTTTTCAAGGCAAATGATGCGACGTTTGACACGTGCATCTCCGATAGTGGCTATCAGATCTATCCGTATACGGGCATCCTGCCTGACTCGAAAGTCGTGACGGAACTTGTCAGCTCAAGCGCTTGTATGGGTATCATTACGGCTGTCGTAATGCTCAACCTGCCTCCGTGCATTCTAAATGACTTGGCCATGCGAGCCGCATGCGAGACAATTCTAGTATACTCGGTCGCGATGAGGAAAGGTGTTGAAGCTCCAATGGCTGAGAAGTTTTACGAGGTGGTGACGTGGCGACACCATGTTGATCTCGCCAAAGCAGCCAAAAAACCATTTGACGGCGAGTCAAGGATGTACAGGACATTTGCGAAATATTTGCATAAAGCGTTGGTCACGAGTAAAGTAAAGATCATGCACAACTTGACAGTTGTCCTTGGCCATGAGACAGCAGACTATAGCGGATATAAGCATGGTCAGCAGTCTTCGTTTATCTCTACTAACTCCTCGGCGGATGTCTTTGTCGGTAAAGTCATAGCTGCTAATGACGACGTTGACGATGCATCGGTTATGACTGCTACTAAAACCGTAACTACTAGACAAAGCTCTGACTCCGTGACTGTGGCGGCAGCTTCAATGACATTTGCTCTGACGCTCTTGCTAGCTGCAGCAGTTTTGTAGACACCACGCGATCTGTAGTTACATTATGAATGCAGACACGTGATATGCGTACATGTAACAAAATCCAACTCTATTTCAATTCTAATCTTCTAAGCGTACAAGTAAGTCATCAGAACTTGGCCTTGCGTTTCAAGCTTAATTCCTTCTTTGCCTGCTTACGGTCCTCTTTCGTGAGCAAAAGCGGAGCAATGGTCGTACCAGCATGTTTCATAATCTTGGGCGCCGTCAGTACGTTCGTCACCTGTGAAGTGTTCCAGTCACTGCCCAAAGGATTGCGCATAGCAGCCTCGTATTCTGCCCGCGATGTGAATGGGTATGGTACGTCCTTGACCTTAAATTTAGCAGCCTTCTTGTCCTTCTTCTCATTAATCAGCACCTTGTCGAGACAAGCATCCTTGCGACCAGCTAAAGCCTTTTGCTTGGCCTCACGTGCAATGTCCTTAGCCTTCTGTTCACGCGCAACTTGACGCTTTGACACTCGGACGCCTTCACCTGCCCAGTTGCCCCATCCAGACATACCCACAAGCTTGGCAATCTCGACGCTCTTTTTGGCGTTAGCATCCCGACTAGCCAACCGGTCTTTCTCATGAGCAAGCTCGTTCTCTTCATCAGCTACAAATTCGAATGCACGGCGCACAAGTTCGTCCTGACTAGCATCTTTGGCATCTTTCTGTGTTTGTTTGTTTTTCTTCTTGTTTTTGCTCACGACTGTATGCTCAGAATCCTCAATGGTTTCGAGATTTACTTGATCCAGCTTCCGCTTTTTGCCAATCTTCGAAGCCTTTGCCGTATGGTTCGTAAGGCTAGCAAACGAGGTATTCTCCTGACTTTTTTTCTTCGTGTCTTGTGCAAGAGACGCAATAGCTGTCGCCACGTCCGGCTGCGCACCTTCGTTCTTCTGTTTTGTTTTCTTCTTATTCTTATTCTTGCGAGACTTGCTCTTCGTATCCGTGCTCGACAGCCACGGGTTCTCCTCACCCTCTGCAGCGGGCTCCATGTCGGCGTCTTTTGACTCAACCTTCGATTGGGACTCAGAGGTAGCATGAGTGGGTGTCTCATGACAGACCCTTGCACCTAGCTCAAGATCCTTCACTTGCTTCTCGTCTCCGTTCGAGAGTGCGACACTGCTACCACCTTCGCCAAGGTCAACTGCAATCACGTCCGAGGCACGAGCCGACACACCAGCGCCCATGCTTACATTGGTCGTTTGAAGTGCACCTCTAACCAGTGCACGGTCGACAGCCATCTTGTCAGATTCTGTCACCACCACCTTCTTTTTCACCTTCTTGGCATGTTTACTCTTCCCCGCAGCAGAACCTTCGCCGTCGGAGCTAAGGTAATCCTCGCCCTCGGAAAGGATCCGATCGCCATCGACACCGTTGCCAGTGTGAATCTCGCGAAGAAGCTTCTCAGCCTCAACGCGCGCCTCCTCGCGCTGCTTCTCGGCTGCACGCTGCATAAACTTCATTCCATAAAGACCTCGCTTCTTGCCAGCCTCCTCAGAGTCGGCGTCAATTTCTGTAATCAAAGCATTTGCGTGTCTTTCCAAACGCTTCTGTAGACGCGACGCAGCATCACCTTCGCAATTGTCTTCATCCTCATCCATGTCATCGTCATCACTGTACACAATATTCATCTTGCGCCGCAACTCCTCGCCACGACGCAACTGGTCGGCAATCGCACTACGTGTGGCATCGTCAGCTTGAATGCCACGACGAAGCTGGTGCTTCACCCATTTGCTTGTGTTGCGATGCTTAAGAGTTAGTCGTTCCTCCGCTCGCTTCTCCGCCAGCTCTTCGTCAAGTTTGCGAGCCAATTCTGGGTCCAGGGCACGCAACTCTTCCTTCTGCCTCGCTACGGCCTTCTTGTCCTGCGCATTGCGGATCTTGTGATAGAGCTTGCTCTTTATCTTTTTAATACGCTTCTTCTTTTGTTCCTCGTAGAATAACAGCGACCGCAGCTTTGCAAGCTCTTTCTGACGTGCAGCCACTTCTTCAGTCGATACGTGCTTACGCGCAAGCTCTTCTTCCTCACCCTTTGCTAGCTTCTTGTCGCTCAAGTCACCAGCTTCTAGCAACGCCGCGACGCTTTTCTCCATGTCTGTCTGCGCGACAAACTTGCTGACCAATGCAGCAGGCGTCAACTTCTCAAGTTTAGGCGCTTGGACACGCAGATCAAGCGTCTCCTTCTGTCTATTGCGACGCACTACCGGTTCAAAAAGATCCACACTTTTGGTCTTCTCCACATACGCCAGTTTGCGTTGGGCACGTGCATCATGCACGGGTTCCCTACTGGTCTGGAGCGTAAGTGTGGTACCGTCTCCTTCCAGATCGCGAACCTGCTGTCGCATACGTCTCAAGTCTAGCCCTGTCTTAGTTTTTTCTTGTGCTTCTTCGTTATCCTCCTCGGTAGTTTCAGCTGTGGACTTAACCACCTGCCCACCCAACAGACTACCAAGCGTTAGCTCTCCATCGACAGTTTCATTAGCAAACTGCGAGTCAATCTCAGCCAAAGTTTTGCTCTTCTTCTGCTCTACTAAGCTGTCCACCATATTGCTCAAATTCTTAATCTTTTCTGCTTCATCATCATCATCATCATCTTCTTCTTCTTCTTGTTCATTATTGACAGTATCAAGTCTACTAGCAGGTGTAGTACCTAAGAGATCCGACAGCAATTCTCCTCCCTCTTCTTCTTTTGTCTCCTCTTCTGCCTCTTCTTCTTCTTTTCTCTTCTTCTTCTTCTTAGTAAAAAAAAACTCCATACGCAGCTTCATCTTCACTATCAAACGCTTCATCTTCATCTATTTCTGAATCTCCTTGATCAAATCTCGGTTCTTCATACTCCACTACTTCATCAATATCAGCTCGTGCATTCATCGTACGTTCTTGGTGTGCAGCCTCTTCTTCCTCATCACTAAATACATCCTTTGACTGATTCTTATGATTTCGAGTACTTCGACGCGCGGTATGGACACGAGATTCAACTCTCACACTGGACTCGACACTACGATTAGTAACAATCTTTCTACCATGACGCACTGAAACTCGACGTGCCATATCGAGCTAAGATAATAGATGATCCAGTGGATTGACTAGGAGGTTATTTATTGGTTGGTGCAGCGGAGTTGATATTAAGTACGATCAGTATACACTTGTATACATATGTCTATCGAATTTATGGTGTGTACACATAATATAGCCAATTCATTTTCCAACGGTTCACAGTGAGTTAGTCCCCTCAGTCAGCAAGCAACACACTCCTCATACTGTAACTCTCACCCTCGTAGCTCCTCTCTCTCTCTCTCTTTCTCTTGCTATGATATCTCCTTTAAAGGATATTGTTGTTGCTACAGCGCTTGGTTTTGGTTTTGGAATCATGTGGAACAAATTTAAAGACAGTGAAATGGATCGTATTAGTCGATTCTACAAGAGACACGATATGCAGCAACAAGGTCAGATGAAGAACGTGGACAGTGACGAGTAAGATCCTGTCTTGTGTTGCAACAGCGTCGATCTCTGTTCTGTCTGTTGAAAATGACTCAAGTTGTGAATCTCTTCTAGCATCAGAGAAAGAGATTAGAAGCTTGTGTGGACTGGAAGAAGACATGAGATAATGTTAAGGGACGGACTTGTCATTCGCATTAGTGATAATGGACTAGAATTGGAATACAAACAGCAGCAGCATTCCCTTTCATAATTTTGATGTATTGTACCTTAAACTAGCAATTTCTTGCTTGTTTTGTCCTACAAAATCTGTCTGCTTTTTTTGAAGCTACAGATTCAGTCCTTTCTCTATCATCAATCATTAGTTGACAACTAACCGGTATCAGTAGCCATACATTCATACTCAGATTGTATAGCCATAAGAATATGTGCCTATAACATGTATCGACGTGAGCGTGCGAGTAGATCTGCTGCGTGGATAACACCCTGTAGTTTACCACGCTCTGTGACAAATAGCTGTGTACATTTGTGAACTGAGATGAGCAGGATCACATGACTGGCAAAAGTATCACGAGGTACATGAAAATAGTCGTCTTCTAGACTCAATACTTGGAGCTGCACCAAGTCCACAAGTTCACAAGTCTCTGTCGCTACGTTTGACAAGACAATGGCTTGATCGATTGTTATACCAGCAATTGGAATGTGAATGTTGCTTGAAGCTTTTCCACTTTGCAGACAGAGCTCCCATAACACCACCAAAGACTCTAGTTCATCCCGAGTCGCAACGCCTAGCAAGATCATTGTCTTCACATCATCTACAACTGGAAACACATCAATGGTCTTGCTTTTCTTTCCATGGCTCGTTACGTCCAGAAGATGCTTGATTGAAGCCAATGTCTGGTGCCGAACGAGATAGTGCGACGGTACATCACGCATGAGGTCACCGGCTGAAAGCGAGTAGGAGATCTGCTTTGTCAGGTCTGGCCACTGCGGCAAGTTCTTTTGACGAGCCATTGTCTCATACATGTCGAGTGAGAACGACCGCGTCACAGCGCGCCCCACGATCACGCAAAGAAGAACTGGGATCATGTAGCTCAGCTGGCCTGTAAGCTCAAATACAATGACTGCAATACTGATGGTTCCAGTGACACCAGCCGTGAAGCTGGCAGCACCAACAACTGCGTACCCTCCGATCGACAACTCTCCTTCACTTAAAATCACAACTATTTCGCCAAAGAGTCGACCAAGTACTGCGCCAATTGCAAACACGGGCGTGACAATGCCACTAGGCACAAACACTGTTATGCTGATAACCATAGACCAAAAGCGCACAACCACGTAGGCGAACAAGTTCAAAATGAGCGACGGAGATGTCCAGGAGCTGCCAAATGTGACTGACAAGTGAGTTTTGTTTGACACCTCATGAGCTGTCAGCGTTTTTGTAGAAAACATGTCATCAATCGTCTGACGCTGTGTGAGATGCATGAAGCTTCCGACTGGGTACTCGACGAGAGAAAACAGAATTGCCACCAGTGCAGCATAAATGAACGGAGAGAGCCTGGGAAAACTGCCGCACAAGGGCAGCAATAAACGGAACTCACATCTATCTTTCAGATCAAGAACGATGCGGTATGACCGAACTAAAAGTCCAGCAAGCACTCCACAAACTACTGCGAGCAACAAAAATAACGCAATCTCAAACGTTTCGTATGGTAGTGCATCGAAATCAGTCGTAAAAAAGCGATCCATAGGATCCAGCCAACAGACTGTTGAGACCGCGGAAGACTACAACACTCACAACAGATGAGAAGAAGGCGCGCCAGTAGTTGGATGTCACGTAGTACGATGTCGTGACCTCAATACTGAAAAGAACGCCACCGACTGGAGCACCAAACGTTGCAGTAACCCCGACAGCACAGGCCGCAGCCAGTATATGGTGCGTTAGATCGTTCGAATGTCGGATCTGCTCAAACAACGGCAAGCGCAGCAACTGCCTAGCGATAATGGAGCTCAAATGCACAAACGGTCCCTCTTTGCCAATTGTGAGGCCACTGCCTAGCGCAAATACCAAACCGAAGCACTTGGCGATCAGCGCACGACCTGTGAGGTAGTTTGGGAACGGGAATCCTCCCAATATACTTCGCATCTCTGGAATGCCTGACCCAACGGCTTCAGGACAAATCACGACCATGCAGCCTACACCGAGTTGCAAAAGAGAGGCTCGAAAGAGGACGTAGAGCAAATATCCCGATAGCCAGCCTTCTCCTAATGCCATAAAGCTTAAATGTAGTCTTGAAACAATCAACACTCCTGCATCTACACACCAAGCTGTTACAGACGCTAGTGTACCCAAAATTAGTAGAAAGACCCAGGAACTCTGCAAAAATGACGTCATGCGCTCGCGCTCGAGCAGAGTGCGAGCCAATGGTAGGAAAGCAGCTTCCACGGTCATTGAAGGGCTGGAAGATACCGCATCACATTCCAAGACACCTTGAGGTTTTTCCAGCCACTTCTCGTCGCTCTCTTCATCGTCTTCATCCAGCAACTGCAGTGGCCGGTAACGCACGTGAAACCGATTCAGATCTGATCCTGACTGTTTCCTGACCATTCTGGATTGCTTCCAAGCTGTGAAAGGTGACCACTTATTTTTCCACATGGTTTTAGCACTTACAGCATCGGTATTCACTTCCTGAATGAGATTCACAGACTGCGACGGTGGTGTGCAAGAAGTGGTGACAGTCGCGGCGCTCTGGAGACTCTCACTGGACTCGACAACATGAACTGACACGGATACAGATGGAGAAGACATAGATGAAAAACATGAGCCTGTAGTGGTTGCGTGGGGGGGACGCAGAGGTCGTGCTAGACAAGGGCGACGACATCTTGGCCAGTCCAGATTGGCGACTATCGAATTTTCAGAGTGGATGTTAAGAAATAGTACTTACAAAATAGTATTGACATTATTAATACAAAATAGTATTGACATTATTAGTACAAAATAGTATTGATATTGTTATTACAAGGAACTGTTGTGTTTCATACAAATCAATTTTTCTGCAAATAAAATATAATCCATATTTCTTGCGATATTATCTAAAATGTGTATTTATTATAAAGCGATTAAACGAAAATAGAGGCGACTTCATTTCAATATTTTTGAGCCTATCGCTCGTTAGATTATCGGACAGACTTGTGTGTCATTTGTAAAAAGTCCGCTAGCTATCACAGTATGGAGTTTATACAATGCGTCTGCGGCTGATGGTCGATACTTGGGATCAACCGACACACATGCCATTCCCAAGTCCCTAATAGCTTTTAAAGCTGCGGAAGAAAATTCAATTCGGAGTTTGCCCGTTGCTACCAATTGTAGAATTGCTAGATCCGGTATAGCTTAATGTGAACTGCTATTATCCTTGCATTAGCATACGGAAGCAAATGATGATCTAATTCAGCGAGAACAACACCAAACGAAAACATATCGGCCTTATCATCATACCGATCTCCCATCATTACTTCCGGTGCCATCCATCGAGATGAACCAACGCCACCCGTCATTGTAAAATCAGATCGTTCTCGAGAAACACCAAAATCGGTGAGCTTTGCTTCCAATTGCGCTGTCAGTAAAATGTTCTTTGATTTGAGATCACGATGGAGAACAGGTGATGATAACGAATGTAAATGCGTCAACGAGTGAGCAACGTGGAGAGCAATGGTAGCTTTAGTTTGGTCAAAACTAAGCGGAGTGTTGTGTTCTTCACAGTTTTTCAAAAGGTTTCGAAGATCACCTCCTTCCATGTACTCGAAAAGGACGCAAAGATCAGTGAGTGAGTCCCAAGCAACACCAGCGAACTGAACGATACGCTCGTGGTTTAAGGTTGCCATCAACTTGACCTCCGCTAGAAAAGAGTTCAAATGATTGATGCTCTTGCGCAGTTCCAGCAACTGCATCTTTATGGCCACATGTTCATTATTGAACAAGCCCGAGTAGACCTCTCCATAACCTCCTCGGCTCACAAGGTGATGCAAAATAACATTCTCGCGAGGCACGCGAGCAGTGACTATGATCTCGTCACAGCCCACAACCTCCACTTCGACTACGTGGCATCTCGTCGGTGATTGTATCTGCCTGGGAGCTTGAGGATTCTAAGCCCAATGTGATGGCATGTAAAGCGCTTTCTAGCCAGCATAGCTAGTAGCAAGAACTACAATCCCTGTTTCCTTTCCTGATAACAGTAGTTGCAACTGTTATCAGATTGGCATCGTACATATTTAAACGTAGCAAACGCTAAAAATGCAATGCAAGCAATCGCTCCAGCCGTGATAGCGGTGATGGCGCTCCAGCTGAGGCCATCATCATCACAATGCTCTTCTGCTGACTGGAGTGCTCCAATTTGCTAGAGACTGATTATCTTGGTGCCATCGTAGTGTAGAACCTATAGGGTGTTTGAATGCAGTCACCGTTCACGATTTGTTCATTATCGAGCTGGAAGTTTTGTGAAGGCTCACCAGCACAGTCGCCATTTTCAAATTGCTTCACAGCCGTGGTGCCGTTGTCGCAGAGATTCACAATGTGGGACGCGCTAGATAGTATTGACGATTTCTTGCAAATGCCTGACGCCGGATACACGGTCGTGTGAACCACTCTCTGGCATCCAACGCCGCCGTATCTCGCCATTACCACGTAGCTAAACCCCGCGAAGCGCTCTTCCGTGTATGTGAACCGGTCATCGATATTGCATGACATACTCTCGAATAGCGTGTAGCCACTCAGGTCATGTGCCATACAGGCTTCAACGTCGCAGATGGTTGTTTCAGTCATTTCAACCATCTTGGGCGTCCCTGCGCAATGACTTCCTGAGTAGACCTCCTTCACTGTCCACTTTGTCGCAAACGAGGGCATCAGGAGCAAAGCAGCTGCCGTCACGTCTTTGAACAGCTATCGGCCCAGCGGCATTGCGATCGGTACGCAGAACGTTTGCCAGAACGATGATGATTGTAAAATAAGCGTTTGACGATGCCGTCTATCCTGGGATTCAGCTTGTTGTCTCGGCGATTGGGAGACAGATGGAAGAGGACAACACTTCCCATCACGACGAGATCTTGTTCAGGTAAGGCAGGCATTGGCACGAAGTGACAGCACGAATAAAGCCGTTTAGGCGTCCAGGCATTAGCTCTGTAACGCGAAAATGACTGAGGTGCTTAGTCGGCAAACCACAAAAATAGCTCGATGAGGTCTCCAATCTTGGTGTGTTTTCTGCAGCTCTGTGCTTGAAACGAGTGAGGATGTGGCTGATTAAATAGTCCGCCTTCATCATCATGGTGGACTGCATGCTACGTACATGTACCGTTCATCAACCAATCACGTACCGCGACACTTCATGCATCACTATCTGTTGTCAACAAAGCAGAACCATCCGAACTTCATACCATGAACAAATCATAATAGAGGAGCTACCGAAGACTTGTCGAACAAGAAGAGGGAGAGCAACGGGTAGACTGTCATCTCACCGTACAAAAGGAGCTGAGAACGAGTTTACGTGCTATGTTTGAAATGGTCCGCTTAAATGCCGAGCAAAGTGCTTTCGAGACCAAGTGTCCGATTGTTGACCAAGTTTCCAATATTGTCACCAGTAGAATGAGCTACTGACCGGTCTCGAGACAACGTCGTATTTTAAAAGGAAGTTGAGACCATTGACGGAAGCGGTCGTACAAGGGGAACAAGAAACTGCCAATTGCAACATACTTTGGAGTCGTGCCCCGGCGCGTTTAAGAAGACATTGATGTAAATACAAATTGGATGTTGTTAGCAAGCTATGAAGACGCTTTTTTGAGATCTTGGAAAGGAATGTGCTTCAAAGGGCGTCTGATCGGAACGTCAAGATTGGAAACCGATGCAAAGAGCGTATCAGATGCAGCATAAGAGCCGAGTCAGAACGACAAGCAGATATGAAGACAACAATGTAGTCGTATGCTCATAGCCACTCGGGTACAGCTTGTCCGTAAGCTATACAGGACGACCACGAACAGAAATTTACTAGCAACATATTGAAAGTTTCAATGCTTGCAAAGGAGAGGTAGAGTGTGATCACTTCAATAGTCGTATGGTAGCTGATCATACTGATTTATTGTATGCGCATAGGCCGATTGCGTTTATCAAACTCAGCATGCGTTCGTTTTTGCTGACCCAAAGTATACTGACCTCTACGTGTCTATGAAGGACTTACAATCTGATTCTAGGTAAGTTAATTGACAAGGATGACGGAAAACTATAGGTTTTGTATAGTTATTTTCGAGTGTTTCAAGGTCTTTTTCTAAACGAAATGGTTGAGCAATTTTAGAAATCAAAGTGTGTTTCGTACATAACAACCTACCCCGTTGTTTTAGTTTGCTCACAAGTTTGTTTATAAGCAGTATGTTCATTCTTCTTACAAATAATAAGATAAAAAAAGAAGGGATGTCATACTCAAGATTTTCCACCACCAAGGCAAAAACCCCACCAGTCATTCCTTTTTCACGGTAAAAAACCGATAAACTCCTACTCCACAACGAAAACCCCACACCAACTCTATCCGTCTCTAACTACGTCTAAACAAACATGACTGATCGTCGTGATGAGAAACCAGCGGATTTTCTCCTTCCTGAAACTGTCAAGAACTGGTTTTCACAAATGTATACACATTTAAGTGCTGGTCATGTGCAAGAGATGGCACGTTTATACGATCGTGAATTTCATAATTTGACCACTAATTACTTTAAACAAACATCATGGCCTGAACCCAATGCAATTGAATCGCTTGTGCATCATGATAAAACCTTTATATTATTATATAAACAAATTTATTTTCGTCATTTATTTTCACGGTTACAACCAGGTATGGAAATGAAAATTGCATCCTGGGAAACATATGGTGCTCTATTTGATGGGATTTTAACTGATACGGTTACATTAAAAGCATTACCATCTCAATGGATTTTTGATCTTGTGGGTGAATTTGTCTATCAATATCAATCCTATTGTCAATTTCGTGCTAAACTTGCAACTAAAAGTGAAGCTGAAATTTGTGTCTATGAGGAAAATCTTTGGATCTGGGATACCAGTAAAGTACTTGGATATTTACACGCTCTTGTCCGTCATTCCAAGATTTTAGAGACTTTAAGTGAAAAAGAAAAAGATGATGAAGATGATGATCAACTGATAAAGCACGTGCCATCGGATGTTGTGAAAGAGCTTGGATACTTTAGTCTTATCACACTTGCTCGTGCTCATGTGTTGTTTGGTGATTACTATACGTCACTAAAACTATTGGACCCACTTGATTTGTTCAGTACAAACTCTCGTAATGAAGTCAAGACGATTGCAAAAATTCATGAGAAATCACCAGGATGTCATGTCTCTGTGTTTTATCATATGGGGTTTGCTCAACTTATGCTAGAGGACTTTGCAGCAGCGATTCGTTCATTCTCGACTATTATTTTGCAAGTAAATCGTAATCGTAACTATTACTCACGGTTTGCTGACTATGAACAGCTCCATAAGCTTACGGAAAAAGCCATGGCTTTGCTAGCTATTGTGCTATTCCTATGTCCAGGTCAGCGTGTGAATGATCAGATCCACACGCTCATTCGTGAGAAATATGGTGACAAACAGAATAAATTGCAGAAGGGTGATATCTCGGCTCTCAGCGAACTATTCAGCTTTTCTTGCCCCAAGTTTATCGTGCCTGCTGTGGCGGCGGAAGGTAAGGCTGCGATCAACCGAAGTGCCGAGGCTTCGCAGCGGCAACTAAAGGCTTTTAACGATATGGTCGTCCGTCAGCAGCATGTACCAGCTGTACGTTCGTATATTAAACTCTACCGTTCCATTGATCTGGAAAAGCTGGCGGCGTTTCGTCGTGTCGACGTCGAGCTTGCACGCGCCGAACTTATGGCCTTGAAGGTTAGCGGCTCTCGTCTCAAGTCGGATGTGCACGTCTTTTTGAACAACAATCTCGTTCTTATAGATGAGGAGACGAGTAACCAGCGTACAGGCGAGTTTTTTATCAACCACATTCACAAATTTGCGCGCATTGTGGACGAGTGTGCGGTGAAGCAGTAAGTGTTTTGATCCGGTAAGCGTGGATCTTCAGATCATGCTGAAGTTGCAGCGCGCTGAATGGCAAGGGATGACCACTTTAGTCTTGTGAAAGACACTTGGGTGGGGTAACGGTGTGAGAAGGGAAATATGGTGGCGGGATTGGAAAAGACAGAGGACGAGAGGCCAATGGAAGGGACGGTAGAACGTAGCGCGCTGACGCCAGGAGGTCGATGAATCGAGTGGTCGACAGTTGCAAAAGCGCTCGTTAAATCGTTTGCAGGTAGGTAGGTATAGGTGACCATAAATATCCAAATAGCAGCAGCACAGTAAGTCTAATCCTAATCCGTCTTTATGCGTTGTTTCTTTTCTGTTGGCTCGAGTGCAGACGTCTGACGTCTACCCTTCATACTTGTTACCTTATCACATAATGCTGCAGCCTAAACGAGTCAAAATCATGCATGGGCTTTGCTCAGCGCTAATGCGCGTGCAATCGGTGTCGAGGCTTTCTTATTAGCAACAACAATGCAATAATGCGCTTGCAACAAATGAAACTCTTCCAGTTCATCAAAGATTTCAAGTTTCTCACACCTGTCATGGAGAAATGAAGAAGCAATTAGAACTATCTCCTTCTGCAAGTAGATCAATCAATACTTATCAATTCATACGTACTTGGTACGTTCAGACGGATCGAGATAGTGGTAATAGATCTTGTTCATATCCCAGCATTGTGCTAGCTCATAGCTATGTTGAATAAAACGCGCAATCTGCGCTTCGACAGTCGGGAAGTCGTAGATACTCAACAAGTCACAGCCACGTGCTTTAATGTTTGCCATCATCACTTTTCCAAATGCATCATCAGGCAAGATCTGTTCATATAGTACAAAACTCACATCTTCAAAGTATGATGCAGCCCATTCAACAAGTTGCGTCGAGAACTTGGCCTCCATGTAGATAAGTACACACTCCGACACGAAAAGCGTTGGCACATTGGGATTAATCCCTGCTGTTATTAATGTTGCTGTCGTTCCATCCAAGTCCCTTAGATCACAAGGTAGTAAATGATACCCAGGTACATGAAGTTCTGTATATCCTGATGATACTGCTGTCATAAATGTCTTGATCTCTCCAAGTCCCAAGACTTCAGCAAGTCGTTTTCGTCGCTTGATAGCACTTACTTTCTGCAGGGTGATATCGGGATAATCCAGCTCAAAATACTCACAATTTGCAAGCATTTCATTGCTTTTTAAGCGAAAAAACATTGTATCCAGTCCTGCACCTAAGATTACCACTTGTTTCTTTCCTTTTACATCCTCAGCGCCTAAGAATTTGCGTACAAGCGATTCAATAGCCGTAACTCGAGCATAATATCCACGATTAATTATTGGCATACGACGTGATGGAGATTTGACAAAATATTGTACAAACGGATCGGTATAATATCCAAGTTGACTAGCAGATAATTTACATAATGATGCATCAATTGCTGTCTCCTTCACGGCGCCATCGTGCTCAGTACTTTGTCGTCCTTCTTGGGACAACATGATGGAATGCAATCTAGTGAGATTGGATTTTTTTCGTGTAGATATGATGTGGTCTATCGAATCAATTAAGTACAATCTCTCGATCGTCGCCGCGTTTGAAACGTTTATATGTGAATATTTTCACTGGCATTGGATAGTCGTTCTCTAAAACAGGACTTTATCCACCAAAAACATGTCGAAAACAACGTTTATACTCCATGTCAATAGACAAGATAAATTGTTTGTATCAAAATAAACAACGTCATGGATAGCAAAACATAGAGAATTAATCTTCATGATATTAATGATCCTATGGGTACTACTTCCTCTATTGCGTTCAGGTCTTTTTTTCCTACTGCCTTGAACTGGCCTTTTTTGACTATGATATAGTCACATACAAAATATACGACACAAACCCATTGAATATTATGCTTTTCATGTCGTAAGCGCAAGTTTTCAATCGATATTAATTATGTCTGCTGTGTACGTATGTTAGTTAGTTACCATATCGTCCGCACAAGTCACAACGCGTCCTTTTTGCAATCGAGCCGTATGTTTTTCTCCAGAGACTTTCTTCGTCAAAACGTCAGATATTTCAAACCGAATACTTGTCCCAAGCAAACTTGACTAGATCATCAGAGCCAGGGGATGAGAGGGTACAAAACGGTTGTCGTTCGCGTCGCAACATCGGAAACAGGTTATTTCACGAAACCTTTTGACTTTCTTTCCTTAACGTCGTTACATTTTCGCAATTGACACAGGACACACACATATATATATAAAACACAGTGCCTACTGCATATTAAAAACTCGCTCCACTACAATATACATATATTGTTAGCATTTTAAATTGGCTAAAACCCAAAACAAGTCGGTTGGTGTCTCCATCCCTCTCTCTCTATCCTCCCTTATCCGGAAAATATCAATCTAAAACCGTTACTTGAACAACTTGTCCAAACTAAAGTGTCCACTTAGTGTAACGGCCGTACCATATCACAGGACGTCATTGTTATTATATAGTGTTCATATATCACCCCCCCCACACACACAGACACTTGGGATAAAATCCCATCTAATCAAAAAGCTTTGACCAAAAAACCCATGGACTATTCTCATCCAAATCGTCTGATATTGGATTATCGTGCATCGGAACCAGTTTTCTTCGCTCAAAGTGAACATTCAAATTTATCTGATCCACCATTATCCAAGTCTCAAATTCAACGTTCCTCGAAATTTACAACCGCCGTTGCAGCAGCAGGAGGAGGAGCTCCATGGATACCTGAAAACCAGCAGCCTCATCCTCATGATCCAGCATTTGAATCGTCTCGATCAAGTATGCGTCGTAAACTTAAATTACCCGGACTTTCCAAGCATAAACAGGTGACAAAATTACCACGAATGGATGAAGTGATTTCTCATGTAAAAATTACCGACCACCAACAGCTACAAATGTGTCAAGAAGCAGAAGAACGGATTGCAATTTGTTTACCAAAAGCTCGAGCTGCATGGGACGGTTCGAAACAGATTTTTGATGATCCAAAGGAATGGAAATTACATAGTGCAAAACCATATCTTGCTGTATACAAACGCAAGGATTATTTACATCAGTGTCATGCACTTGCACATCAATTTGTTGCCACTGGACGGATTCCTGGTCTTACGTTACAGGATGTCGAGTATGGTAAATATAGTGATACGACACTGGATGAACGCTCGATTAATGCGTATTTGTTTCGGGACTACTTTCTAGATGCTGCTGTACTTCAAGTACTAGAGACACAAACACAAGATGATCCGTTTCGATTTTTTGGTATCAAATGGATGGCATTTGCATCTCCTAGTGGACCTGCAAGGTTCTTTTCACCTAGAGACCATGCATACTATGAGTATGCCAAGACTGTCATTACCGAAGAAGGTTACAAAGTGCTTGTCAAGGTCATGCAATCAGTTGGAGACGATGTGTTACCTCCATTACCTCAAACTGTCATCCACGATCGACCGGGTGATAGCATTGACTCGTCAAAACTGCGCTTTGTTCGTGGCCATCTGTCAATGATATCAATGTATGTTTTTGACGAGACAGCCAACGCCGTCAAGGTGTTTGCAGAAGGGTCGTTGGATCCGGGAGGTCGAGCTAGTTCCTGGCTCGGAAGTGCGTTCCTTTCGCAGTTTGCGCCTGCATTCGTGCGGATCGAGTATTGCGCGGACATTAAGTACATCATGAAGCACGGCATGGTCTTTCCACATCCGCCAGCAGCAATCAGTCACTCTCCGTCGCCACAGAGCCTTGTCAAGAGTCAGAGCACGATGAGCGGGTCTGAGGTTACGGCACATGGTCCTTCTGCGATGGCAACATCAATGGCACCAGCTCGTGAAATGGGGCGAATGTCCATTTGTCCTCAACCAAGCTGGGTGCCGGACCATCAGCGTAAAGTGTGCTTTGTGTGCTTCAAGAGCTTTGGCATCATCCGGCGCCATCGCCATCACTGCCGTATGTGCGGCGAGGTCATGTGTTCTCGCTGCATGATTACACTCCCGCTTGTTGCACCGCCTTCTTCAGCTCCGCAAAGTGGGAGCGACGATGAAGCTGAAGGCGTGATCCATTTCCACCGTTTCCATCGGCATGTAGACCAAATTGAAGGTCGTCCAATGAGTGTATTGCTGAAGCAACCAGCCAAGAAGACTCTGGAGGAGACTCGGTCAAACGGATATCCAGCCGTAAACAATGTGAAATTGTGCAAGAAGTGCATGTTTAGCATTCGTCAGGAGCGTAAGGGTACGATGAGGGGGGGCCACGAACTTTTACGCTGCGCCTACCATGATCAAGCAATTTCCCCTGGTTTTGCAAGGCTCTCTGGCCGACAACGGTGGTCTGCGACCCGGACCGATGCGTGGCTTCTTTCCGGGTGGTCGCTACGCCGCTGATGACGAGCTCAATCAGAACGCTGGCGGTGATGGTCACGATGAGGACGATATTGACGAAACGGACGAGGAATACTCGGCTCGTGTTGAACGCATGCGGCAGATACACATGGTGCGTGAGAGGAAGAAAAATGTGCGTCGTAGTATTCTTTTGTACGACGAAGACGACTTGAGCAACGGGGTAGACTCGCCGCCGGCTAGACCAAGTCATTTGTTCAACGAAGATGATAGCACGTTCAATTTCGACGATTTCCTGCTGCCGACGCCAAAGCGTGAAGAGGGCGATGACGATGCTGTTAGGCAAAATTTGCGTGGCCGTGTGCTGAGTTCTACCAACAGAAGTGATGCAGTTCCTCTCTCGGTATCTCGTCGACCTTCTACGGTAGCTCGCCAGTCGGAGAGCAGCTTGAAGCTTCGATCGTTGTCCATTCCGGACCAATTGGAACAGGTAGAGCGATCAATCGCACAGCAGGAGGCGTTGATCCGATCAATTACGGAGCAGCAAAGCAAGATGGCTCGTTCGCCGGAAGATGATACCTTTGCAAAGACGATAGCAGCTACGACTGCTGGAGACATTTCGTCAGAAGCACGGTCTTCCTTGTTTTATCCTGGGTCGACTCAAACTGCGCCGACACCAAGAGACGACGAATTGATCACTCCGCTCTCTTTGCGCTTCTTAGATTGAGCCAAGTAGCATATAGAGCATGATGTTGGTAAGCAAGTGAAAAAAATGTCAACAAGTACTTGTATGTATTTAACGCATAGACTTCCGAGATGTAGATATTGTAGCGTACACCTCATGGAAAACGAACACAATCCAACTAACACGTTCACGTCTTATTCATCCAGCATTTACACAGTTAGCGCCCATCAGCTTACGCCTTTGATGAAGCTACTGCTGAGCAAAACAGAAGAAGTCGCTGCTTTCTGCTTACGTTCCTGTTCAATAGTGAAAAGAATACGAGCTTGGTCCGCTAGTGACTCCTCAACTTGTGCGAGCGCCTGTCGAATATCTTGTATCGGTCCATCAATCTCGCTGCACTCGTCTTCGTCATCTTCACTACATAACGAAGTTGTCGACGGTGATGGAGATGGAATTTGTCGATTTTGGTACAAGACCTCGTCTTGTATGTCGCACGTTCGGCGCAACGCTTTCTTCGGTTCCATGACGTGAGCTATAGCATCAACAGCGAGCTCAATTTGGTCATCATCTTTCAGGTCACACAAGCTATCTGGGTCGAACGCTTCATTGGTATGTGCCGCTGCTGTCAGTTCCTTATCATCCACTACTGAGTTGGTCTGTGTGGGGTAGAACTGAATCGAATCATTGTCATCACCGTCGATGTCACTTTGTGCATCAAATCGGTGTTGGCTCGAATCGTGTTCTGAGAGACCACAACTGTCGTGGCTGTCTTTATCGTTTTCCACGAGCTCATACATCTGCAAAGACGTAAGCGATGAGGCAGATGACAGTGCGTGAGGCGAGAGGATCATCACGCGCTCACGGTTGACATGGCTGTCCAGTCTACCATCCTCTTGTCCGTTCCACTCCTGAGCATACGAACCATGTCGCACGTGTATTGACGACCTACGTATTGTGTCAAATGCATTTGAGGTTGATCGCCTCTTGATCTCTGCAAGACCATCGACGCTCTCCGTGTCCGTATCATCAACGCCCAAAATCGGAAGGTCTAGCTCACCTCCAAACATCCGCACGTCGTCATCGAGTCCGTCAAGCTCCTCTGCTTCCACGTTGTCCGGTGTCCAGGTTTGAGGACGCAGAGCAAAATCCTTATCCAGACGAAGCTCGCTATAGCCCTCAGCAACGGATGCAGGGCGGCGTCCGTTGAGTGCAATATCGCTGTGTCTTCGGCGCTGAATGGATTTACTTTTGGATCTGGTTACAAGCGGCACACTCTGTAGACAACGGAGACACACCTTTGCTATCATCACACACACCACAGCATCACCCCCAAGCACAGCCGTCTCCGTAGGACCGTTTACCGCTTTCCTGGCATTTACCAAACGCATACTCGCATCAAACTCTCCGCCTTTGTTTTCCTCTTCTACCTGGATGTCAAAGCTACATGTCATGGTCTCTTCAAAATTGGTCTGCTTGTCTCCGTGTCCAACTACTTTCATATCTGCAATTAGGTCCGCTGATCCTGTAGTAGTACCTCGTAAGCCGCGGAAGCTTTGTGTAGCACGGACATTGACTCGGTGATGAAACGTGCACTCACGGCACATGATTTCACCGCAGGCACGGCAATGATGCTTTAAGCGTTTTACGAGACGAAACTTCTTGTTGCACACCGAGCAGCGTGGACGAAGTTCATCAGCTACCCATTCGTGTGCCATCTCCAGTGGCGGACCAATTGGTACTTTGCGTCGTCTTGACTTTTTCTCCGTCTTTTTCTTCGATGCATTCGAAAGCGGTTGCTCAGCACTGTCATTAATAATACTCAAGCCCAGCGATGACCCTGACGACCTGCCAGCAGGGAAAAGAAAGCGTTCCGAACGCCAGAAAGCCTTGAGATATCTATACACGAGGATGTCCGGCATGCTACCCTTCATTTGAATTCGACCCTTTGCACACACATGGAGCAAGGGGTTCCTTATTTCATTTTCATCGTCCATCCAGTACACGAAAGCAGTTTCAATGTGTCCCCGCGTAAGACCAAAGTACGAGTCTTGACCGCCATATTCTCTAATGTGTACAGACTGAGTCACTCGATACAGCATCCGACGTCCTGTTTCCGGATCTACGTGCGTGCCTAGATGTTCAAGGTAGACAAACTCGCGACTTGCCATCAAGGCTTGTATTGGAGAGCGCAGGGCCAACCACTTGAGTCCAAGGTACCAGAACGGATCCTCGAGCGTCGCACCTTCAAGAGTCTGCAAGATACAACAATCCAATGCTGCTTCACCGTATACTTTGCTCTTGATAGCTCGCATTTCGCGTGTATGTTCACAGTACAGCGTGTTCATGACGTCTTCTAGCGAGTTAGGGAGAACTGCATGGGCCATAAATTGCTGTCCGCTAGCAGCTTCCAACGGCATTGATGTAAACGGTTGAATAGGCATCACATCCCGGATAATATCAGTGTTGTTGACGTTGTCAAGGTTCGTGACGCCTGGAATCGTAACGTGTGAAGTTAGTGACGTAACCCGTTTGTCATCTTCTCGCTGTTGCTGCCCAGGTTCTTGTTGTGGTGCATGAGCTGTTGCCCTCTTGCTGCTAACTTTCTTCCTCTTCTTCTTCTTCTTGGTCTGTTTCTTGGTCATGAAGCAAGCTGTCGGTCGAGCTGACAGCACTTTCCAACCACTCGATACCGCGTGTTCAATATTAGAACGTCCCCACGTCGGTCCGTCACGAACTGCATTTAGAGCTGCTTGTATTGCATAATCACGAAGCTCGTCGTGCTGTGCCGGTGTAATATGCAATTGAGGTAATAGACTCTCATTCACAGGAAAGAAGGATGAAGTGATCGCCACACGCTTGCGCTGTTGACTCTCCATACTATCTGTTGTCGTAAAAAAGTCGTCCATTCCTACAATGAGGTCCAAGGTCACCCTCCACGACCCCCTAAATTTCTTGGTAACAGAACCACCACAATAGAGACGTTAGATGACAAGCAGACACACACAAGAACTTACGTGGCTAATTAATGTCAAAGCTTTTCGTACGGGTATTGATTGTGCGCTGGCCTGCTCCGCGCCGACCGACTGAAACGCTGCGTTAGTCGGTCCAGCTATGTACGGACGATTCACCTTGATCAAAAGCTTAGCTCACCCTATGCAGTCAAGTCTCAACGTGACACTCGGTCCTAGCTATACCACGCACGTGCGCTTCAATTCCACGTTGGACTGTAGTTCTTAATCCAGACTTTCTCACATGGTAATGAATGATACGAACTACTTGATCAGATCAATGGGCTACATCAACCTCATTATGATAGCTCATTCATGCATAGTTTATTTATTATTCACTGTAGATAGATAGGTAGGTACTTCATCACTTTGAACAATTGCTATGAAACAACTTGTTTCATGAAGAAAGACGTTTATGGAGACCTTGTCTTGATACGACGATATCATCGAAACAGACTGTAGCACGTTTAGATGAGAAAGTAGTAATCAGAAAGGGGTCGTAATGGTAATGTTCACGTTGGTCTTGAAGTTTTCAGTAGTGAAGAGACAAGTGCTTGACTTAAAATGTGCGACTACCACAAGCATGGAGCACATGGTTCATGACAGCTGGATAGTGAGTGTGCTAGTCGCGGTACGTCAGTCTCTTACACAACTAACGTAATGGAGCTCTTGAGAATAGGCTTGCAAAGAAGCTATTTGTTAATAACAATAGCACTACTCTCATACCACAAAGGAATCACCTTGAGACAGGGGTATGTTGTCATGCATTGTAACTACGTTCCTTAGTGAACACACATGGGCAAGCACGAGTGAAAACGATGGAAATAGGCATCTATGAAACGCTACTGCCAAGAACCCGTGCATTAAGACTGCTGCTGTACACGCAAACACGTCAATTTTCAACAAACAGACATCTAAAGAGAGAGGAAGACAACAAGTCGGTATGAAATCAACCCCAAATCACTTGTGATGTTTGTTATCAAGGTGTTTTACCACTGGTGTTTAGCCTTCATTTTAAGCAATATGCTGTAGCAGCAAATGAGTACAATGACTCTCTCTTTGAGCTCGAAACCAATGCACATGGATCATATTTGCTTTGACCTGTTTATCCATTGAAGCCAAGTCGTCCAAGTTCTAGCAAAGTAATCCATCGTTTATGGCTCAAAAACTGCTCTAGGCCTTTGCGGCCGTAAGAACAAGTGGTCCAACATTGTCACCCGTCTCCTTGTTGTGTTTCATGTGCGAACCATCACAAAAGGGAAACTTCTTCGACTTCCAGCAGCGACAGACCGTACACTTGCCCTTCTCCTTGATTATATCTTCCACATCCGGTATTGACACAAAGTCCACCACTTTCTCCTTTTCCAGTTGCACTTTACGATTTACTCTTCCAGGTTTTGAATTGCCCTTACCAGCAAATAGCGTCAATCCCAGCATGAAAATAGTGATAAGGAGTGGTGCGAGATACATCCAATCCGCTTGTTTCAGCTTTAAAAAGCCTGAAAACGTGCGGGGAAGCGGTAACCCCTTAAGATAACGTGGTAGATCCGTCTATCGACAAAAAGAGCGAGAGAATGATGAGGATTTTAATGGTACTACAAGCGATATACGCACCTTTAGATACTTGCGGATGACGTCCATGATGATGATGATGATGATGATGATGAGATTAAGGGGAATGTAATCGACGAATCTTTATAACGAATCATAAGAATTTGAACATATCTACTATCTGTGATTCGTTCAAATTATCCATTTCTTTTGACCAATCAAAAATGACTCAAGCAGTCGAAGGCAAATAAATGTCCATCATCTGACCTACTTCTTCTTAGAGACCTTCGTATATTTGGATGATCGCTTCTCCATAGTCGTGGTCTTCATCGTTGAGCTATGCGACAACATGGTCGCCGATGACTTGGGCTTCTTTGGAATAGCTTCACCCAATAGCTTCTTTTCGGCAAATTCCAACTCCCAGTCGTGGTTGTGCAGGCGTAAACTCACACGCTCCTGCTTGTATACCTTTGGCGCGTCAAAAGCCATATTCGGACCAGCGCCCATGCCCATCTGCATCTGCATTGCCTTTGTATCGTCGCTAGCTACAAGACACAATACAAATAAAACAAATGAATCAGTTCAAAGTCTTGACTGTACCTTCATTCGTCATGATAATCATGAGTGTATGACATACCGCTCTGCTCGCCGAGGATGAGCGAGAGAAAACCACGCATGCCAAAGCTCACGAGAAAGTACCAGGATACTGACGAAACGTACGACACGTCTAGTGTACTGCAATATCCAGCAATAGAAGCAGCATGAGGTAAGAAAACAACACCAAAAACTTGTCAACATAGTGCTGTGTGTCTTCTTACTTGAGCTCAATGCCGCGCTGTAGCATAGTCTTAAATTTTTGCGTCAGTGAGAAAGGCACCTTAGCTATAGTTCAACAGCATTCAACAAACAAGTAGAGTGAGCAAGAGTACAGCAATACCGTCTTCTGCAATAGCTGACGTACCGAGGACAAAGCCACTAAAGAAATAGCTCATGAGCCCCATCATGACAAAGTTAGACACCATAAAAGTCATGTTACCCTTCATCATCTCCAGCATACTGTTGGGATTCATCATTTGGTTCATGGCTTCATTCTTAACCTTCTCACGCAATACTCCTTTCATTCCATCCTTCTTCTGTGATGCTGTAAAGTAGTGCTACAACAGTACAAACACACCAGCACACACACGAGTCGTGTGACAATTGTATTGATTGGATCACCAACAGTTCATATCCTGCTTCCTCACCTTGCGCATAGCAAATGCATCAGGCGTAATAAACTTGGAATTCATGCGTGTAATTTGTGCGCGTTTGACCGTATTCCTATCATCATCATCATCATCATCATCGTTCAATGCTCTTGTTTTTCTATAGACTCAAGAGCTCTTTTCTTCTTTATTATATTACGTACATGGACATGAGCTGCTCGATACTTGCCATCTTTTCATTCTTAAGCAGTAATGTAACATAATGACGTACCATAGCTGAACATCCAAAGATAATAATCATAGGTAATACGACCCAATCACGAATACTCGGATCAAGGATAATCTCTACCATGCTTTTAGTCAGTCTAAGGACAGACAAGATAATGGAGACTTATGAGATCCGTCGTTTTCATTTGTCAAAATTATGATATCATTTCACCCAATCATAATATTCTTTTATTGTTGACACAGGAAAAAGTCTCGTGATATAATGGGCAGCGTTCAAGTAGAAGAAGAAGAAGAAGAAAAGCTCATGGAGGTGGCAAAGAATGATGCATTACCGACCTATCATTACACAGAGAAGCGTCAATATTGTTTTGTATCATATACTCGTGTTTTTGTAGCGTTTATCGTGCTCGTGTTCATGTCAATAACGCTAAATGTGAAGAATATCAACCACTTGCAGAATATCAAGCACTTGAAGAATATTCAAGACAGTGACAATGCTACTGCAGCAAGTAAGAAAGAGTTTACATTAACACCATATCCTACATTGATCGAAGATGGTGGGTTTGTGGTCATCTCGTGGGAGAAAGACACTTCGAAGTCTTTGACAAGTCAAGACATTGTGACAATAAGTTGTGGCCCTACGATGGGAAGAGATGATTACTTGTTTAAAGAAGTAGTGGGTGAATCGGATACATCGGATCACTCGGTGACTTTCACGGGTCTCCATACGATGCGTTGTAACTACACGGCGATCTATTATAACTACAAAGAAGAGTTATATGAGTTTGAACCCATTGCAAAGATTGAAATCCCGATGAAGGAACCAATTGAGACACCGAAGCAAGGTCACTTGAGTCTTACAGATGATGAAACGGCAATGGCGATTTTGTTCAACTCAGGAACCTCCAAAACGCCGATTGCCAAGTATGGTGAAAACCCGCAGGATCTGAAGCTTGAGGCAACGGGAACGACCACAACCTATGGTGCCCATGATATGTATGTGTCAAAGCTGCCTTTGAGTGAGAGTATGTATGCTGTGGTTTGATATGAATGTTAATGTGGATGCTGTAGGTGTCAAGGTCCTGCGAACGTTATTGGACAGTGGGGATTTCGTGATCCGGGTTACATGCATACAGTTATCATGACTGATTTAAAGCCCAACACGTATTACTACTACCAGTTTGGTCACGAAGAGCACGGTCTGAGCCCTGTGCGACGATTTAAGTCACGACCTTTGGAAAGCTATAAATATGCAAACTTTATCGCATATGCAGACATGGGAACGTCTGAGGCGCCTGGTGCAGTTTCAACTGCTGCTAGAGTTTTTCAAGATGTGAGTGCAGGAGGATACGATTCATTCTTGCTCCACTTTGGTGATATCAGGTACGAAAAGTATTTTTGTTTGCGTGACGTAGAAAGACTAACTTATCTAGTATTGTTGATCATTCTCCAGTTACGCACTATCGGTTTCTTTTGCTTGGGATCATTTCTTTCGTCTGATCGAGCCATACGCAACTAGTCTGTACGTCTTCAAGTTAGCGTCAGCACTCACTTTTGTTATGAATACGTACTGATTTGTCTTGTATGATTGCGTTTACGTATGGTTGCTATAGGCCGTACATGGTGGGCATTGGAAATCGTGGGTGCCATGTGTTCTTGTGTTTGCTACGAGAATGTGTTACTTATTTTTGTGAGCTTTGACTTGTCAATGTAGATGAATATGGTTACACCTATGGGGGAGAACATGACCTAAGCGGAGGTATGCTTCCGTATGGCGGCAGCTTCAACCCGCCGTGGGGGAATTTTTACGCCGATTCTCTTGGAGAATGTGGAGTGCCTATGCACCACAGGTGGCACGGTAAGATTATCGCTGATCACTTTCTTGCATGTGTTGGAATACGATGCTAAATCTTGTGCAAAAACCGATAGCCCCCAAGACAGGAAATTGGATTTATTGGTACAGTTTCAACTATGGTGGCATTCATGTCATTCAAATGTCAACCGAACACAATTGGACCCGAGGATCCGAGCAATATAAATGGCTTCAGCAGGATTTGGAGCAAGTGAATCGTAGTGTCACACCATGGGTGGTGCTAACAGCACATCGCATGATGGTATGGTATATTCGATCATACTTTGACGGACGTGTATCGGCTTACCTTCGTTTTTGTCTTTGCTAGTATTCGACCCAGATGAACATTGAGTCCGATATGATAATTTCGTATATATTTCAAGAAGAGGTCGAAGATTTGATTTACAAGCACCGCGTCAATGTGATGATGGTACGTCAATTTGTTACTCTGGCCGTAGATACATATTCTGTGCTAAATTTTGTGATTCAGGTTGGCCATCAGCATTCCTACGAGCGTAGCTGCCCCGTGTATCGCAGAAAGTGCGTAGATGACGGAAAGGCCACAGTACATGTTGTCGTGGGCACTGCTGGATTTTACATCTCAGGGGATGACTTTTCTACAGAATACGGGAACTGGAGTCGAAGTCACGTGAATGAATACGGATATCTTCGCATTGCTTCGAGTCCAGAAAGCATGCGGTTCGAGTTTATTCTCAACAAGAACGGTATCATTTACGACGAGTTTACCATCACTCCCTGGAAGGACTAATGAAGTGACCAATACTGAAGCTACGTACGTCAAAACGTCTTTAAACGATTTGGGTAGGTAGCTGAAAGTATGATCATGAGCATTATAAGTAAGTATGTGCAGTACTTTTCAATGCGTTCTCGTTTGCATGTCAAGACGAAGAGATGAAACCAAACAGATCGATCCTCTGCAAAAAAACACAACAGCATATGGGCATATAGAGCCAACAGGGCTGCATTGATATTATAGGACAACGTCCACACTGCTAGTAGATACGTGACACACAGACCAATTGTATATGAAAAGCGACTGGCTTGATTTGGACTATAATAACGGTCTCTCTTCAGCTCTCTTGGTAAACAACTTAATCCTTGTGGTCGACATCGCTCTGTTCTTCTGTTGCTGCTGCTGCAGTTTCCGTCCGTCGTTTTATATTGCGCTTCACCAATTCGCTAAAGCCACGTGTTACATCAACAAGTGCAAAGGCCGTGACCAACACAAGGCCGCCGGTCACTGTCTTGTGCAAAATATCTGCTACCTTGGTTGAGCTGGGCATGAGGTAATATATTGTGATCAATATAATAGATGGAAATATAAATTACCAAATTATAGTACAAAATATCTATTTATATAATTGACGAATAACCGACAAATAACCTCTGTCCGATTATATTTGCCACATTATATTTCACAGGGATCAGGTTCACCACTCAATAAAAGCTTTCAGAGCCAATAAAACCGACACGAGAAAATGGCTGCGAAGTTTCTTAACCGCATAGCTGGCATCAGCGCTACTGTTGGCATTGGTGGTTTCTGCTTACAAGAGTGCATTTATGACGGTACGTCCGTATGTCCTGTATCCATTTGCAGTCATTTTTTGTGTCCATAGCATCCTTACAAGTAGCAGGAGATTCTGGGGGAAAACGAGCTGTACTTGACACTCCGATTCTAACGGTTTTCTTGTGCGATTGTAATTGATATAGTGGATGGTGGACACCGTGCTGTGATATTTGATCGTAAGGACGGCATTTTGGACAAGTCCGTAGGCGAGGGCACGCATTTTAAGATTCCTTTCTTCCAATACCCTACTATTCTGGACGTGCGCTCTAACTACCGCCTTATTAGCTCTCGCACGGGTACGAAGGACCTACAAAACGTCAATATCTCACTGCGTTGTCTATATCGACCAAATGCTGAGAAGTTATCGCACATTTATGCCGAATACGGTGCCGATTACGCTGACCGAATTTTGCCATCTGTTGGTAATGAGGTGCTCAAGTCCATTGTGGCCCAATACGATGCTGTGGAGCTGCTAGCTCGTCGTGATCAAGTGTCTCAGCAGATTGCGAAGGAGATGAACGATCGTTGCAGCAATTTTTACCTGTTGCTGGATGACGTGTCTCTCACGCACCTTGAGTATGGCCCGGAGTTCACGCGTGCTGTCGAGTCGAAGCAGGTTGCGCAGCAGGATGCTGAGCGTCAGAAATTTGTCGTCATGCGTTCCGAGCAGGAGCGTAAGGCCGCGGTCATCAAGGCTGAGGGTGAGTCTGAGGCTGCTCGTTTGGTCTCTGACGCTGTCGCCAAGAGCGGCACTGGTTTCATTGAGGTACAGCGTGTTGATGCCGCCCGTGAGATCGCTGAGACGCTAGCCAAGTCACGCAATGTTACGTACTTGCCCAAGCAAGACGGTGGTAATGGTGGTGTGCTGCTTGGTCTGCAGTGATGTTGGCTGCAAGTAGTGTTTCATTTTGGATGAACCTCTAGTTCTGAAGTAGTCCACAGAGTTTGCTTTGCAGCTGTTGGGGCTGCTGTCGCCGTATGCAGTTGATTCATGAAGGAGAAAAACAGTACTAAAGTAACACTGGTACAACAATTTAAACCCTTTGTAGCGTACCAAGACGTTGACAACGATATTGAACCTATAACGAATGAATGGGCATGTCTGGACGGACAAAGCCTGATTTTGATCGGGGCTGTCATTTTTAGCGATATTATACCGAATTTAAATTAGAGCTTAGTGTTTGCTATAGGGTCATTTTTTATGAAAGCACCTGACAGAATAAGGCTAATTTCAGGCAAAACTAACAATTTCATGGTCAATGTGACAATAAAACACTAAGCTCTAAATGCCGACAAAAAACTGATTTTTCGAACTTACTTATTTACACAATACTAGCGAATGAAATGGAAGTATAGGTGTAAATTTTAGGGTAGTACCCAATTTTCTTCATATTCACCAACAAAATTCTATAACCTAATATGAACATTGCAATGTCAAAATATAAAAATGAATCCAATAAATGATTCTAATAACATATCGCCACCCTGTCCTCCTCCTCTGCATGTGGCTGTATGGGAGGGAGACGTACACCGTGTACGTAGCATACTCAACTCTATGTTTCCTGAAGGTAAAGACTTTCAAGATCCGATACAAGCACTAAATCTGAAAAACCTTCTCGAACGCAAAGACATTCGTGGAAATTCTGCTTTGCACTTGGCTCTGCGTATTGTGCAGCCGAATCAAGGCGCTATTGTAAAGCTTCTACTCGATCATGATGCTAGTGTAACTTCAAGAAACTATGAGGGATGGAGCTGTGCACATGATGCAGCTCTATGTGATGATGAGTTTCTATTAGCTCAGGTTTACCTTCAAGGCGAGAAACAGTTGATACAGTCGATGGAATCAAGTCAAGAGACGTTTATGCAGGCATTAGAGAAACTACCGGACTTTGAAGCAGAGATTTTCATTGAGGCGCAGTCGTGGGTGCCTATGGTATCGAGCGTATTACCATCCGACACTATCCGGATCTGGAAACGAGGGACTCAGCTACGCATTGACTCGACGTTGAAAGGGTTGGATGGAGTAAAGTGGAAAAAAGGACTTATGTCTCAAGTGTATTTAGGAAGAGGAAGCGGAAAGAGAGCGGGACATGCAATCGTGATGGATCATGAGAATAAGAAGTTCTATGATGTACTGGCAGGCATGCACAACTCGTCGGTGGGGAACATGGATTTGGCTCTACAAGTTTCATTGACGACGGCCATGTCGTCGACTAGTTTCGATGCGACGAACTTGGAGTTTGTAAAGCAGAAAGATGTGAAAGCAAAAGCAACGACGGACGTAGGAAGGATAGACCAAGATGAAGAGAGAAAAAAGAGTCGTAGTCGACAGAGAAGGTGTCCGTGGCCAGGAACGGTGTACAAGATGCAAAATTTCTCTATTGAAGCGCGCTTTCGCCCTGTTGTGAATCCAGACCGCAAATTGAAGCAACATTTGACTGACAAGGAAACGCCTTTTGAGGAAGTGCAGCAGTTCGTGGAACATTTGCAGTCTTCTGTGCCTCGTGGAAAGTATAGTAAATGCGCCAAACGGGCACTCAATGATAGCTCCAGCGGCGATTCTACAGGTGACAAGCCCTCGCAGATTTTACGGGTTGAGAAAGGGTGCAAGGTTGAGATGCATTTGGACGTGATTGCAGGTGATACGATTGAGTGGGAATTTCAATCCAAGAGCAGCGACTTTTGCTTTATGGCAACATACTTTCACGAAGACGAGCAACAAACTGTGTGTCGTACTGACGGTGTCAAGAACATGAGGATTGTTGGAGTATTTGAGATCGAGCATGACGGCAGTTTCGTCTTGATGTGGCAAAACACGCAGAAGGGCTTTACCATTGATCGAAGCGGGATTAAGGTCACATATACCGTATCCCACATTCGATCATCACTTGATAGGTCCCTAGTAAATGCTCCCACTACAGATATTACTACCCAAGGAAATTTGGCGTCGTCAAAGCCGTCGATGTGGAAGGCAGATACAGAGAAAACGAGCCATGGCTCTTCCAGACTCAACGATGAGCAGAAATGCAATTTTTTCCGTCAATTAAATCATATACCAAACCCAATTACTACTACAACGGCGTTTGCGGACTACTTCAAGCTCAGAGAAGTTTCAATTGAATCCAAAGAATCTTCAAATGATAAACAATGTGAGTCTACGAAAACGTTGTTGTTTTCCAAAATATTTGAGGACAAAACGCTACACTGTTCTCAAACTGCAACAGCGTCTTCTTCAAAGCAGACTGGAGCGGCTGACACCACGTTCGGTATGAAAAATACATTTCGAAGTCTGACACTTGTGCCAACAACGCGTCATGTACGCAAAGACTTTGAGGCTAAGGTGGTAATGACCAACAACTTTCCGTTTCAGCTGCGAGATTTTTTACCTGTCATCAAGTTTCTCTCGACGACGGGCGACCATGTCAAGAATCTCGAGGAGTTTTTTCAAATGGTGCGGTACGTAGTCCAAATTGTTATTGTGCAATATGTGTCGTGTTGACAAGGTTTTGTACTTGCTTCATTTGGTCAACTTCAGAAACTCCCACCTGGATTTCCTGTCAAATTTGACCTGCCAATGATGTTTACAATCCATGCCGCTTATACGTTCCAAAGCATCTCGCTAAACCCACAGCTGGATCCAAAGCAATTTGACATTCCAGACGATTACTGCGAAGTATTCACCCTGGATGAAGTGCGATTATAAAGCACGAGTATCAATTGCTGGTGATAATTTGTATTGTGTATGGTGAAATTAGGCCGCAAACAGATTATTTGTAGGTTGACATTTTGACACATTAATTTATAATATAGTGATAGAAATGAAATCACAAATCTGTCTATTTTTTAGAAATAGAACCTTTTAACAAACTGCCGTATGACCATATGACACTTGGCGAGCACTTTTTTAATCTCCAAGTTCATATTGCCTCTCTCCAACTGCATTCCGCACTGTCGATTCGTCTCAGCTCGATGGCGTCTCGCGACGTCGAGTGGCGTCAATTCTCCGCACTGTGCAATGATCTGCGAAGTGTTAAGAACTCCAAGGGTGTATCCAGCGCCATTGATAAACTACAGTCATTTCTAAGTGATGACCGTAGCCGCCAACTGGTCCATCGCTGGCGGAGTTGGGGTTATCTTTTGAATTGTCTGCTGCATGTTATTAAGGAGGAAATGCGTTTGTGTCGTTACATGGTCAATAAGATCAAAAGCAGGACAAAAACCTCACGCTCGAAGATGCCACAGCTTCGGTACTGGCATTATCTTCGGACAGAATTAGAGACTGCGCACGTGACAGCGGACGGTCCATTGCTACACTTGGATCCAAACGGCCGTGACTGTATTTGCCAATTATTTGCCTTCTCACTGGCCGTCATTGAGCGTCAAAAGTATGTGGGGTTTGGTCATAATTTTGAAACACTTGTGGATAAAGAGGCTTGGCTCACAGTAGAGGTGCTCGTACAATACCGTGTCTACTGCGCTGTGTTGGACTACAATGACTGGAAGAACGTGACAGAAGTGGCAATAGGTAGTTTTGCACCAAATTGTGATGCTGAAAGCTTGATTGGAGACGTAGCAACTGCTACAACTCGTGTGAGAGTGCTCAGGCTCTTGTTAAGAAACTGTCCGTTTGACTTGATATCGCTGCTGCCTCGTGTAACATTTGAGATTCTAATGTGGTTTCAAGCTGTAAAAGTAGAAAGTAATGCAGATTTACTATTGGTAGTCGCCTCGACGATGATGGAAACACTGACCGACTTAATGCGGACGAATTTTAGTTCGATTGCGCCGTTCATACTTAAGCAAGGAGTGATAGTGTTGGAGTTTATTTGCATATCAAACAAAGAGAGAAAAAATGGACTCAAAGGTGCCCCTGGAGAGTTTGTAATGCAGTTCCTTGAGCTGTATCAGCATAATAGCGTGACCGTTGAGCCTGATTTGTGTTATTTATCTCCGAAAAAGCTATTGCGTGCAATGAAGAAGCTGGTTCACGTTGCTACGAGTCCAGAAGAAATTAATCTTATAATGATGCATTTCAATTCGGCTAAGGAACGGAGATTAGGAAACGCTCTGGGAATTGAAGACCAGGAAGTTCGTCGCTTGGCTTGTACTGCAGATATTATCTTCTACCATGACCTTTTGGTATCGGAGTGGATGCAGAGCATTACTGATGAGCTGACACAAGACGAACCTACACTCGATCAGTTTGATGTTGGCAATAAGCGTCCAAGGTTTACTTCAACTGAGTTAGCATGGGAGGTTGTCATCGAGCATGTTTTCGACAGCCCACGTACAGACACTCACTACATGACTGCAAGCTCAGCCTCGTCTGCATCGCAGCGGCAGACATCGTCGGTAGCTTATCTATCAAGAGATGTTCATCCATCTCAGTCCAGGCGAACAGATACACATCAAAGTAGTGATTCCGGTTTATGGCTTCTGCTTCTCCTGTCCATTTTGAGGCGTCACGGTGACTACTATATGTCAAACCGTATCGGTGACTTAATGATTGTGATGCAGAAGCTCGGAGATATGTTAGTGGTCAAAGAAATGGGTAAATGGCAATTGTTGACGCTGCAGATTTTGATTCAGATGGCCTCGCTATCGGCACGGTTTCACGGTAAGTGCACCGACTACTTGAGAGAACATTGGCTCACCGTGTGGCAAAATTTACTCCGTCCCGAGCTTCCCTACGCCCGAATGACGGAGGGAATAGGATTGATGAGAGGCCAAGCAGGTGACACTGTGCTTACGTTGTTAAATTGCTGCATTGCGTTTCGGCTCGTCTCAATAAACATTATTGAAGCAAGCAGCAAGGATCTGTGGAATTTGCCTGCTTTTCGGCAACCGGCGTTAGACACTCAAGTTTCTCGAGGGGATACCATGAGGCCGTATGCGAGAACATCGATGGCTTCCATTTCCACGCTGCTGTCACTACTTCGTCATATTCAAGTACCAGCAGGAGCCGACACGACCGCGGGAGCACTGCAGGCCCATGGGTTACTAGACACCGATGATGATATTGTTGCCGCTAGTCATGCGTCGGTGCCGTCAAGATTGCTTCAATCAGTATTTGATCATCTTCGCGCTCAAGTATTCTGTAGGAACATTGCTCCGTCAGTGGGAAACGGAGCGAGTTCATTTACAAGGGTTGATTGGCAAACAGAAGTGTCGCCGATGATATATGCATCTGTCATTCGGTCATTCTTTGGTCATACAACTTCAAAGACGGATGCTCCGGAAGAATGTGCTTTCGTTCCTGAATTGCTTCGCAAGTTCTCGACAAACAGTGAGAAAGAATGTGAAAGCTGGCTAACCGCCGAAGAGCTTAATGGTTTTGGAGTGGCCTTTTGCATGCTTGAGAATGGATTGGACTCTCTTTCTATGGCTTTTCCGTCTTTCACTGGGGTAAAGCCGTCTGCTTTTTCGCCATTAATTCAAGCAGTGGCTGGCAAAGTTGCGGGAACGGATGAATCAAGTTGGTACGAGGGTATTAGCTTATGTGAGAGGAATGTCGACTATTTTGAACGACTCGCTGTTCCAGCTGGTCTTTTGGGAAAGCTGATTCCGCGTCAAAATGTATTCTCTAGCAATGACTTTTGTGTGAATGACTCTTATGTTTGTGCTCAGTCGATTTCAAAGAAAAAGGTGCAGGCCTTGCAAAAAGAAGTCATTAACTTGTTTGCTGGATTACTGGCGGAAATTGCAAGTAATCTGCCCTCTGATGAAAGCAGCCCGATGAAAGGATTGCGATTGCTGGCAAATTCGCTGGATGTAAGGAATGTCATCGATGTTTCAATGCTGGGTTATAGCAAAACTAATGGCGTGTGTGCAATTTCCCGATTGACGAATAGGTTGGACTTGTTCTTGCAACACTATACGCTGATGAAATTGTGCATGCCCCAGATAGCCCGAACGAGAGCTGTATTCGTGTGCTTCCGTTGCTAAGGCAGTATCTTGAGATTGTTGCGAATTATTTGAAACCAAGTGCGATTGAACAAGCCCAGCAGAGTCAATCCATGTCAGAGAATATAGTACATATATTGCGCAAGCTCCACACAGTTATCCTAATTTCACAAGGCCGAAATACACTGGGAAGATGTTGTCATCCGTCGGCAGATCCCATCGAGTTATGGACCCCGCCAGACTTACGCCCAGCAATTCATGCTATTGTGAGCTCGGTAGAAGCATCACTGGCAAGTCTTAGTGGCATACAAACGAATTCTCCGAGCAAAACAATGGTTTCGCCGCACGATGGTTCCAGTTCGATTCGTGGTCTGTCGAGGTGGGCATCAAGTTTTAGTCAACCATCACAATCACAACCACGAAGTCAGCTGATACAAAACGAATGGGATACTATGGATGATGCGTAAGTTCAGATTGCAACATCTTTATAGTTTCTCCTGCTCTACTAATTCTTTGAATTTTGAATGGTGCTTGGGAGCATTTAGCAAGGAAGATGACGTCTCTCGCGATCGTCCTGCGAGCCGTGTTTTACAAAAAAGTGCCAGTTTGTGGTGCTTTCGTCTGATCTTGCTGCTCAAGAAAGATAGCGGTCTTTCCTCTGTAAAGAGCTTTTTCGAAGGTATCCTGTTTGAGCCCGATTTTGTGCTGGCAGTAGCTGTTCTCCTGTGTGGCGTAACTGGCCATGACAGCCTGGAAGTGTTTGTCAAGCTAATTGATTATGCTGCAGAGAAAGGCACGTGCGAAAATTGCACGCGATCTAGTATTCGAGATGAGAGCTGCCGTACATCGATCTTTCTTTCTCAAGTGTTGTCAGCTCTTGCTCTTGCTGGTTTAGTGTATGAGAAACGGCAGTATGAGCGCGATGAGTCACCCCCCGCGCTGTTGTTGACATGTGCGAAGAAACATTTAGAAACCATGGCTAGTCTTCAATCTAAATTAAGCTTACGCATGGCGCGAAGAGCTGAGTTGCAGTGCCTTGAGGTATTTTTCCGTCTCAGCACGCGCGAATTCAGCGAGTTTGAAACAGCATGCGTAACAGGGCTTACAGACTGGGACGTGAGTGTCCGTGTCGTGGCGTCACGTAGTCTTCAATCTATATATTATATGTATCCGGCAGGTGGCGAAAAGATTTTTCGGCACATTTTGAAGACTTTGGGAGGTTTACTGGATGCACCTGCCGTAAAGCCAAGCGCAAACGTGGGGGATGAGATCAAAGCTCAGCATCAGCCAACAGAGCAAGAAGTTGCCGACCCTCGGTTGTCCATAGACTGGTGTTTACCTGTCTTGCTTAGCCTGTATGTGAGCGCCTGCTCGTCTCAGATGGCACTTCCAGCAGTACTTACAACATGCGTTGAGATGGCATCTATGACTGCATCGCTGCATGCTGTGGGCGCTCCTTCTTTGATTGCAACCTGGCTGGATGCGATGGCGCTGTCTCATGGATACGCTGACGTCTCAAATTTGCTGGACGACCACTTTTGCCGTCTTTGGTACGATTTTGTTACTGCAAGTCATCAGCCTGCGCGTGATAATGAACAAACTAGACTGGAATGGACAAAGAGCGACCTATTACCCCCCTTTACCCAATGGGAAATACTTGCTGCAGCAGTTCCCGCTAGAAGCACTTCTTGGCAAAGAGTTTGATTTAGCTACTAGGAGATCATTTTTTTCGACAAAGCTCGATATGATTCTTTCGATTGGCGTGCTTCACTGTTTTATTTTTTGGTCAAGAGCCAAGCGTGAAAGGGAATCGATTTGACTTCGTTGGCGAGCTGATTTCTTTCTTTTTCGCAAGTGACAGCGCCAGCGAGACAGAGCATGCCAATGTTGTATCGGCGATCGATGCACAGTTGACCACGGATTTGTTTGCGTTTTCGTTCATCTTATCGGCACATCCTGACCCAATGCTAAATGGATTGGCAAACCAGATACGTGAGGTAGCAGACGAACGGGCGCAAGTATGCCCACTTTCGTTATTGCAGCTTGGGCATATAGCAAGCAAAATGGTCCGATTTACAGTGTGGGGTATTTTAGAGGGGAACGGCGACGAGAAATTTGCTCGAAGTGAATTCTGGAAATCTGCACTGAATGCAATGAGAGAAGAATATGTTGAGTTTGATTGGAAACTGATAAATTTAGCCGATCATCTCAGCGAGTTTTATGTGCTTTTGCTGAGAACAGCACTGTTCTATCCAAGAGCTGTATGCACAGTGGAATGTTTCAACATTTTTGTTACGGAGTCTTGTGATGCAGTGGTTGAAACTCCTATGCTGCAACATTTCATGCTTTTGATATGCTTTCAGGCAATCAAACACCTAGCCATCAGAAATCGTCGTCGCATTGGAAGTATATTGTCGCGTCTTGTCCGTGTGACATGTGAGCGCTTTTTGAAAAAGACGGACATGTTTGGAAAATATCTTGGGTTTGTGGTGCAGGAGATCAGTTGTATCCTGTTAAACTGTACTAAAGTGCCACGCAGGACTATAAAAAATGCAATGTCGCTCGATGTCAAACCTCAGAATGGGTTAAGTTTGAATGTAGACGATCAGGCAGAACTGGAGAGGGTAATTTTTGCTGTGTGCAACGGCTTCAGCAGCGGCCTTGGAAAGTATGCTCTCGACATCGACATGGTACCAAATGGTATATCAGAGAGTCTTGACAAGCTCAACGCTCTTATAATTGAGAGTAAAATGATGGGATTGTCTAAAGAAAGCCAAGGGGAGGAAGGTTGTAGGCTTGATTCTTCACCGCACTGCATTATAGACCCAACGAGCAATCAAGCAAAACAACATATTCAGATGTTTATCCAAAGGGAGCATATGCGTGGAACCAAGTTTTACAACCCATTACTCTTCGGTGGACTATCGAGGGCAAACACGATAGAGAATAAGTCGTCCGTACACGAGACTGCTCACACATCAACAGAATCGTTCGCAGATGTCCGGTTATCTGAAGTGACTACAAGTATTGGAAGTGTGCGGGATTCTAGTCTGTCAACGAAGAAACTGTACGGAAAACTTGCTAGCACATTATTGTATCTAAGTTCATCAAGCACGTTCGGTAACAAAGACTTCAACCAAGATAGCGGCATAACGAGTCTAGCGAATGCGTTGGGCGAGCTAGGAGCTTTAGATGCAAACGACTACGAACTGAGTCTGGCAACGGAAGAAGGAAAATTGTCCCGCTTGTATCGACTACATTTTCATCGGGGTGCACTTCAAGAGACCAAGACAACTTTTTCTCTCATGATGCACGAGGATGTACTGGCTCACCTAAGTTCGATTGTTTTTGAAGGAAGAAAGGCCGAAAAAGTTGACCCATCAATACTAGAGCAAGCGCTGAAGATATTGAAAAACATTCTTAATCTCGACGAGGGTGTACGGGCTTTGGCCCAATGCAAGGACGGAGAACTTAAATCATTTTTGTGTCCTTTTGAAGGATCACCACCGTCTACATGGTCCTCAGCTTTCCCAAAACATAGCGAAGAGTGGGGCCAGAAGCCGAGGAACACACTACGACGCTGCACGGAGCTGTGGACTTCAGCAGAGAAAAAAGGCTTTGAAGCGTGGGTTTGTTCGCTGACTTCTTTCTTGGCTATGAGATCCCCAGACCAAGTGTTGAAGGCATGCTCCGCACTGGTATCTTTGCGAGTAGATATGGCAGTGTTCCTGTTTCCTCACGCACTCGAAAGTATTTTGAGAAGATTTGAGCATCAAAAGAAGCCTGGTGATAAAGTGAACACAGCAGGTCTTACTGATTCCGAGGATATCTCGGGGATCGCGAAAGCTATTAACGAAGGCATTGACTTTGTTTTGACTGGAGAAAAAAGTTACAAGTCCAGTATGCCTGGTGCAACATCGGAGGAACAAATTCAAAGTCTCCAAACACTCTCTACTCAACCACCCGAAGCTATCCAGCTCGTCATCCATAGCATCAATTTTCTTCGTGAGATTGAAAAAACTCAGTTTGTGGAAACTAATGGTAGAGGCAGGCAGAAGTTATCTACAAGAATAGGACCCAAGCGATTATCTGGACAAAATACTCTTGTACCAAAAGAAACTTATGGAAACGGGCTGGCATATGGATGTATCGTTGATGTGAAAGACTTTCTTGCGGTTGCCAAGGCAGCTGTTCGCGTAAAAATGCCGTATTCAGCCATGCAGTATGTTGAGATGTGGCTGGAAAAAGAGCACGGTGGGAAGATTACTTCACTGTCTTCGCTGAATAATGACGAAGTGGTGAATGTTCTCCGCGGCATTCTTGTTGATGCATACGGCTTTGGCAGCGACGATGATGGGATCTACGGAGTCAACGACGGCCGAACATTGGAATCACAATTGACAAAATTTAATCGTGAGGGTCAGCACGCAAAAGCTCTTCCACTATATGATGTCTCACTACAATTCATAAACTCAAACGTGGATGACGGCGCAAAAATGGCTGGTAGTCACTCGCTCCAGCTTATGGAGGGAATGTTGACATCATTGCAATTACTGGGATACAATAACTTACTGGAGGGTTATTTGCAATCAATGCAATGGAATCGACAATCTATGAATCTGGAATCACTGTCCTCTTTACAGCATAAATACGAACTTGCCTGGAAGAACATGCAATGGGAAGCAATTCTTCCAGGTCTATCAAGAACAGGAAATACTTGGAAGTATGACACGGCGAATGGTTTTTCGCAGCAGAAAACAATTTTTGAAGGCTTAAGAGCAATAGCTCATGGCAAATTTACACACTTGCAAAACGTGATGTCAAAAGCAAAGAGGCAGATCCTACGGTCCATTCAATTAAGCCTGCAATCATTTGAGAGTACAAAAGAGTCATACTCAGCTATGGTTTACTTACAGGCTATTCGAGAAATTGAGGAGATGGCAAATCACATGGAAAAAGCAGATCATGTTGCAGACAAAGGTACGATTCCGCCAGTAAATCGGGCAGGATGGAGCGCCTTCCCTTTTTCACCAGGTAACGCGACTCCTGATCCTCGTGTATCATCAACAATAGAAACATTGCTTGATCGGTGGCAGCAACGACGCAATCAGATTAAAAACGATTTTGACAAAGCTGAAAGCCTGCTAGCACTAGAAGAGGTTTTGCTACAAGTGTCGAGGGTCTCAGATGATAAGAAAAGGCTGACAAAGTTATACCTCGACCTCGCGTCGCTGAGTCGAAAAGCAGGGCGCACAGCAGTGGCTTATAGAGCCCTGCTTAAACTCGAGCAGCTCGACCAGAATGGCTTGTTACGCATTCATGAGAGAATGCAGTGGAAGATACAAACATGCAAATTGCTCTGGCAAGAGCAGGAGTTTCGAAGTGCAATTTGGACTGGAAAAAAAGCTTGCTCTGAGCTATCCACATACTTGCACGATTCCTCTTTGTCTGCACACGAAGCCACATCGTTGCAGTTGCTGCTTGTTCAAGTGCTAACCATTACCGGCAAATGGATCGCATCTCAGCGTTCTGAAAGCTCTCAGACTATTCTCGAAGACTACTTTCAAAAAGCTACCAAAATTATGACCTCGATGGATGCTGACGCGGTTTCGGAGAGGGCGCAAGATGCTGCTAAAGCACATTTTGCGCTCGCAGATTTTATGGCTGCGATGTACCAGCAAGTTAATATTCGCGTGACGTCGCGCGAGTGGCTAGCAGGCAAAAAGGTGGTGCATGCACGACACGAGGAACTTCGTGAGCTACAAAGTATGGAGCAAACTATGCAAAACGAGAATCGAGCCCACATACATGCGTTGAACCGAGAAGTTGTTCACGACATGAATGAGCGCTCAAAAGTGGAGTCATCTGTGGATCAATTCTTGATTGGCGCTTTGTGCAGCTACGGTAAAGGTTTGTGTTTCTCACCCCAAGCTGAGCTTGACATGGTGTTTCGTATGTTTTCTCTATGGTTCAACAATCAACTCAAGGCTGATATCAACCGAGTCGTCATCCAAGAAATTATCGATGTTGTTCCATCATTCAACTTCGTTCCTCTGTCCTATCAGATAATTTCGCGCATTAGTAGTTCCACTGAGAATACGAGCACCTTTCAAACTGCACTACGTAAACTTGTGATAAAACTGAGCGTGGAGCATCCGCATCACACGCTGATACAACTTGTCGCACTGAAAAATAGTGGAGACGTGGAAGGCAAAGGTGCTCTGCAGTTTCGGGCAAACGTTGGAGATGCAAAGGCCGAAGGTGCAAGAGTATATCTGGCTGAGCTAATGAAAACGGAATTGCGGGAGCTGCTTGAATCAATCGACTCCATAGCAAATGCATACGTCCAATTGGCGCTGTTCGACACGAGCGAGTATCATGGACAAAAGAAAAAGATCTCTTTTGCAAAAGTATCAATTTCTGAGACAAACTCAGGAAGATTTGGAGCAACACCATTTGATCAGTGTCTTCGAGTTCGCGCACGGCGGGGAGGTACTGTCGTAATGCCGGCAGTACTGACAGCCTACATTTCACCACGAGCTGATATGGACTACTCGAATGTCGTTCGCATGTATTCGTTCGAGCCACAATTCTCTATCACAGATAGCGGTATACATCGTCCGAAGATCATTTATTGCTACGGTTCGGATGGTAAGCGGTACAAACAACTGGTAAAGGGTCAAGATGATACGCGGCAAGATCTTGTTATTGAGCAAGTGTTTGAGACGATGAATCAGTTTTTGATGGAGGAGAAAGAGTCTCGCAAGCGAAAATTACGTCTACGAACATACCGAGTAGTTCCGCTATCACCTATTGCTGGCGTGCTAGAGTGGGTGGAGAACACAATACCATGGGGATCATATCTTGTGAGCAGAACATCTAAGAGGTTGTCAGCGCACGAGCGGTATCACCCCTTCGAATGGAAACACGCTGAATGTCGTCAATATTTAAAAAATGCGCCAGAAAAATTGCCCGCCTTTGCGGAGATTCAAGCAAACTTTACTCCAGTATTCCACCATTTTTTCTTGGAAATGTTCCCGGATGCGGCTGTATGGTACTACCGTCGACTGGCTTACGTACAAAGTGCAGCTGTAACGTCCATCGTTGGCTACATTCTTGGTATTGGAGACCGCCATTCGCAGAATATCCTGATTCACGAGGAGACCGGGGAGCTCGTGCATATCGACTTTGGTGTCGTGTTTGACCAGGGTATGGCTCTATACACGCCAGAAACTGTTCCTTTTCGACTCACACGAGACATGGTCGACGGGATGGGAATTTCTGGTGTAGATGGCGTCTTCTCACGATGCTGTGAGGTTACACTCCAGCTTTTACGTAAAAAGAGTGCATCAGTCGTTACGATTCTTGAGGTTTTTGTGCATGACCCACTCTACCGTTGGATGCTTTCGCCACTGAAGGCACTAAAGATTCAAGAAGGTGGCGAAAATGATGGACCAAAATCTGCTATTCGTCCACGACGCTTGGGCCACCCGAATAGCAGCAGCACCGTCATTGATTCGGGCAGTACAAACTTCACTCAGCCCGCAAAAGGGATACAAGCGGAACCTGGAAACACAGACGCAGCTGCTCGTGCCTTAATTCGCGTCAAACAAAAGCTAGAGGGTTATGAAGATCCAAATGGTAGTGCTCTTAGTATCGAAGGACAGGTCAAGCAACTTCTTAGCGCTGCACAAGACCCACATAATCTGTGCAGACTCTTTCCAGGGTGGGCTCCATGGTTGTAGTGCTTGAGGCCCAAAGGTCAGAGCATGGACTTCAAAAAGTGGCGTCCGACATCCAACAAAATTCAAGTCTAATTAACGCACACAGACGAATGCAGAACACATCACGATCAGTTTATCCAGTCATCCTGCTGCTCTTCATTTGTTTTCATTTGCCGGCAAATGCCCATGTCAATTCTCTTGTCGCGTGACACCGGCGACTTTCATCTTGTCGGATAATGAATATTGACCCCGGTCTGTAAAGTTTGGCGCTTTTGTAAAGCGTCACGAGGAGAAGTCAAAACAATACGTACAGAAAGGTGTGTAATCGCCTGTGTGACGGGCAAGACGGAGCAGCAGAAACGACACCACCACCGTCATCACCACCACCGCCATCACAAAGAAGGTGGCGAGGGCGACGGTCAGACCGTCATCTTCTATGCAAACGGTACCAATACCTATGATCCAAATGCCAACTAATCAAAAGCTTTCGGGCAAACCTGCAGTGTCATGAGATATACCGTTTCTCGCAACTTTACATTCCTCTTTGAGTTTGAAACCGGCTGATGCATGCAGTTCACAACCGTGACTATTTCATTTGATAAGTAAAATGATCACAACGCGTTCGTGGAGTTACTCTGTCACTTACATATGCGGCTGGTCTTTGCAGTCAAAGTTGTAGGGATCTCAGAGTCTTTTCCACACAGCTTACAGGTCTGCCGGCCATCTGATTACCGTCTCGAATAGAAATCGACAGCGTTAAGCTAGTGTCAAAGACTGATTGCTTTGTTGTACTCATCAATCGACCGACTTGTTACAGTCGTGTGTCAATCATGAGCGATATCTACACGCAGTGTGAGTCAAATTTAGATTTATTGCATTCCGTTTGATCTCCGTAAAGGGTATTCACAAATTGCGTCAAAGTACATGAAAAGCATTAAAGGAATGCCTTCAGCGTGCAAATGAAAAAAAAGCGGTCATGTCAATATTCTTGCATCAACCGAGGTTGGTGGTGCAATTTCAGAGCACCACGTGCCTCCATACTAGAAGGAGGCTGAGTCGCTCAGAATAATCATTACAGAGCTGCATTACGACACAGCATAGAACTATTCGATTAGAACCCGAGCTCATTTTCTCGTGCTACTGAATGTAATACCTTGTGAAGTCCACGACATGTCCTACTGCTGCAACTACTTCTTGCTCGGCCTTCTTCAAATACATATCCTACATTGTTTGTGCGCAACCTTGTGATAGCGCAAGTAAAGGCTCTTGATCTTACCATCGAGAGGATGTGGATATAACTACTGCTAAGAGAGCAAGCAAGCACAGTGTCCAACATATACGGACGGAGCAGCTTTGTCTGGCATGACCTCCCAAGGTTGTATGCAAAGGACACAGGCTTCAGCTTCTGCCTTCTCCAAACGTTTTCTCTAGCCCTTGCTGCTTTCACCTTTACTTCTTTGACCACATTGAGTTGTGTCGAAGAGAAAGACGGAAACGGTATGCATCATTATTCGGTTACTTGTCCGCTCGTAGCTGTACGAGCCGTCGACAATGAGACTTGTCAGTAGGTTTGCATTGGGAGGACGTTTGCATGAAAAAATACCTGAGGATGGACCGAGGCTGTAGCCTGAGCTTCTGCTTGTCGGCAGCTGTAACCTGATCGATTAATACATCAAGTATATAATGGATGTGTAAGCCGAATCAGGATAGTGCAAGTACAGTTTGTGTCAGATCAGCACTATGTGTGGCGCGACTGATTCGAGGGAAGCAGATCAAGTTGACGCAAGCTCAAGGTACATGAGCCGCGATCGTGATCAGTCAAGAGCAGGAAGAGGATTGACAGAATTGGAAATGTCAGGAGAAGAAGGCAAAGCAGGACGACACGGAATATCTTAGTAGGAGCGCAAAGGAGGTGCTGCGTGTGCCTAGTTCTAGCAAAGTACTTAATCATCTTCCAATTCTCCATTCACCTTCCAACCAAGTCTTCTTCTAAGGTTTCAACAGTTTGTTCTGGAGCTGGACCAAAGCGTTGATCGTAAAGTCAAGGACAATAGCGGTAAACAATGGGTGCGCAGCGAATCGGAGCAGAAGCGATGACAATAGCTGACGACGATCGGTTGAACCAAACCGACCACCAGACTGTCATTATTTGAGAATGTCGAATTCGCTTCGATCGCCTCGTGTCTTTTCTCAAACAATAATATGTTGCCTTTGTAATCGACTTGTCAAGCTGCAGAGAGGCTGGTTTCGTGGCTGTTGAGAGAATCGCATTTTGGTGACAGCAGCATACAAGACTTAAGAAAAGGTAAAACTGCTGCTTCACGATGGAGCAAATACCAACACGAACTCTAGGCAATGTAGGTTCTACGTAGCTTTTGGCCACATGACCGAGAGTAATGGGCTACAGTTCAAACCGTGGCAGTCGGTTCTTGAATGCTTCTTGAAAAATTGCGAGGCGATACATATATCGATGCGTTTTGCAAGTGGCCACACGGAGCTATTGCAGTAGACACGAGAAAAGTGGTTTCCTTTGTCCATCCACCTAAGTCGGGATTTGTACCTGATCCGCTGCCTGTTCCAGCGGAGACACGACAGTCCAATTGATTCAAGCAAGAACCCTAAAGAAAAATCTCTTCGACAGCTTTAATTGCTTCAAGCCGGGGTCTGGCTTTCACTTTTGTGTCATCTCCAGCCGTTTTCAGTCTCATCACTTTTGATTTACTTCCATACCCATCAAGCTTAAGCTCAAAGATGTTCCTAGCCAAGGTTTTAACCGCAAAGATGCTGACTTTTGTCGCAATACTTGCATGCTCAGCTACGGGCATGACTACCACGGAATCGATATCGGATGATATCACAAATAACTTACAGGATTCGCCTGCGCTGGATACGGCTTACCGGAGGGCTTCAATCAAGCGGCATTTGAAGGCGAACTATATCATACAGAACTGAGTGACATACTAATATTAATGAGAAACGCTTATCGAAAGACGTTTCATGACATAATGGTGGATTTGCAGTTGCGAGAAGGAAGCTTTATGGACCGTGAGTTTCATCGTTACAAACTCCACGAATTAGACGACGCTCAACTTGCTGTAAGCCCAAAGTTTTACAAGTGGATTAATTCATCCATCCCTAGGCGCGTATCGGAAAAGGTCCGGACAGAGACGTATATGAACATCGTCAATACGATCATCAAAAACAAAAAACAGCAGATTGTATCCAACCAAACTCCAAAAGTTATACTGGCAGATTTGATTGAGCAGGCGATTAACAACAATGTGGTCAACGCCACGGCCAGAAAAGACCTGATAAAGTTACTCCGACAACGTGAAACTGAGGTTGCATCTGATGTCGTTAGTAGCACTGACAAGACCGTCGGTCACGAGGTCTAAAGGTTCCTTAATGCGTACCGTTTTACATAAACAATCACATCCTTCCCAAATAAGAGCCTTACGATAATGAGTCTAAGAGATAGATAGACAGCAGATGCATTTTGGTGGTTGCATGTCTGTATGTTTTCAAAAAATATATTGCTTGTTTTCATATACTTTCCAGGTAGTGATTGCAACTAATCATCCGACAGCAGGATAGTAGAGCTCAAACTACATTAGCAGAGTAAATCATGCCTCGAACGCACGATAACTGATTCGATGTGTTCAAGGGGATCTAGGCCATATTCAGGCTACTCTCACAAGAATCTTATTCTTGACCGTATGCCGTTCTACCAGAATTGAAAGGGAACTGCAAACACTCAACGTTTCCATTTTGTGAAGTTGCAGATACACTAGTAATGGTCTCTTGTCAGTATACTTTATTCCATGTGAAATGTGAAAGTATGAGCTGAAATCAGCATTTGCCATTGCTGGTATCGTCATTGAGCCAACAGCCAACGGAATAGTAGATAGAAATGGGAATAGCTGCGCCTCCCCATACAACACCAACGAGTGGGTGATGATGACGGGACAGATTATCAGTTCCTTTTACATGTAAGAACTGAAACGAGATGAACGCTATCTGGTACCTTCTGACCCGTGCTCAGCCTTGATGTTGAGAAAGTTCGGACTATCAGAAAAGCAGTAACTCTTATGAAATCTTCATTGATAATACTAGACACTAGTACTGCTACTGTATCCTTCTAAGACCTCTTAGGGGCCTTATGCTGTTCTGCAAAAGAGACAAGAGAATCGTTGTCCAATCTACCTATAGAACATTAATACAACTCAAACGCAGTCAAGTCTTTCCATGAAAAGCCGCAGTGGTAATATACTACTCAGTGAGTTATTGTTGATACACTACATCACTAGATTTGTACTCGATAAACTTCAAGTTGTCAGAATGACGGGTTGGTTCACCGAATGCCTTCAATGATTTCTCATGGTCCGACGCCATCCATAATAATTGCTACAAGAACGTTCCAAGACACACTGATGTCATCTTGCGCGTCAAACAATGACGCACCAAACTAATTCGCTTCACATGGACACGGTTGGCAAGGAACATCCTGTATGTAGGTCCATCCACTTTGTTCTTATTATACAACGGGTGCCGCCAGCATCAAAAGCCCATGAAAAAAAACGAACTGAATTAGCTAGATCTGATCCGCACAGCACGGCGTTGTTCAGTACCAATGAAGGAGTCGAAGTGATACGACAGTCCATTGAGCAATCCCGTATATATTTAGGTGGTGGTATAGCTTCATCTGCTGAAGAATAAGGACCGGTGAAGAGGATCAGTTTTTTGAACAACATAGAAAGCGTTTGAATAAGTGATCGGGTTGAAAGGATGCGGTCCATCAAAACCGCGCAAACAAACCAGATGGGATTCTGCCGATCGTCCGCGAGACAATTGATATCTCCATTGTCAATTCATTCTTTAATCTCTTTTGCAATGATCAAGTCATTTGCCTCTTTTGCTGCACTTGCGGCCACTGTCACCATTCATTGGGCCTTTGCTGACGTAAGTCAAGTTCATCTCGGTGTGTCCAGCCCCGCAGTCAACTGTGCCAATGGCGTTGCCGTCTCCTTTGCTACGGATGTAGCCAAGCAGTATGTAGTCACTGCTACAGCTGACGGTGTTACTGTCAGTGCCGATAGCACATTTGTAAGCTACTCAGTTTCGGAGCCTGAGTATAACTACACTTACTCGTCTCCGTTCCTGCATACAGCACTATTGTGTAATCTTGCAGAGATGACCAAGTATTCGTACACGATTGGTAACTCGGAGTTTACTGGATGCTTTATGTCGCTGCTACACCCTGGTTCAGACACAGAGGAGACGATCCTTGGTGTGATTGGAGACCCTGGTGATACACCTTCTTCCGAGACGACGTTTGATCAACTGGCCAAGAAGTTTGAAGGCAAGCATATTCAAGCTCTTGTGATTGCTGGAGACTACTCGTATGCTAATGGACAGCACTTGCAATGGGACAATTGGTTTACAGAACAACAAGACTTGATGTCGGTCTATCCTATGTTGGGTATCAATGGCAATCACGAGACCATCACATCTGCGGGCCACTTGAACATCTATCCGTACAAAGAAGACATACAACTTGAGGCTGAGAAATACCTGGGCTACATTAAACGCGTGTACTCACCGATCACGGAGGAAGCGAAGGCTGCGCTGCACACTTGGTATTCGGTGGACATTGGTCTCATTCATTGTGTGTTCCTAGACGACTACACCGGATCAAACGGTATTGACGCGGCGGTTGTTGGCACGAAAGAGTGGCTAGCAGACCGCAATATGCAACTCGAATGGGTCAAGTCCGACCTGGAGAGTGTAAACCGCGGCGTCACTCCATGGGTGGTTGTGTTTAAGCACAACCCGTATTACAACACATGGAGCAACCATCAATGCCAATGCTCTTCTACCATCTTTGAAATCGACGATGCCAACGTTGAGAAATGCTGGAATGGCACTTACAACGTTGGCGATGGGTACCTCGAGCCACAGTGTGGTCTAATGGCCAAATTTGAGAAAGTGTTCTCGGCGTATGGCGTGAACGCCATGATCACAGGTCACGTCCACGCGTACGAGCGCACTGCCAAGATTTTTAAAAACAAGGAGGACGCTTCAAACGGTATCTATCATGTGACCATGGGTTCAGGCGGTAACTACGAAGGTCTCGCTGGTCCACGTATTTCGTCATCACTGATCCCGAGCTGGTCGCTTTGTTCCAACAATGTCTCATTTGGCGGTTCCCGTATTATCGCCACTCGCGAGTCTTTCCGCTTCCTCTGGTTTGCCAACGATAACGGCATTCAGGATGCCGTACCAACCGACGGATTTACCATTTTCGCCAACAAGCCAGATATCACAACGTGGCCGCAGACCACGTCTTGCAGCAATCGAAGTCAGACACCATGAAGTCAGACGTCATCAGTGGCCTGCTAACTTCAACTCGACCTTTTGTATTCATTAGGTTCCATTTATTGATCAAGTTTCTTGTCGTTGAAGCAAGACCGAAGCCAATTAGTTCCTGCATTGATCAACATCAGTCATGCTACGACGCCATGAATCAAGGTAATCACAAAAATATTTGGCGGTTGTCGTGATAGCCACGCACTTCATCTTACAATACAAATTTTCGAGGACTTAAGTACCGTTTGGAATGGTAGCTCATACTGCACTTATGATACATGATACAACAACAATAGATATGGGTAGCGAGGGTGACTCATACTAAGCTTCCTTGCTCTGATGTAGTTCAAGCTTTGTCTTTGCATTTTCCTGCGGACTGTCCATGGGTTCGTCCTCTTTTTGCAGGAAGGGTTTGTTGTCCTTGTTCAACAATACTTTTGGAGAAGTGACCACTTCTGCATGCATCTTCTTGTCGCTACTTTCTGCTTCCGACGTTGTCTGTTGACGAGCAATATCTGCGGGGTGCACAGCTTTTTGGCATTGAGGATCAGCCGCGGTTTCCGTCGTGCTCGCACTTTTGATGGTAATTCTTAACCTCTCAGGGCTAACTTCTTTCGTAAAGGCAAAATGGTTGGCTGGAATTTTGTCGACATGTTCGTTGTCTTCGAACCTTGTTGCCTCTTCCAGCTTAGTAGCCCACATTGCACGGTTTCGCTCGACATTCGCAAGACAACCTTCCAACCCGGCTAGCATTCCTCCAAGTGCTCGCCACAGAGGGAACGCACATGAGTCAACAAAAGCCAGGTTTACTCGTGCAAATTCAGCCGAGTCCGGCCGACCATCCATGAAAGTTGTTGCAGATATACCTAATTCAACTTCCTCGGCATGTTGCTCATTGAACTCTTCGAGCAACCTCGTTGTCCAGCGAAAGTGCTGCTCACAACTTTGAGTTGGACCAGAGACATCTGCCGAGTGAATTACGGCGTCCACGAGCAGCTCACGCAACGCGCCATCGTCATTACGGCTTCCACGAACTTGCGCTTCATGCAGCCTGGCCACAATGCTCGCGTGTCGGTGCATATCCGTGGCAAGAATCGAACGGATAATACGCTTGCGGACAATGCGACGGCTGCCAGCAGTATCACTCGAGCCATCCTCAAGACCAGCAAGAACATCGTGGCCGGGTCTTCGCATCGTCTCGAAGCACGCAGCAGCATGCATGTTCTCTAAAACGGAGTGATCATTGTAACGACGAGCAAGTCGTGAGTTGCATCTTACGTGAAAGTCGTTGGTGCGGGCGTCGTGGCCCATGTCATGACAAAAAGCTGCCACAAAAAGTGCCAGTCGCTCGCGTGGAGCGAGAATCAATTGGCCACACCGCTTCTGCTGACTTCTTACAACGGCTTGAGCTTTCGTCGTCGGACTCACTCCCAGCGCAATGGATGCAGGAATTAAGGAAGGAGCAAGCTTTTTGCTTTGCGCACTAAGCATCAAAAATGTCATGTGTAGTGTCGCGAACGCATGGTACGTGTTGTGATACGGCACATCAAGATATTGGGCTTGCACGCTGCGCAGGAAGCGACGCAATGTGGCCTCGGGCAGAGCAAATCCGTCCATCAGTCCATGCAGCTCGAACATATTCACGGCGAGGTCAATAAGCTGTGCCGGCGAATATTGCCATGGGTCCAGGTCCCATTGTAAGACGGGACCTTCAATGCCGTGTCCGGTGGGGAGGCCGATGCTGCCTCGAAGTGAAGACAGCATCCCAGATCCGCTAGTGCTACCCAGAAAGCAGCCCTCGTGGTATGATGTGGCAGCAACAATTGCTGCAGCATGATCGTAGTCGTTGACAACAGATGGAAGACGAGAGCGAGGTCGTCGTCGACGCCGCACAGGCGATGCTGTGGTATACTGCGACAAAAACGTCCGCGTCACGTGTCCCTCCGTTTCACTATCACTGCTTTCGCTATCCTCGTACGACGGCGACTCAAACACAATTTCCCAGGCACGACGTTCCACAAGAGCAGAGAGTTCATCACAAATTGCTCGCAGAATTTGCTCGTCTTCCGCGTCAAAGCCTTCGGTGTCACCGCTGCTATTGATCTTGTTAACAGCATAGAAGACACCAATAATTCGTCGATCGTCACTGTCATCATCGGTGCTACTGCTCGTACTAAAGCTGCTGCAACGGTGACCAGAGCGACCAGAAGTTCCTGAGGAGGTACATAGCGCGTTTGATGACAAAGATGTTGACATCGACGGCTGTGCCTCGATTGGAACGCACAATAGACTTGACGTCTCCATGCCCATTAAGCGATCATAATCACTGTCAAAATCGGGGTGGACACGAGCCTCACGAACTAGACGCACTGCTGCCCCAGTGGCAGCAACACGACCTTGCAGCTTCTGACCGATTGCAAGCGCATACCCTCGCCAGTCGGCACCCAGACGGGCAAATAGTGAACGGCTTGGCGGATCAACCAAAAAGAGAGCACCATGCGAAGCTTTCAGCGCTTTGCATGCCGCTGCCTCAACGAAAGAAAACATTGCTCCAGCCTGTTCTCCGGGCATAGTGCCAGTGGCTACAGGAAGGCGCAACGAGAGCAACGCAGCACTTTTTCTTTGAGCTATTCGTGCTGCATCCACACGCTGAATGTTCCGCAATGCAGACGCGACCTGCCGCGCGATTCCTTTCGCAAAATCTTCATCATGATGATCAAAGTAGGGTTTGCCAAGACTGCAAGCAGTATCAGCAACTTGCAAGTCCCCTTGTGAGTTCGTCATATGCTTGTCTCGTAATTCCAGCACTGCCAGCACAACTCCAGAAACGGGATCCTTGACGGGTACGGCTAAAACTGCTTTCGGGTGTTTCACGTGAGAAAGTGAACCTGCTTTTGTATCTCCCACATTTACTACGTTTCCAGTACGTGCTGCAACCATAGCACATTTGCTTCCCTGCAATAGAGGAACACGGAGCTCACCTTGGGTTGCGTTGCCAGGTGAACAAAGTTCACGTGTCAGCGGATCTCTCAAATATACGTTACACTCGGTAACATGAAACCACGATTTCTGAACAATTGCCCGTGCTGCTGCCAAAATCATTGCAGTCGGTTTTGGAGACTGCTCAAGTTCATAAAACAATAAATCGGAAAGCTCGAGCAAAGCTTCCGCTTTGTCTTGCGCTTTGTTTGCCGCATCTTCAAGTGCTAGGCGTTGCAAAAAGCTTTCAAGGCGACCACAGACAACATTACATAGTTCCACGTCGCACTGCCTAAACGTTCCACCGTTATCACACTTTACGCCTCGAGACCCATAGAATACAACGACACTGATGACTTGGTGATTTCTGCTGTGGTCAAATACTGGGATGCAAAGAACACTTCCATCAAATAAAGCTTCTGCTGTCAACGCAGCCCTTCCGATAATTCCTTGACCCATTTGTACCGTTGCCACTTTTGTCCCAAGCTTAGCGCTAGTAAAGCAGGCCCATAGAATATCAGCTTCATGGTCGAGCGCGTAAACTATCCATCCGTCAACATCAAGAGCTCTTTGTAAAGAGTCTAACAACTGCAGCGGCGCCTCCTCTGACATATTCAATCGATCACCTGATCGGCAATATTTGCTTGCAACTGGGTCCACGATATCGCCATGACTAACATTGTTCACTAGATTCTTAATCGGTGAAGCAGCTCGTAGCAGTGCCCCGACAAAACCACAAAAAGCTCGCAGCAGTTGACTCGTCGCTGAAAGCGAGCAATAAGCAAGCAAACTTTCCATTTCCAAACTTCCAATCCATGTCATAATGTCCTTCGCATCATGACGTGAGTTGAATACTTCGACCACAGCTTGAATCTGCTCACTACAGTCAACGAGTGGCATACACAGATAGGACTAAAGCAGCATCAACATCACAAGTAAACAGAAATTAGCCTTACATCGAGCTTATAAACCATCAGTTACTTGGTCGTACCTGAACGGGATCATTACAGCCATCCAAAGGCTCAATACAAGCCTCAGCACATGCTTGGGCAGTTGATAAAAAGACGAGACAATGGTGTTCACAACGAGCTTGTTGTCTCGCACGTGTTGAGCCTGAAATTTGTTCTACAACTTGTCGTATGTCTCGTCCATTGAATTCAAGCACTGAAACGAAACCATTCAAGACCGATGATGTTGTCACAAGTTCGAAACTAAGGACACAATGTTGAGCATCTAATAACACTCGAAATTGTTCTTGAATGGCTTGTAATAGATCAAGTGAACAAGTCGTCGCATTCTTGTGCTTTACCCATACATTCACTAGTGATGATTGCGCAAATGAAAAACGTTGAGCATATTGAAGCTTTCGTTCCAGTGGCAATCTATCAATAGGTAACATGAAAGAAAACAAGAACAAGCACAACACGAGGAACGCAATAGTAGTGAGTGAAAGGATGTATGTAAGTAAGTTGAAATCTGAACCAAAGCGTCTAGTCCGTCCATAAGAAAGACATGAAAAATCAAAAGAAAACAGTCAAACAAACCGTCGGGTTCTGCGAATGTGAATTCGTAACATGTTCCATCGACGTTGTGCAAGTTCTTGACGCTGAATCGTTTCATTATGAATGGCATCAACAGAAGACAAAGGAGATGCGACGTAACTAGTTCGTGGAGCGTTAACTGCGGACGTTAAGGTCATTTTCACTTGTTCAGTAGATTTTACGAATTGTCTGTTCACTTGAATCCTTGACTCAATCCAATGTCGTGGTCACAAGAAGATGCGACATTGAAATGACGGATTGGGAACGTGTTACACGCCATCTCTTAGGGGGTTGGTTTACAACGACCCAAGAGGTTTGTCTCGAATTTTATGCAACTATACATGATCGGTTTATGCATGTATAGTATGCATGCATGCATCATCAATCATGATCATGATCATTGTAATTAGTATAGACAACCCCATTGACTTGATGGTTCTTGTCAGACCAAAATCAGAGAGAATGATTAAAAGGTCTCAGTACTGACGACCGGTGTTTTTCTCATGCTTGTCTCGCCCTCTCTCGCATTTGGTGAGTAGTTTCTTCATCTTCTAAAGGTTTCATGGCAACTGACCAACGCGAAAGCGACGGCCACAAAAAAACGATCGGCTTGTGACACGTTTTGACCAGTTTTTATTGTCGCGAGTGCATTTGATCAGACAAGAGACTGTTTGTTCATCTCAAAGTATCACGTATCAATCATGTAGACGATGTCGTAGTTAGTTGTTGAAATGCTACACGCACCCGCCATCGCCTTTTTGAACTAGAGGAGATATAGTTTACACATGCATTCGTATTGTCCACGTACATCCATCAACACCTGGAGCGTAAAAAAGAGATCAAGTTCACATGGCCCTGCCACTGGTTTAGCATCGTCATCTTGATTACGATGCACAAATGCCTTCTGTTCCTCTGTAGCCACATGGTGTATCTTCTCAAAACTGACAAAGTTAAAGTTATCAAACTGTTGCTGAGGAAGGTCATGATCTAGCGCGTTTAGATTATCCTGCAATGCATGCACAAGCAGGTAGTAAGTAATGAATGCGTCATCAATGACCTGCAATATAGTGTTCCTTCCGTAGCGTACCCAAGGCATTCCAATCACAATAATCGCTGCAACAACAACAACAAGAAGGTTGTAGCTTTCTCGAAAACAACACAAGATCCACATATCAAACGTACATAGCGGTAACATCGATGCATCTACAATTTCTTGAGTAGTATCAGCCAAGTGGTCGTCGGTCAAGTCATTGCTTATAAGGACAATCAGCATGTGAAAATCAGTCACTTCACGTGCAACGGCAGTCGCGTGGCGAATAACTAGTCCGAGGTTTGCTGACTTCTACCCTAGCGCTATCGTTGGCGTCAACTCATGATAGCATTGCCAAATCTCGTTGAAACTCTTGCATCCTCCATCCATCGGATGTTCTGGTGTAAAGCTGAAGACTGCATCGTCCAATGTCTTTGCATCACCAAAGCCCCAGATCTGGATACTGCGATCGTCGTCAAACTCAGCCAACACGCGGCCAAGTCGAGACAATACTTCCTATTCGCAGCAGCAACCGTGTCTCATTAGTCAACATTGTAGTTGCATCGCACCTCATACGGGTTGACAATTTTCCCAATGGGGTCTAACGAGTGCAAACCCTTGCCATCAAAGCTCTTTTCACCACAAGTCTTGACGATGCCAAAGCTTACATCAGCAACACAACAGTACCGATTGAACCGTTTATCCACTCAACTAGCTTACCAAGTTTGCTGTCGTGTAGTCTACCTAGTAACATAAAGACGAAGCGATTAAAATCAGAAAGCGTTCGACAATCGAGCTACGCCCCACTGTAGTACGCACTGCAAACATCAAGTTGGACGACTCGAGATTCATGTTTCTGCAGCAAAAACGTTTGTCAAACGCACACGTTAGCAGTCATATGATCTAAGATGTCAATTGAGTCAATCAGTTTCTACCTAAGAGCTACATAATACAACGACAGGTTCTGTCAGATATATCATGCTTCGACTACATTTACTCAGTGAAGCTGTTAAGTACACCATACCAAAGACTCGAAAGCGGCCAGAAATTGCACGTGACAGCAGAGGTTTTTGCAATTGCATTAGATCGCTACTACTGCTCATAAGAGTGAAATGATAAAGTGATGAAGACAAAGTCAATCGATGTCTATAGTGCCTCGGACACGTTACAATATGTGACACGTTTTCTGAACCATCTCCTGAAAGTACGACTTTTGGCATGAAAGCTCTATAACGGATACAAATGCTGGAATAACAAGGTGACGAAAGAATCAATACGCGTCAAGCATGACCAACTATCCGTGCTTGGACAAACCTCCCTTGTCGTACGATATTAGCGTATATGAAGACAGTAGACATAACGCAGAATACAACAAAGGGTCGTGTTTGGTTTTACTTGGATCTATAGCTATTTCCTAGTCACCTTTATGGCAGTGTCCAACACGAAACTATTCAGCCATCTCACGTCCTCGCATGTCAAATCACTGGTACAATGAGAATGAGTTTTCGAAGACGGTATCGTTCACATTACTGAAGTTTGTCGAGTATGTCGTCCTATGACGAAAGTCGCTACAAACGTCTACTTGATCATCGACACTTGTAGTTAGATGTAGTATCCTCGTCCCACATATGCATGCATTACCACGTACAAAGCAAATGTGACAATATCACATATCCAAGAAAGATGCCAAACCACATTTCAAAGAATCGATTGAAGCTTGATATATAGAAAGGTTACACATAGATATCAATACGTATTTATCATTGCAACGAACAATGTTCACGTACTCCTTGCTTCTAGAAAGTTACTGCAAATGTGAACTATGACGTTCGTAACGATAAGGTCATGGGAAAAAAAATGTGTCAAGATAAAGTCAAGAAATCATTGCATATCGGGAAAGTCACTAACTATAACGTCAAACTGCCACCGAACTAAAATGTCACATTTATTTGTTTACCGTCGTCTTGAACAAAGTCTCAAAAAAACGCATGGGTTTTTTTTTATCGTTTTTTATAGATAAAATAAATTACGAGAAAAAAGAAAAAAGAATCCATTTTTGATACGCTTTTTTTACTCCGATATTGTTCGTATACAAAATATAAGTCAATCTTTTTTCTCTATCATATCATCATACAAAAACGAATGGTCAGGAGGAATTCATTTCTGAACTTTCTCGCTCAAGTCTCACGTAATCAATCATGCGTGTTCTGCAGCTCATTCGTCGTCTCTCGGTTGCACGTGGACTCCATACGCGTGTCATTTCTCGTGCTACTGCTCCTTTGGTCTCTAGCTCACTGGAATATACTCGACACTCTATTCCAATCACATCCAAGCGTGCGTTTACAACTGATGGGAATGAGTTTTTCTATGAGGACGAGGATGATGACGATTCATTTGTCCAGTATCCACCTGTAGCAGCTCGTGTACAGGCTGAAGCGCCTCAGTTTAAAGCCCGTGCAGTACTGAATGAAGACATTGTTGATGTATCATTGGATACGTATCGTGGGCAGTACGTCGTGCTCTTCTTTTATCCAAAAGATTTCACGTATGTGTGTCCGACTGAGATTATTGCATTTAACGATCGTGTGGACGAGTTTAAAGCGCTGAATACACAGCTGATTGCTGTGTCCTGTGACTCGCCGGAGAGCCACTTGGCCTGGACGCGTCTGCCTCGTAACAAGGGCGGGTTGGGTAAAATGGATATTCCTATCGTTTCAGACATTACCAAGGTCATTTCAGCCAAGTACGGTGTACTTGTAGAGCAGGATGGTGTTGCTCTGCGTGGACTTTTTATTATGGACAAGGAAGGTGTGCTGCAACAGATCACGATCAACAATATGCCCATTGGTCGCAGTGTTGACGAGACACTGCGTCTTATTAAGGCACTGCAGTTTGTTGAAGAGCATGGTGAAGTGTGCCCTGCCAACTGGCAGCCTGGTGACAAGACGATTAATGCTACCCCCACAGGCAGTCATGTGTATTTTTCATCGGTTAAAGAGGATGGAGAGGACGATGATTCTACCGCCTTGACGCTGGTGAAGAACAAGGCTGAGTTTCAAGATCTGATTAAAAGTGACAAGCTTGTTGTGGCTGATTTTATGGCTCCATGGTGTGGCAAATGCACGCAGATTGAGCCAACTGTGGTAAGCCTGGCAGAGGCCCACCCGGAAGTGACGTTTGCTAAGTTGGATGTTTCTATCCCTGAAGTGGAAAAGCTTAAGGATGAATTTGACGTTGGTGCATACCCGGAGTTTCGCTTTTTCAAGAATGGCAAGGAAGTCCACGAGAAGATTTCAGGCTACAAGAAGTCTCTGCTCAAGAATGCTGTGGAGAAGCTGCTATGAATGCACTAGCAAAAACTGAAGCTTGAGCTAGCTGTCTGTCTGCAGCAACACAATTAATTACAATACAACGTGCGGTGTTCACATTTTATTTATCCTTGCTCCTGAGTCTGTGATGAAGTCTGTCCTACGCATTATCTGCATCGTACCGAGCACGAGCTAGTCTCTGCCGACGTTCTCGATCAGACGTGACATCTGAAAGGTCTACGGTGGCCGAAAGTGGTGCCTTACAACCGAGACCTGCCAAGTCGCACCGAACACTAGCTGCATTGATCGGGGCCGTAATGCCCGTGCCGTGTTTACCGAGACCCTCGCCGCTCTTCCACCCCATCATCTTGAGCATTTTACCACCAATGCCAGACTCGAGAGAGCAACCTGTAGGTTCAGGATTGGGTTTCGTCGGAGTAGGAGGATTCCAATAGTTGTTTCGAAGCGGTAGAGTAGATGGCGAACAATCATCTTGCCGCTGCTTCTTGGCATCTCGCTCCATCTCCTTCTCATGCTCACGATATTGAGCAGCAATGTGTTCCTTGTCCTCTTTAGCTTTCGCCAAGTTGGCCAGATGCAACTTTGACAACGTTTCGTGTTTGCGAAGAGCGTCTAGAGATCCAAACTTCCGCCGGCACAGCTATCGGTGCAAAACAAAATGGCTGCATGTTAGCCAACTACGTGGGTCCGCATAGCAATGTCAATCCTTGCAGGTCTTACCAGACAAATGGGTGCTTCTACAGGGACAGTAGTCAATGCCTCAATAACGGGATCCGCACCATTTGACGAAGCAGTTGTCATCGCCATTTGCTTTGGCGCACTAGGCGTTGCTGCCTCGCCTCTGTCAAGAGTTAATGCCGCTGGTGCAGCACTGTCTACATGATGCTGTTGGACTGGTGCTGTGCTAGGCTCTTCACTCTGTTGTTCGTTCGTTTCACGCTGTCGTTGCGACCACTTTGCAATATCATCTGCACTCTTGCGCTTCATGCCGATGCTAGCCACATTGATAGCATTGACTGAAGGCGCGGTTGCAACGGTTCCGCTCGGACTAGATTTCGCAAAAACTGACGATGCCGGCGCAAAAGCAGTAGTCTTTATACCAAACGAAATACCTGGAGCTTTCTTCTTTTCCTTTTTCAGCGACAGACTCAATGCTGGCTTGCCCACTACATCAACCTTTGGAGCACTAGAACCTTCGTACGCTTCATCATCAACAGGCAGGGGCGGCACAAACATCTCAAATGCTGCCGCGCCACTACTTGCAGGGTTTACGCACCGGTAATACACGCCTGTAAACGAGTTTTGATACACCTTGGTCGGCGCATCGTAGTAAAACATGCTGTCTGAATCCCAATATAGGCCTTTTTCGCTTACATACACATAGCTGCCGCCTGCTGTCTCAAATGGTGCAGGCCACCTTTTCTTTGGTTCTTCAAAGCGAGGAGCTACTTGAGCCGCAGCACTATCCAAAAAAGCGTTTATGTCTGCCGCAACACTGGTCTGCTGAGATCACAATAGTGGGAATGCAGTATTGAAGCATACGTGTAGCAGGAGTTACATCCTTGAAGATTAGAAACTCGTTTCGTATTCCCAAGACGAGTGCCTCGTCCAGTTCAGCAAACAAAAATGTAACATGCGTTCACCTGATCATTTTGCGCCGTATCAGCCTCGCGTCGCTGTGACAGCAGCCACTGAGCTTGCTCCAATGCTGTGACTGCTATTGAGCCACTAGTACGCGATCGTTGAAGCGCATCCATCGAGTGACGCGACCTCGTGGAAAGTGTGTCGCGCGCATATGACAGCTCCACGCGAGTATTGTGCACACGCAAGCCTTCACTTTTATGCAGGGCTTTCGTTGCTGCCTAGACACGCAACACAGACGCCATAATGAGCACATCCTTTGTCAGCACAGTTCTATAAAACTTGTACAGGATCGTACTTCAATGTCGCAGAACTCGATAAAGCCAAACCCACGCGACAAATTGGTCGCGCGGTCTCGGATAAGTCGAATATCCTGTACACCATCAAACTCTGCGAATGCCACGTGAAGCTGCACATAGGATCCAACGTCAAGTCAGCTGTGGTAGCAAAAAGAATAGGTTATTCACAAGCATACGCACTTCGCCTTCCTCAATATCGGGTGGGAGCATGCGCACTACGAGTACTTGTGATGGTGGAACGCTGCGGGTAGAGTCTACGCCTGCGCCACATCTTCGTGATGCTCTTTTGACGTCTCTTGGCAAAGCACCATACGATGACGATGAAGCAAAAGATGAGCCACTACTTCCCGCCTCTGCATCGTAATGAGAGTCGTTACGATTACGCAAATTCCCAGCCCGGTATGTTTTTGTTCCTGAAACCTCTTTCGTTTGACTCGTCTTAGGTACGTTGCACTGAAAGCAATGTTTTCGACGAGCAAAATTCGTCACATTGCACTGCCAATACACACGCAAAAACAGCATGTTAGCCAACTAGAAATAAATCTAGTCAACTAACTACAACAACAAACAACTGACCTCATCACAAATCCAGTCGGAGCGTGCTTGCCTACGTTCCCCTTGCTGTTGATTTTCACGATGCATCTCATTGTGCCGAACACCTCCCATTGAGCTTCTTGATCGACCAAAGTCCGTACAATCACGACAACATTCATCCGTATAGCTAACATTTACTTGACAATGGTCCAGCACAAAAGGTTTTATCTCTACAAGCACAAAAACAACATTGTAAAATTCATTGCAAAGAATACAGAAATACACGACAAAAGATTATCAATTGATCTCGTACCAAATGTCTGCATTGCTTCCATTGCTGTCTCAATCGAATCAAAATTCACAAATGCAAACCCACGAGGTTCTCCAGTAATCTACAAGACAAAACAAAATAATAGTAATAATTAGTGCTGTAGTAATATACATAAATCGTAACAACAATTATACAATAATGATTATAATTATATCAATAAATAGAAAAATTTCTTAATCAACGTATAGAAACATTTCTTAATCAACGTATAGAAATATTTCTTAATCAACGTATAGAAATATTTCTATATCACCGTATAGAAATATCATGCAAGTACCTTATTGTAAATGATTTTCACATGGACTGGTTGTAGTGGTTGCAGGACTTGAAGGATCTAGACGAGAGGAAAACAAAGTGACCGTGAGTAACGACATGAGCACTAATACTCTCAAGTGATCTTTTACTCGTTTCCATGTCATTCTACCATCATTCTTTACTTTTATATCTATTTGGAGAAAGGATAAGTTTTGAAAGGAATCGAAAACAAGTCTATTGTTTGTTTGGTACCATTTCATCAGTGACTGAACGTGGAAGACCGCGGAGTAATAGCGTAGAACTTGGAGGATCATGGTGGTAACATTTCTGTTGACTATTGCGCTGTCCACGACACGAAGGCGGCGTCGCGTCGCGGTGGTTAAAGTATCGAGGACCCGACATCAATGAGGCAATATTCGTTCTGCACTGATGTTGTGTCTTTAGAAATAAGTAAAATACAAAATAAGGCATGTTATAAATTTATACAGTATTCTGCTATATATCCTGTATACGTTAATATACTGTAGAAAATAATACCACGGCAATGCTATTAAGTTTACGACTTTTTTGACCCACCAAACCCACCAAAGCCCATCATGGCCATCATTTCAGCATCAGTGTCTTCCACTATGTTTTCCACACCTTGAGTAGCTTTCGAATCAGAGTTTGTCACGTTTAATGCCACTTGGTTTTCCAGTTTCTTGGCTCGCTTCTGCTCTTTTTTCTGTCGCTTCACTCGAGCCTCTTCTTCCTCAACTGCTTTCAGCTTTTTTTTCATAATCTGTCGATCCAAATTGGATGTGAAGTGCACAGATCAAACGCCACAACAATACATGAGGATGCACTCGTCAGCCATGAACTTTCGTGACGTTCAATCATTGTAGTCACCAACAGCTACAAACCTTCGAGAACATCCACCTTCTTTGTCACCAAAAAGTCCCATTTGCGCTTCGATGCACTCTGTAATCGATTCTTTACCTGATCTACCGTCGAGCGCTCTACCCGCATGCTAAAACCAAGCTTGCGTAAATCTTCAGGCAATCATCAACACATATCAGTAGCATATTCAGTACAATATCACGTACACACAAACTGCCATGGTCAGAAAAGACCAACTATAATGCACACGTACGCTTTTTGCCGTTAATATGGTCCAGATATGCCACCGAGTCCTTGAGACCACACTCGCAGACTTCACAGTAATAGCCGCCATTTTTACTCAGCTCGTCCGACTTAATCACTTTGACTGTCCCGACACTGTTTTCTAACGACATTTTTGCACTACGAGCTTTTAAAAAGGCTCGTGCTGATCCTGCAGGTCCAGCAGCTCCTTCATTTGCAGCCTGGAATTCTTCCTTTGACGATACAATCACCTTTTTTGTCTACACCAAATTGTAAAGTATACAGCAACATGTAAAACATGACTAGAAATGTGACACATGGACTAGATATTAACAAGTCACCGTCTCTGTTTCTAATTGACCATCCGCACGAAGTTTAGCAAGTTTCTCATAGTGTTCGCGATCCCATGTCTGTCGAGCCACATTGGCTACACCAACTCCTTTCCGTGCATTTGATTTCTCCTAGTAAGCAACAGATACACATTACATAGCAAACAAGTAAATAATTGTATATACATACATTCTTATCGATATATCTGCACACAAAGTATAGATCAATACAGTCATAATTGTCATACCTCTACCATTGGACGTTACGCTTGATAAGTATGGACTTGAACCAAATGCTTGAGTTGCTATTGTACAACTGAAAGAATCGTTACGGCAACTTCTCCAACGTCAATTGATTCCAGCAAAGTTGCGCTCCATATTTGCGGTCATAAACACTCAAGGACCAACTCGTTCGTGTCTCGCAAGCTATTTACGATGGTTCTTGCTCATCAGGACGCATGGAGAAGCCATCCTTTTATTGCTAATTGTGCTAAGAAACCATTTACTGGATTAGGATTAGCTTCTGCTATCTTTGGTGTGTATCTTGTGGTGGATGCAGTGAACTCACGCTTTTCGTCGGACGAGAAGAAGGACACGGCGCATACGGAGACTTAGCTCCTGTCAAGTCCACGATACACAAGCACGGCGAGGATTGGAGAAGAATCTTTTGGATATGCAGAATTGCTGTGTATGATGCAAAAGCCAAGAGCTTTTTACAGACGCAGAGGACACATAACAAGCGAACGACAGACAGAACTCATAGGAATGCTAAATAAAACGCTATGGCTTGATTAATTGATTGTGTGTGTCCTACAACTAACTGATACGTAGAAAGATACGCGTGTAGGTGGACATGTAAACAATATCTGGTTCATACTCTTGTGTCTTGTGGCAATGTCAGTGTTAACAAAGCAGATTTAATCACTTTTCTCGGTTCGCTGACGCTGTAAATGACAGCAAGTTGCTACCGGTGAAAGGGGCTACTGTCATCCTGAGGAAACTCCTCATCTTCATCTTCGCTATCACCAGTACCAGCACTTCGACGCTTCGAGTATCTGGAACTGCGATCTTGTTGCAGCTCTAGCACCGATACGCGCGTCATTAATTGAGTGATCAGAAGCATCGTCTCGGCTTTTAACTCTTCTTGCTCGAGAAGCTGCTGCTGCATCTGCATATTGCTTTCAGCAAGCTGTTCAATCTGCTTTTGTTGTGAAGCCAGCAAACTACGCAGCTCATGCACAGCCGACGATGATGGTGCCCCACTTAATCTTGACGCGTGGTTGGTGGTGCCGTGTTCCCCAATTCCTCCAGTTGCTTCACCTGCAGCTAACACAGTTGCCTTTCGAGAGCTTCCTTTACGTCCGGTTATCGGCGAAGCGCCAAGACTTCCATCGCTAGTGGTGAGGCTTTGCGAACTTCCAAATGCAATGCTTCGATTGGGCAGTGGGGTCGTCAAAGATGGAAACGAGACGTCACCAACACCATAGCGATCGCTAGCGCCAGCTCCTGGAGTGAACGCATATCGTTGCTGCTGCTGGAAGGCGACGTTGTTGAGCAATGGACCCTCACGGCCGTTATCTTCGAGCTCAAGCTGATCATGCTTCAGCGACCGACTGTGTGTAATCATGGCATAACATGTGACACAGACACGCTGCGGAGTAGTAAAGCCCTTGGCTTCCATCGAAATTTTCTTGTCCGCACTATGTTGGCTGCAAATAGACTTGCCGCAATTGCGGCAATGATGGCGGTGCTTGAACATACCAAAGCTGGCACGGCAGATCGAGCATTCACCGTCATGTTTCCATTCAGGTGGTGGGTCAAAGTGGCCTCGATCATTTGATCCGTGTGACGCCCGACGGCGTGACCGTCGAAACAATGGTGGAGAGCTTCTGTGTGATCCACTACGTGTTGCTTGTCGTCGAGCGGTTTTCTGTACTGAGAAGAAAAGACTGTCTCGTTTGCTGGCGGGAACACCAACCGCACCTCCGCTACTAGTGCTGCCTCGCGACGATCCAACATCATGACCGTCATATTCATCCTCATCGTCCGCCTCATTGTCAAACTGGAAGCTTGAGTTCTGTCGAAGGTATCCATGGCTAGGCATCACAGGGAGCGATCGGTGACGACCATGGCTCCGACTCAATGCATCTTTCTTGTTTTTTCCCTCAGTAACATTGGCACCTATCGCAGATACCATCGTCCGCAGCTCTCGATTACTCACGGCACCATTTTCTTGTAGCTGGGTAAGCAACGATGTCATGTGGTGCATTTGTTTCTGCTGGGGCAGCTGAGATTTCTGATGGCTTTGATCCTGAAAGCTCTTTACAAGTAATCTACGATGACTGCTATTACGAAGCTGGACAGCACTAAACGACATATGAGAGCTGGATGGGGTCCTTGGATCATCTTGGCTACACATGCTGATCGAAGAAGGCGACACAAGATGGTCATGCGGCGTGTCAAGTCCATCAATGTCACTTAACGACTGTTCACTCATGATGCTGATACTATCTTCCGGTTCCAACGTAGACTTTTCAACCGCGTCCAGTTCCCCATCATCACCTACATAAAGAAATCCACTACTACCAGTATTTCCCACAAACGGTTTTGGTACAGCAGCATCAGTCCAGTCATTTTCTTCATCTTCCGGTCTTTCCACCCCAGAAACTTCACCTTCTTCCTGTTCACTAAGCACTTGTTTCGGATCCGACTCACTCCTCTTCAAATGATTTGAGCTACTATCTTCTCCATTCTGTTGCTGAAAAAGAAGACTCCTTCGTTCATAAACTCGATAAAGTACTTTTAAACTCTCTGCATCCAGTCCAATATCTTGTGCCATTTCTAAAGCCGAGACTCCATCCGGTGTTCGTTCATTCACAGCATCCGGATACGCACGTACTAATTTACGAAGACATAATGCTTGCATACCTGCTCGAATAGCAATATGTAATGGTAATAAATCGCCATCATTCTTTATTTGAACACCTTCGGGATACGCTTGAAGAAGTTTTGCAAGAAGTGATAATGGTACACGACGTACTGTACAAGCCCAATGAATTGGAAGCATACCATGATCATCACATTGTTTCGCCATATGTGGATTCTTTTCTAGTAATCGCTGAAGACTTTTCCAGTCTAATGCTCGTGCTAAACAAACAGCCTCAAACTGTTCTTCTCGCTTTGTTTTCTCCATCGTTATCAAGTGTGTGGACAAATGAAATTGAGTGAAGTAATGAAAGAGACGAGCGTTCTATAGCTTGTAAAGAGAGAGGGAGATAACCAGAGTCCAAGCAGGACGTGAGAGAACAGAGTGAGTGAGTGAGTGAGCGAGTGGCTACGTTCTTGGCGTTATTTAAGGGCGCTTTTGTAACTAATTATGGATTCGTTTTTTAAAAGAGACGAAAAATACGTAAATCACTTGAATTTTAACACACAAAAACGTTCTTTTACAGCATTCCTTCAACACGATTGTAACTGATTCGTCGACTGCAGAAAAGACACGTTCAACTTGGATGAACATGAGTTTTCCGGGTTCATCTAAAAACAAGTTGTTTTGAAATATGGTCAGTAGTAATGTAGCAAGTAAACTTGAGTCTTCAGTTGAAATTGCCTGGCGCAATTGAACGGTCTAGGAAAGTCAAACCATGAAACGACGTGAATGGAAGCCACTTGTACTTTTGGTCTAAAAACGGTGACTACTACGTTGAGGAAAAGTGGCAAGTATATACTATACATCTTGTTTGTTTGCTCACTCGTCATGTAGAAGCAGTACGATCGTACAAAACACATTGACGGCAGAAACGTCAACAGTTGGAACGAATCGTTTCTATTCCACGATAAACGGATTACTCTCTCTGCACACTCACTCACCTATGTATCGTGTGTCTACCACCTTCAATAACGGAACCGTTGCTCAAGCTTTGCAAAAACCTGCTTGAGCTATTGGTGCCCTACTGCCGTCCACTCGTAAGAAGAAAAAAACTGCAAGTCAGTTGAGTGTAATCAACAACTCTATGTCTGACTTGATATCGATCGATCAATCTATCTATCTCTCAATGCCTGAAGCGTCGTTATGATGTGCGTAAAGGAACTAAAGCCTAGTTCCTTTATGTCGCTTGCACAGAATCGTCTGTCCTACAAATGTTCCAATCAACGTCTGTAGATTGTCGAACGAGCTCCCAAACGTGGTGAACCTACTTTAATTGTAACCTGCTTCGTGCTAACGTCAAAGATGACATGGTTGTTGTTGCTTGGTATGGGTGTGGACTATGTCCAATGGGGTCACAATATCGGATGATAGTGTCTTCATTTTTTTCCGCGCTCTTGACTGCCATGTAATGGATATATTTGATGATGACGTAATAAGAACAGCCAACATCCTAGTAAACAAGCCCATATGTTGCAGCATGACAAATCCTCATGGTGATACTTTTGAGCTGGAGTACTGCTATTTCAATGTAATAAATAGATATATTACACTATGAATTAAGCACAAGAAGAATATTCTTGCGTTAATTTTAAAAGGCAGCAATTTAGAAATCCCGTTGTTTTAATAAAAGGAAGAAAATTACAAGATCCTTAGCTTATTATTAACCTAGAAATAGCAGTACTACCTCAAGCTCCAAATTAAAACTGTCCATACTAAAATGAAGATGAAAACAATTCGAACTGCTGCTAAGGCAGCTACTATAGCTCGCCCACGTCATGTTGCGCCGAGCTATTCTGCGCGCTCGCCTGCATTTACCCGCACCCATTGGTCACGACAATGGAGGTAATGGTTCGTCTAGTGATGAGGAAGATTATTCTGTTAGTCCTAGTGTTGCATACACCAGTTTACGTGATGACAACTCAGTCCATGACTATTTTTGTAAGCGCCCGGAGGATGTTTCTAGTGTCCATTTGATTCTTGCAGAAGAAACAGCAAAGACAAGGAAAGGACACGTGTCAGAACTATTGCTGGATGAAGAGCGCAGTGCTGCAGCTGCTTGGTCGCGATTGCGGACGCTCTACGGTCTATTTCGACAACTTGAAGCCGCGACGGATGACGTCGTAGAAGACAGCGACTGTGACAGTGTTGAAGTTGAAGGAAAGAGATGTTATTACGTGAAAAAGACTCGACGACACTGTAGACGTGATGACGGATTGCGGTCACTGTTACAGGAGGCGAGAATGCCTTGTGGTGTATTATTACGGGACTTGCAGACATTGTCGATGGCAGACGGTAGTGATGACAATACGATGCCTCAAGGGTTTACAGCCGGTATGTTTGCAGCACTGGGAAATGCAATGTACAATGAAATGATTGTAGCAATGGAACAAAAGCGTATTAGTCCCGACACATTTGAGGAACTTGGTAACTGTCTATATGCTGAAGCAATGAGTAATGTCTTGTCCGCGACTGCGTAGCGTGTGCGCGTGGATGTATAACGGCCGTTGCGGAATCAGCGGCCATGGGATGGATGGACTCTTTTTTTTATTTGCTCTTCATGCTGACGTAGTTGTTGAGTTCATCAGATAACAAAAGATAAAAGCAGAACATCCTTTGTGCTTGTCACCTAGTGTTGTTACGTCTGATCAAAAGTCTGAGACTCAATGTAAGTAGTCTGACGACTAGCTTGGGATCGCGCATTGACAACCGTCTCACTCACATTATCCTTGAACGACAAACGCTGCATATAAAACTTAAAGTAGCACGTGGAGCATCAAATTTGTTTGAGTTTCTCCATATACCACAGTACGCTCATTGCTTCCACTCTGAAAGAGCTTTGACTCCAACTTGCTCGACTTTTTCAGCTGCGTGAAAGTCGACAACCTCTCCATCACGACGAATCACCACAAGTGTCGGAATGCCGCCCTTACGTGTGATTGGGTTCAGTTCACTCACCTCAGCACTCGCACAGACACCAAACATACGTTTAAGATGTGAGCGCATCTCATTTTCATACGGCACCATCCACCATGGCCCTTGCTTGTCTCTAAAGTGTGCGAGTTGGTCCTCAGCTGATGCGTCTGAGCCTACAAAGACCACGTCGAAATCGTTGCCTGTTTTCTCGTAAAATTCGTTAAGTACCGGCTGAAATGCACGGCAATCGGGACACCAATCAGCTGCAAAGTATACTGCCAATACTTTGCCATTCTGACCCAATGTCTCGCCCTGGATAGTCTCGCCCCGGGCGTTCGTTAGTGTAATTCCTTCCAGCAGACGTTTACTCATGGCAGTTCGTTCAATGAGACTAAACAATGCGCTATGATTGGTTAAATTGATAATCTTATGTGGTACACATTGCTCTAAAAAAAGAAACACCATAGCATTTGTATCAGCCAATCACAATGTTTCATCACTAACTTCAACATCCTTTTTTCGTACTCAATGCAAGACAAAGAATCAAAGTAGTTTACGTCATCCTTTCATACTTGTCTAATGAGCTTACGCATCGACTAACGTTGTCTAATCCAATATTAAACAGACAACTTACACTGTAGTCATCCGTTACGATCTAAAAATAGCCAGTACTTTCCTATGATTCGTTGAAAATGCAAATCACGTAATCTCATTGGTTAGAAACATGTCCGCACGCATCTGATTATGGCTTCATCAACGTCTTACGCTGGGAAACGTGGCCAACGTAGCAGCAAAGGACGGTCCACGGGCTGTCTACCAGTTTTCACACACCCTTGCTTTGCTTCTTCAGTCACTTGTAGTGCCATCTGCTCTGATACTTCGTGGTTCTGAAGCTTTGTAAAGTCCAGTCCATCCGTCCGTCATCCCTTTCCCTCTTTACCAGCTGCTTCCTGTCGTACTCTACCATTGCCGCATCTGATTCCTCGATTCTTCTGGTTTATCTATCGTAGAGTTGGAAGAAAAGACATTGATTAAGAATGATGAATGAATGGCGACGTAAGCTAGAGACCGTCAAGGTGGATCATTACGATGGGCAAGCTATTTACAGTAGTAATGAATTGATCTATGAGCTTGGAGGATATCTAGGAGGTGGTGCAGCTGGCGTGTGAGCTAAAACATATATTACGAGTCATTTGAAAGCATTTAGGACGTTGCGAAGCGTCTCTAGTGATATTAATGGTAGTCTTGCTTCCTTCTTCTTCTTACTATTGTTGTTGTTTTTGTTGTTTCTGTTGTTTTTGTTGTTGCTACAGAGTGTACGAAGCTTTTTCTACACGGACAAAACAGTATGTGGCTATCAAGATACTGAATCCTGTTGGTTACAAGTTGTTTCCTAGTACACTATTGGCACGATGTATTGTTGCCGTGAAGGGCAAACCTTTGATGACGCTGCCTTCTGATGAGACAGATGTGAATGTGAGAATGGATCGACGAGCTCATGGTTCAGGGCTTCAGCGATCAAACTTTCACATGCTGAAACCGACAACAGAACGGATATGTGTTGAGAATGTGTGGTGGTTGATTCATCCGACGTCAAAACAGGCTATTGCGGCATTTGAAGATCCATATACAGGGCATGTTCGAGAACTGACACTGCCTCAGTGCATTCAAGTGTGGGGTGAACAGATGAGTCAAAGCGAAAGCAATATGGACGGACAAGAAACACATTTTGCTGAATTGTACCAGGAAGTACAAGTGATGAATCAAATGATTAAGATTCCTCGCATCCCGAAGAAGTTCATTAAGTTTGCACACACTCGGCGATCGATTCATCGTGAGATATCGAATATGGCGGGACTGGAATACCATGAAAATGTCTTACGTCTAGACGAAGCGCTGGAACTCGTACAAGATAGCAAATGTACTACATTTTTGGTGCTTGAGTTGGCTGGAGGTGGTGAGTTATTTGACCGTATTAAGCTAGATTGTGGTACCGATGAAGAAAGTGCGCGTTTATACTTTCGCCAGCTTATTTCTGGTGTGGCGTTTTGCCATAACTCAGGCATTTGTCACCGCGACCTCAAGCCCGAGAATTTGCTTCTTGCTGACAACGAGGAGCATTCCACGCTAAAGATTGCAGACTTTGGGCTATCTGCAATATTCTCCTTTACCGATAATGACGCGAACGATGGTCCCAACGGAAACGGAGTTGATCAGCCCGCTATCCGTAGGTTGCGCTCGGTCGTTGGGTCTCCTCACTACGTAGCACCTGAAGTTCTTATGGACACTGGCCAAGGGTACGATGGCGCAAAGGCCGATGCTTGGTCTATTGGTGTCATTTTGTATGCAATGATTGCGGGTAATTTGCCATTTGGAAAGGATTTACTGAAGTGTGTTCGCTACGACCGTTTTCGCAAGTGGTCATACAATACGAAATATAGTGATGACGACCCTGCAAACGAAGTTGAGTTTCCGGCTTGGTTTTTCCCACCACATTTCACGTTGGAGCTGAAATCTCTGATCGCGCAACTATTATATCCGGATGCATGCATGCGCTTATCGGTGGAGGAAGCACAGCATCATGTGTGGGTGCGCGGTGAGAAGCTAAAAATGTCAAGCCGCTATATGCTGGACAATGACCAGCCGCCGAGCAATTGTCCGCCTCTCATTACACCCGAGTTACCATCACCATTATCTCACTCATCTTACAAGAGTTGCATGAACGTGGCGATCAACGCCCTGCAGGACGGCATTGAATTGGGCCAGCACATGCATCCGAGTCAACTAGGTTCTGTGTCACCGCAAGCTATTATTAGATTGCTTGCCAAATCTCCCAACGCTCACAGTCATACGTATCGATGTCCGTCATCACCGCAGCAAAGCCTTCATGTAAACAAGCATCTTGCAGGTGTAGTCGGATACATGCCGCCAGTGGACGAGACCTCGTCTATGTCTGGCCAAACGCCTTTGAGTTCTCCCCGTGACTCCAAGAAGAATGGCAATTTTGAAATGGAGCTTGAGGACAATAGTTCGATGACGTCATTGACAACAGAGCTAGATGTGTGCAGTATTTCTAGAGACAAGGTGCTTTCTAAGCCGGAGACGCTTGTTCGTGAAGCTACCATGAGCACCGCTACCGAGAGTGTGGCTACAAGAGAAGTTGGCAATAATGCGGCAAGCAACAATCTGATTGGATCTGCTCATTTGACAATGCAGCAAGCGACTTCGCAGCGACATCAGCACTGTTTCGTGTCACCACCACTTGTGACTGGATGCCGTGATACGATACCGATCCGACACCGACGCAACTCGCCCCCCTGAACTGTTTCTGCGTGGATTTGCTCGTGGACGATTTAGGGACCTTACAAACGGAGATGTCGGAACCAATGCTAGTGTCTTCGATGGGATCAATATCCTCGGTCGCTCCCCTCCACTTGTTCCACACTCAGTTGTGACCATTGATGATAAGTCTAGTGTGTCAATCGACCGCACTTCGACAGAATCACTTGAAAGTGCAGTAAACTTGGGGCCAGATGCTATGAGCAACTTGACTGATGTTGAACAGGAGAATCTGGAAACGATGTGTTTGGCCCCTCCTCCATCGTACAGTGATGTCGTACCTCGCTCCACACGGTTTCTCACAGCTCTACCGGCGCGATTGGTGCTTTCTAACGTCGAGAACGCTTTGAAGGCCCATCCATGTCCGCTCCCGTACAATTGTCCCAAAGTTCCGCAGCACGTGACTTTGGACTGGACCAAATACCAACTTGAAGTGCGGTATGCTGGTCTTTTGGCTTGCACTGTGCAGGTGTTCCTCTTCCAGCGTGGTGTGTATCTTGTTGAGTTCCGACGTAGCCACGTACGTTTTTTCCTATTTGCATTATTTCGCAATGTGATATATATTGATGGAATTGATCTGTTGTTTGTTATTTGTCGAGCAGGTCGACACGTTTCGATTCAAGCGCTTTTACGAAAAGATCCGTGCACAGATTTCTGAAGGCGTGGGTGGAGGTCCTGAACAACCTTCACTAGCATTTCGCAAGCGCAACAATTCCATGTCTGGAACGTGTTGAAGTAAAAACAACCAATCGATGCTCGTTTTTTATATGTTCCTCGTCACACATAAGCAGCACTGCCATGTGCTCTTTGGTTCTTTGTCAGACAAATAGTCAGCGGATGTAATTTGATCCAAGGCAAAGGTTGAGTACTACTAGCTTACAATCACTATTTGACTCTGTCTGTAGAGAAGGTTGTAATGTTTTTGCATGTACGTAATGGATTACTGAGCTTTGTCAGTAGTGTTTTAGCTCCATTTGTTCGGTTTAAAGACACCCAAGCATAAGGTGCAACGACCATCATTCACTCATATGTTGAAGTTGCCTTTTACAAAGTATTACAGTATAAGATCGTCAAACGTAATAAGAATTAAAGTATATTGAAGCGTTTTTCTTTTTCGCAGAATTTTTTGTGTGATTAGAAAAGAGACTGTATCAGTAATGTGTTACCTATTTGCAACATTCACTGCATATGTAGTATCAAGTCATTCCTACTTTTTCAGTATCAAAGTTTTGGTTTTATTATAGCTAGTTACAGTGCGAAAAACGGTTGAATACCATGCAAAAATGTGCAAATACGTGGTTTATGTTTGGATCGTGCTGTTACTAGCTCTTGGAGACCACTGGACTTTATGAAGTCAGCGAGACAACAGTGAAAAGTGTGAGTCATTTGCAAGCTTTGCCAATAGAGACAGAATTTACGCTTCAAGTGATTTGGAAACATCAGTTGATGCTGCATGGTGTCAAGACATTCTCACAAGACGAATGATCGATCCCATGTAAGCAAAAAGCGTATGGGTTAAGACAATAAACGAGGACACGCGGTACCGCCATGGGGCAAATGTTGTCGAATACGCTAGCGTCTGTATCGTGGGAAACGGGTGTGACGAACATTAGAGCGAGCTTGCAAAGCTAGACCGATGGTGTCATCATAGCGATTGTCCAACAGAGGCAGACAATTTGCAAATTTTTATGCGTCATACTGGAGTCAAGTCAAGTGGCTGTTCCAAAGTCTATCTTTCCCAACATCAGTCGTCGATGCTGGTCTGCGTGATTGGCACCGTGTGAAGATGCCGCTTCGTCCAACGATTATATGCGTATGGCTCTAGTTCCTTCGCGGTCTCTGCACGCAGTCTCTGCGCTGGGCTTTGTCAGCAGTGATAAGACAGACTGCCTTTACGGTCTGTCTGATCTTCTGGATGTCCATAACTCACAACAAAACGATGTCTCAGCAGCGGCGGCCCTCCACGTCACGCCGTAGCTGCAGAAACGGGAGATGCAGCTACAAAACAGGTGGCATTGGAGTCATCCACAGCTCGGATGTGGAGCTTTACATGCGTACCTGGGAGCTTGATTGGTGCAGCAAAAGCATTGTCCAGCACTAACGCTTTTTGCAATCAGGAATCCTGAGCATATGTAAAGTATACTGCAGTGGAAGAGCAAAAGCTGCTGATTGCTTTCTTTCCCCTCTACCATCGACTTGTTATACAAGTGTTGAGCTAATTTTGCGTTTCGATGGGAATGGGAATAGTCCATTTTTCATACGTCTTCAACTTGACTGGCGTGACCGGTCCATAGAAATTCCAGGATCAGCGACTGGCAGACGAGGTGGCGTGCGCCAACCAGCTGTTTCAACATGTCATCAGTGTTGTCTAAAACCGCGGCTATACACTGACGCAAATCGTGGCTCAGGGGCATTGAATCCTGCGTCAACCTTCTGTCAACTTACTTGGTGAATGTATGGACTGACTATCTATATGCATCATACATATGACACATTTCTTCTACAATGACTCTTGTCAAGAACCCATAATCATTGTTGCATAAAAATCCATCACTTATCTCGGTATTTCTAGCGGAAAACGTTGCGACACATATCACTTCCGTACCAAATAACCTTCATGTGAAACGCTATTGACAGTAACGGTAATCTCATGCTGAAGGTTTCTGATCACACACGGTGAATGACCAAAGCAGCAGTGGTTGGACATGATGGTAGCAGCACTCGGGCCGCAAAAGTCTTGGAACGACACCCCTCCGACCAGATCTCACTTTACAAGTAAAAGGCTGCCAAATCTCAATATAAAAATGGAGTACAGTAGTGTCAAAAGCATATTCTCGGAGTGAGGAAGGTGCGCTGAAGCTGCTAGCAGCAGTATCTTGACCCTGGTGTCGCACTCATAAGCAGGTGAGTAAAAAATCACTTTCTACCAAGTTCAATTACATTGGGCAGAGAGACGATGACGGACGGTCCCCCCCTCTTTTGTTGTGGTCAGTGTGTATTAGGGGTCAAGCAGTCCTTTCTCTCGTTCAAAACTCTCTACACCCCCTCCCCACCGTCTGCTCCGATCTGACCGCTGTCGTGTGATTCCACTCAGTCAGTCAGTCAGTCAGTCAGTCATTCCGTAACTTACCAGCAGTAGAACAAGTGATAGAAACATAATAACGAACTATAAATATCGTCGTACCATTGAGTCGAAATATCCAAACCATCGAGTATTTGAAGATTAAGTAGACGTCACGCGACTTTATAATGAATATGCGTGGAATGGCCGCAATGGTGACGTCTTGTATTGGTGGAAAGGACGAGAAATTTGCAGTTCAGGTGCGACTTGCTGCACCTGCAAATGTTTATTTCGTCTACAAGACAATGGACGAATTTGAAGCACTGTGGAGATCATTGGAAACTCTTACACGTAATATTAAGCAACTTGATACTAGTCAGAACAGTCAGGATGAGGTTATGGATGAGAAGAAGAAGACAAGGATCAAGTCGAGTCTATTGGCCAAGTGGTTGAGTAGTATTGTGGATCATTACGCATTCCGACAGAGTATTCGTGATCTCCGAGCGCAGGAGAAAGAGACGATGAGCACACTGAATGTACTATTACAGTTCCTTGTTGCACGTGTGTCTGCTATTGTCGTAGAGCACAGTCTATTGCACTGCAACTCATGCACAGTGGGATGTGAACTTGTCAAGGTCGTGCGTGATTTCCTACAGCAGCCAGTTGCTAGTACAAGTGACAAGACTGTCGTAAACAATCAAGTGGTTGTTAGTAACCTCAAGGATGGACGAAAACGGTCTTTTGAAGAAATGCGACCTGAGGACGGTGAAGAGCAGCGCAGTAGTTTGTTTCCAACACGGAGTGGAAGTGATCGGATTGTCAAGACCCAAAAGATATGCGGTATGCGTGAATGGGCGATTCCAGTTGTAAGCAAGTTGGATATGGTGGCACCTGTAACGTCGAGACGTCGCGTATTTGCCGAAGTAGAGTTTTGAAGGCAAGAAAAGAGAGAAGGAAGAAAGTATTTATCACCGGCATTGATCGGATAGTCGACTGAAAGCAGGTCACACACGTATTTAAACAATAGCTGAGAACATTTTGAACCACAGGACATGCAAGTGTTGTGTACTTTGAGAGTTTGACTTGACATGAGGAAGGTGCTGTCATTTTGTTTGCAGCAAGTATTACGTGTTGTCATACTAATGCACGTATTCATGACGCACACGTACGTGGCCTACGTGACGTCAGTATGACATTGATTAGCAGTCAGTGTCGTTCTGCGCAATCAGACAGAGAGGTGATGTCCGTATGGAATGGAACGGCCGTCGTCGTCAGCTTTAACGGATCGGCTTTGCTAGGATGGGGGGGGTGCTTTCCGCAGATCTCAGCTCTTAGTGTCACGGTCTTATCAACTAACACTCTCTCTCTCGAGTTCACTATGTCTATGGTGAATGAAAAGTCTCGGTGCCATGCATTCTCCTTTATCCTGAGTCGGATTGCCACCACATGTAATCTCAGAAAAGCCTTTTCAAAGTGCCTAGAACATCCTCAATGATGCATGTAAAGTGCTGGTCTCCGTAAAGTCTTTACTGGAAGAACAATTGTAGCTAATACTTAGCCCTTTTTGTCGACTGTTTACTTCTACAATCAGATCAGTCAGTTGATCAGCTGCAAGCAAAGTCTGAGTCTATCGTAGTTTGTTCATTTTCACTTAGGACGGCATTGCTAGATTAATCTGACTATACCTCATGTTCCCTACGATCTCACTTCCCGCTGTCTGCTCTTCTCCTTCATTGAGCGACTAGTCTTTCTGTTCAGTATCATGTCAATGCATACTGTTGTCTGCCATCTTCCTCTCTCTTATACGACGCGTTCCACCTTTGGCTGCACACTTGCATTCTGCTTTCGTCCTACTCTCACTAAAACTCAGCGCAGCTAAGCGTTGCCGCCACTTCCGCTGCCCTATTTCTTATTCGCGCACATCACTACGTGCTTATTCACTCGCTTGTTAGCTCGACAAGCATCAATTTACCACCGCCAGTGCTCCCTAACGAGCTTCCTATCTTCTTATCACAAACCAAGCAGGTTACACCTACATACCAAGCAATCCATTGTACATGAGCCAAACCGGCACTATTCCTTGCAACTTCCACCTCATTTCAGCATGTTCGTAGATCACAACAGCCACTGCTTGCACAACCCTTCTCTCCTCACGCTATCCCGCCTTCCGATTTCCATCCTAGCCCCTCCACCTCCTTCGCCTCAACCACCCCAACCTTCACTCTCCAGTCTCTACCTCCACACTTCTTCTCTCACCCTCCATATTCCGCCCCCCTGCCTTCCGCCTTGCCTCCCACTCCCACCCTTCCGACCCCTGTCTTCCACCCCCCTGCCTTCCGACCCTGCCTTTCGCCCCCCTGTCTTCCACCCTCTTCCTTCCGCTGATCTATCTTTTCCACAGCACCGACCACATCAAGTATCGCTTACTTGCAGTACAAGTTGCGATCAATGACCGGCGGAATGGGTCGAATCTCTGTGCCGAGCTCTTGCTCGATTCGGTACAGGTTGAATCGGTCTTCGTATGTGATCATATTGATGGCCAGACCGAGGTGGCCGTACCGACCAGAACGACCGATGCGGTGCAGATACGTCTCAGAGTTCTTTGGAAAATCAAAATTGATGACAACGTTTACCGTCTGAATATCAATACCGCGTGTAAACAAGTCCGAGCAGACCAAGTGCCGTGTTGCACCGTTACGAAACTCGTGGAACACGCGGTTACGGTGGGCTTGATTCATCTTGGCATGGATATAAAAGCACGAGTAACCAAGTTCAGTTACCTTTTTTGCCAACAGTTCGACGCGATTTACCGAGTTGCAGAAAATAATCGACTGATTGATATCAAGCTTGGAGAATAGTGTATTAAGGCAATGCACTTTCTGCCTCTCTTCCACAAATGCGTAAAACTGTGAAACACCTTTCAATGTCAACTCATCCATGAGATTAATCTCATATGGATTCTCAACAAATCGATCTTTAAATGCCTTGACTGTGACAGGAAATGTAGCTGAAAAGAGACAAATCTGACGTTGTTTTGCCGTATGATTCAGTAATTGCTCTAGCAGTGGTTGAAATTCAGGAGATAGTAATTTATCTGCTTCATCCATAATGACCGTCGAGCATTGACTCAAATCTGCCACACCTTTATTTGCTAAATCCATTACACGACCAGGAGTACCCACTAGTATATGCACTGTCTGATAAAGACGCATAATATCGTCCTTGAGACTTGTTCCACCCGTTGATACCATACACTCAATCCCCATATGTTTCCCAATTTCTTTCACAATTGCGGATGTTTGAAGTGCTAATTCACGTGTTGGAACTAAAATAAGCACTTGAATATGGTTTTGACTGGTATCAGTCTTTTCAAGACACGGAATAATAAATGCAGCTGTTTTTCCCGTCCCATTCTTTGCTCTTGCCATGACATTACGTCCTGCAAGAATAATTGGCACAGCTTCTTCTTGAATTGGAGATGGATGTTCAAATCCTTTTTCAAATATTCCCATTAATAATTCACGTTTTAGAAAATAATCTTCAAACTCATTGCCCTTGACATTTGTCACATCTTCGGTCTGGACACGTGTATCTTTCATTGGCTTTGTGAGGGAGGCCTTCCAATGATCTGGATCCGATGAAGTAGAGGAGGAGGAGGCTGCTGCTTCTGCTGTCATGAATGTCGTTGGTGATGACGTAACGTCTTGGTTCTGTTGAGCCATGATTAGTCTTCTTCTTCTTGTTATTTATTATTGTCTTCTTATTGTAATATTGCAAGAATCTTTTTTTAAATCTTTGCTTCGACTTGGTGGAAGAAATAGATAGGACGCTTGGTAGTGGATAAAAAGATGCAGAGAATGCAAAGAGATATCACGTGAGACTCGCTTTGTTTTTTTCCACTTAATACGGTGTTTTAATATGAACGAAAACGTCAAATAGAAGAAAAAACACGTCTGGACGTTGGAATCTTTTCGGGTAATGGAAATTTTGATAATGAAGGAACACCAATCCCTGTTGCGTTGCTGATTGAGGGGGAGTGATTGCTCAAGTGATATATGTGTCAGAACCACAATAATGAGTGGACAACGTAAATATATGTTTATACACTTAAGGAGCAAGATGGATAATGACAGATGTAGAGCAGAAACGTATAGTTGAATCAGTCAGTTATAGAGATATAATGTATACATGTATACGAACGTAAACTGATCGATATATTGATTCACCTTACAGTCGTAGCTCCTCAATACTATAGTCAGACAGTCCTGGAGCCTGTGGCAATCGCACACCCGACAAGAAGTTGCTCAGGACGCCATGGACGGACTCATACTGTGCATTTGTCCGGAGCAGCAGCTGGACCAAATCATCAAGTTGGTGCAGTGTACAAGACACCTCTGAATTCTGGGACGCACGCTGAACCAACGCCAATAAGTGAGCATCCAGCAAAGCACAAATCCACGCGCAGCAGTGCGAGGCCGAAGGCAACGGAGTGAAGCGACGCTCGTCCTTCATCACTGCAAAAATATTGTCTGTTCTCTTCTTCTTGGACGTTTTGGACTTCTTCGATGACTTGGTTGCCTCCTCTTCATCTTCAGCATCATCTCCAATCGTATGCACAAGCAAGAGCTTCTTGCAGATTGCAAGCACGAGCAGCACCTCCTCCAGTTCCAATTCACGGATCGCACGGTGAAGAAACACCGTGTTCGTAGGCAAGCCCAAGAGTGCCACAATGAAGCGCTCGCAAGCTGCAATTTCATCAATCTTGCCAGTATTCCTGTCCTGGACCTTGACCTGCTTTGCTACAAACTTGATGAACGACGAGTTGCTGCTTTTACGAATAAAATACTTCAACAAATGCACGATTGAACGCTCGTCGATATCGATAAGGTGCACAATAGCACACTCGAGCAGCGCAAACTGGTTGTGCTTCATCAGCGTAGGCAGTAGTGTCGGCTCAGCGCGAGCGGACAATCGCTTTGTACGCAACATCTGCTCAAGGGGAGCCCATAGACCAAGATCCGTCGAGTCTAAGCAACGCCGCGTCACTGCCTGTAACAACCGATACGATAACTCTTCTTCTTGCTTTTTGCCTGCCTTTTGTTCGCTTTGCTGTTTCGCTAGCGCCTTGTCAAGGCGGTTTATAAACTCAGCGGCTGTAGAAGTAACTTTTGGGTTTAATAGATCTGCAATCAGCTGACATTCCCGGTCATCATCACTGCATATATTCGCCTTCCACGTCTCAGCATCCAGCGTATCGTTGTTCACGCTGCTTGTCGATGTCACGCTATCCCATTCAACTGCGCTGTCAGGCATTGCAGGCGTCGTTAATCTCTGAAAGGCTGCCAACTCTTTGCATGCCGTGGCTCCCAGGACACTGGCTAGCGTCGAGTTTTTGTTCCTTACATGAATAAGGAAAGCACCACGCTCATAGATAACAAACACCACGTCCCCAGGACCTACATTCACGATCTGCACTGGCTTGCCAACGCCATCCTTGCTGCTACGCCCGATAACACTATTGCTCTCGTTATCCTTCTCCGTCATCAAACTGATTTCAGTCTTTGATACTGGGACAGCAAACTTAGAATCCCAGGCTGTGATCTTCAAGGGTGCGTCTAGAGATAGACTAACCAAGTAGGTGACGTGTCCAATGCCACTCACCATATAACCTGAACCAGTTTTGCTGGCCGCCTGAAGTTTACGTTTCTTATGCACCGAAATGGCGGAATCCACCTCCGCTGATGCTAAGTTAGGCATTTGGTAAGAAGCCACCAGTGTCACCGCGTTAGTCAGTGCGTCACGCGAAAAACGCAGCGTCTGCCAGCAGCCTGAGCGGCCAATCAGCGAGTACGAGAAAGTTTCCGGGTGGAATGCACACGAGGACAACTCCTCGTTGTCCGGTAGAACGACACGACGACGTACTAGCAGCACAACGGATAACACACCTCCCATGCGTCTCGTTACATTAGGACATGTGATTTGATACACCAAAAGCTCTAACTGCTTGTCACCCTTCTGGGTTGTCTTCTGTAGCAAGATCGATAAAAAGAGTCCGCCCTTCAACGAGCTACGGTTATCCGTCTCCAGGTACGCCCACACTACCACTTCCTCCTGACTTCATCTCCATCTTCATCATCCTCTACAGCGACTGCTTCCTTGGCGTCATCACTATGCACACCTCGGTTCAAATCTTCATCGTACGTGGCGAAAGAACCGTCCTGGAACACCACGACAACCTCCTCCTTCAGCTTTACATGCGTCAGCAGTGAAAAGACCTTACAGTTCGATTGTAACGGTGTGCGTCTCCATGTGGCCACGTCCAAGTCCGTGTCGCGCCAGACCGCAAGGCCTTCGCTGGCCGGTAAAGTCGTCGTCTTGTTGGCTTCCTGTCGCCTAATCTGACGTGCCATCTTACTAGCGCTCACACCAGGTACTCCACATACACCAAAGAACAACCGCGAGCGCGGGTGACGTGCTGCTGCCACGTGCAGCGCGTGAGCACTACCAGCTCGGAAGGTCCAGTGGTTAATGCACTTGCGCGTAGAGACGCAGATCTCGCGCACATCTTCAGCCGACGTTAGCAGAACTAGTCTGTTGCCTTCCTTAGACATGCAAGTCGTAGCGCCTAGCAGCATCGTATCAGCAGCACGGCCACGCCAAAGCAAAATGCTCTGGTCCAGCTCCATAGGCTTGTCCCTCGTTATTTCAACTGCCATGCAGAGTATCGCTAGATATGAGAGTAAAGCTTTTGGTTGGGCGTGAGTGATTGGTATTTTCAGCCAATTAAATACGTTCAATGTAATTATGTTCTGACAAAATGAAATGTTTGCTGAAACATTGCAATAAATAGACAGCCGTGTCCAAAAAATAACGATCGCGTGATTGAATATTCACCTTTAGACTATTGAAATATGACGTCGGGCTTTTTGTCTGACAAATGTGATGCAGAATGAAGGTCTACTTGTATCGGTTTTGGAAGGTTACTTGGCATCTGATTCTAAAGTGTAATTTGGCTGTTCGTAAAATATGCCGATCGAATGAATAGGTGGATGGTTAGATACAATTAACATCAGTCTATGGCGAGGTAACATATACACTTGCTTTTAGTATAGTAAATCTGTGTCAACCTTTAACTGAATCAAAGCGGCCAAGGAGTTCAATTAGCAGTCAAAAAACAAAGAAATAACATCGAAGACGTTAAATGCAACAAACATTAAAGGACACGGCGACACTGAAGCAAGCAAAGATGCTCATGTTGTAGAACAGCAGCAGAATGGAATAAAGGTGCAAACTATCAGTAGATCAAGGAACAAAATCGACAAGCACGATAGTGCGTGAGTTTGCCAATGGGGAGGTGACGTGTAGTTTAGCAAGAGAAAGTGAGGCAAAGCAATTGATAAGAGGCAAAAGCTGTTTACTACAATCCCGAAAGACAGAGAAACGGAAAATTGAAGTGCGTGATACGTTGGATGGCACGACAAAACGAGTTTGGCTTGACGCAGACACGACAGACGGCGGCGTTATTAGTCTAGACGGATTATCTTATTGCCGACAAGATGTGGGGAAGACTATGCAGACTTTACAGAAGAGTGATGACTCTATGATGACAATAGGATCTCGGTATTGCGGTGGTTACGTGGAAGAGAGAAAGAAAGATGTGAAACGTAGTCGATTGTTGCCGAAAAGTAGGCTGCAGTCAAGCCCACTAATAACCGTCAACCTTGTTTGGTTATGGGCAACCGTACTTTGTCTTTCACTTCCTGCCGCATACTATTTTAGATGTCTAATATGTGCATATGGTTGAGGATTTCACAGACCGTTGTAAATTGCTTCAAAGGACGCCTCAAAGCGTGCCTCACGGCTCTCAAGACTATCAACACCCGTCCCGTATAAGCTATCACCATGACCCATAATGACATTTGGTATCCCGTGGATGTCCATTAAAGTTCCAACGATTCTTTGAGCGTGAAGGTCGTAGTTGTTGTACGTGCCAGAGCAGCACGAACCCTTGTCCAGTGTTCTTTCCTAGTCGCCAACAGCGAAGGTCAACACAGAATACTTGGCTAATCCTGGGTTATTATCTGTGCTCACGATGGGAGAAATATCTATCACGAAGGGCAGCACCACAATCTTGACGAGTCTGGTGCAGGTCAGCATCCTTTTTTTGAATGATGTATTTTTGTATCAGAGTACTGGGTTGGTAGTAAAATCTAAAATAAGCGTGGCTGAAAACTTCAACGATGGATGGTTGGTGTGCTTGACAAGATGGGGATGCTGTGTACGATGGAGTGCGACTGCTGAACCCTGTCTATTCACACCGGTGATGTCACAGATGTTGGTTGCATTGCCGCCATCGCGCAAGCGAGGTGAGGATGATAGCTCTAGTACTGAGGGCAGCGCATCGCTGACTTATTTTTCCGGAGCATCGGCCTAGATAGCCCCAAGACGGATGCTTTTGGGCGACTTTAACAAGACAAGATACTTTGGGGGTATTTCTTGCGGGACGCAGGATCAGTGCCGACCAGTGGAAACATCTTGGGCCTAGCCGCGGCTTTGGAACCGGAACACATGTGCATTAGGACGAGCTCTGCTAGGGGCCGGGTCGCAACCCTGACGAACCAGGATCGACCTTAGACGCTCCTCTGTGGCCTGACACAACGTCGCGCCCTTCGGCGCCGGTATCCTTAGCTCGGCTAGAGACATACCCGAAATCTGGTTATAAGCAGTAAGTAGACATTTTGAATCTCTCTCTAGATGGTTGCAATGACTTTAGCTACGTCTTTCGGCTCGGAAAAGCGCCGCGACCTGGCTCAACTGCAACACAACGCACTAAGGTGTACCACGCAACCTTTCGGCTACGCTAAGAGCAGGGACAAAGCCATGGACTTACTTGTCTGTGGACATGAATGGAATTGCTCACGATTGTGGCTACAATTCCAGCGCAGCATATGCCGTGCTGACAACTGGATTGGTGGCCTTGCCGCCATATTGGCTGTATATATTGCTTAAACAGACAGATTGTTTCCATCACTTGCTTTTTCAAACCATCATGTTTAGGTTTTATAAAGCTTGGTGTGTTCTTCTTTATAATGCTAACACGCCACATCAATGATGGAATGGTTTGATTTTTCATACTGACACAGCGCTAAGCTACGGTGTTTTGCGGATGGCAGGACATCTACATGTCACTCACTCACTCAACTCCGTTACATCTCAGAACTACATACGTAAGCAAATACACTAAACGTGCGAGTCACACCCATGACGTGTTATATGTTGCACGTCAGTCAATGCAAACTCACTTCAACTTCAACTTGATGTTTTTGTATTCTTATACTGTGGTCGAAAAATCAAAAGGTTGAAGTGACATTCACTCTGTTCCGCATTATGGCAAAAGCGCTACGACATTTACATTTCCTTCATTGTCGACGCTATACCAAGACTCATACACATGCTTGTAACACCAATGTATGAAGAAATAGTGTCTTGTTCTGTCGACCTGGAGATGCTTTGCGCGTCGTTGATAGTTCAAAGCATCAAGGTTGTCTATGAGCTTAATATCGTTACCGTCGACGTCACGGAAAGTCTCGTAGGTCAATATCCCTATATTGACACAATGCGAGAAACGCTGCTAAAATACAAGAGCTCTTATCTATGGAGCTGGTTGCAGCACCGGTTTTGTAAGGACGAGGCTCGACTCGGCAACCACGAGGTGTTGCCGCTTCCTCAGCTCATTGAATTCCCACTACAACTACAACATTTTAACTTTATAACCAAAAACTTCATTGATATCAAAACACAATTTGCAACTTATGCATGCAAAATTAGATGATCTCCAACAGATAGGAGAACAGGTTGAGAAGAACTTTGATCGGCTTCAGAGACTCCTCAAGGACATCTCGACATATTTATGTGACCTTAAATATCCTTGTACTTGCGCACAATTATCACGACTACACAATCAACCTAGTGGGCTTCCTAGCGAGACATTGATACTACAGGTGGATCGACTAATGTGAGCAGCCAGTGCTCGTGACTGCTACAATCCTTGCTTGGTATGTTGTACTAAGTGTGTACGCCTTATTTTTACATAATCTCTCGCTGATAGGGTTTCATTTTATATACAGCACCGTAACATTTTATTTGTTTTTGCTATCCCGTCATTCGTGTCGGCTGCGTCGTGGTAACTCTCGACTGATGTTGATGACAACAATGTACAGCTTTTGAGCAAAAGCTATGCGTCTATTTCTTTGCAACCATTGCGTCTTATCTGCCCAAAAGTTGATGCCTCTGTTCAATGCCAGCTATTACTTCTCTGAACACAACAGCCACTGTGTTGTGCACACCTCCAGCTTCAGGTGCAATGCTCCGCTCGTCATGTGGAAGTCTATGTGCAAGGCACAAGGTGTAACTTACTAGGTGGAGCAACAGAAGGGAGAAGTGTGTATTTGGGTACATTATCAAGGCAAAAAGCAGAGTTATGAGCCACAACACTTTGTCATGTCGTCACTTTTGAAGAGCGATCAAGACTGCACCGAGGCTTTGCGAATCAAGTTTGTGTCGTTAATAGGAGACAAAAGTGTACTGCATTTACAAGTGTTTCGATATATGTATGTACGTACTGAACCGGTAGTAGAAATTTGCTCAAGGTGGTGGAGCGTTCTGGGTAGGTGCTGAAGAAACGTCTTAATGTACACAAGACTGATGCTGTGCAGAAAGGGTACTGTAGGATTGACAGCTAAGATTGCTAAATTTGATCTTAAATGATGAATGCTGCTTTGGACGTATAAAAGCTTCTGAAAGGCTTTTAAGAGACGTTAGAGAGAGAAATGGAGACGAAAATTGCCCGAGTGATTGACGCAAAGATGTCGCGCGTATTTGAAAGAAACTCACTAAGGGCTTGATGATATCTAAATGGTTTTGTCAACCTTCCGGTAGTACTCTATTTAGCCATACACTATTACTCATGGTAGTTGGTATCGATAAAGTTGAGAAAGTCAAAAGCTGTTATTGCTTCATGAGTCTATTGATCCTTCTTAATTTGTAGAAATCAGATTCATTCCGTCGTGAATTTCTTTATTGCCGACCACTTAGGGTGGACCAGGGCATTTGTCATACAAGTATTAATCTCAACAGATACCAAGGTCTATTTATTCATAAGTTGTGAAAGAAAGCTCATGTCACATGTTGCATGTTATGATAAACTTGAGGTTATACTTGATTTTATAGTTGCAGACTGGGTATCAAATCAATCATGACGGCAGCCATGAAGCCTCATATGAAGCCACTCAACCGTACGTTCCACATCAATATCAACCCATGATACTCCCACTCTTACCACAATTGAGGATGCTCACATTGACGAGTTCACTTCATGTATGTATTCAAACAATACAATCAAATAAAACATGAGCTCAATAAAAATATGGTCGGATTGATGACGACTGTGGTCATCTATACGACATGCCTAACATTCAGAGAAACAAAACCATGTGTTGAAGCTGAGTCTAATGTTGCAGAAAGATCTAGAAAAAAACATCAACGTGAGGTTTTTCTCATTCTAACATCCAACAAGCTCATCTTTTGTAAGCAATGCCGTATGTTGCTTGATTGTCGCTCACGCAACTCAACGCGGCGGCTGCTTCATGGAGATCGCGGGAAGGGAGGGGATAGACAGATCAACAACACACAGGAGCAGCAGCATTCAAGTGTCGGACCAATTATTACTGATAGTCTAGCACACCCTCCCTCCCCCCTCTTTGCTGAGAGACTTGCTTACGTGTTGGTCCCATCCGTAATCGTCCAAACGTTCCTCTCATTACAGACGTAAACAAGTGGTGGTTACTGCTTATAATATCAAAGTACGCTGTGAAAAGAGGTTGGGGTTTCTATATTTTATACTATTTTATAGTACTATTTTTCATTTGATTGATAGTAATTAGTAATTACTACTTTTTAAGCTCATATGAATTTTCTAATTCTTTATTATAAATCTCCATCATTCTTTGTTTGTTTTTGTTACGATAATAGTCATAATAGTCTTATCGTTCATTTTACATACAAGCATTACACACGCCACTTGAATCAAGGGAAGACAGGTACAGACAATCTATCTATCTATCAATGTGTGTTACACTTATTGAAAGGAATAAGATGGACTGATTTGTTAATGTTGTTTTTTATCTTCATGTAGAAATAATTACACCGTCAGTCTTTTAATTACCTTCACGGACTTACAACCTTCTACAACGTCACGAATGTCTTCTAACGCTGACAACGAGAATCCACCTCTACCGGCCTTTGCAACGGATTGTTTTCTATCCTCGTCCTTGTATAGTCGTCGTAGTGGTGACCGCACGGACGAAATGGATGTCATGGCTCAATTGGCCTCACAGTACTACACTTCTAGTCGTAATCGTTCTTTTTCGGCTCCGATTCAGCCGTCAGCGCTGGGATCCGCTTGGGATTCGTTTGCAGACGACACATCGGTGTCGGCTGCTGTAAGTCCCATGGAACACCAGCATCAGTTGCAGGACCGGAATCTAAGATCTCATCAACCGCCGCTTCCACAGGTCCCACCTCCAGTGCTCAACATTATGGTGCCACCTCTTTCCGGTAGTGACGATATGACAGTCGGAGCGATTGATCAGGCCGTGCAGTCACTGCACTTATCAAATGAGGAGAATAATGAAGCTAGCCACCAAGTTGATACTTGTGACGAGCTATTGGGCGCTCCACTGCCGGCGACATTCCTTCGCACGGTTTGTGACCAATTGGAGTACTACTTTTGCGATGAAAACTTGCTCGGAGATCTCTTTTTATTGAAGAACATGAATATGGACGGATATGTCAAGCTGGAACTGCTGGCGTCGTTTGGCCGAGTGAAGAAGTTGACGACTGATATAAACGAGATCAAGAAGGCACTGGAACTGTCAACCAAGTTACTGCTCAATGAAGATGAGAGCATGGTTTGTCGTAAGGAACCGTTGTCTCCGAATCAGACATACCATGGCAAGCTAGCTCGTACGGCCATTGCTTACAACTTGCCGGAAGACGCGTCGGTTGCTTCATTGCGCGAGACTTTTCAAGGATGTGGCGAGATTTCTTATTTGCGCCTGCTGAAGAAGAATACGACTACGGGTCGTAACGCTGTGCTGAAGCCCCCCATCGCGGCGGGCGAGACATACGCTATCATTGAGTTTGTAGACGACGAGATGACCAAGCATGCCGTGCTGACATTGTCGGATCAGTACAATTGGCGCACTGGCATGCAGGTGGTGCTTTTTGACGGTACGAATTGTGACAAGCTGAAGCAGAAAATGTTTCCCGTGGAACTCGGTGGTGATCGTCGTCGTGCCAAGTCGGCTTCCGCAATCACGCGCCCTGTGCACGTAGAATCGGTTGGTGAAGGCTTGGATGATCTTCGTGAAGGCAAGGTGAACACGGGTACCGTTTATTCGATCCGTGGAGCAGGCGGACTCATTACGCCAACACGACAGGATTCGGCCTGTATCTCGTTTCGTCTTATTCCTGATGAAGATGGGAATATTGACATTCGACAGGGTGACTACGTGTCTTTTACCGTTGGCAAGAACAAAAAGAGCGGTCGTAAGTATGCTAGCAAGGTCAAGCTGGAATTCCGTCCGCCTTCCGACCTGACAGGCGATGCTAATAATGGTGGTGGTTTGAGTGGACTGGCAGGCTCATCAAGTGGAAATGGGCAGAAGGACTACTTTGCGCCATCACCAAGTAGATGGGAATCCCGTAGCCGTGCAGCGACGGTGGGTGCTCCGCCCCAGCCGGCAGCCTTTCGTACCCGTTCGTCATCGTCGGGCACGCGTTCAAAGCTGAACTTGTCCTCACCGCGGATGGCGCAGTCAACCGTACACAACAGCAATGTTGGGGGCGTTGGGGGCAGTGCTCTGGCACCCCCTCCAGGCATGGGAGTCAACGGCAGTACCCAGTTGTACCGCCAGGCTATCGGGCCGGATGGCACGCGGGGCTTTGGTTCTCGTCGTACCGGTGGTGAGCCACCGGAGATGGCACCGGAACTTAAGTTTCCGGTCATGGAGCGTCGGAGATCGCGCTCGTCGGGAGGTGCTTGGTAGAATGAGGGACAGCAACAACCGACGCTGACATGTGAACAATGAAGAACAGAGTGTCGTAACAGGCCTCTCTTGTTAAAACACTACGCTGGCCAGCGTGATTGAAAATTACCAAGAACGATGAAAAAACATATCAAGAATTAGCGCGTAGCAAGATGGATACAACGGAGCGATTTGATGAGCCCAATAATCAAGAAGAGCATACGAAGTGCACAGTTGATAGGACAAAGACAGCAAAAGAGTCGACATCAGAGAAGAAGACGGAAAAGAAGAAGAAAAAGAAGAATGAAGGAAAAATAAAGTGGGTACGGGGCCTGCTTATCCAGGTTGTCTTTACTTTGCCTTACTTAGGTCTAATTCATTTTCGATTGTCATTATATCAGACTGTGAGAGTTTTACCACTCAATTAATGCATAAGTTCCTGAGCGATGGTAGTATTCGGAAATTTGCATGATTTTGAAATATATCTATGTTTTCAAAATTATGGTTAGTTTGCTTGCGTCTTAACATAGTACTTCAATAAAAGTACCCATTTTTCAATTTAATCTTTCAGACAAACTTATAAAAAAGGTCAAATTGTCTCTAACTACTCTTTTTTCCCTGCTGTCCTATTATTTTAACGTCAATTGATCACTATTTTAAGATGCCACAAATCGCACTCTAATGAGTGTATCGAAAGTGCAGACGTTTATTAGAATAACGTTCGTCTTGTGAGTCAATGACATCATCTGGATATGTGATACTGATGGCAAAAAGCAGTCCAATTATATACTACCGAATTGACCACTTTGCTCTCGTCCCAAAGCATTCAGTACTACGGCCTCTCTGTCACAAACAACATTCATCTAGTTAGTCACTACGCTAGGCGAAACAGCATCAATGTGTTATTGCAGTCAGTTGCTCTGACTGATCGTCTTTGGTGACATGCTTTGCTGGCTTTGACATGACCAAGACGATGCGACAATGGGTACGCGCCAAGTACGAATCGCTGACATCGGAGATCTCGGACAACTCGAAGCCTAAAGATATTCTGCGCTGTAGATGGTGCTCTTCAGACGAGAACCAAAAAGATAGCAAGTGTTTATCACATCACGACTCATGGACCGCCGAAGAAGAGGTACTCAGTGTTCATGGACTTCTTATGGCTCTCAATGGATGATACCAAGTACATTATTTTGGCGCTCTGCTGCATGAGGTGAATGCTACTTTTCTTATATCGAGGAGCAGCAGCATGACCATCAACTTACAGTGAGTCGCATGACTTCTTCTTACATGTTTTGTCTTTTCAGATGATGATCTGAAGCAATGACGCAGGATGTTTTGCCGGCACGTAAAGTTACTTGAAAGATGGTGATAATAAGCATCGACAGCAGTCTCTAGGAGATAGAGGTACAATGTGCGACAAGGCAAACTCAACGCTAAACTTGTGAAACGATACATGATATTCGAAAAGGGATTAATGGATCATCAGACGAGAACCTTGACAACAGTCACGTGATACAATCTACTCATACCTCTCACTGAAACTGCTCAAAGACGCGCTCCAGCGACAATTCACTGATGCTGTATTGTGCAATATTGAAGCGCTTTTTGTTCTTTTCCATGAGTGCAAAAGCATCAGCCAGGCCGAAATTATCAGTGCATGACGTTTCATACACTCCACTAGTATTGGTGCCACTCCCACAAGCAGTTTCCACGTGTGCAGGAACCACTACCTTACCGGATTGAGTGGTGATTTCGTTCTTAAAGAATTCAGTCTCAAGACGAACAAACGCTTCTTGCACAAGCCACTGCTGCACAAACTCAACGATTGGAACGACAGGAAGGACCTTGGCGCTACTACCAAATTTCGAAGTAACATTTCGATCACGGCTACTGTCGTCCGAAAAACGAGCTCGTAGACCTGCCAGCCACGTTTTGCTACGTTGTCGAGAAACGGCCAACGCAGTGGCGTCGCCATTCTTGTACAAAAGACCGTGACAAAGCTTCCAGGCTTCGTCGAGCTCTTGCAGTAAAAGGTCTCTACGCTCCAACTCTGTTCCGCCAGCAACCATTAACGGCTTTGACTTGAGTGAGCACCGAATTTGCTCCGTGTAGAACTTCATCTCGTCGGAGTTCCAAATAGCCGAACTGTCCAGTCGCACACTAATCGAAACTCCTCGTGACACGCGCTGCTTTAGTTCAGGAATACTGCCAGACCACACTACCTTTCCTTTCAGCAGCACTACTGCGTTCGCACACACAGCTTCTGCCTCTTCCATACTGTGAGTCGTGAATAGGCAGCTCATTTGGGTAGAGTTTTGCCGTTTTTCGTGCAGAATACGCCACATGAGCCGCCGCGCCACGACATCTACGCCAGCTGAAGGTTCGTCTAACAGCAAGAGTGAGGTGTGGTCGCTCAGAAGTGCTAGCGCTAGCATAAGCCGTCGCCTGTTGCCACCACTTAGATGCAAAGCTGCAGTTTCTTCAACTGGAAACAAATTCAGCCGCCTGATGAGCTCGTCAATAACGGCACCTTCAGACAGCAAGGCGTTGCTTGTGCGGCACCGTAGGCGGTAGAACAGCTCGAGGTGCTCACGTACAGTCAAGTCGTTATAGAACATGTTACCCTGAGGACAGTAGCCGTATCTCGTGCTGGCATCTCGGGCTTCCACAGACACATCAAATGCGTCAATCGTCGCCGTACCAAGGGTAGGAAAAACTCTAGCTGTCAGTATCTCAAACATCGTTGATTTGCCTGAGCCGTTGACACCCAACAGTGCTACACAATCTCGCCTTTCTACAGAAAAGGTAACATCGTTCAACGCCACCACTTGGCCTTTTCGGTTTACCAGACCATTGGCGACCTCGTCAGCTGCAGTTTCATTGTACGCCCTTAAGATTGTATCTTTTAGAGGGTTGTAGACCTTCGTCACTCGCCTCGCATGCACCATATCCATGTTAGGGTCTTCTTCGTCAGAAGGAAAAGTACTTTGATCGGCTTCTGCATAGCCCTGCACGTATCTGCGCCAGCAAAAATAGCGACGCAAATGTTGCAGTTTGCGATGCACCTTGTAATGTACTTCGGCCGGGTACATTTCATACTGATCTATAGCAAGTAACAGTAACGTGTATATCACAGCAGATGCCACAAGGGTAAACCAACTGCTCCCGGCGACCTCCCAATCCCACACGGAACTCTCATGCTCGGAGTTGGCCAGTCCATTCACCAAAGCAAGCAGGTTCTCACTCCTAATGTCACTGCCCATCGCAAGGCATTGCTGTCGCGCTGGAGCCCAAGACACTGTCACGATATTCAGCATCGAAATGCCAAACGTGTAGAATGGCATTATTTGCAAAAAATACGCAACAGTGTACGCCTTGCCACACAAACCAGGAATCATTGATAACGCAAACACAATGGATATCGCCATGATCTGGAACAAAGAAGCGTACGACATGTACGACTGCGCTGACGTGTGTGATGCAAAAACTAGTGAGCTGAAGTACTGTGACGGGAGCATTGCCAAGCCATACAGACTCATCGTGACAAGCCACGCAGCAAGGATCGCATTATTCGTCAGAGCAGAGAACACCGCGAGTGCTGTAATAATGAAGGTAATCGCCACGATGTACGTCATGTAGTCAAACAGAAAATTCGATAACCAGTACAACCACGACGCATTTATGGTCCCAAGGTGCTGATATTGCATGCGCTTTAGACCGCATGCCCTCTCTCTCACGACTGGCCCAGCGTAAAATCCCACCATGGAGCTTATCGTCATCAAAAGGTAAAAGACCAGCATTACCCGTTGCACAATGCTGACAGCTTCGTCAGGATCCAACTCTAAACCATCTTCATCAGTGCTTAGCCCCGTACCTATTTCAACTTCAACTGGAAATATTCCTCTCTTCACAATCAAGTCACAATTGTCAATTCCAGGTGCATTCACGTGCTTTGACCGCGCTCTGCAATAAGCCTGTGACATTCTTTGCAGCGATACAGGCAACGAGTAAGGCACAGTTTCGTTGTAGTAAAGCGAATACGCAAACGCTGGGGAAGAAACTGTCAATTCTGACGTCCAATTCACATGCGATACAAATATGCCAGCGAAAAAAGCAGTGTCTCTCTCACGCGCAATCGCAGCTAACATGGCCTGCTCGGTCTGCGCGTTCTTGTCGAACACAACCGGATTAAAGTCTTGTTTAATCTGTGCAACAACGTTCGCAACCGAATCTGTCACCGCTGGCGCAGACGCTACATAGAGCGATGCTGTCCTCGCAAACGGTGGTAAAGTCGTCACTACCTCAATATTTTCGTTCATAGAAATCACGTTTTGAGCCATGGTTAAGAAAATTGTGAAAAAGCCAAGCGGCCACACATACTGAGCAAATAGGGATTTCTTGTCACGAGAAGACATCTTTGCACGCTTCACAATCAAAGCTCGAAGCTGCAAAATTGACACTTTCCACATTGGCAGTTCCTCGTCAGTGTCCGCAGGTTGCGAATCCGTCTCCATATTAGACTTTTTCGTCTTCCCTTCAGAAAGCACTGGGTCAACACTTTCGTTGGTGTCATCATTCTCTGCATCGTCCTTAACGTGATAATAAACACCTTCGCCCTCGGTCACCTTCACAAACACATCCTCCAAGTTGGTCGCTGCAATCGCGTAGCGTTTGACAGTCCCAGCCTGCTTCATCATTTCTAGCTCTTTAAAAAGCTCAGCAAAACGCCGCTCTTCTCCATCGTTCAACTGTACACGCGTTTCCCATTTATTGTCACTTAAAATAGTAGCATTCGGAATATACTTCTTAACCGTCTTCATCAAACGGTCACTCCACGCTTGATCCAGTGGCGGTACATTGCTGTGGTCGTCACCTTGACCACCCTCCTCGCAACGTACAACAGTGAGTTTGTATCCTACCCCATATCGATTTTGAAGAAACAAGCTCGAGCCGCAACATTTCAAACTACCCTCAGCAACAATGCCAATGTTCTCGCACAACGCCTGCGCCTCCTCCATCGAATGCGTCGTCAAAATCACGGCACGATGGGTCACGGCATGCTTTAGTGCGTCCCAAGTGTCCAAACGAGCTTTCTGGTCCATACCAGCAGTAGGTTCGTCGAGCAACAGCACGCGAGATGAATCCAAGAGAGCCAAAATGAGCGACAGCTTGCGCTTCTGACCACCAGATAAAGTTTTTACCAGAGCGTCACACTTCTCGTCGAGCCTGAATTGTTCTAGTCTGCTGCGACAAACATCCTCTGAGACGGTTTTGATCCCCAAACTGTTTTTAAGGGCACATACTAGTGACAGATGCTCCCAAACAGTCAAGTTGCCAAATAGAATGTTTTGCTGAAAGCAAACACTCAAACTTTGTCGTACCGCTTGTGGGTTATTCGCAACACTGATAGACCCACCCATATAAGCATCCCCACTTGTGGGCAATAACATTCCGCTCAAAATCGACATAGTAGTGCTCTTACCGGCACCATTGGGACCCAATAAGCCGAAAATTTCTCCCTTTCTTACACCAAACGATACATTATTCAATGCCACTTTTCCATTCGGATATGTCTTTGACAATGACTTTACAAAAAGTGACGGCTGAAAGCTCTGCAGGTACTCTGTGAGAGAGCTCTCACGAAGTGTGCTGTCCGTCCGCTCATCGATGCTATCCAAGTCCATCTTAGTCAGCCCAACACGTTCGCTGTCTTCATTGTCATCCGTAAACGACTGTGAATCAAATTGTCGAGGGAACCAGTAAGATGGCTGGAATACAAAATACCATTTCTGCTGCACTCCATACGTGCGTGGAAATACATTTTCCAAATACCATCCAACAAGCAAATACACTACGCATTGGCCAGCCATAAGGCGGTATGGTGTCGCTACAGTGTCCCAAGTAATTGGCTTATTGAGTGATGTCGCTGGGTCAAAAGCTAGAATATTGCGTATGGTCGAGATGAACACTACTGGAGACCCGATTCCATCAAGCACTTTCAACAATGATCCCAATAAAGGAGATGACATAATCATATCTGGACGTAGAAAGGAGCGAATGAAGCTTCCAACACTAAAGATGAAATACACCAGTGGAGCACATGCTGACGCTGTCTTTGTCTGGTTAAAAATGGGTGTGATGGCAATACCAAAAAGCAGCATACTTGACGAAAACATCAGCACAAGTAGAAAAAAGTAGACATTTCCAACTGCCGTTGCAGCAAACATACTGCCACTGAGCAACCACGTTCCAATTACTGCAATGACGACCAAGGCGAAAAAGTAGAGCAAGAACCAGCTGATTAAAAGTGACGTTGCCTGTAACCCCATAATCATCAAATACTCTTTCAGCTGACTCTCCTTTTCATTCACAATATCACGAACCAATCGTATATATGGCCACATGAATAAATATCCCACATAAAATGCAATATTTCCCGTCAATAAGCCGTTGATTTTATCCGTCGGTCGGTTTGGTAATGTCGCTACGGATAAAGTGCTTAATTCATCATTGGATGCTAATTTCGTCACAAGATTTGATAAAAACGTCCAAACGTCGGGTGATAAATGTCCATTTGTGATAGCAGTTCGACATGCTGCCCAACTTTGTCCCAATGGTGATGTTTCTGGAAAAATACTCCATGGTAAATTAGCTGATATCAGCATTTTATGCACGGATGCACACAACGTATTAGGCGGATACGAAGTCACATTGATTCTCATTGGAGTTGGAGAATTCCGGCCCTGACTGCTTGATCCTTGGGTCAGATTCTCTCGAATAAACTGATTCATAGCCATTTGAAATGGCAAAATATTTGGAAAAAACATTGTTTGATTAAATGTCAACGTTTTGGAGAAATAGCGACTCAATTGAGATTCTCCCGTGTCTTCTGAAATATCCGTCCGTTGTTTTCGATAAAAGAGAGCCACAAATTCACTGATTGGATGAAAATTGCGTCGACTATTGCGAAGATCAAATCCGGCATAAATGTGAGTTCCACTTTGTTTTGGATATTCCGAGAGGATTTCATCGGCTTTTTCCTGTGAGATGAATGATGATGTCGCTATATTATCCAATGGAATAATCTTGGTCGTTTCAAAATAACTGGGAATTCCTAATTCAGATGATCCTGGATAGTGTCTACATACAATACAACAATCGATAAAACAGTTAGTGAGTACGTAGGTAAAACTTAACGAGTGTGTAGCTACAAATTAAGTCACCTGGAGGTAATTTTTATTATCGTACCTATCAAGATATTGTAGAAATAAATTGGAATCTGGTCGGTCTAAAATGGCCAAACTTTGATTACTCTTGACCAAAAGTAACGGTAAGACAGTCAAAAGTAACGTCGCTGACTCTTTGTTGAGTTTATGAATCGGCACAGAGGTATCCGTGGAATCAGAGGAATCAGAAGAACCACCAGTCTCCAGAACCAGTGCTTCCATTAATTTCTGCATTGTCGCATCAAATTCACCAGAACTCATGCCATTAATATTCAAAAATGTATCCTCTGGTTGCATTAATTGTGTATTATATTGACACAATTTCTGAATAATCAAAAGTAAGAAACACAATGGCATGATAATGTCCAGTACGAGGGCAGGAAAAAGCCAGCGTTTTGTACTTTCATTGCGATTCAAACTACTTTCACGCTGTTTAATACGATAATTCTTCCAGAGTAAGAGAGAGATACTCCGCCATGTACTCGCCATCTTTCGAACTGAATGTATTCCAGGAATGGCACGTGTCTTGGAGAAGATTCAGTGCGAGGATGGGCGACATTCTTGATTTTGATCCCTCATACGAACCACACATACCGGTAAGTGGTACACTGTACCATTGATGACGTTGCTAGAGTTGAAACAGTGGCCGATGACGTCGTCTTGGGAATGAATGGTCGTAGTAAGTATGCTGCTCATGAGAAGAAGGAAGACGTAGATCGCAAGAAGAAGAAGTAGAAAGACACGTGTTTAACACCAGTTTAAATGAGCAATTAGAGGAATACCGTGTGTATGAGCTTGTGAAACGCTCAGTATTGAGAGCTAATGCTGAACACTTTTGCATCCAGACCCTATGGGTGAGCGATCTCTTTAGATTTAGCAGTTCCCTTACGTGATGACACATTTATCTATTTGTCCACAAGTTTTAATGCTGCATCTGAAACCAAGCTACTCCATATAACTTGTAGCATAGTGGTAAGAGTGAATACGTCAGTATAGTGCCACAATATACACATAGTCTTGTACGTGTACGATTATGGTGCAGTCTTGCGAGGGTAAGAAAGTCAAATGATAACGTAGATATGGCCCTGATTACCGACCGTAAGCCCTGTGTGCGCGGCCCTGATCTGCAATTGCACCAACTGTAACAATGCCATTGTGTATTCGATACTGTGCAATAGCCCTGATGAATTACCATCTATTCAATTTTCCTGTTTCAATAGTCGTCGTCAGACGCCCCTATATTGTCTCGACGTAGGGTCGAGCGAGTTGCTATGTCTGTTTTCGTCAAAGCTTACGTCTTGTGCGTTTATCAATCGCACTCAAGTTTCGTAAAGGGTGCTGCAATCTAAACACGTGGACGACAAACTGGTGACATTTACAGAACAGACAAGACTGTCGTCATGTATAGCAATGCAAATTAAAATTGCAGCCAAGCATTCTCCTACAGCAAAGAATGCATCAACTTTGTGTAACTTCTTTTTCTTTACTTTCTCTCATGTTGACAGCAATCAATCTCATGCGTTTGTATCCTCCACAAACATGTGTCTGGTATCAAGAACATCGAGTAGCACACTCACTCTCTTTCCTGGACGTCTTCACTTGACCCATTTCGCTTGTTATTTCAATGGTAGATTTAATAATCAAGACTAGTGAGTAACCTCTACTTGAAGCGGAAAAGACGGTCGTCAGTTTTTTTTATCTTTTTTCATGGCGTCTAGCAGCCATGAAAATGCTTGACGCCATCCGTTTTTCTTCATTGTTTTATAAGGTAATACTACTACGTTGCATCACGCTTGTCTCCCCCTACTTGATGCAATGATAGCAACTAAACCGTAAGACGAAAATTAAAGCAAAATGACAAGAACTGCATCAGATTTTGGAGCAAGTAATATATAACCACAAGAGTGGCCTTTTCATAACTGCTGACCCAACGGTCCTGGAGGTATTTGATACTATAGAGAGTAGTAGTATACATGACAACAATTACATAGAAGAAGAAGAAGAAGAAGAAGCAGATATAAGGTTGCGACAGAGAAAGATACTGAAGTGAAGTCGTTGAATTTTTGACGTCAAACTACAGATCTGAGAGAACTGATTGTTTCCTTGCTCCTTTATTAACCCGTGGTAATCGAAAGGACGCCCATTTGTCACATGTCAACGTTTCAATGATTGGTTTATATTCTATCTGTACCCATATTAGTAGCCAATAAAATGTACATCACTACAACTTCTGATGCCAACAAAGACAAGTCCAGACACTTCACTGCCCACTCTATGCAAAAAGCCGTTGGAAAAAAGGGCAGAAAGCTCGGAGCAGTCACTCACTCACTTCCTCGTGCTCTAGACGTTACCATTGGGTTATAGTTCATTCAATAGTAAGATTAAGTATTGATCGTAATCTCTTTAAAAAGAAGAAGAAGAAGATTGAATCGTGTAATATTCGTGTCAGTGGTGAGCATTGTCATATATTTATTATACACATGAAAATTATTCAATTGAGTGTTTGGTTCAATCGCTAACGCTCTCTCTCTCTCATTATCATTATCATCTTGTTCTAGTTCATTTTCATATATTTACGTGGCTCTATCTATTTACAGCATGCTTCAGACTCCACGACAAGATGTATCATCCTCGATTCCTGATACTTGTTCGATCACGATTGTAACTTTTGACAATCGACGAGATCCTGAAAGCATCAGTCCACAATATCAAGCAGTTGCAACACCTACAAGAAGTCATACTCAAGAGATTGATCATCAACCAGTAATTGAAGAAGTGATTCGAAGTCGTAGTCATTCACATGCATTATCGGCGATATTAGGTGCAAATGGATGTGTTTCAACGACTGCATCAGTCATCCCTACTTCCATTGATAGGAGACCATCAAGTCAACAACTTCAGATTCCAGGCTCGACAACACAAATGCAACATTGTGAACAGGTCGTCGAGGACGATGATGAAAAGATGGAGCTGCCTATTCGACTGGCAAAATGGAGACGACAAAGACGACGATGGAAACGAATGCTCTTTTGGGTAGGAGCGTCCTTACTCTTTGTAGGGACTTTTGCGCTCAGCTTTATCACTCCTCAAAAGATTGAAAACTTAGCGCCAATAGTACTGGGTGCAGGACTAAGTCTGCTCTCAACTTTGGTCGTACTCGTGTCGTTCTTGAGGAGAAGGAGATTGCGACGAAAACCAAATGAGTTGCTGGCATTTGTGGCACTGTGTGAATTTGGGTTAGCGATGCTTACGATACTTCACGTTTTGGTCATGTGTAGCGCAGCAACGGGGGAATGTCGCCCTATGGGATTGGTGATCTGTAGTCTTGCTGTGAGTTTGGAGACGTTTTTACTATTGGCTGGTGTTGGTTGGTCTGGAGCTGCAATATTGCACCTCTTCGTGTCGGTCTCAAACCCTTTTGCTAGCTACAAGAGGCAATTGGTGCTTTACCACATTGTGGTCTGGGGACTTTCGTTGATTGCCAGCATTGTAACACCTTTGGTGCTATTTTCCAAGCACATGCAAAACAAGTTGCAACTCACGGACGCTGAAATTTGCCGGTCTGTGGCATTGATACTTCCGTTGCTTCCTTCGGATGCTGCAGACTCGGTAGCTATTAAAACGCTCAGGTTGTCGCAGTGGCAGGACCTGAACTTGAAATTCTGGGGATTTTTGATTGCAATTGTAGTCGTTGTCGTAGTTGCTGCGCAGCTGGGCCTTGTCGTGGGTTGGTGGCGATCCAATAGCGGGACAATTATTGCGCTTAAAGCTCGTCGTCGTCTCATGAAACGCATGACCGTCTACGTCCACGCTCTTAATGCAATGTGGCTTGTGGTAATAGTGGTCTTTTTCGTCTACCGGTCAAATTTGAATGCACTTGATTACATTCAAGTAGAAGGGGCACCACAGCACGTCGATGGCGAGATCAATCTTCTGAATGCGTTATTCCACTTTATTTTGACCGCCAAGGGATTCATTACCGGTGTCGTGTGGCTTAGTGTGAACAAGCCGTGCTGTGCGCTTGGACTTGTGTCTTGTGGTTTGCACCAGTGTAAAGATGACGAACAAGGTCCATCATTAGGGCATGCGGCTTCATTGTCGCGATCAGAGTCGTTGTCAGTGTCATCTCATGGAGAAGTTGGAGCTCAACAATCAAACCACGCTGCAACTGCAGCTGCAGCAGTGACGTCGATGGAGGCAGGTTTACAGGTGACGCACGAAAGTACAATAGCAAAGAGGACATCGGCTGTGTTGACCTATGAGGCACATGAAAGCGTGCGCGAAAGTGTTGCAGTAAGGCCACGAGAACGTGAGTCGCTTACGTCATTATTGCCAGCGATCAATCCTCCGCCAATGGGTAGGTCGAACCGCTCGTCATCGTCCTCGTACGATGCTTCCACGATGGAATCATATGAAGCATCGCAGAACAACGAAACACTTCAGCGGGAGATTATTTATTATACTGTGTGTGGCATCACCAAGGCCATTATTCGTTCGGCTGAGCGTGCCAAAGCGCCGAGCTTCACAACTGGCGATACCGGAACAGTACTTGAAGGTGACAACATTGGCAATGCTGCAGCAAGAGATCGTGATGGTGGCGTGGTAGAAACAACTCTTTACGTGGGAGCCGAACGAGACTCGACACTTGTCAACAGTTCCTTTATCTCACACGTTCAAAACGTGACAATTCTTTCTTCACCTCGAGCGTACTGTAAACCACGTGACCTGCAACCAGCTGCTGGACTTCGTCGTTCAATAGCTGGCTTTGAAATTGAAGAAATTCGTGGTGGCGGTGCATCATACCTTCCACGTCCTACCTCGTTCAGCTCGACATCAAGCTTGGAGTATCGAGGTAATTGGCGTCAGCCTCCACGGCTTCGGCACAGCCGCAGTCAGGGAAGTCGGCAGACCGTCCGGCCCGGTGTGAGTGCAACCAGCGTCACCTTCCATCCTTCCAACCGAAATCCTGGGCGATTTTCGCTGTATCCGGTGTCTCAAGTTCCATTTGAGTTATTTGAACAGGAGATAGAGCTGCAGAGCTCACGGTCTTCAGTAGATGAAACGATTGTAGAAGGAAAATTGACACGATTGGCGGTGTTTGCTGGTTTACGTCGAACAGCTACTTCTGCGTTTACCCAAGGTCGAGGTGTATTTCGTAGTCATAGTGGAAGTACAGAAGCATCAATCAGCGCAGCTTCTACGAATCATGCGGTGGTACGTGATTTCCTGCCGGACGATCCAAAGCCGAAGGTCTTCGTGGACTATGCCCCACGTGAGTTCCGAGCCATTCGATTGGCATTTGGACTTTCAGATGAGAAATATCTGGCTAGTTTTCGCACGACTGCCAAGGAGCGAGTAAGTTCTGGTTCAAGTGGAGCATTCATGTTCTTTTCGGGGGACAATTCGTTACTTGTAAAAAGTCTCAAGGAGAAAGAGTGCCGTGCGCTTGTCGATATGGCTCCAGAATACGCGCGTTATTTGACAGCAAACCCACACTCGAGACTTATCCGTTTTTTCGGATGCCATCGTGTCCGTCTTTATGGTCGCAACTTTTATTTTGCGGTGATGTCAAACGTGCTGCATAGCGAGCATCACACTGCAACGATCACAGAGAAATACGACGTGAAAGGTTCATGGGTAGACCGTCGTGCACGTCGACCGCAGCGTGGTGACCGAGTAACGTGCGTGGAATGTGACGCGACTTATACGTTTGGAGGCAGCAATGAAGATAATGATATGCCGAACACTGCTCTAGATTCTAGCGACGGACGCGCGTCAGCAGTGGACAACCGTGTGATACCGCAGTTTCCGTTCCATGTGCACCGACCCGACATTGTTTTCAAAGATCTAGATCTGGAACGCTCACTGCACTTACCCCGACACATTGCAGCTCATTTGCACGCTCAGATTGTTTCAGACAGTGAATTTCTTCGGGATGTAGGCATTATGGATTACTCACTGCTTATCGGCGTCCACAAGTGTCATATACGTGCTCCACGTCCAGGTTACTCAAATGGGGTTGCCCGTGAACATGCAAATATTGGTGAAGTGATGAACAATGAGCTGAATATCGAGGAATCTAGCAGTGGTGTGAATCTAACTCCGCTTGGGGATGACGAGGTCTACTTTGTTGGAATCATCGACATTTTGCAACAATGGGATTGGGAAAAGCAGTTTGAGAAGGCTGGCAAGGTACTGCTGGGCAAACCTTCTCGTGGTATCTCAGCTGTTGCTCCCGCAGCATACTGCCGTCGATTCCAAGCTCGTTGTTTTCAGATTCTGCTAGGTGGTCCAGCTTCCGAAGACATGGATTTGGACTGGGAAGCTGACACGAATGCCGTCAATGTTAAAGAGACCAAATTCTGTCTAAGCTCAAAGGATGCCAAGAAGATAGCGATAGCAAACCATATTAGTGAGAAAGCGTAATGCTTACCGAAAAAGTGGAGTAGGTCAAACAGGGGCTTCCTATTCCCAGTATTAGGGTGTTAAGTTTATTTGAATCTAGGAGTGATTCAAGCATGAAGTGTAGCAACGAGCAACACGCTTTTTTCAAAACTCTACGCTGGGTCATTCATTCTTCATTGAATATAAAGTTACACTCACTTCAGCTACATGATAAACGGCACTAGATCATTCCATACAAACGGATCTGCTTGCTTCCAACTCACATGACACAAATTACACGACTACTACAGCAAGATCGTCACCATGTCTCTCGTATCAACACTTGATACCTTTTGTCAAAATTGCATGGTCAATGATGATCTCCACTGCAGTCAATAAAACGACGAGGATGTTCACGACTTCCAGACGACTTACATAGAATTTACAGCACATTGATTTGTGTGACAGGAGTCATGGTTTCGTCTTGGCTAGTCTCCTCCTCCTCTTTCGGTGTGCCAATCTGTTGCTTCTTCGTGTAAGCAACGGCTACCACTGCTATAGCAGCTACCACCCCCACGCAGCCTAGACTAGTTGCAATATAGGTGCCTGCTCCAGTGCCACCTTCTTTGCTGCTCTGTGTGTTTGCGCTCTCGCTATTAGTATTGGATAAAGGCGTCACGTAGGCGACCGGAGCCTCGGAAGCCGTCGAGGCCGAGTTATCCGCTGGTGCTGCAGTATCTGCTAGTGCTGCACTATCTGCTGGTCCTGCACTATCTGCAGGTCCTGCACTATCCGCTAGTGCTGCACTATCTGCTGGGGCCGCAGTACCCGTCGTCGTGCCATTACTGGACACCTCCTTTGGCGACAGCGTACCAGTTTCCTGATCTCCATTGCTGGACATCAAGCTCGACCCTTCAACCGCGGTCGGGTCAATAGTTGGGATCTCGTTGAGTGTCACCGTAGAAGGCACGGATGCATCAACGGTTGGCGTCTCTGTTTGAAGCTGACTTGGAGCTTGTGTGGTCGGAACGGGGTCCATCAAACAATGAGCTGGGACCGGCATTGATGCGGTAGGCTTCAGCACTGGAGCAGGTTGTTGCTCCAGTGGTTGTTCATTTTGCTGCTGCTGCTGTTGCTGTTGCTGCGACGATCCTTCGATGCCGTTCGGACAAAAGGTCAATACGACGGAGGTCGTGCCTTCGCATGTGTACGTCTTGTACTCGTCATTTGGGAAGTGATAAGCGACCTCGCAGCCATCCTCCAGACACAAAACAGTGTCACATCCTAATGGAGAAATCTGCATGGGTGTATTGAATCCCGTACCACCCGTTACAGCCTTGCACTCCTCAAGTGATGCACATTGACCAGGCTGTATCAATCATCAAAAGAAATGTCAGTACGGGTCTATCTCACACCAAATGAACTCGTCTACGAAAACTTACAGGAAAGACGCCACTCGGGATGATACTAACATCATACGACAAGAAGTCACGAGAGACAGAAAACTCGGCCACTGCATTGACAAACAAGACCATTTTGTTAATATCTCGATCCAAACCATTTTACAGAGTAATTCTTCATTACATACGAGAAGCTTGGGTATTCACACCGTTGCGAAACATGCCACTAAATCCTTCGTCGAGTATACGACGAGTAATGTCACCTGACGCAACCATTTCAGCAACATTGTCGTCATACAGCTCAATGGTATTACTGCATTGGTTGTATACAGTCAAAAGGACGGATGCTTTGACGACATCAAAGGCAGTCAGTGCCATAAAGACCATCGCGATCGAAAAGTACATTGGCCTTATATTTACACAGCAAATAATATTCTGAGCTCTTTACTGCAAGGACAAGTTTGGTCATGTGTGAACGGACCTGTTCAACTCGAACCGTATAGATAAATCCATCCAGACATTGCACTCCATGCTAATGGATGGATGGATACAAGATGTGGTAATCACGTCAGTGAACATTATGATGGCGTTACTTGTTTTTTTGTATGGAAAAAAACATATGGCACGATGCCATAGTTAGTGGCTCGTTTTTTACCACGACATATTTAGCACGTACACTAAATGGTGACGAGATACATAAAACACACACAAATTCAAAGAAGGAAATCACTAGAAAAATGTATGACTCCAAGATATACTTTGTTAGTGTTCAGATGTAGGATTTGTTTGGTGACTTGAGAGCACATTGGAACGACAAATATGAACAATGATGTATCTTTGTAAAGTGACGGTAAGCTATTGGTCAGTAGAATTTTATCTTTCCGACTGTAAAATATGTTTGCTGGTCGACAAATAGAGCAAAAAAGAAGACTATGGTCATTTCGCTACACAAATTTATAAACAGATGTCTTTTTCCACCATCTTGACTTGCATCACCTTTCCTCAAACCAGCTTTATAAACTAAAGATGACCATATAGAGAAACTAGTATTTACTAAGTATATATTGAGCAGCAATATATTCGTTGTCCAATTGTAAACCTGTTGCAAAGTCGAAGCAAGTTTAACGTGCGTGTTGATTGAATGTTCCTGCTATGCCCTGAGTTTGTGCTGCAAGTTACCAGGCGCTAATGGTGCTTGTTGGTTGGGGGTTATGATAATCGCAATGATCTTATTCTGAATTACATAATGGTCCATCGTTGAGTCCTTTGCACCACACTATCTCTTGTGGTGCTTGCTCTAGACGCGGTACTTCTTCCTGTTGCACCTATTTCTCTCTCTCTCTTCCGTGATTCCAAAGACTGTTATGTAATCGTAGGTAACTTCAATCCGAGCTCTATCCAATAGCCTCGCGTTGACAACATTAAGATGATGTGTAGATATCATCAGTCCATATTATGTGTAGCCTAGATTGACTTCTTTATTGCATAAGGTCATCGTACAATGAATGAGCCGGGCATATTTGTCCTTGGCTACTATTACGACGTAAAACCTGATAGGATTATCTTTCTAACCTCATCGCAAGGTCATTAACCTTTGTAATGCAATGCTAGCAATACACAATATAGCTATACAAGCTTCTTGATCCATTCTCCTACGTCGATAGTCGGATCTGGTATAGCTTGATGGGATTACGTTAAGCACACAATATAAATAGTATATCACTCAAGCACCATAGATGTACACGTCACTCTATAATTATAGATCGTAGTATCATCCTGGGTGACAATAGTTTATAAACAAGTCGAAGTGCGTGGCACAAAACGCTTTTGAATCAGCTTTTTCTTCAGTATCTTTAGCAGCGATACCACGAGACAACAGGTTGTACAACAATAGAGGAGGCTTTTCGTACGTAACAAAGTGTCGTGAGAAGCACCATGTATTGTTGCGTCTAAATTGCGTAAGCGTCACAGGATGCATCGACTCATGATCGCAGCAACATTACCTGCTACACTGCCTTGATCATATGATAAATGATCAAATAATGCTCCTTTGCATTGCAATAGCTTACTGCATATATCGTTCCATCAGGTTGTTGTGAGCACTAAGAAACACTGCTTCGACCGGGTTCTTGACTCCTTGTGCTAGTTTTGTTGACAATGAATGGTCTGTAGTCAACTCGTCAACATCTTTCACGTGTGCCTCAGCTTGTCGTATATGGGAAGTTGCTACCACTACCAGACAAGCGACAATGAATTCTCAATGCGCGATACGTAGACAGACGTAGCCGACTTTATCATTCATTCTCTGGAAAAAAAGATCATTGACCCAATGCCACACTTAACGTATCTATCTATCTCCTATACAAAAATGGTCAGTCTTTCCGAAAAGGCCGTACAGAACACGATGCAACTCTGTTGCTTTACGGTTTAGCCTAGATACTTCTTGTCATAATTGCAACAATGTGATTAAGAAGATAAAAGCTTCAACATCGTACTTCATTGCCTACTTCAGTACCTACGTGCCAGTACGTGAAAAATAGTCGGCAAACTATTACGGAACCTTGTAATGCGGATGCGAGTTTTACGGCCAAGAGCCACAAGGTTGTAATTGAAAGGGAAACAGATAAGATCTTGTTGGGAGAAGGTAATAATAGTACGTAAAGAAAATGTAGTAAGGAGTCTGATGTTCAGTTGGTATACGAAGGCAATGTTTGTTATAAAAAAGACAACAGGTGGATATATGTGCCTCTAGGGCGTGGCTCACCCACGTTACAGTCGCATATACTCCCCAGTGCTTGAGTCTAACGCTACTTCATTGACCATTAATGACGAGGAAGTAGACGAGAGAAGAAACCCATTTACGTCTTGGAAATAGTTACAGACAGTAGCAGCATTCATATTGAACTTGACAAATGCTTTCCAACGCTGTATTCAACAAGTCTTTGAAGTGCTACTTACGACATTAATCGATATTACTGTAGAAGGGTCTTTTTTGATACGAGGTAGTATTTACTGTACATAAACCCGTCAGTACTGCATTCCACCAATTGTGTAGCAGTTACGACTAAACCGTATGGCGGTTAAGTCGTCACCGGTCTAGTCTTGATGACCATCCATTTTACACGTGACGAAACAGCATCTGTAAACACTTGTCATTCTCCATTTCATACGACTACTTGATGTTATAATACCTACTCCCCATTTAATTTGGAATGTAATGATTTGAGAATCATGAATGTCGCCGCCCCAGTCTGAAACTTCGTGTTGAGTACTTCAAAGCACATTGATAACAGCTTTGTGCATGAACATTCCTCCTCTATTTGTATACATCTATATGTCTGTATGGCTCTCATGTGTCTTTGTCGATTTAGTGTTTGTGTTATGTATGAGTGTAATGATGACAATTATTCAACCCAGCTCGCTTCGAGTCATTAACGATGAAGAGAACTGTTTCCGAGGGGTCACTCCCTCTTGACTGATCACTCAAAGAAACATGGTTCTATTTTTGTATTTCTCCGTACCTGGATGCAAGTGAAAGGCTGGAGTTTTGACTACCTATTGGTTATTATTGTATCGCGAGCAAGTGCGAAAATGCGTATTATGATGCTTCAAACTTATCCCTGTCCGACGGATGGAACGCATTCCTCCGAACGTGACGAAAACCAAGCGTAACTTTTCAATTTTCAGCTGAATAACGCAACTTTCTTACTCGTAACTAATAAGGAATATAGATATAGCATCAAATAGGGATTGGAATGAGGAATACTACAGGTGAGAATGTGGATACCGTTTTGGAAAACTGCGTTCATAATTAAAGGATCCAGTTGACTTCATAGTTATCTGACCAATCCACCAACAATCAAAACCACTCAATCATTCTATGTAGTATAAAGTATCGGTATAAAGTAGGTAGTTTTGGCTCGTCATTTACAAGATCTGACAGTATCAAAGCCCGCATGCCAAGTTTTATGTCATGCCAATCGAAACTGTCTTTTTGCATCATAATTGAAACTTTCGAAATTTAGACACACATCACAAACATTGCATAAAGAAAAGACAATTGAGCACTTTTATGAAAGATTGTAGATAATTCGATTCACGAATATCCAACAATTGGGTAAAAATGGCAACACGTGTGGGTACAAGTTCTCGTTATGGTGCCAAGAAGTGGTTAGCGTCTTTGTTTGGAGATCTCGAGCACTCTTCATCTTCGAAATCCGTTGCGAAAGAGCGTCTACAGATTATCTTGGCACATCAACGAGGTAGTCAAGTGCTAGCAGGTATAGATCTGATCGCATTACAGCAGGAACTACTTGAATGTGTTCAACGTCACATTAAAGTAGCAAATGGCGCAAATTTGAGCATTTCAGGTGACTATTTTGGGTTCAAAGGATGAGGATGTACAAGGTATTTGATAAGTTGTTGGTCATGGTGTTTCTTTGTGACAATTATAGTGAAAAATGAAGGGCAAATGGATATTTTTGAGATGCAAGTACCAGTTGATGGAGACTACAATACGGCTCAAGAAAGACAACCACGTCGGTAAACAAGACGACCGAGTAACAAAATCGAGCTGTGGATGATTGAATCAGCCCTCGGACGTCGTTAATGAGAAGATAAAGAAGCGTTTATAGTGTCAAAAAATGGGTCGGTATTGTTTAGGAGGTGACGAGAAATATACAACGGACGGATGATAGGAATGAAATAGCTGACGATCATGTCTTCTAGTACGGATAGTAATCGTCAAAAGGTAGTACTTCAAGGTGACTCACACTGTCGAAAATCCACGTGATACGCACAATTGGAATCTGGAATTGCTGCCACTTGGCCTTAGCATCCGAAGGTAATGTACTCTTGGACACTACACCAACAGATGTACGACGGGATCGCTTTTTCTTCTTTTGGTTAAAGAAGTTTTCGACATGCACGACGGTACCTCCAAAATTATTGACCAAATTTTTCACCGAGTTAAACTGAAAATCAAATTCGTTTTCCGACACAAGCAGCACGAAGCTGAACATGCTAAAAATGCTGTTGCGTCGTCCAGTCTGCACGCGACGGATACGGCCTTCGTGTGGTTTTCCAATAGCATCGCTATAGATGTCACCGATTATCTCAAACGGTTCTTCTGTTAGCCATCTACCTGCTGCTAGACTGGCCGAGATCCAAGAAAAATCCATCACAAAACTACCTTCAGCCAATGCACGCATGTACTTTGCGGTGCGCTTACATCGTAACTCTTCCGGTTCTGCGCCACTAATGGCACCGATAGGAGGCACTGCTCTGGTGATCAAATGCGTTACAGATGTATAAAAGTGGCCTGTAACAGGGTCACGCTTGAGATCAAAGTCATGTCCAAACTTGCCTCCTAGACGCTGAGTCGCCTCCAGCACACGCTTTACTTTCTCACGGGTAAGGTCAGAGCTCACGAAGACAAAATTAGAACCACCCTTCAAAGGCCTTGGATTGCTGGTCAAAGTGTGCACGGGAGGCTCTGACAACATTTCACTGAAACTTGGTCTTGTGGTCTTGCTGTCGCATTTGGCTGCAACTCCACCAGCTGCAGGCTTAGTTTTCGAAGCAGAATATATCAGTTGTCTGGCTGCTTGAGTCTTGGGACTGCAGCTGTCGTTCTTGTGTTCCGACACAAAAGCCGTGACAACACTTTGAAAGTCATTACTGACGAGGTCTTGCTTCCTCAAAAACAAATCTCTTAGACGTTCGCAATGCTGGTCGGATGGAGGCGTTTTGTGTCCAGGTGTTTGCGGTAGGGGCAAGGCTGGCTTCGTCTCGTACTCTTCTTCATCATCAATTTCCCTATGTGCTTCATCAAGTTGAATTGTTGCTGGTTGACTGTCCGGTATTTCATTCTCGTTGTCCTTGTCTGAAATAACCTGATCGATAGACGAAGTAGAGTTGCCGCTGTAAGCCGCGGGATCATTTTGATGAGTGGGCATGCGCAACTTTTTACGTATCGGTGACGATACTTGGCCTTGCGAATGCAATGACGGGGACGATGAAGGCAAAACACGTCGTTTCGCTTTCACTACTGGCCGTCGATCGTTGTCACCTTCGAAGTGGTCTGGGTGGTGTCGCCGTCGGAACGAAGCAAGCAAATCAGGTGACTCGAGAGCACTCGTATATGGTGACATCTGTGTCAACAAGAAGTCGTCATCGTCATAGCGTTGCGACTCTCTCCGCCGTTCCTTCAGGAGTTTATCAAAATCTTTGCTGCTGTGCAACGAGCGTTCCAAGTCCAAGAGTGACAGCTTGCCATCGCTTTTTTCATGTAAACTTCGTTCCCATTGACTCAACGCCTCCCGCTGTTTGGTAATCCTGTCCATGTAACTCTCTACCTCTTGCGTTGCCATCAAACTGTGAGCTGATGATGACACGAATCCACATGTAGTCTCTGTGTTCTCCTCTTCACCGCCCTGTATCCATCTCGTCACCTCTTCGCGATCTACTGCAGATGCTTGATCGAGCGACACGACCGACATCTTCTCCTCGCTCTTCCTAGTCACTTTACTCCTCCGTCCATTGCTCTTCTCTTCTTTTCTACCATTTGCACTTCCTCCGTAATCATCAGGCAAGTCATCGCTACTCGTCTTTTTCCAGCACGCTTTATTTCCTGTGCAGCGAGAGCCATAATGCTGAGATAAATAGGGCTGCTCCAGCTTAAGCTCGTGTCGTATTTCCTGTGTATCGATGTGCCACTTGTGGTTCGCCACTCTACCTCTCGTCCCATGCCTTTCTTCCCCTTGACGGTCTTCACTCATTGCTACTGCATCCGACCCATTACCAGCTCGACAAAACGCTCGATCGGTGTCTTCTACTGTATATTTTGCTGCATGGAGTGCCGGGTCACCATTCAAAGCCTCGAGCTCTGTCTCGACACCCTTCCAGGCCGCCAAAATGCTCTCCAGGAACTGATTTCGCGTCACTTCGCTCGGTCTTGTAGGTAATTGACAATACGGACAGTAAGAATTGCTCTTTTTCAAGTGCAACAAGATGCACGGGTGGCAGAAATTATGCTTGCAGTCGAGACATTGCGGATCCTGGAATATATTGCCACTACAGTTATAGAGCATTAAAGCATTAGATGATATCATGATACGATAACGGAGCGTATAAAGTACCATAGTAAGCAAAGGAGCTGCTCACGGATGAGACGAATAGCCTCGAGTCGTGAAGACGACAACAGAGCCATGGAGATAGCGACTTAGACACAGTCAAGGGTAGTGTCTTGACCGTAAGAATTTGACTAGGCCATAAATAAAATGACAAGTACATACCGTGAATATACAGAAGAAGAGCATTCCTACAATTGGATAAAATACAGTAATTATAGATGGCTACAGGACGTGGACACTTGCATGTGGACATGCGATGAGAGCTTATGTAGGTCAGCTGTCAGGTATGTGAATGTGATGTAGCACAAGGTGCAAGTAGTGTTTGGCATGATACTTTTGTCAGTAAGGCTTGAATTGTTTGGGTTAGAAGTTACCACTTCTCACAGGCTGTCAAGCATTCAAGTGTCAGCTTCAAGACCTGTTATAGGTAAGTTCACTTCACCTGATTGCTTACATATGTGATGGGATGAAGAGAGACGAATGATACAAGGCGACCAAGATGTCAAGGGGGATGGGACCGAAAGAGACGGTCGATATGTGGGACCAGCATATGGAGACGTGTGGACCGGACGCACGTCATCTGTAGCTTGACCTGGTCAAGTTGCAGTACAAGAGAACCATATGGTGTATAGAGTAAACAAAAGTAGCTAACAGGGAACACATTTTAGTTTTACTTTCTACCTACTTTGGAGAAGTGCAATACTGATATTTTCGACACGTTATGAACCCAAACGGAACGTGTTGGTGGTGCAGCCCAAGGACCAAGTGACACGCAGAAACTGAATAGTGCCATTTGCACAACGTTTAAGTGTTTTTTATGCTTATTTAGCTGTAGCCACTGGAAGAGAGGGAATGATCCGCGTGTACACAGCTTCGTTCTTTGCGCTACTGAGCGTTTTTTTGTATCCATCAGTCTCGTGTACATGTTACACGATTTTTTCTGGATGGGTAGCTGGACCCGCTGCGGTGGTCGACGGTCAGAAAATTACCGAAGTTTACCAGTATAAAGAAAAGTCAACAGTGCCTGCAGGGGACTGGACAAGATGCTTGCCATGCTTGATGACTTGTCGGAGCTGATGAGCAGGATGAAATCCTCTCAAAACCGGACAAGTCGGCCGCCGACGCGACAAGTTTGTGGAGTCGGGCATTTTTGTTTCGGTTCTTTGTCCAAGGGCAGGAATTAACCTCAGGATTTTGAGCATACCTCGCCCTTAAAGAATTCACCGAACGTCTCACCGGCTACCTAGCTACCTAATTTGGTGTCCGACGACCAGCTTTGGCTAGGGAACATGTGGAGTGGGTTCTCAAAACTGCGTAATGAGACCCCAAGCCACTCACTGTGCCGGACTGCCGACTGTCAGAGGGGGTACCCCGATGCCGCGTATAGACCTTTTCTCATCTGTGTACCCGCGGCTGGTGGGATGCACTCTTCGGAGGACTTGGTTGAGATGTGATGTCGGCCTTGAGAGGTAGACCTTGGGGTGCCTCGAGTGGGTATACTTCACTCGGTAGGCGTGTAGGTGGCCACTCGGTCGACTAGGTCGAGGGTGGACTTATAACCATATTCTTTAGGGGAGATTCTCAACCCTGGCCTTTTCCTTCCTTTTCCTTGATATCTCAAGGGTGTTAACCGCCTGGCCTTTACTTGCTCCCGGACCACTAGGGTAGGGAGACCGCTTCCGATAGCGGGTCGATTTGGGGGTTGCTACTCAGACGAATCCACAGGCCAAATATATTCTGGGGCTCTATTCGCTCTTGGGTCTTACCACACAACTGTCTTCGACGGGGGGGGGCAATATGTATCCCTTACCGGAATAGGTGGGTAGACTTAGTAAGTACCTTGGAAGCACGACGGAGGTGTGCTATGTAGAGTAGTATTTATGATAGTCCTACCTTTTAACTTCTTTACTCTATCTTTACCCCGAGACCTGATTCTTGATTCTGCTGGCCGAGGGGCCGGGTGACCGAAGAGCCGAGGAGCCGGGTGAGACCGAGTGACCATGAGGCCAAGAGGCCGGGTGAACGAGGGGACAAGAGGCCGGGTGACCGAGCGGCCGAGTGACCGAGGGGCTGGGTGACCGAGGGGCCTAGGGGTCGAGGGCTGCCGACCGAGGGACCAGGGCCAACTTCGTAAAGACTGGAGTCACTTTGAGAAATCGCGGTCCATAGGACTAACCGCGGTTAAATCCTCTGAATTGAGCACGCTTAAACCGTACAATCTCCTCATCCAACGGTCGTCCCCCGTCCCTTTTAGCACCCGTCTCTCTACATAAAAAGTACACGCTGTACATAAAATTTGAACTCACCACGTGAAAGAGCATCAAATGCTACATCGAAACCATGGAGGTAGAAAAAAAATACATGCCATAACATAGGTTTAAATGAAAAAGAATGCATTTAACGAGTTTGATACCTAACGGTCGCTACTCCTTGGCGGGTCCCCTTCTCTTTGACCCAACGATCCTCTGGCCTACCAATTCTTGAAACGCTTCACCACAGACCCCCTCTGCACTTGATCAACGGTACAGTCGATTGAATACGCGCATGTCTTCGAATCCTTCATGTCGTAAGTACTCCTTGTTTGTGTGGCTGTTCGATATACGTTGTCTGACTTGACGCATCTCAGCTATTCCTTCCTCTGGGGTAGACTCAACGGCCGAGGGGTCGGTCTTGGATACTCCTGCCCTTGCCGTTGACCCAGAGGCCCAGGTTTCCTCCCAAACACCGATCGACACTCCTCTGCAGATGCCCGGGCCAAGGGATTCTACCGTGGTTTCTTCTGAGGTCGTAGGTGATGAGGGTTCCCCAGACGTGGAAAACCCTCAGTCAACCTCTAGCTCCTCTACTGTGGTGAACCCCGTGGAGACGGTTGCCTATGTCTCGCCCAGACGTGGAAAACCCTTAGTCAACCTCTAGCTCCTCTACTGTGGTGAACCCCGTGGAGACGGTCGCCTATGTCTCGCCCGTTGTCCCGTCGAGTGCTCCTCCGGCTACGATAGGCGGTCCTGTAGACATGCATCAGGTGCTACGCGATCTACAAGACCGTCTGGATGCATATAGCCGAAGAATTGAGGCGTGCGAAGGCCGACCTACGCCGTCCTCACCCCCGACGCCTACTGGACCACCCGGTGTAAGCTGAGCTGCAAGACACCACCGCCTCGTGGTTCAGTTACGCGAAGGACTCCAGCAAGAGAGATCGCTGAAGGAGCATTTGCGGTGGCGGATGGACTACCGCCAGAGCCGCTACGCTCTCATGATGGGGAGCACGAGGATTGCCGCACGAGTCCCTTCCAGGATCTCGCGGCTCCTCCCGTGACTGCTCCCGCAGTTCCTCCTACAGCGGTGACGGGTAAGCAACCTCGGCGTCCACCGTCCAAGACGAACGCGAAGGTCCCCTAGGCCGCCAAGTCAAGTATCCCCAGTACTTCCGCTTCGTCGGCGCCCAAGTCGGGGACCCCCCAGGGTCTACCCTTGGTATCCTCTCCGGACCCTGATGATGACACCGCGAGCGACGACAGCGAGGTGGTCCAGGCGACATTGGCTCGATCACGGTCTTCCCGGCGTCGTACCACGCCTACCTGACTCGCCGCTCCCAGCTGTCTCGGCTGACTCTGTCTCACGACCGGTCGCTCACCTCCGTCCAGAATTAATCCGCGCCATGTTTTGGTCTTCGGACTCCGAGGTCGAGTCGGTTACAGGAGAGAAGGCCAGGTGGGCTCTGCTTCAGGGGAGTCACCTAAACTTCCGAAGGGTGCCTTCATTCCTGGGTATATGCAAGCGAAATCACTCACTGCAGCGGAGGTGGCGCCTTGGTCGGTCGACATGATCAGCTCGTTGAGTGTCGTGACGATCACTCCTAGCGACTTGTTCGACCGCCTGGAGTTGCCTTGGGGCTAGTTTGGTCCACCAGATAGGAAGGTTGATCGACCTTCCAAGTGGAAGTCGTCGTTGGTCAACTACTCGATGCTCCAGAACCTCTTGGCCACCCGCCCCTGGGTGTCAGCTCGAGTGTCGACCCCCCCCTGTATCCTTCTAACCAATGGGCTGGTTTGCAGAGCTGGAGGCGACTTACTTGCGCTTCGATGAAGACCACAGCCAGGAGATCTGGGAGGCCACCCACTGCTTGTGGATCTCAATAAACCAAGCGCGCTCCAGCTCCTTCTTCTCGTCGCACTACAACGCCCGGAAGAAACGACGGGGTCGTACAATTCGGGCGTGGCGAGAAGTCGTCGACCTACTCTTCAAGGGGATGAGTGACGGCCGGTGCGACCTCGACATCCTGCTCGACCCCTTCTTCTGGCACCTTCCCCGACCTCGCTATGTAGTATAATGGTTTCCAGGGTGCAAGGTCCCGCCGACCTGCTGGACGCCGTGAGGGTCTCCGACTCCACTTACCCATGGATCTCCCAATAACGACTTCGTCCGATTCCCATCCCGAGTACTCGGTGCCGCGTCTCCGGGATAAGTTCGTCTTTAAACCGTAAGCGTTTCCGTAATATACTTGCGTCCATCTTTTTTCAGTCTCTGTCTTAAATCTCTGTTCCCCTTCTTCCTTCAAACCTTGCGCCACTTTGTTTCTTCACCACACTCCACGCTAAAGACCAAGGTCTACCAACGAGGGACCAGGGTCGACCTCGAAAGACCGGGATCTACCACGAAAGACCAAGGTATACTACCGAGGGACCGAGACATACACACTATAGACTTTGGTCGAACATCTAGGACCCTCTGTTTCGGTTTTTACTCCTCATGGTTTTGCATCGCTTCGAAACGATTCCTCCTTGTCTTCTTGCGTTCGAAATCCCGAAATAAGGCTCCACAATTCAAATCCAATTCATATACTTACGAGGGGTCCTCATACCCTTTCCATCGGACGAGGAGCTCTCGTTGCTATCTCCCGTAACGTGTTTTCTTTCCAGTGCGGGCTTCCAAAATCTCCTCGACCTCGTATTCTTCTTCTTCCATCTCTCTTGCCCAACTGTCCTCCGGCAACAGGCAGTCATCGAAGTCGACCCGATCTATTGCGTACGTCTCTAACGCGGCACTCGGTCGGTCGGGGACTTTCTAACCCTCTTGA